CCGTGATCACTTTCACTGCGTCCTTGTCTGACGATTCAATCGTCAAAATAGCATTTCCTGCGTAGATAGGACGGGTGAACTGGCTACCAGACGCCTCTAGGGCGGTGATATCGGCAATCTGCCAATGTCAACTCTGTGGATATCGGTCTCACTGGGGCTCACCAAGGACGAGTCAAGAAGGCCAGCGAGTCTCGGAAACACATTTTTTCCCACAGCGGTGTGCGCAGCAAAGACATGTGTTACGCCCTTGTCCTTGATCACAGATGCAATGAAAGGTGCCACGGCTGTGAGCGGATCAGTCCTGAAGCCCATTGCGTAGAGAGACTGGACAGACCCTCGGCCAATAAATGCGCGAATGAATCCGAGGATGCGGTGTAGACGGTAGAAATGTTGTTAATTCTGGTTGAAAGGTGGAAATGAGTCGTGCACCAGCAGTGGTAGAGGATGCAGCTCACTTCTTGGCTTCCTTTAAAGCTTTCTCCACGTCGGACTTTGATCCGAAGAGAATAGCTTGCGTCTGGGGACCGCGTAGGAGATGGGTGAGTGAGTTGGCCTCTTTCCTGAGAATATACGACGCACCTCACTACCAAGGGATTTGGCAGCAGTGACAGCAGTGAGAGATGCCTCGTTGAGCTTGCCCGCCTTCTGCTCGAGGAGGACCAAGGAGGAGGCGAGCCTGCGGGTGGGAGGGGCGATACGGGTGGTGAGACGCCTGGCGGCGGGGAAGAGAGGGGTGAGTCTGTGGAGCATGGTTATGGTGGCTAGGTCAACAAGTGGCTGCTAGCTGTGCGAGTTGTGTGCGAGTGGATCAGCATTCGGCCGGCTTTCTCCCAGCCGCGTGATTACGTATTCCCGGCATTTCACTGCTGCAAGTGGTGCGCGTGCTTGGTGGCGCTGGCTTCTACAGTCCACCTGGACACACCTTGCACTGACCCCACCATTGCTCTCGTCTCTAGTTCAAGCTGATTCACCTGTCTGCCGTACGTATTTCGAAGGAGCAGAACGCGATAAAGCAGCTCTACCTGACGGGATCGTGACTCACAACATATACAGTGTCGAACACTCTTGAGCTTTTTCTGCGCTCGTGGTAATGCAACCTACGTCGGTCAGACTAGCGAACGGGGAGGTTGTTGCTGTCAACGGTGCGTCACGCTTGAATCGACCTTGCCTCGTAGTTAACATTCAATTACAGACCACGTATATGTGTCGTTACCTTGGTCCGACCGAGATGGTAAGCTCAAGACTTCATAAGCAATCGACAAGTACTATCGATAGCTCCACTGACCGTTGGTCATAGGAACACCGTACAACATTGCCCGCATCATTGAGTTCCTGCCTTCATCGCACTCGAAAAAGGGCACACGTGCGACGGGTTCGTCCGACAGCTTGGTTCGGCTTTCTCTCTACTACAGGCCGGCAGACGTATGTACATCTTCATTCGACATGCGTCCCGCTGACAGTTTTTAGATTTCGACTCGAAACGTTGCAGACTATCGACTGCTTTTGGCCGCAATCCATACGGATGTGCAACCTGTTTCCAGTGTCCGTGGCAAGTGCTACGTCAAGCACAAAGACCGAGTCGGTGATTTGCTCGAGTGGAAAAGGTTGCCTGATCATTTCTACTTTGCCAAATTTTTCGACCCGTACATCAAACGCGAATTTGAGGTCATCCCGACGGAGACGGTGAACAACAGTGTGTCTACATCTGAAATTCATCAGCAATTCTCGCGCTGACCACCTGCCGCCCATCAAAGTTCCCCACGACGTCAAAATCGTCCTTCGAAGTCGATATGAATACATCGTGACTGAGAGAGAGTTGGTCGCGGATCTAACAGATGATTATCGAAGTTGCTGCCGCTGCCAGGGGTGGGCGTCATACCAGGAGTCCGTCAAATGCGAGTGGGTCAAATACTTTGAGACCTTCTACTCCTATCGCTGATCACAATATATTAGTACCTGCAAAGAACACTATCACATGAAGTGCCTACATCCACCTTTGCATGCTAAGCCCGCCAAAGGATATTCTTGGGTATGTCCCCCATGCTCTTTCCAAAGGGGGATCGACGTAGAAAATCAAAAGTTCCGTTTCGGTCTCCAAAGCAGCTCTGGAACAGCCAAGGCAAAACCCGCCAAGGCGAAGCACCGTAAAGTGAATTTGGATAATAGACCACCTGTAACTTTCAGAGGCTGGCAATGGCGCTACTTTGGGTAAATGAGATGCTTTCGTCCCGAGATATACACTGTCAAAGCTGAAGCCAGGTTGACCAGCGTGTATACGCGTACAGAGGACGTTCTCGGTGGGTTCAATCTCCTACATCATGACGTCTAGTATGTGACTGATGCAGGGCAGACTCCGAAGACCCCATATTCCCGAGGGCGGCCACCAGGGTAGGCCCAAGATATCAAGCCACCGTGCTGTCATGGGAAGAACAGTCAAGGGGCGATTCTGATGTCCTGCAAATTGAACCAGTCGGTAACTCCCTGCGACAGGGGGCTTTCTCGGTTGAGAGAGGTCATGATGACGGACATAAAAAGTACGGGGCAACCATAGAGTTGTTATCTAGGCCCAGCGATAAATGTACGTGCGGCTGAAGGTCTATGTGAATTCGCTGATAGGCATCAGTGGATAGCTTCATGGACGAGATACGAAAGCTTGATCTAGCTGTTCCGCCGTGGGATGTCAAACGGCTCAATCTGGCTATCTCATCTTTCACGACATTGGGTTTCCAACCAGCATTGGAATTCATGCGTACCCGAAAACCCCAGGATTTCAATCTCATCACTGTGCGCCCTTGATTCACTGAGTTCCCCTGTGCTTGGCTGACCAAGAATTGGTTCGGATGATTCTACCAGTTCACTTTGGAAGAACACTCTCTGTTCGAAAACGAGCTCGAGAGGATTGGTGGACTGGACACTCATAGCTGCGGTCAAGTTCTTCGGCGCTCCCCTTCCGAGATTTTGCGCTACTTCTATATCTGGAAAAACAATCAGCTTAGAGTCGAAAACGAGGCTGTTCGTCAGCATCACCCGCTAGTCACGCCTTACTCCCGCCAGCCCAAGACCCTTGGCCCTCCCTCCTTAGGCAAGATCAGATCCGCTGGAGATGATCGCAAGGAAAATGACAGTGCCTCCGTCTATGGCAAAGCCACCGAAGGGGAACACCATTTTACTTGCGCGACATGTTCAACAAGGCTTGGCGAAATCTGGTGGAAGTGCCCTCGAACTGTTCCGGGAGAAGCCATGTGTAATGTCTGCGGGTAAGTCCATACCGCAATCCACTTGGCGTTTCTGACTATGCTTCCAGCTCGAATTACCGAAAGTATGGAGTGATAACATACTCGCGATCGGAGGATAGCAAGAGGATTGAGCGGAAGGACAACAGTCTCAAACGAGTCAAGGTGGGTGACGGTGGTGGTGTCGGTGGGAGAGGCGCAAAAGCCTCGATCAGCATTGACGGGGTTGCCCAGAACCGAGACATTGACGTGGCACAACGTGGTATCGTCTCCACGTCACGGCCACCACAGCAACTATGTTCGTGTTGCCGCCGAGGCGATCCGAAGCGTCCGCTCTACCATTGCAAGAACTGCGGCATCGTAGTCCATTCTGGCATGTCTTCGTTCAGTATGAATTGAATCTCGCTGACACTTGTAGATAGGCTGTTACGGGATCGATCCAGAAACAGCGACTGAAGGGTGGCAGTGTGAGCTATGTTCAAACTTGCAAGCGGAGGAATATTGTTTGGTATGTCCGAGGCGGAAGCATGCGAGCGAACTTCATCTGATCACAAACAGAATGTACGCTGCGTCTTATGTCCCGTTGACCCGGCGCCTTTCAAAATCAAGCACAAGCAATTGGGCGCTTTCGACTGGCTTTCGGCATATAAGCCAACCGAAGGTCGAAGGTGGGCACATCTACTATGCTCTATTTGGGCACGTCCAGTCAGATTCACTAGTACTGCAACAATGAGTAGAGTGGAAGGGATCATGAGCATGACACATGAGCAAGAGCTGGATTGTGCATATTGCGGGGCGAACGATGGTTTTGTATCGAGTTGCAATGATTGTGGGTCGCCTTGTCATCCCTCTTGCGCGTGGCTTGCCGGGCGCAAACTAGGCTTCGAGTTCACTTTGGTGAGTCGCGACTGGGATCTCTCTCAAATGCACTGTGTTATCATGGGTTTGATCCAATTACTGATAAGTCAACGAAGGTGAAATTGGGGCGGTCCAACAGCGCAGCCACAATCGCCAAATTCAAGGATTCGGAAGGCATCATGGCGCCGGGCATATGGTGTAAGAATCACGATCTCCAGGAGCGGAATATCTACGACGCTTTTGAGTTTGATGTTGACACGAACGAGGTGCGTGATCTGCGGACTGCGACAATTGGCGATGGTCGTTGACATAGAACAAAACTAGATCGCTCTTCAGACGTACGTGTCTACGTACAAAGGTATTCCACCACAGTCCGCTTTCCCTTTGTTGCGTAAGGCAAATCGATTGGATGCTGTGATCGCCGCTTCTACAGAGAGGTCTCAAGACGAAACTACGTGCCTGTACACATGTGTCAATTGCGGCATCTCTGCTAGCCCTTTCTGGCACGAAGTGTATGGAAGACAACAAGCATGTCACCTGTGCTGGTGCAAAGACAAGCTCAGAGTCGCCGATTGCGGTTGACTATCGGTCAGTCACTCACTTGTACACGTTGGTATAGACTTGCATCACACGTAAAACATTCGCATCCGGTCCATGTTACATGCACATGTCACAAGGTGACTACTACAATACATCTTCCTGGCATGAATATGCTTCCCCTTCGACTGGAGTGGAAAGTGAGACTGTATCTACACATACAGCACCAACGCTCGTAGATGCATGCATGTACAATTCATGCGAGATGTCAGTCTGCAGGTGGCTCAAGCACGAGTCCACAGTAGTCCGGGACAGAGGTTGTTGATGCCTTGATATCACATGCATTTATTTCAGCCTGCCGGGTAATGACCCTCAGATGACCTCCTCCGTCTCATCAATCAACTCCTCCACCCATTCTTCAACCTTTGCCTCCTTGTCATGGTCCACGTTCACCTTAGACCTGACGCGGCCCCTCTCTTGACGTTCATTCTCGAGAGTCTCGTTGTTAATGAGACGCCAAGCATCCCACTCAGCAACGTCTCTTCTGCGTTGAGCCAGTTTCTCAGCACTCCCTCGATTCTCCTCGGCAGCGTCCTCTTCGTCGAATTGTCGTGAATACTCTCTGAGCTCTTTGCGAACCTTCTTGATCTGTTCCTTCTGCAAGAGTGAGGAAGGGCGAGGTCGCCAGAGGAATTGCTTGAATTGGTCACGAGTCTCGTGCACAAGCTGCTGACCCTTGAAATCCCAAATACAGAAACCGGGCTCAGGCTGAAGGGACGATCAGTCCTTGAACAACTGAACAAAGAGATTGCCGTCTTGACAACAGGATATGATAAGACTTACAGATTGCCTCCAAGTCGAAGCGGACGTGGAGATGTATCTACCGCTGGGATCCCAAGCGATATCAGTGACACCGAAATGATCGCCTGTGCCGAGCATGGTCACATTCGCCCCTGGCTCAATTGCTTCACGCCGCTCATCGATGCTAAAATCAAGATCCCAGAACTCGATGTCGAATTTGCTCGGGGAGCCTATAGTGGCCAACGCAATATGACGACCCTTGGGAGACCAGACCAAAGTGTTGGCTATCTTGTTGTCAAGATGTTTAATGAGCACAAAGTCGCCTTTCTTCTGGTCGAGTTGATAGAAGTCAATGCTGTACTTGGCTGGAGCTGTCTGATTGTTGATATCGGGGTTTAAAACGATGGCAAATCGATGACCGGCTGGTTCCCATGCAAATTGGGGGACATATTCTGAAGAGGGACATCAGCCTTCGCACACGGGATACGAATGAGACTAGTACCTTTGAACTCGAGCACTTCTACGGGGTAATCCTTTTCACGCATGCGGAATATTTCCAAGTTGCAGAATGTCGCCTTCTTGGACTTCGCTTTACGAGCATGTCGATCAACTTTGACACAAAGATAATCGCCTTGTCCCTGCCAATAAAGCTTGCACTGATGTCGAGATAAGTGAACAAGTCCAATGTGGAAGAGAAGGTGACAAACTCACGTCGGAAACATTGAAAAGATTTTTCGATCTCAATATGGCCCGGCTGGGGAGCGCCATGAGGTTGACCCGCGCGGGTTGATTCTGGGCTTCGGGAGTCCAATAGGCCAAAACGCAGTCTTTCCCTTTCCCTTCCTTCTTTGCCTGAAGATCCTTGGTGCTCATGGGGCACCATTCGAAGTCTTGGACGCCATCGATCTTAACACTCTTCTTGTCCAAGAGACCCATGCCCGGCAGTTCATAAACAGATATGCCAGTGTTCGTGTTGCATTTAGCAACATAAGCATCGTCAGGGGACCATTTGAAGGCAGGCCAGGTCACTCGAGAAGAGCCATCATCGGACTTGTCGCCGGGGAATGTTCGCAGCACTCGACAAGTTTTGATGTCCCAAATGACATACTGGTGGCCTTCGTCGTCCGGGCCAAACGTCTCTCGAAGGGCAGCATTGGTATGGTTTTCGTAATTGGGTAGGGGGTCTTCAGACCACGTGACAAGATAGTTTTCGCAAGGAGAGAATTGGATCAGGCGAACATTAGGATGGGTAAAGCGCAAGACATTGACGCCGATGATACCATCCAATTTAGGACCCGACCACAAGGCGACACCGACACGGTGGAGAGATGCCAGATGGGTGCCGAGCGGCGACCACTGTAGATAGAGTTCTCCCCATTTCTGCTCATGAATCAGTAATTTTCCGAATAAGTGTAGCGATCACATACGCTGTTCTTCACAGGTCTGCCATCCTGTCCTTTGACGCTCTCTGCGATGCCATTCCTGCCATTCCACAGGACGCTCACATCATTGTTCTGGAAAGTGAGGTACTGATCACGACCCTGGCCATCACCGAGCCAGCTTCGAAGATGCTCCTGTCGTTATCTGTCAGATATATTCTTACGAAATGATGTACGAGGGACGCACCTTTTCGATGTATTCTCTTTCCCTCCATCCAGTAGGAAGCTCTCCTTCCCCGACCGGCAAGTGGGCGAATTTCTCGATGTCACTGAAATGATTGACGCTAAGGATGTGCTTTCCGAAGGACAATCCGTCGAGAGCGCTGAAGGCAATAGCGGCTTCGTGTGCATCGGGATAGGTGAGAAACAAGAACCTGAGCAGCGACCAATAGTCAGCAAGGATGACGGGCCAGAGTGCTGAGGAACGTACCCTTTATTAGTGCCGGCAACCTTATCCCACGGCATATTCACATTGTCGGCACCAATCTCAGCGCCTGCTTTCTTGAAAGTACTGATTAGTCGATCCATGAGACGTTCTCTTTTCGAGTCGTCTACAACGGGGATGCCGTCGACGACGAGAACGGTCTCAAAGCCCTTCTGGGTGCTGACAGCGTACCTAAGAACGTCGATGCGTTAGCGCGTAAGAACGACAAAGAGGAGAGTCGGCGCACTGCTCCTCGATCTCATCGAAGGCGGCTTGCAATTCTTGCTGTATTTCAAGCTGTTCCTCGTCGGAGAAATCTGCGAGGTCTTGAGCGGACATGGCGGTCGTTTGGGCGTCTACAGCGAGATTGCAAGAACAAAAAGAATCACAACGCCCGCGCATCCGGAATTATACGGCGTTAGTGAAAACCGCAGTGGCACTGGCCACAGCGAAATCTGAGTCCGTGGGCTGGCAAGCGGCAGCGCATGATGACTAGTAGTATGCATGCATGTGGCATGCGGAGAGATGCGAACCACTGTTGAGCTTGGGGACATGTCACAAGCTGGATACGCGTGCCAAGACGCATCACATTCGCAGTTAGACAGTTCCGCGGGCGCGAAATCCAATATGTAACATCCAGGCAGCATCACGAGTCAAAAGTCCGGTACCAGTACAAACTATCATATAATCAGACCGTAGCCATTACACAGCCCTCTTATGGGGAGCCCGCTCTCTCATTGAGTCTCCGCCAACGCCCTGATGCTCTTCAAGCTGTTGGCAGCATGCTCCTTGGCTTTGATGATTACGTCTATGTGCTCTCCTATCAAAGCGACCACAGTATCTTGGAGGAGAGCTGTTTTGTGGCGAAGCTCTTGGTAGCTGAATTAGATGTTAGCCTATTCCGAGGATACGTGTGCTCAAAGCAATGGGCCTCACGCTATTCTTGTACTGTCAAGCTGCGAAGAAGTGGACAGAACGCCCTGTTGGCTAGCCGCCAACATGTTCGTGACTTCGGTTTCCAATTGAGCAATTACTTTGTTGGTATCGGCACTTTCCGTGTTCAGTTGCTAGACAGATAGTGAGCATCAAGTTCGATTTGTATTGCGTCACCCACGTCATGCGCATCGTCTGCTTGTTGGTGCACAATCTTGAGCCTGACTTCCAGATTTCCAACTTCTTCTTTCTGCCTTTCCACACCCTGGCCTAATTTGTCGTATTCGTCTTCCAAAACAATTGCACTATTTCCCACTTCCAGAGCCACTTGTCGATACATCTCTCGGCACGTCTGCAGTGATTGCCAGAGAGAAGATCGCATATTTAGACCAGCCGCCTTGATCTCTTCCAGTTCCTCGGCGCCCAAGTCCAGGTCAATGACAAAGTCGGCAGCGCCAGTGAAGGTGGATGGAGTCTCGGAAGGCGCACTCATAAGCCCAAGCTGATGCGCAAGAGCGTTGTAGTCGGCAAGTAATGCTTCAAACCGATCCATCGATCTTGTCACCATCATCTCTTGGTCGTAGGCAACTTGGCTTGCCTCGGCTATCTTGTTGCGCAATTCGTCGAGATTACGCGACAAGGTATCGCGTTCATGATTCATACGGCTGACTTCGTCGGGGCTGAGGTTCTGGGCGTTGACGGCTTGTTCAATTTTGGCCAGATCCATGCGGCGATTGTCGAGTTCATGCTCTGGTCTCAGACGTGAGCATTGACTGTGTCTCCATATTGCGCTTTCTGCTTTGGCTCTTAGACGTAGCAACTCACCTTGGCTCTCTGCGATTTCCTTCACTTTCATTACGCGTTGGTGCACCTTGTCTACTTTTTGACGATGTAGATCCAAGAACGAGATGAATTTGGTCTTGTCACCCATCAGTTGGACATACTCGTCTTCCAGACGCTTGAGAGGTGGCTATGTGCTCGTCAGTCAGCAGCTGTGATACTGACATTCGTCTCTTAACATACCTCTTGTGTCTGAAGTTGCTGCATCTCAACGTCATATCTTTGTATCTGAGTTTGAAGCCTCTGGCATTCTCCCACAGAGGCCGCGGCTAGTCGCTCTACAAATATGATCAGCGACTGACGCTCAGAAGAAATGTGATCTAGACTTACTGTACGCCTCCTCGAGTTTCTGTTCAGCCTCCTGAAACTCTTCTGCTTCTCCGTCGAACCACTGGGCGTAGGTGGTGGAGGAAAAATCCCATAGTAGGCGATCTTCTATGCCAGGAAAGTCCAGGGGTAATTCAGAGGCTGGAAGCTTGAGAAAATCAGTCATACAGTCCGGGTCGTCCCATCGATCCAGAGCCTGATGATGTTAGTAAAGGATTGATAGCAGAGTCGCGCTGCCTGACCAAAAAAAAAGGCCCACCTTGCATAGATCGGCTAGCCAGTTCAACATCGCGAGCATCACAGGCCATGACTGAGGAGCACCCGGAGCAGTCAAGGCAGTCTTACTGACAGTCTCCAATCCAGGGTATTTGAGATCCTTCAATACAGTCAAAGTATCGTCCTCAAACTTTTTGCTCCAAGGAGCACCGGGATCAAGAGAGTTGTTGATTAGAAACTTCAAGATCGACTGAAACTCTTTTGCTGTAGGAGACGTCAATGTCTTGGCAGTAATAGGTGCCGGATAGTGAGCAGACACAAGGTAGTCGCTGACGTTGCGCGCGCAATTCGCCTGAAAGGTCTTGTCTCTGACTGGACGATTGTCCCGACTTGTGGACGAATAAACACCAGGAGCGAGAGAAGCTCGTCCTTGAGTACTGGAAGCAAACACGGAACTCCTTCTGAAAAATCTATTGAGCACCGATACCAATTGGAAGGGCGACAACGACAGGGGAACTTACCTCCCTGGCATCCCTCTGCTCGTTTGCGGGGTCCGGCCATAGACGCCCCCATCACCCTTTGCGCCGCTGTGAAGAAGGTCTCTCGAATCGATTTGCTTGCTAAAAAGTGCCTGTGAGTAAAGAGATCTGATTGTAAGCAACGCTACTCACTTCATAGCGCTTGATCCAGTCACAGAGATGCGTGTTTGACCAGGAGCTATGGACTGACGAGCAGGACCGAGCCGGCTGAGTTTCTTCGTAGCGGAAGCGAGCACAGCATATTGGTCTGAAGACACTCCTCGGTTCCTGTAGTCCATAGCGTATGCAGTAAGATGGGATATAGGCCGATGGTGGTAGAGAAAAGGAATGTTCCCGCCACTGTACGCGCCGCGTCCAAAGACTTGTTGACATCAAAAGTAAGTAAGGCACAAGCGGAGTCAAATAATTTTTACGTCCAGAGGAGCACACTGCCTGCTGGGCGTGCTGCTGCAACAACTCATTCGCTCAGTCTTGTGCGGTGTCCACCCAGGGAACATGTCAGACCATCGACACAGACCAACTCTCAAGCAAGCCAACAAAGGCTTCAAGTCAAAACACGCCTCAAAAGGCTCCATCAAAGCGGCATCGAAAGGTGAGAAGCTCTGCCTCCACTGTTCTCCTATGATTGCTTACGATAAGCAGGTAAACCCGCCAGTTCTGCCCACCCACCCAATTCGAGCAAACATGCCACCACATCCTCGAAGCAGGCGAGGCTCAACAGCAATGCTCAAAAGCGATCTTCCAAGCACAAAGCGACTGCACAGGACCTCAAATTTTTCTCCACTGCAAGCAACGGCGGTAAGCAATTGACAACAAATGCTCGTTCATTTCATGCCGCTCAAACTTTCACAGGCCATGCTCCCCGGGTCGTAACTGTTGTGCCTCTTCTTCCATCTTTGTCTCCCAAGTGTTTTCTGGAAAAGCTGTTGCCATGTCTGGGTCTCTCTGAGGACGAAGTCCAGCACGCACGTACCGGTATCCCAGAACAGGGCACTTTCGTCGTGCGAGCGCCCCGTTTCAAGACGACACTGCAAGTCAATCTTCTGCCTTCATTGTCTCTCTACCCTACATTGGATTCCGCGCTTGTCAGCGACTATGTGGTACTTTTGTTGAGCAGTGTCGACGAGGTGCAAGTGGAAGGCGAAACTGTTCTGCGATGTCTTCAGGGCCAGATTGGTACTCGAGAAGTTATCTCGTGTGTCCAGGTGAGTTCTGCTGTGCAGTGACCGAATTGTAAACTCACTATGTCTAGGCGCCTGCAAGCAACCCCATCACCCGCGATACTAAACAGCTCATCCATAAATCTCTTCTGTCATTCTCTCAATATTTCTTTCCAAAGGTCGCAAAGATTCACAGCTCCGATACCTCGGAAGAATCAGCTCTTCTTGCCCGAGCACTCTGCGAATCTACACCAAAAGGAGCTACTCGAGTTGATGGGCGTCCTTATCTGATTGCTGAATCCGCACAAGCGATTGGATGGGTGCCCAATGACGATATCTCGGAGGATGGCGAAAGTGTGGGGCAACTTTCAGTCTTTGGAACCGTTAGAGGGGGGGGGACTTTGAGCGCTGACCGCCTTGTTCATATCCCGGGACACGGTGACTATCAACTCCTATCTGTAAGCCCATCTAAGACCAGTTATGATACGCGCTCACGAAGTAGATCCATGATGCCCCATTACCGAGCCGCGCCTCGCATGATGATCGCTTTACTATCTCTCAAAATGTTCTTTCTTCACCTTCTGCGGATGCCGATGATCTAGTCAGCACCAATACTCCGGATATCTCGGGCAATGAACAGACTTGGCCCACCGAGGAAGAAATGGCTGGCTCTGCCGATTACGACATGAATGCACCTTCTGGTGCGCCCATCGCCGTGAAGAGGGTACCAAAAGGCACTAGTTCCTATCAAGCTGCTTGGATCGTCGACGACGGAGAGGGCATGGCAGAAGGATCCGAAGAAGAAATGGAGGATTTGGAAGCATCAGAGGACACGCGTGAGCCACATCGAGATCTTGACCCGGAACAAGAAGAACAGGAGTGAGTACCGTTACCTGCTCCGTCCCCTCATCAACCAAGTTCGCCGCTGTTGCTTTCAAACTGACAACCACTCCCAGGTACAACATGTTCATCCAACGCAAAGCCGATGCCGACCAAGACTATTCTTCCTTTCCGGATGAGGTTGACACTCCTCGCCACATTACCGCGCGCTCTCGGTTCCAGCGTTACAGAGGCCTCAAGAGCTTCAGAACCAGTCCCTGGGATCCGTACGAGGACCTGCCCTTAGATTATGGAAGGATATTCCAATTCGAGGACTATAGTGCAACAAGAAAGCAAGCCTTAGAAGAATGCGCCCATGACGGGGTCGAGGTATGTGCGCCTTTGCACAAAAATGAGCTGTTACCTGATCAACTTGCAGACTGGCACTCGAGTGCTGTTGACCATCAAAGATGTTCCTCGATCTATAGTCGACTCTTCTTTACCTCTGATCATATACGGCCTTTTGCGACATGAGCATAAACAGTCTGTGCTCCATTTCGTAGTCCAAAGAAATACCGAGTACAGGGATCCGGTTCAAGCAAAAGTGAGGCTTCAATGGCTATATCTGTTTTCAGTGTTGTATTTACGTTGTTTTAGGATGATTTTCAACTTTGCCTGGGACCAAGAAGATATCTGGTCAATCCATTGTTCTCACAGCATAGCGGAAGCAAGGGCGTCAACAATGTCCACAAATCGGAGAAGTTCATGAAGCCTGGTATAGCCACGGTCATGAGCATATTCGGTCCTATCTGGTTCGGACAGAGCGGATGCCTGTTACTCAAAGATGATGGGTCAACCGGCGGTACGTCTAGCTTTTGCATTCTCTCGTGTATGACTGACCCATCATCAGTACCGAACCTTGTTGCCACAGGGACTTTCATGTCGTCTGATCCCACGCGTGTCATCGCCAAGCGCGTGATCCTCACCGGACATCCGGTCAAGGTTCACAAAAAAACGGCAACCATACGATATATGTTCTTCAACCGAGAAGATGTGGAGTATTTCAAATCAGTCGAGCTTCATACTAAATATGGCAGAACTGGGCATATCAAAGAGTCGCTGGGGACTCATGGGTATTATAAAGCTCACTTTGACGGGCCTATTCAGCAAATGGATACCATTTGCATGAGTCTATATAAACGGCAATATCCGAAGGTACGTCTCATAACCATATATCTATGCGTGGAGTGACTCAGCTGATCTGTTGCAGTGGTCTAATATGCTGAAAAAACCTATATGAAGGATACGTTTCGCCTTCGTACTGCGTGATGCTGGCGGGGATCGGGCTTTTGTGTATCCATGCATGAGTGGATTTGTTCCATCAAAGAAAGTATGAACCATGCATTGGGTTTAGATGAGAGAATTCAGTGTATTGAATTAGAGACCTGCATATTGACCAATGTCGAAAGCACCGTATGAGCTTGGTGGCGTCTAAGAGAGCTGTACTCGTATTTGTACGTTAAATCTGGGTCTGTCCGTTTGGACTGTATTGATGTCTAGGTCAGAACTGAAGAATGTGGTGTGTCAACGTCAGCGTGTTTTGCAATGTGAAGTAGGAACCCACTGAGAAACTCAGGAACCAGGGATTCAGGGCGAATGGATAAAGTAGATGTGAGGCTGTGAGAATTCCCATAGGGACATAAACCTCGATGTTATGTACTCGGAATCCGGAGGGCATTAGGGGAGATGATGTGACAACCATCATGGCCTACAACAAAGTCAGCAGCATCAATTTGACTGATAAGTCGACCTACGGCACATGCGGAGAAAAAAACCAGTTGGGGCCAGAATCGTCGCCATATGATAGGAAGTTGCAAGAAGAAATTACTTTTCTCCACCGTTTTGATGGTTGTGGACCATCTGACTCAGACATCAGCTTTGTATCGCCCGTGATGGTCAAGGATGCAATGGCAAAACTCGCGTCATGTTATACCCGACTAAATGGCTGAACAAAGCGGCCGACATGGGCATCGACATGCCTGTGAAGAAGATTGAAAAAAAGGCTGCCTTGATTGTGAGCATACATGATGAAGGATGGGTGTTCAGAGATGCCACTCACGGACCCATTTGATTTGGTCGAAAGCGAGCTTGGAGCAATCTGGAATCTTCAGGCGATATCGCAGGACAATGAAAGCTACATTACACAATCCCACAAAAAGGATGATGCAAACCAGATTTACTTCCCATGATGGAAGATCTACGTGCCAGTGTTACGGTTGCCGGAAGACAGATCATTTTCGCTTCGACTTACAGTAACCATCGACGGGGACTGTGGTTGTCGTCAACACATATATCTTCTGACCAACATCTATCGCAAAACTCACGATCGAAGCCAGCGATGAAGTAATTTGCGACTGACAAGAACCATGCGCAGGCAATGGCATAGTAGGAAAAGATGTAGCCGCAAATGGTGAATTTAGAATGTACAGCGATGTTTGACCATACGAATTGTTTGAAAAGGGGTGTGATTGGACCTTTATACAACCAATGACGAATAGGATGAAAGAGCAATTCACTGCAGAAATAGGGGTAAGTATCCCACATCTTGTGTAAATCATCGTACTCACGAGCACCCAAATGCGTATTTCTGCCACCTATTCAGCTCGTCATCGCATGTTAATGAGACTCCTTCTTCGAATTCGCCTCCACTATAAGTCGCCCATCGTACTGTGTAGCCCTTGCAGCAGGAGTCAATAGTGGCCAAAGCTGGCGGGCGATACATGGCGCACTTACCCGCATTTGGAGCGTCACGGCAATCTGAAAATCTTCCGAGACATGATCCTCCGACCATATCTTGCTGACGCCGTCGTCTGGGTCAATCGACATACATTCTTGCAGTGCAGACCAGCGAAGAAAACTTTTGTGCGTCAGTTTCAGGCCTATTCATTCTTCGGAATAGCAAGCTCACGCATTATGTCCGACAAAGGGAGCCACTGAAGGTGATGACTTGTCATTAGTGCTGACGCTCGCATCCTTATCGACTGAATGTCACTCACCCTCTCCGCTGGCACAGCAGTAAGAGATAGCGTGCTGAATGCCTCGTGTGAAATGTGCAACTCCATTTTCGAAAAAATGGTTGGCCACTTGCATCACACCAGACATGTGTTGAATGATTGCGACTTCCGGGCTCTCTTTCATTTCAGTGACGGCGTCGGCAAAACAATCTTCAGGGACTCTCGTGTCGGAGTCAATGATGAGAATGATTTCGCCAAATCGTATATTGCCTTCAGCCCAAGCCTTTCCCTTTTTCTCTGCAAGGGCCATCTCCAACGCGTGCTCGTATATCTTGTTTTCGTCGATGTCATTCCAAGGATGGTCCACAGGGTTGACTGGGCGGGTGTCATCCATGAGCTCTTCAACTCTGAGAGAGAGAGCGGCCGCAAAATTCATATTTCCTGCCTTTTTGAAACGCCCTTTTCGCACGAATCCATCCACTCCATGGCCGGGTCTCGCAACGAATGCTATGCTGTTGTTGAAATAGAATCGACGACGGCGGTCGGCTTCAGCTTGAGAAAGAAGCTGCAAGCCATCGTCACAGACCAAGATCCCCACGGAACCACCTTGTCGCTCGTAGGTGGTGATGGCTTTCTTGAGAGACTCAATGGTTGGCATGATGACTTCCTCTAGAGACTCCTGAATGATATGACATGAGCATTATCCTAAAGGGTAGGTTGGGCTTACCTTGTACACGGGCAACTGTACTGTGACATGAGGTAAATCGCCCATAGTACGCTTGGGCGCGATACCACTGAAATATCTAGATTTTTGAGTGACTTGGCGAATGGGGCCGAGAATTTGGAACTGGCGTACGAATATCAGCATAGCGGTGACACCCAAAGCATGACTCACTATGGATCCGATCACACACATACAGGCATATGACGCAATGCAAAATAGTGGCGGAGTGAAGATGATCAATGAGAATCTGGTCGCTTTGCCATCCAACGTATATTCCTTGACAAGAGTACCTGCTGAAATCAGCTCCACGATCATAGGCTCAACCATAGAGATAGAATGAATACGACTCACGAAGACCTAAACCAATCAAGGTCATGACCAAGATCAAACTGAGGGCATCAGATAGAGGCGCAATGAGCATGACTGGCCGCTCGCGCCAATGATCTTTCATTTGTTGGACGCTCGGGTCTTCATCTCCGGTTTCGTTGTGATAAGCTAGAGTGATATCCTCAAGCGCTGGAATGATAGGGCCGACCAGCTCGGATTTTTCCGATTCCCCGACTCCATCCCTTTGTGGTGGAGAACCCTTCCGTTTATCCACGTCTAGGAGAAGGATTTGGTTGTGTTTGGCATTCTCTGCTTCGCCGCGCCACACAAAGTGCACAAGCGACTCTTCCAATGTTTCGGCAGCAGCAACGATCATATCGACGTCATCTGCCCAGACACAGAGGGCTCTTTCCGATCGAATGAACGCGGCATATTGATGCTTCCTAGCTCGAGCCAGCAATTCGATAGAGTCCAAAATTTGTATGCGTGTATTCTCATCGATAACGAGCTCGGACATGGAAGGAAAAGGGACGCTATGTAATCGATGAGAACGTGGGTTGTGAATGTAGATGATTGACTCACATATATGTAGCCATTATACAGCTTACTATATCTGATCTGATTTTGATGCCTACCTGTAAAGCCGATGTGAGTGGCCAGATCACATTGTCACGATGCGAGACGAAACGTACCTCTGGATTCAGACGTGACATGGCGGCTTCGAATGGGGCTAGAGCTTCGTGTCCCACTGGGAATGTCCTGTATAGGCCGGTCTGAGCTCTGATAGTGACACCAGTCGCTATTGAGTCATGTTTTGACCCCATCTTGGGGGCTCTGAACCACTTCTTGCGCTGAGCGCCAATTCGAAAGATGTGATCTCCCATGACATCGAGGGCATCAAAGCCATCGCCGACCGGAACGGCGAAAGACTCACTCCCGCGTCGATCAATGAAGCCTGGCTGGGTCTGCAATACAGATGAGTCGAGCAAAGACGGCGAAACAATATCTGTCGACGCGAGTCCATTTTGAGCAAAGCGATTGAAGGAATTCAAGTCATCGTCGAACTTTTGCATCCCCTTCCGCGGACGTCGACGGCGTTCCTGCCCTTGTGCAGACCGTCGTTGGTGGTTATAAGCAGAGACCGGTATCTCTACAGCGGGCGATATGACAGGAGAGGAGCTTGACCTGCTTTTGCCTTGTGAGATCTGCGCCAGCCCAACGGTATCATAGACCCCATAGGGCTCTGGATCGTCTTCTTCACTTGACTCATCGATCGTCAACCGCACATCGTAAAATGCGTCATGAGCGCTGGATTCGAGGGCATTTTGTGGTATCGCGCCGCGTGGACAAGAATCACTGCTTTCACCGACAGATAGTCTTCCTGACCATGCAGGGACGATGTTCTGGGACAGTCTTCTCCCGGTCGTAGTTGTCTGTTCTTGACCATGAATAGTAGGTATATTGGTTGTAGGATCGATGGGGGAGCCCGAGGGTGGCTGTACAAGCCCGATGGCAGCCAGACCGGGGAAGAGAGAGCGCCTTCGGCGAGATGCAGTGCTTGAAAGTGCCATAGCTTAAGCTGGTAGCGTGGTATGCCACACAGAATTAGCGGTCACTATGTAGAAAGGTAGCAGACCGGTAAAGTAAAGTACGACTTACAGGTTGTTTTTGGCCAATAACGGAGTGTATAGACAGGATAAAACGAATGCCTGATGCTTTCCTTCGTCACTTAGCCTTCTTCGACAGAACTCTGAGCTCTGGGCAGTAGGAGTGCCAGAAGTCGTGTGGCCAGACAGTCGTTATGTATTTCGCAGTCGAAGTTGAATGGAGAGTTGTTGCCAAAGAAGATTGAGAACTTGGAACTTTGAAGCGTGGGCGTGCAGGGGCGGGGCCTTACAATGAATACTTCGCTCGCGGATTTATTTGAATCTCGAGGAGTAAATAACATGGGCTTAATGATAATGGCTGCATTTGTAGAATTCCTAATCATGGCCATGGCACGTATTCACAACATATGCCTCGATATCTCTGGCGGATTGTGGCACAGGGTCAGAGGTGCGAGGTGAGCTGGGAACTTGCAGCTGCTCAAGCGGTCGAGATGGCCGGACAGATAACAGATCACAGATCACAAGCCACGGGCCACCCACAGCCCACAGGCCCCACAGGCCTTATTGCAGGGCAGGGCACAGGGCCCACAGGGAATCACGGAGCTATTTGGGATCGGCCGATCGACAACTGCCTATCGGCAGTATGTACTGGTCTGTGGGCTGTGGGCTGGAGTTTGTATCTGGGGTCCGGGGTCGGCCGGGTATGCATGCTGCGCACCCGCCAGGGAGCGGTACAGCATGGGCGGGGAATCAGCCGAAGGGCACGCGCCAAAGCCTGGGTGAGTACTACTTGTACATGCCGCTCACTGCTGATCGCTGAGTAGAATTCGGGATCCGGGCTCCGGCTCGGGAAATAAGGACCAGATCAGGAACAAGGGTCAAAATACCTGAACTACCAGATCCGAAGTAATAATCACCAACAAGCTCAAAAACAAGCTCCAACAACGAAAGTAAGTCTCAAGTACCAAAGTCTCACTCCATTTCAACTTTCAAGTACACCGTCTTGGGCAAGCCTCAAATCTCTTTCACAACCACTAGCCAAGCAGCAGCCAACCCTTCCGCTGCAGCACTTGGCTCAGCCGGCCATACCCAACACCTCATCAAGGCTATTATTTGGAACGTCAGCTCCCTTACCATACGCTTACCATACGCTTCTTGGTAGTGTACTCGGCCACTTCACCATCCACATCACATATAACATCACGTGCCCCAAATTTACGTGTGCGCATCTTGCCAAGCTTGGACCTACTCTTGATAACGCATATTCCGTGAGCTCTACACGTCAAAACTGCACCATCTTGTGACTGACGATTTCCAGCTTTCAGTGGCCGTATCATGGCGTTCTTTCGCCGATTTTCCTCTGCTGCGTCCAGCTTCTTCCCGACCCTTCCAAACGGCCAGGGCATCCCGGCATCACATATCCCTCGCCGTCCTACAGAGTCGTCGCAACAACACTCCTTGGCGGAATCTGAAGACGAGAAATCATCACGAGCATCATGGGAGCTGTCTGATGCCGCCTCTCTCTCGAGTCGTGGAGCATCATCGGCGACTGACTCCTTTGACAGCTCGTCCAAAGAATCACAGAGGAAAAGTCTGGCTGCCTCAAGCAGCGGCTACTACTCCAGTAGTGACGATGGCGAGGATGATCTCCCGCGAGACAGATACGACATGATGGTACGACATCTATGGAACGTGGGCGATAGGGAAGGCTGGTTTAGAACCAGCTTCTCTGATGGCATAGTGTCGATCAGGTGAGGGTGTATGTTTTGGTGGTACACAAAGCTGACACCCGTCAGGGTCAAGAAGAAGGTGTTCAGGACGTTCCCACAGCCCAAAGCAAGCACCAAAAAGGCCCGTGAAACCAGCCGTCGCCTCAAGGAATGGGACTCAGCGATATCAACCTTGAACCCGGAGGTTGTCATGAAGATCACAAGTAAAGTTGTGCAAGCCATCATGGCGAGATGGTGAGTGCAAAGTGGTATGGTAGACACATGACTCACTGTCCTTTGCGCATAGTGACGATTCGGCTATTGAAATCACACTCGATGTCAACACTCGCATCCAAATCCTGGACGATCTTTCCCAGCTAGCAGGCGCTCGAAAACATCAGTTCGCAGCCTTTGTCCGATCTGAATCCTGTTTGGTCGTTTGGGCTGACGAAGTCGAAACACTGATACCGTCTGCCGAAGCTCTGGAGCAGCGAATGATTGCGTATGTGTGGTCAGGAAGACATCAAGAATTCCAACCCCTTGGCGCTGAGGGAGACGAGTCTTCCGACGAGCGAGAGGATGAAGAAGGATGGCTTGACCGAGACGCCGAGAAGGAAAGGGTGTTGGCGGGAGACCTCGAAGATCAGGTCGGAGCCCTGGGAGATGAGTGGGAAATGAGAGACAAAAGGCCAATGATGCTCTATGCCCCCCTGATATCTGGCTTGGCCATGATCCTGACATTTGCTTTCATTGGATCTGGCATACGTGAGTCTTTTCTTGCAATCGTTGCACTTCACGTGGGCAATTCTGACGGTCTTCTTATTGAAAGGCAATCTGATCAAGGAGTTGTTACTGGATGGATCCTACACTCGAATAGCTCTCATTGCATCATCTCCTTTTGGTTACCTTCTGTCCATCGTGAGTAAACCAGGCTCCAACCCAGGTGATGCACTGACATCTCCCGCACAGTTCTTCTCTATCTGCGTGATGGGGAACCTTTGGCAAATGTTTGGGCCGGTCGCCCAGTGTCAGCAGAATTCAGCGTTCTATTCCGGGAAAAGCCCCTCGCGCATGTCTGGCCGACTACCGCACATCACTATCCAGATGCCGGTATACAAGGAGGGCTTGGAAGGTGTCATAATTCCAACCGTCGAGTCCCTCAAGAAGGCCATCACCACGTAAGTTTCTATGACACTTGCACAACCAAACATCATGCTAATATGGGCCACCAGATACGAACGTCAGGGCGGATCAGTCAACATATTTGTTTTCGATGACGGTATGCAGTTATGGGAAGAAGAGGAACAGGAGATCAGAAAGGCCTACTACGATCGTAACAATATCGGTTGGACGGCTCGGCCAAAACATGGCAAGGACGGCTTCATCCGTAAGGGTCGTTTCAAAAAGGTGAGGAGCTCCCATCACTGTCACACATACCCTAACCAGTTGCACAGGCATCCAACATGAATTTTGGCATCCGTTTGTCCCTTCGTGTTGAGGAGATCATGGACGAATTGCGACCCTCAAGCGAGGACAAGTCGGATGATCCCGAATGGGGCTGGACAGACGATGACGAGCGCGAGATCTATGGAGAAGCACTGTCAAAAGTTCTCGAGGAGTCGGACGGAATCGCCTGGGCTGCAGGCAATATCCGCGTCGGTGAATTAATTCTCATCATTGACTCAGACACCAGGGTCCCAGAAGACTGTTTTCTGGACGCTGCATCGTGAGTGATTATGACTTTGACGTTATATCAAGCTCAAGAGACCCTCAGCGAATTCAAAAACTCGCCCAATATTGCAATCATCCAGCATGAGTCGGCTGTCATGCAAGTTGTTGGGCATTTCTTCGAGAACGGAATCACCTCCTTTACAACACGGATCAACACAGCCATATCATTTTGTGCTGCCAACGGAGAAGTAGCGCCATTCGTGGGCCACAACGCCTTCCTACGTTGGGCTGCCATTCAGGACGCCAGTTTCATCGACCCGGACGACGGGCTGCGAAAGTGTTGGTCTGAAAGTCATGTCTCAGAAGACTTTGACCAGGCTCTCCGTCTTCAAATGCGAGGCTGGAGCTTGCGCTGGGCGAGCTATTCCGATGGAGGCTTTCAGGAGGGTGTGTCGTTGACCGCAGATGACGAGGTGAGCTACCGTCTCTTATATGACGCCTCCTACTTATGCTCTGGTCAAGCTCAATCGCTGGCAAAAATACGCCTACGGGTGCTCTGAGCTTCTCTTCCAACCTTTCAGGCTTTGGTTCACCAAGGGTCCCATCACGCCTCTGTTCCACTCTTTCGTGTGGGCTGAAAGCATACCATTGCATTCCAAGATCTCAGTCCTTGCTTATATTTCGTCGTGAGTTTCCCAATACTACCACCATCGAATCATGGACGGACTGGCTGAGTTGAGTGGTGTAGATACTACGCCATTGCTTGCGCAATGATCTTGTCGACTCTGAACTGGGTTCTCGTTGGCCTCTTTGACGACTCCCTCGATCTGTTCTACCTCGAATCATGGCAAGTGTTCCTTACTTGTATCGTAATCTTTTGCGGTCTTTCCAACGTCTCATCCGCCATCTTTCAATACCGTTTGAATACAAATTCCATCGGAAACGCTTTGGTCCAGAATTTCAAATGGATCATCTTCTTCTTCTTCTTCTTCTGCGGAATGTCATGGCATTTGACCACTGCCTTGTAAGTCTTATCATCGTGCATGTCCTGTCCCATCACAGGAATACTTGATAACGTCCTGTAGATGTGCACATCTCACGGGGTACAACATGCAATGGGCTTCAACGGTCAAGGAGGTCGAGCTCTCTCATTTCTTTAAAGAATGGCCTGCGATGTGGAAACGATTCTGGGACATTTGGCTCATTTCATGGGCCATAATTCTCGGAGTTGCCTTCATGGCTTCTCCCATCGTACCTATTGGGTATCGAATGTGGGTCTTACCTCGCATCGACTAAGGAACTGTTCGCTGACGTTTCGAAGAACAAATTTCACTTGCATTCTTCCACTCATGGCTCAGGCTTGTTGCCACTTTCTATACCCAATCGTTCTCAATCCTTGGTGTGAGTTGAATTGTCGCTAATACGACCGGAGCTCACCTGCGCACCTGACGCTACCAGTACTTCTTTTCCAGTTCTGATCGGCTCCGCGTGCTCAATAAAACATATTTTTGTGTCGTCTCCATACATACCCTGCGCTATACCACCTGCACAAATCGCCTTGAAATTGGTATACCGAGTAACCAGCCTGTCGCTACTTCAATGCAAATCTACAACTGATAGCACCTTCATCTTCCTACACTTGCTGTGCGGCTGATCATGTTCCATCAACAAAGTCAGAGCTCCTTGTCAGGACGATCTGGGTCGGGCGTTGTTGCTGAACATTGCACTGCATGAACATAGGACGAGAGAAAGACAACCACTATTCACATGTGTTGCGTGAGGTCGGCCTTATACAACCGATCGCTCGACTTTCACGGCGATGCCACCAACGCCAACGCTGCCATGCGAAAGCGGTGGAAACTCTGACCTGGATTCTAAACCCTGAAAACATTTCTCGCTGACATCATCCCTCACTACCCCTTCAGCATGACTAGCAGTCACTGCGGGTACAACCTTGGAGCCAAGATTCAGGGGTCGAGTGCCGAAAGCCGGCTCGAAACTAATATCTTGATCAGCTGCTATATCATTGCTGGTGACCAAATGAACTGACCTTTTTTGCTTCAATCCAATCTTCTCCATCCACAGCACCACCCGCTCACCAAAAGCCAGATATTCTACGATGGCCTCTTCACCGAACCCAAAGAACGTGAAGAAAAGGATCGAGTACAAAATAGGGGCGTAAATAATGAGAACCACTGTCACCCATGATGAGGCGAACAATTCTTCGGGAAACTGTGACACTTGTCCAAAATCCGAATGGACAGAAGACCAGCTGGTATAAGGCTTCATTGGGGATGAGTCATCAGTCAAGGCACTGACAGACGAGTAGACCACAGCCACAAGAACCACGGTACTATCAGTCACGGCCAGAGCGATGAGTCGAATATAACGACTGATGGACAGATTGGAATCTGAAGCAGCCAATATCGTGCGAAATTGTAGACGGCGAATCAAAAACCACCGGACGGCCAAAGCTGAAGACAGTAATCTGTCAGCGTGTGTGCTTGCTTGCGGATGACAAGTCCTAGGAGAGAGAAGAGACCCACCGGCAAAGACCAGAGAGCTCACCGACAGAACGATGGGGATGACGTAGCGTATGATAAGTCCAGGTGCAGACATGAAGGTAGGATTGTTACACCCGATGCTTTCGATTATATCGTACCGATGGCCTTGGACAACATACTGCAGGACCACAAGAATGACTGGGCAGACGATGCACAGTATGACCTCTTCCCATATTCGTTTGGTGCGGGATCCAGCTGTGATGACAGAGCGGCGAGTGGAGGCCACAGACTCAAGCCTCCGCATCTGTGACAGAGAACACAGGGGAACAGCGTGAGCGGCAAGTAGCGACATCCGGCTACCTTGAAAGATGCGTATTCGTCAGTCATCACCGTGATTTTATGACACGAGCTGGACTCACTGATATCGCACCATATTGGGCTTCGGTCTATGTAATCATTGGCCCAGACAAGGGTGTTGACGAACCCCACCAAGTTGCAGATGGCTAACCACAGCACCAGCGCCATCGTAGCAATGTTCTTAGCTCGCCAGTGCCAAGGCGCTGGCAACAACACTAAGACAAGGGCCAGGAAGTTCCAGACGGGATAGTCGGGATGGCGCATGCTGAAGTAAGAGTGGGGACTGGGGGTCTGAGCCTGGATTGTCAGCGGCGATTTCGCAGTCCTCGATGAATAGAAACGCACAGAAGAATAAGGCGGGTGATAAGAGCGCCAAAGATGATGGCGAGTTCGCTGGCAGTGATACGAGTTGGGCACGGATCGGCAGAATGGGCAACGAGCAAGCGAGAAATTAGTGAAAGGTCTGACCAAGATAGAAGGCGCTCTGCGTGAACGAATTCGATGTTATATGTGCGTGATTGCAGCGCATAGTGCCCAGCTACGCTAAAGCTGGTTTGTTGTTGCTGAGGACAAAAGAAAAAGAACAATAAGAAATTGATACAGTTCCAGGAACACAAGGTGAACCCTGATGTCGTGCCTAGATCATACAACAACAGCCCGACTGCCTACTCATTTTAAACTATCGTAAATTCTTGATACTGTGTGCTAGTCATACTACTGTACTCGTACAGCTGTACGCGGGTATGTATACCATCGTACACATTATATATTCAATAGTTCAGTAAATGCACAAATGCATATGTATGATGATAATTTGTGTACAGTAGCCTCTTACGTAATATTCACCTTGTTGCAGCGGCGGCGGCGGCCTCCTTCTCCTTCTGTCAAGCTGCATGCGACATGCGGGCTGCTGTGGCCTGTGACTAAGCTCCATTTGGCATTTCTGAAGCCGTCAGCCACAGAATAGCTGGATTCAGCGCTTACTGCTCTGCTCAATCTACGCATTGCGCACCCGACTTCATTATACAGACCTACCGGCAAGCAAAACCAAAAGCTGCTCTTGATATTACACCACCTCACCAATACCATTTCATTTCCAATCTGGGGGCAATCACCCTCATTACCAGTGCAGCCCCATCTCCGACCGTCTTAGTCACTGATCGGGTCTGCTCGACAGATGCCACGAGCACCCGGAGGTAGATCTGCCTCGTCGAAGGGCCAGCCTTCTACTGGGCCAGCAGCTTCCCACAACAAAGAAGGAACATCGAAGTACGTACATACTACTTTCAATGCCAGAACAAGCACTCATTAAAACGTCAAAGGACATCGGTCATTGGCGATGAGTTTTGTCTACTTCCCATTCCTCGGCTTCACTCTCCCAGGCCCCCGAATGATACTGAAAGGGCTCGCATACAGACTATGGACCGACTCCAATACGTATGCGACTTCCTTCTTTTTCAACCATATGGCTAACGGTTCTTGAATCCCTAGTTCCTCACTACGGCTCCCACACAATGGTCGGGTCCGCAAGCTCAGGTGAGTGGTCAGCGATCACGAGCGCTTCCGTTGACTCAGAGCTTGGTGCCGATAGCAACGCGCTAGCATGGTTCAATTTCCACTGCCAAACGGAGAGAATGTCTCTTGTGTGCTATGGAATGGTCTCTATCATATCTCTGGGACTGATATAGGTATGGACTTAAACCCAATTGATAAAGTAGTAGCTGACATCATACTACGTTCACAGTACGAGCTCTGGCCTTCCGCTTTGAGGCATTTTCCCGTCCAGTTCGCCGCACGCGAAAGTGGGAAGAAGGCGTGTTCTCAGACTTAAGAAATTTGAAAGCTGGCGTGGACGCAACGCTGGAAGGGCCGAAGTTGGTGCACGAGCAATAGGTCTGAAAACCAGAAAGGCTGATGGAAATACAAAGGTCTCCTCTGCTGGATTTTCTCTTTCGTAAAGGCTGTATCAGAACGCAAAAGAAAGTACGCTCTTCGAGTCTCTTCGTCCACAATAATTGTCGTACTAACGATCCACAGCAAAAGGTATGTCTTCCTTACAGGTCATTTGCAAGAGCCAGCCCATCCGACTCACGATATGCATATCACTATCAAGGTATTCTACTGGTAAGCCTGGCTATATCTCAAGCAGAAATTGCGAAAACCGATTCTCGCGAAAGACGGAGTGGAGACGAAAGTATCGATGGGTAGTCGAGTTGAAAGCTGATCACAAAGTAGGTTTTCAGTACCTCATGATCGATTATTTTTGGACGCTTTGGAAAGGGATCTGAAGCGCGAGAAGGCCGGTCAAGAGCCGACATCTGTTGTTGTTGGCGAGCCCGCCAGCAGTTTCAGGTAATTCATCTCAACTATTATGAGAGTGATATCAGATCGCTGACTCTGTCTTCAGATATGATCCACATCGAAGTCTCTACGAGCAATTCAGCAGATATATCTTGGAGCGCAATCCAGTGTATACGGTATGCGGATTTGTCTGGGATGATGCCATCGGCTGACCTGAGTGCTTCGCTTAGAAGTCTCGCTTGGTACCGACGCTTCAGTCTGCTACGGACGCACTCGATACACACGCAGAATCTCGAGCTCTTGATCTGTGTCACTTCGACGTGCAACATGGTGCGCAAGTGTACTCTGCGCCATTAGGCCAGGAATCTATCATTATCTCACCTTCTAGAGATACGATGAACACTAGCCGCCGCCATGGTATCGGTCATGTCATCCCTATGGAACCGAATGTCAGTGTGAACTCAAATTCAAGGCTGCTGGGCCAACGGACATCCCCTGTTCAGGCTTACGAGGCGGAGCCGGCGCCTTCACATGAAGCATTGAGTGCTCGGGCAACACATTCGCGTAAGTGTTACAAGGCCATGAAGATTGCGGGCGGACTTTTGACCCTTGCTGAACAGCTGTAGGCAGCAGAATATTTGACCCTTACCACCACGAGGAGCACCCTCCGTCTGATCAGATATTTCCCCTCCAGGCCCCCGGGCCGTCATCCAGTTTCGGACACGTTTGTCCTTATGATACATGTCGTCGCCCCTTTAAACGCTCGGAGCACTTGCGGCGCCATATCGGTAGCCACACTGACGAACGGCCTTACTCTTGCCTTATCTGTCGGCGAACGTTCAGCCGTAACGACAACCTTCTTCAGCACAGCAAAATCCACTGCAGACGACAAGGCTCAGAGATGAGTCTTGAAAGTGTGACAGCGCATACGGAGAGTGTCAGTGAGGGATACTTGCGCGGAACTAGCCTATCAGTGTACGTATAAGACCATCGGGCACTATCTTCAGCGTCGACACTCTGCTGACACAGTAACGGTAGACCTTGGAAATATCAAGGAAGCCTTGGCGAACAAGAGATGTCCATTGATAACCAACAGAGGGCGGACGAAGGTCGATGTTTTTCTGCGCCTCCAAAGCCGCTAACAAGATAGACACGGCCTAACGTGGCAGCTGGTACAATGCATGATCATTCTTTTCATGGCAAATAATCACAATGTACTCTTCAGCGGCTTCGCAGGGAAGCAACTTTCGATGTCCATGACTCACTTATGTAGGCTCGACAGAGCCAGGGCTGTCTCTCAGTACACACCTTGCGCTGTATCTGTCCTTCTGCCTGTTGTTTCCCTGAAGGATACTGTCTCCTCGGTGCCTCTTCTCACCGGGGCTTCAAACTATCTCCCTTGGGCTGAGACGCTCCAGTTTGCCTTGTCTGGGGTCCGTGGGTGTCTTTGTCTGCTAGACGAGACCCCTGTCTCCTACCTTCCCTCCAAATCGACCCCTACTCCTTACACCACCTCTCTTCCCGCCGCGGTCTGGAAGCACCTCGATACTGCTCTCGCTCATGCTATCGTGCGTTCGCTCAGTCCCGACCTCGCTGCCCTATTCCAATCCATCGTCCTCGGTCATCCCTGTTGCGCCGCCGGGACCCTCTGGCTCAAGCTGGAGGCCGATTACGGTGGTCGATCGTCCTACGACCTGTGGCAGGCTGTCCAGGCCCTCACCCCTCAGCCCCAGGGCTCTACTCCGGTAACCGAGTTCATGACGGCTCGCAAGAACAAGTTCAAGGCCATCAAGGCAGCTGGGTACACCTTCGACAGGTGGTTCCTGGACACTCTCGTCGCCGACCTTGGTCCCCATCTCGGCCCCACTGTTCGCTCTCTCGACTTTTCCACCCTGACCTACGACTCGTTGTACGCTGCTGTTCGGGGGGTCGACGACAGTCACCGTCTGCATGCCGCGCTGCCCTCCTCGTCTATGGCCCTTGCGGCCTCTGTAACTCCGATCGTCCCGTCTGCTGCCTACCCTTGCGACATCTGTCAGAGTCCTGATCATTGGTCCCCCACCTGTCCTGAGCGTAAGGCCCCTGACGCTCTCGCTCGGAAAGAGGCTTCTCGCCGGGCTCGGGCCCAGCGTGCCAAGGTTCCAGGGCAGATTGTGAAGGTGATCGAGTATTCTCGCCTCCCGGCTCTCGCCTCCATCGTCCGCGGCCTGCTCTCTGCTCCTCGTCCTTTTGATTCTGCTCTGTCTATGGCTCCCTCGTCCGCCCCTTGGATCTACGATACTGGCGCCGGTGCCCACATGACGGGTGACGCCTCCTGGGTACAAGGTGTTCGTTCTCCTGCCAGTCCCATGGCGGTCCAGGCTGCAAATCAGGCGTGTCTCCCTGTGTCTGGTGCGGGGGAGGGTCTCTTTCCGCAATCATCTTGGCGTCCCGGTCGTTATCGACAATGTCCTTGTGGTTCCTGGGCTTGGGTACAACCTCTTGTCTGCCAACCCGTTCAACGCGCTGGGCTATCGCCAGACCCTCGAGGATGGTACCGGGGTGATTGGTCCTCCTTCCAACCCAGAGCTTTTGCGTGTCCAGCTTGTCGCGAACTCTTGGGACCTTGAGGTTACTCGCTCGCCTGCCCCTGCGCTTCCTGCCCTGATTGCGTCCACGGGTCCTCCTGGCCGACGTCCCGCTGCTGCTCCGCTTGCCGTCTGGCACCGCCGTCTTGGCCATCTCGCCATGGCTGCCGTCAAGAGCACCCACTCTCGCTTGAGTGTCGGCGCCAGCTTGTCTCCCGGCCCGGAACCTGGTCTTTGCGAAGGGTGCGTCATGGGGAAGAGCTCTGTCTCCCCCTTCCCTTCCAGCCAGTCCCGCGCTGACACTCCCCTTGCTCTCGTGCACACAGACATCTGCGAGATGGGAGTGGCTAGTGCTGCCGGCGAGAAGTACTTGCTGGTACTGGCGGACGATCATACTCGGTGGACTTGGGGTTACGTTTCGAAGAAGAAGAGCGATGCACTGGCCTGTTTTCAAGAATGGCTTCCGTTCGTTGAGCGTCAACACGCTCATCGTGCTCGGGTGATTCGGTCCGACAATGGTGGGGAGTTCATCAGTGGTGCGTTCGAAGGGTTTCTGTCTGGGTTGGGTGTCCGCCATGAGACTACCGTTCCCTACTCGTCACAGCAGAATGGGATAGCTGAACGTGCGAATCGCACGATTGTTGAACGTGGTATCTCCCTTTTGTCGGCTGCCCATCTTCCTACGACCCTGCGGCCCGCCATCATGTCTACCGTCGTCTATCTCAAAAATCGGTCGCCTTCGCGCAGTATCTCTACCACTCCTTTTCAAATGCTCTTCGGTACCCCTCCCAACCTCTCGCATCTCTGTGTCATTGGGTGTGTCGGTTGGGTCCATGTTCACAAGAAGAAACGCCTTCATAAGCTTGCTCCTCGGGCCTATCGCTGCGTACTTCTCGGTTACAGCACTACTCAGAAGACTTATCGCCTGTGGGATCCGGCAAAGAAAGAGGTTGTGGTCGCCCGCAGTGTTGTCTTTGACGAGGGTGTCATGGGCATGGCCCCTGGCTCGGCTGATGGTCTGCTGGATGACCTAGCTCCTGCGCCCTTCCGTGCTCCTGTTTCTGTGGGACATGGTGGTGAGGATGCTGCCGTCTGGGATCGCGGTGATGACGCTGTGAGTATTGTGGATGATTCTGTTGTTGAGGATGATGATGCTCCCTTACCGCCTATTATGGATGGCTTCGAGGATGATGCTGAGGATAGGAGTGAGGCCGGGAGTGAGGCCGAGGCCAAGGCGGAGGAGGATGAGGCTGCTGAGGAGGATGAGGGTGGCGAGGCTATTGCGGCTGGTGAGGATGTTGACGCTGTGAGTGTTGCCGATGCTCGGTCTGTTGTTGAGGATGATGATGCCTCTTCAGATGACTTGCCCTATTATCCTGGCTATGTCTACGAGCCCGTGGTCCCTGCTCCTCCCCCATCGCCTCCACCGCGCCATCTTTCCTTCGCTCGGGTAAAAATCGCCCTCCTGCCCTTCTAGCGCCTGTTCTCGCTGCTGGTGTCGAACCTCTTCCGTTCTCCAGCTCTGATGATCTTGGCGTCGCCTCCGTCCCCGACCTTGACGTCTTACTTGGTCACCGTGGAGATCCTCTCCCTTTCCCTTATCCAGACGCTCTTGCCGACTATCTTGGACGCCCGGATGATCCCTCGTTCCATCCGTCTGACGAGCGCCTTCCTGTGGATGGCCACATTGGGATGCCGATCCGTGCCCTGCTTGCTATGGCAGAGCAGGAAGTGGTCGATGAGCCGCGGACATGGCGGGTTGCTATGAAGTCGCCTCACGCTGAGGAATGGAAGGGCGCATGCGATGAGGAGATGCAGTCGCTGGTAAATGCTGGCGTCTATGAGGAGGTTCCTCGGTCTTCGGTTCCAAGTGCTCGAGTGGTGCCTTGCAAGTGGGTCTTCAAGGTGAAGCGCGGGGCCGATGGTGCTGTGGAACGCTTCAAGGCTCGCCTTGTTGCTCGGGGTTTCCAGCAGAAAGAAGGGGCGCGATCTTGAACTTCATCAGATGGACGTCAAGACTGCTTTCCTGTACGGCCCCTTGAAGGAGGAAGTTTACTTGTCTCTCCCTTCTGGTTACGATGGTGGTAAGGATAGGGTGTGGCGCCTTCGTCGGGCTCTGTACGGTCTCAAGCAAGCTCCTCAGGCTTGGTACGAGGAACTTCATGGTACTCTCCTCTCTCTGGGATTCCATCGCACTGCCAGCGATCACTCCATCTATGTTCACGGTGAGCTGGATGACTACATGGCGATTGGGGTGTATGTGGATGATCTTACCATTGCTGCTAAACGTCCCTCAACCTCAGCTACGTTCAAGGCGGAGATGTCGGCGAAGTATGCCATGAAGGATTTGGGTGAGCTCCACTATGTTCTTGGTCTTCAGGTTGCTCGTGATCGCCCTGCTCGCTCATTGCACCTTTGTCAGACCCAGTATATCAGCACGATTCTCTCCCGTTTTCCCTATGATCGCTCCCGCTCTGCCGCTAGCCCTCTCCCTGTCAACACGATTCTGCAACCGGGTCTTCCCGGCGACGCTCCTGTCGACCGAGATCGCTATCTGCGCGCTCTCGGCTCGGTCATGCACGCCATGTTGGGCTGTCGTCCCGACATTGCCTTCGCTGTTGGCCTTCTCTCGCGATTTGCCAACGACCCTCGCGAGCCTCATTGGGATGCTATGTGTCATCTGTTCCGGTATCTGAGTGGTACTCGTGAGGTGGGGATCACGTATGGCGGGGATGCAAAGGGGGTTCGTCCGCTCGTTGGCTATTCAGATGCTGATCATGCTACTAGCGATCTCGAGAAACGCAAATCTGTCTCTGGCTATGTCTTCAACCTCTGGGGCGGGGCGGTCAGCTGGCAGTCCAAGCGTCAACCGAGTGTCGCTCGCAACAGCGGTCAGGCTGAGTATCACGGTCTGTCTATGGGGGGGCAGGAGCTTGTCTGGCTCACTCAGTTACTAAAAGAATTAGCGTTCCCTTGCGACGGTCCCACCACTCTCTTCTGCGACAGCGAAACTGCTATTGCGGTTGCCAAGGACCCGGTCTCCCACTCCCGTCTAAAACAAATCGATATCGAGCATCACTGGATTCGTGGTCTGGTGTATGAGGAGAAGCGAATGGTCTTGGGCGACATCCGGACTCAGGATATGCTCGCCGACATGTTGACAAAGCCTGTGGGGCCGACGAGGGTGAAAATGCTCGGGGCGCGGATGGGTCTAGGGGTGAGAGGGGCTGCTGCTGCTTCTGGCACTGTGAGTATTGCCTCTGGTCCCGGCGTTGTAGACGATGATGCTCTCTAGTGGACTGGTTCATGCGACTCCTCTTCCCTTCCCCTCTTCTCTTCCTCTTCCCCCTCCATCTTTGCCGGGCCAGTCTGCTGTCTACAGCCTCTGCCACTGGCGTACTTTATCGTACAATCCCCGCTTATTGCGGGGGTTGGGTGGGAAGGAGGGATTCTGGGGGCGGATATTGGGAGTGTATGATCTGTGTTTAGAGAGACGTGTGGGAAGCTGTGGTCGGGTGGTGGTGTTGTGATATGTCTGGGAAGAAAGGATTGCGGAGATGGCCGCCGGACGTCCACGCTGGAGCGTTCCATTGTAGTCTTCCATATGTCTTCTTCTTCTTTATCTATGAAACCTATAAACACTTTCAACACTGCCTTCATTTCTCTGACGATTCTACGGAATGATCCATCTGCACCAGTTCGATGCCGCATCACATGGCCATGGTCCGCCCATGAATATAACTATACACAACACAGGGACCCGCTCGGCACTCGCGGTGCGAGAGACGGGATGGAATGGAAGCAAATTGAGAGACATTGTATCGAGGTCTGCATCAGGAGGGGATATGGATGCGACAGAAGAACAACACGAAAGGGCAACGCCCTTTGACCTTTTTAAGCGAGCGGTCCAGCGGGCGGTCCATTGGCTCGCAGAGTGTTCTTGTTGCTCATGGCGCAACGTCCATATCCAAGGCGATTGATGTCTCTTCGGCATGCAAGGATACATCTCGATGAGAGGAAGAAGAACAGGCTTGCCCTGTCTCGTCGATTGGGGTCGAAGAGTTTGGGAGATGTCAGCAAGGGATAACGGCGCCGTTGATACTATAATGTTGGTCGCAATGATAAGCAGGCTCGTATGTGGCAGGTCTAAGCCTTTGTAGTTGGGAGAGCAGACAGGCTTACCGACGGAAAGGAAGTCTGTGGTCTTTGATGGCATTCAGGGAAAAATTGTGCCATATAAGAACCGTGGCAAAGTGCTCTTCCGCCGAGCCTTGTCCTTGAGGTGGGTGGGCCGCGTTATGCACACAGGTGCTGGAGTGTCGAGGCGTCTAGGACGCGATAGAACGAGTCAATATCTGAGTCATTCCCGCTGCTCGTTTCGGCAAGGAGCTGGTCTATAGCATATACCAGCGATGAAGCATGAAAGAAAGAAGATAGGATACGGAGCCATGGCCAGAGACAGGGTGACTGCCTATCGAGGTTCTTTTGGTGGATGTGATAATGGCAGCTGCAATAGAAAATTGTAGAGCGATTCTGACTTCTAGCCTACTTCGGCGGTGGTCTTGAGGAGAGAAGAAGGGAAAGGAAAGGAGAGAGGCTCTCGCGAAGGAGAGACGGAGGAGGAAGGTGAGCCGAGGAGAGGGAAGATAAAGATAGAGGAGAGCAGTGAACACGGAGGAGAAGAGAGAGGGGAGGAGAGTAGTGTAATGGACCTAGATACCAAATAAGATCAATTAACCGAATGAGCAGCAAAAGCCACTGCATCACAATACCAACCCTGGAATCATAATGCATATGCTGGTATTTGGACTTGTTAATTCGCGCTTACTGTATCCTTACAGAGAGGGGAGGAATTATATGGTATGCCACGTTGATTTTATGGGCGACCGACCGCGTGAGCGAAGGGTTGGGTGTTTGCGTGTAGGCGCCATAGAGACTGGATGAGCGAGATGAGTGGAATGAAGACGAGTTGATAATAGCTGGGCGAGGCCACAGCAGTCTCGTGGCGGGACTCGTGTGCGAACAACAGCACAACGGGTGACTTGGTCATCACTACTGGACCCCAACTGGACCCTGAAGTGGCGAAGAGCGCTTTCGCTTTCGGTGAGCCAGAGAAGTATGCATGAATGGGAACGACTGAAAGCCGAGAATCAAAAAGTTTCTAGATTATCAGACATGCTCGCGAAAAAAGCTCGGCGGTGATCCGGTGAGCGAGATAACACATGAGCTGAGAGTTGGGTTGGGACTAAGTTGAATCTCAGCAATTCGTTCATCCGTTTCTTACATACTCGAGCACGAGTACAGTATAAACCCATCACCCATGCGGCATGCCCATTCACAGTCGCCTGGGCGTCCGCGATAGCCTTCTTCCTTGGCTGGGCTGCAGGGTTCTGGAAGAACCTTTTGTGTCAACTCGGTCGCTTGTACGTATGCATTGATCGTTTTCTTGATTCTTCAATTCCTTGACATTCAATAATATCCTGATCTTTTTGATTTATCTGATAATCTTTTGTCAGCCCCATCCCCTTCACATCGTTGACGGCGAAGAGCGAGATATTGATGAACATATCTTCTCGAGGAGCCCCGCAGGGGGTGTTGACATATACATCAGTTGCTTCTAACGCTTTCACCTGGTTGACGGCGTCAGGTATCTTGGTGCGGGTTGGGAGTCCCGTCATGATTTGATTGGAATCAGAGGAAGCGAGCGGACTTGAGAAGAGAGTAACGACTGTATCCGTCATAATATAATGACCGAGTAAGGACGTAGAAATATGCATGATGAAGAGCTGGTCTCTGTAGAGAAAGTTTCCTGATGTGCCCGTTCTCCAGCAGCTACAGTGCGTCGCTAGTCGCCATATCGAGAATCGGAAGCCATACTAGCTACATATACGAGTGTGGCGTCAGTATATGGCGATCAAGTCTGTGGTCGAAAAGAAAAAGACCCACTAGGAATTTCCGCTTTCTAGGCGATGACACAAGAGTAGGTGATACCTCCGCCGCTACCGTAAGCCTCCTCGTTGCGGGGGGCCTCGACGTTGGCGGCGACAGAAGAGGTAAGGGTGGTGAAAACAGCAGTGAAGGCGTCCATTATAGTGGTGGTTGTGGTGTTGGGTGTTGGATTGGAAGGTGTGGGGTGGTGTAGAATTCATATCTGGGAGGTCTGCTTATATAGTGCCAGACAGTACTCGTACTATACGTTACCATCTGCCAATCGACGAGGTGAGCCTGCTTCGAATGGATCGCTGCCGAAGAACAATAAGAGTGCCGCGCGGGGCTGCCGAAGAGGAACAATAAGAATGCCGCACGGGGTTGCCGGAGAACGATAGGAATGTCGTGCAGGGCTTCCGAATTCCTGATTTGAAGGGACGAAATGAACGCAAATACATAGCTCGGTATTCAGGTCGTGATTACACGTGTACATATGGCGCAGTATAGGTTAGGTGTCGGCGCTTGGCCGGCAGAATCGGCTTTCTTATTGTTCTTCGGGCATCAGCCATTCCGCCAATGAGCTTGCCCGCTCCCCGCTTTCTTTCGGGGGGCTCTGACTTCTGATATGGTGCAGTGACCCATTGAGGTCGCATCACCCAGGGGGCCAGAGGGCAATCAGAGACTGTTCTGTTTTCCATATTACAGTCTGATCTACAGACGGCAGAGCCGTTCCGGCAGGAGTATTGCGTAGAGCGTAGATATGTTGTTCAATTCTTCGACGAGATGTCCACCACACTGTTTAGCAAGTTTTTTTCAGTGTATACATGCTGTCAACGTCGTCCAGTCTTCGCACGTATAAGGATCTGTGGCCCGGCGTGATAAGAAGCTAAGGAGGATATGTAAGACGTGCCTCCGGCAGGACCATTGCCGACCAAGCTTTGGACCCTTCCAAAAAGTCGTATCTGTTCCCATTGTTCTTCAGGTTCTTCAGGATTTTCAGGATCTTCGGTGTGAAACAGACGCATAAGCCATTGCCATCGTCAAGATCAGGACTTCGGCAGCCCTGCGCAGCATTCCTATTGTTCTCCGGCAACCCCGTGCGGCATTCTTATTGTTCCTCTTCGGCAGCCCCGCGCGGCACTCTTATTGTTCTTCGGCAGCGACCAATTCGAAGCAGGCTCACCTCGTCGATTGGCAGATGGTAACGTAGAGTACGAGTACTGTCTGGCACTATATAAGCAGACCTCCCAGATATGAATTCTACACCACCCCACACCTTCCAATCCAACACCCACCACCACAACCACCACTACAATGGACGCCTTCACTGCTGTTTTCACCACCCTTACCTCTTCTGTCGCCGCCAACGTCGAGGCCCCCCGCAACGAGGAGGCTTACGGTAGCGGCGGAGGTATCACCTACTCTTGTGTCATCGCCTAGAAAGCGGAAATTCCTAGTGGGTCTTTTTCTTTTCGACCACAGACTTGATCGCCATATACTGACGCCACACTCGTATATGTAGCTAGTATGGTTTCCGATTCTCGTTATGGCGACGTATGACTGGCTAGTCAGAAGAATGGGTTTCAGTAGTTATTTGCTATGCAAATTTATAATAGTGCACCAGTCTACCTTCTTGCAGACGTTCGCGACTTTTTGGATGCTTAACGGGCTTGTCAACTTATTCACTTTGCCATAGACTGAGCGCAGTGATGACCAACATGTATTACATGCACAACGGTAAAATCACCAACAGATGCTGTCTATATGCAGAAGCCAACTCCGTGCCCCGACAGTTCAGGTTGACCGAGTCACGATCAAGTATGTAATCGCGCGAAGGTGATCAACGTACGACCGCGCGATCACTGCCTACCAGTAGACTCTCAAACAAACAAACCGCAAAAGCCTCGTTCCTAAGCTGTATCATGTAGACCACCCCAGTCCCTCTCTCGTATATACTTTCAAAAAGTCGCCAACAATGAAAGAGCAGGATAGGGAAGGTGTCAACAGAGGGCTATATTGACCGCCGGGTCCCGTCATCGCTCTTGAAACTGGCAGTTATGCATTGTAATGGATGGCTAAAGGACTTACGTCTCCTGCAGTACTACTACCTCTCATGGTCCTTGAGTTCCATCCCCACTACGCTCCACTCCGACCATTGAGAGACATATTTGATATGCCGGTACTTCACATCATCGGGAGGAAATAATATAGCAGAGTACTCGTACCCTGATCACGGACGTAACGGAAGCGACGAGTTCTCACATCATAAAGGTACGGGGGAAAAGACGATCCATGTTGGAACCGCCAGATGGTTGTCGGACTGTAGCTGATTAGCTGCACCGGCGTATGGGAGCGCAGGTGTAGTGCCGCTCCCATAGCCTATCTTATCTATGAATTTCATATAGATACACAGAGAAGATATGTAGGTTACCTGCGCCCGATAGATAAAACATAGCCGGGGTCCTAGGGCCTCGATGCTTGTTTAGCTGACGCTTGAGGAGCTCTGCAGCTGCTGGAAGCTGGCTGGTGAATGGTCAAATGATTGCATGGGCATGTGGGAGGTTGTAATTGTAAGGAGGCGTATAGGTGAGGCGTAACCTAGGGGCGGTTACGTAGAGGATCTGACTAGGGCGCCAGATGTCGACCTTGAATAGGCTGGAGGGATAAAGGATGGATATAGGTGAGGAGGATACTACGAGAATATATCGATAGGGAAAAGGATAAGGAGACGCGGCACGATGTATATATGGGAACCTCATCTCGCAATCCGGCCTTCGCATCCCTGAGACCATAGCGGCAACCCTAGCACCGAGCCCTGCATTCCATAGTACACATCACAACATCTGTACCATTCCCTTACAGTAATGTATGTTGCTCGCAGGAGCAGCAGCTACTCGTACTGTACCACTGCTACAGCAGCACCATCCACCACCATTGCCGAATGGAAGGGGATCTGTTGTGTCTGTGAGCATATGTACAGCGGGAGCGGGGGCGGCGGTCCCAGACCACCACCATCATCATTCATTACACAAACATGCCACCAAGTCACGGCCAACAACGAAACGGCGCGCGCGCAGCTGCAGCGGGGCGCCGCCGCATGATATCTTACGTAAGGATTTTCATCTCCAGCGCGACTACTGCCTCTGTCTGCCTGCTGCAGTTGCTGCCTGTTGCCGGGGCGGAACTCTACATATCCTACTGACCTAGCCCATCTTGCCGCATATACCTTTTCCGTTGCGTGACCTCATCCAGGCTTGTTATTTCAGTAGGTGAACTCTTACCCTGACACGCGCCTTTGTGAAAATGCTGATGGCTGTTCGTCGCGTTCCAGCTCTCCCTATCAACCGTCGACTTTCGTATATCGCCATAGGCGAGATCTGAGATACGCTCAAAAAACTCTGTCACACAGTTCTTTGGATATACACCGAACCTACACCAGTGCCAAGGCCAGCACCATGGCAGTCCCTTACACTCAAGGGACTCTGGTCTGGATGCCTGACGGCACCGGCGGCTGGCGAACCGGCACAGTCACCTCCTCGACCATCTCATCAAGTGATCCGCCCGTGGCCCATATAACCATATCCTCTGACTCGGACCTCGACGTCACGACCACCATACAAACGCCTCTTTCTGCTCTACAAAACGCCAAAGCCGACCGCACACAAGCGGATTTTCAGCAGTCCTCTGACCTCCCACCTCTGAGGAATCCACCAGCTTTGGAGATGGTAGAGGACTTAGCAGCTCTGAGTAATCTCAACGAGCCTTCTGGTAGGTGTCCCAATCCTTCGGCAGTCTATGATTGTCTCGGTTACAAGGGTGAGACTGAGATGGATGTACGCTGACTGATCTGTAGTTCTTCACGCGATCGCTACCCGATACCTACAACACATGCCATACACGTATTCGGGTATAGTTCTTGTAAGAAGACCCACAATGCAAACGAATAATCGCTGAATCTCTGCTCGTGGTATCAGCTTTCCGTCAACCCTTTCACGCCTTTGAACATATGTACGTCATTGATACTGTTCTTTCCCCTTTGAACATGTCTGGATCATTGAGATTTTATCAGATGATGGGACTTTCATCAACCTGTACTTGGGACAGAAAAAGGAAGAGCAAGATCCTCACGTGTTTGCCATTGCTGAAGAGGCTCTGAACCACATGAGAAGAGGAACCGGCGAGGGCGGAGTCGATCCCTCTGGCGCAGGTGATCAAACTGTCATTGTCAGCGGTGAAAGGTATGTTCGCCTACGGAACGCATCTGTGACCGATGCCAGTGTGGGACCATAGAGTATGTCGAGCTGGCGCTGACAGTCACCATGCAGTGGGGCGGGAAAGACCGTGGCGGCAAAATACATCATGCGCTATTTTGCATCAGCCCACATGGGCACAACTGATCCACTGCTGCCTCGTAAAAGCGGCCACGGTGAGGAAGGCATGAGCGAGATTGAGAAGCAGATTCTCGCCAGTAATCCTATCATGGAGGCCTTCGGCAATGCAAAGACCACTAGAAATGACAATAGTTCAAGATTTGGAAAATACATCCAGGTATGGCGTGCAGTGCTTCGTGTTGATTGTGCATTATCACTGACATGCGTCGTAGGTCCTGTTCAGCCACGATCAGCAGATCGTAGGTGCCCGTGTCCGGACGTATCTTTTGGAGCGTTCGCGCTTGACCTATCAGCCGCCATCTGAACGAAATTACCACGTCTTCTATCAGCTCATCGCGGGAGCTCCAGCGAAAGAACGCAAGGATCTTTCTCTACCCGATTCACCTCTCAAATTCGCGTACCTGTCAGGTGGAGGTACTTCATCATACCTCATTCACGGGGTCGACGATGCTCAAGAGTTCGATGCGACTCAACGTGCATTGTCAATGGTAGGGATATCAGTGGAGCGCCAATGGCACATATTCAAGCTTCTCGCTGCCTTGTTGCATCTCGGCGACGTTCAAATCTCGCAATCCAGATCCGACGCCCATGTCGTGGATGATGATTCAGCTCTCATCCTCACGTCAGATCTAATGGGACTCCCTCTACCAGACTTCAAGAGGTGGATTGTGAAGAAACAGCTTATCACAAGGAACGAAAAGATCACCACAAACTTGACTTGCAATCAAGCTATCGTGGTCAGAGACTCTGTTGCGAAGTTTATCTATAGCTGCCTCTTTCAGGTGAGTAATATCTTACCCTCCGTTGAGATTCCATACTGTAAGGTTCTGGTCTGACCTCACCATACACAGTGGCTTGTCAGCGTTGTGAATGCGAGTCTCGCTGGCGATGTTACCAACGACATCGGACCCGCAAAGAAATTCATCGGTGTGCTGGACATTGTGAGCGCATATCCCTTGGTACCCACTATGAATGCTAATACTACCGACAGTACGGATTCGAGCATTTTGCCAAGGTAAGGTGCCATTGAATGTCTTAACTATAGTCCCACTGAGTGAGAGATGTGCAGAATTCCTTCGAGCAATTTTGCATCAATTGGGCCAACGAAAAGCTGCAACAGCAGTTCAATGCGCATGTCTTCAAGGTGCGAGAAATTCCACCATGATAATGGGCGGTTCTGACTGCGGACGAAATCAGTTGGAGCAGGAGGAATACGTCCGAGAAGAAATTGACTGGACATTCATCGATTTTACCGACAATCAAGCTTGTATCGACGTGATTGAGGGGCGGATGGGTATACTTGCGCTACTTGACGAAGAGTCGCGTCTACCGTCCGGGTCTGACCAGTCTTTCGCAAACAAAATTCATCACGAGTTCGCCAAAGCGGAACATCAGAAGGTTTTCAAAAAGCCCCGCTTCAACAACAATGCTTTCACTGTCGCCCATTACGCCCACGATGTCACATACGATACTGAAGGTTTCGTTGAAAAAAACCGAGACACGGTCCCAGATGAGCATCTTCACCTCTTGCAGAGCTCCACAAACGAGTTTGTGAGGGAAATGGTGTTCACAGCCACGGAGGCAGCAGTTGGCGATCAGCAGGCCAAGACTGTTGAAAGCTCGACAGCTAAACGGGGCACGCCTCGCAAACCCACGCTCGGTTCCATGTTCAAAGCGTCTCTGGTAGATTTGATGGCTACCATTAATGACACCAATGTACACTACATCAGGTGCATCAAACCCAACGAGAAGAAAGCTGCCTGGGAATTCGACTCCGCTCAGGTTTTGGGTCAGCTTAGGGCATGCGGAGTGCTAGAAACCATCCGAATCAGCTGTGCGGGCTTTCCATCTCGATGGACTTACACTCAATTTGCTGACAGGTCAGTCCAATGAGGGGTCGCGTCATGTGCTTTGCTCACACCGATTTTCCAGGTATCACATCATGCTACACACCAACCAGTGGCATAGCGAAATGGATGTCAAAGAGCTTTGCCGACTGATTCTCGAGAAAACTCTTGAAAACGAGGACGATTACCAGTTGGGACTATCGAAGATATTTTTCCGCTCTGGTATCCTTGCTTTCTTGGAATCTCGCCGAGCAGCCACACAGTTCCAGCTGGCGGCCACTTTACAAAAACATATCCGCCGATACCTTGCGCGCAGACAATATACGAATTGGCGGAAAAGTGCGGTGTCAATTCAAGCGTGGTGGAGAGGCACTGCTACTCGTAGAGTACTCGAAGTTCAAAAGCAGGAGACAGCTGCTCTACTTCTCCAAACGATCGTCAGATGTGCGTTGGCTACCAATCGATTGAAGCATGCTCGTAAAGCCGTGATAGATTTGCAATCTGGTGAGTGTCCGCCCTTGCCCACAACTTCATCGACGGATTGCTGACTGCTTCAGCTCTGCGGCAATTCTTGGCGAAGCGGAAAAGGGAACAAATGCAGGCTGAGAAATCTGCGGTTTTCGTCCAACGACTATGTCGCGGAGCGTACGTATCTTTTATCAGGAGTAGCAGACGAGTTTTGCTGATTTACGGACTCATCCCATTCAGGCTCGTGGCAGGACGGTATCGACAGACTCTTTGCCGTGTGATTCTTCTACAATCACTTTGGCGTCGAAGACTTGCCATACGCGAACTTGCGTCTCTGAAAAGAGAGGCAAAGTCGGCCAAAAAATTCAAGGAGATCTCTTACCAATTGGAAAACAAAGTTGTTGAGTTAACGCAAACTCTACAAAAGCGAAACGCAGAGCACAAGGAAATTTGTGCTCGCTTGAAAGGATTGGAAGATGATCACAAAACTGTCACGCACAAAAACGAGTCACTATCTGCCCGAAATCGCGCTCTCGAAGAGCAGATGGCTTCGTTGACCGTTCCCAAGGAACAATTCGACGATCTTGCGAAAGAAAAGAAGGATCTTGAAGTTCGGTTGAATGAGCTAGTGCTGCGCTCAGGCGCATTGGAAACACAGCTGCAAGAAGCGACTAGACAGCTCGAGAGTACATCCAAGCGCTCTCCAGTTCAGCTGGGTAGCAAAACTGAAGACGCAGATACAATCTCGCAGTTGCGCGCCGAACTCAATCATGTTCGCGAGCAATTGTCACGAAACGATACTTTTAATGCCTTGAATGGGCGAGCGCATCCTAACACCTTCACCTCTCCTAGGTCGTTCAGTCTGCGACAGCTGGACAATGTTTCCTCGGCGCCTTCCTTGCATGGTATATCGGATCATCGCCGACGCAACAGACGCCACTCAATGGTCAGCAAATTACACGCCGCTACAGATGGTGACGCAGAGGATAAGCCACTGGTAAACACCCGTGCCTTATCAGCCGCCTATACTCCCGATGTCATACAGCGATCTAGAGATTCTCAAGGACTACCTGTGCTCTTTACTCCTGGCAACGTCCAACAGCATATTGTCAGGCTTCTCGAGGACCTACCATCTCTTGATAACGAGGTGCTACAAGGTCTCATTTATCAGCTCAAGATCCCCAGTCCAAGTCTGCACACGCCATTGACTGCCAAAGAGATTCTTTTCCCTGCTCATCTGATCAGCCTGATCACCAACGAAATGTGGAAATTGGCTATGGTCACCGAATCTGAGACGTTTCTGGCCAATGTGATGCAAGCAATTCAAGAACATGTGCTAGTACGTCTTTCTGTCTTGATTATTGGCATATGAAACTAATCATGTATGCTCAGGCATTCAAGGGTGAAGATGCCATATGCCCCGGTGTCTTCTGGCTTTCCAATGTACAGGAAATCCTCTCATTTGTCTGTATTGCCGAAGATGACGCATCCAAGGGCATTGCACCTGAAGGATCGGCTTTGCACGACGACAAACTGAATTGGGACGATTACACTCGCCTTATAGGTGTGGTGAAACATGATTTAGACTCTCTAGAGTACAACATCTATCACACCCTCATGCTAGAGAGCAAGAAAAAACTTTCAAAGATGGTGATACCCGCAGTCATCGAGTCGCAGTCCCTCCCCGGCTTCGTCACTTCGGATGGATCGGGCCGTATGCTCTCTCGAATGCTTGGGGGCATCGGCGGCGTTGGAGCACCACAGCCAGTCTCTTCGATGGACGACATTCTCAATCTTCTCAACAGGGTTTGGAAATGCTTGAAGAGCTATTTCATGGAAGAGAGCGTCATGCACCAAGTGGTGACTGAGCTACTGAAGCTCATCGGCCAAATATCCTTCAATGACCTTGTCATGCGGAGGAATTTCTCGTCCTGGAAAAGAGGTGAGGCTATTGCCAAAACCAAACCCTATTGCGGACGCTAACTTCGATACGCCCAAGCCATGCAAATCCAGTACAACATTACCAGGATCGAGGGTGAGTACTGTTGCGGATAGTGTATTCACCTGCTAATGCAGCATTGTAGAATGGTGCAAGTCACATGACATGCCTGAAGGTCTTCTGCAGTTGGAGCATCTTATGCAAGCAACGAAACTTCTACAGCTCAAGAAGGTGAGACAACTATCATTTGACCAACCGCTGACAACATTCAACAGGCAACTTTAGGAGACATTGACATCCTCTTCGACGTCTGCTGGATCCTCTCACCCACACAGGTCCAGAAACTCATAAGCCAGTACCATACGGCAGATTATGAAGTTCCACTGAACTCGGAAATCTTGCGAGCCGTAGCCGCCAGGGTCAAGCCTGAGGATAAGAGCGACCAACTTCTGTTAGCGCCTGAAGCAGATGAGGTTGGCCCGTATCAGCTTCCCCCTCCTAGGGACATTGTTGGGCTTGAGACGTGTGAGTCTATAAAAAGCTTCATAATAGCGTCATCTGATCAAAGTCCTCCAGATGTCCCAGCCTTCTTGAATGTCCCTAACATTCGACAATTGGCCACTTTCGTAGCGTAGGCGTCCAATGTTGACGATCGGGCAACGCACATAAGACCTAGGACTTATATTCTCTGGAAGAAATCACCACGGCTGGTACGCAAAAATGCAAGTCTACTGTAAAGTTTTTGAACCCTGGTCTCCGTGTATCTCTGCCAGCTATAACTTGGTAGGCCATAAAGCGGTGCATCAAGCTTCTGGTATATCTAGCGTACATCTATAGCTGTGCCGTTGCTGCCATGAGAAATTGACGAAGAGGACTGAGTGGTTGCACTAATCCTTACATCGATGAGACTCGAATAGTGTTTTACTTTGCACTCATGCTACGGTACTAGAGGCATACCCTCGGCACGGCTACAATGCATCAATTCTCACTGCAGAGTTTGATGCATCAGATGAGTCATCTCCAGTCGATACACCTCTACTCACGGGATGCGGTAGATGGTGATTTCCTGCTGCTTGAAGTATCGTCGGTTCTCCTCGTCAATGAGGACCAGATTGAGGTAATATCTCGTCGAGAACTTCTTGTTCACGTCACGGAAGGTGGGGGTCATTTCGAATCCGCCCAAAAAGAGTCGAATGGGTATCGTCTCTCCTCTGACGGGGGCGCCGTCCATGATCTCGAACTTCGTGATAGTCTCCGATTCATTATACTGGCTGGGGGGGGATCCAGTGGTCTCTCGTCGGATAATGGATAGCTCCATATGTTTGATCTTGATGCGGACTAGTAGGAAGTAAATCTTGCCGACTATGACATCTTTGAGATGGTACCTGATATGTGTCAGAAAGAATCATGCTGAGGCGAATGTGTCATCAACTTACTTGGCTTTGTTGTACTCGAATTCAATATGTAAACAATCCTCTATCCCCACCTCCATCTTGATGCCAGCGGTAGTCTCTGGAGGCATTCGATACGAGTGTACCCACAGCTCCCTTTCCTTGACAACCTTGTTGAGAGTTACTCGAAGATAATATCTATCTTGATGATTAGTCAAACTACGGCACGTCTGTTCGATGTAGTGCTTACCTGAGTCTCACATTGATGCCAACATATGATTCGTATGGCTTCTCTACGTTCTTGAACGAGAAGTCATAAGTCTGGGCTTGACGAGCTTCGCCAGCTCCTATGAGCTCCTGTGAGAGAGAGACGAAATCGTAGTGATTCTTCCTGTCATAGAACAATTCTGAAGTATAGTCAGTATTCAGTATCCACGGAGCGACCTTGCTGGGATACTGACCGATGGTACCCACTAGCTCCACGCGAATTCCCTCGTGCGAGAATTTTTTGCCATCCTTCACACGGACAGTCACATGTCCTTCGATGGTCTCTCCATCATAGTACACCGGGCAGGGCTCTGGCTTTCCTCCTTCGGACTTGACCTCCACTTGACGTCTTTCTTGTTCTCCTGGCAGGATGATTTCCACCTCAACAGGAGCGGCCGGAAGTTTGAAGAACGACATCGTGAAGAAAGCAGTGTCGGGGAAAGAAGTCTTAACCAGTGTTACTACATTAGCGTTCATCAGGTGAGATGGAATCCAAAATACCTGTTGCTTAGACCTTCCAAGGCGGAGAAATGATTATGATATACAAAGATCGTGGTGTGCGGCGACGGAGTATTGAGATTTCTGCTCCCAGAGATGACAATGCGCAGACAAGGAGAGAGGATGTGGAAGCAGTGTGCGGTAGACTAACGGTAGAATGTCTCTATAGACTGCCAGGCTTCGCTATCTGTCGTGACTCGCGCACCGGCGCGCCTCTGTAGCTTTATTAACCACGTAGATCCCCGTTAATGGCAACTTAGCAATTACTTACTACTTACCGTGTAGCCGGCGCCATCATTGCTGCGTGGCTCTCTTTCAAATCAGGCATGATCCTGCCGCCTGTTGTGCTTCCTCGTCCTCTTGAACAGTATTTCAACATTGTCCAGTGTATCTCTCTTTAGGTCTAATCGCAATCATTTGCATTCACCTCTGGGTCATCATTTTGGTCAGTCCGACACGTGTTTTGTAGCCGGCATTCGCTGATGACAAGCGTGAGGTTGCAGTTGCCTTCTCTTGGATACCTCGGCATTGACAGAGCATGTCCTCCGACAATTTCTCGTCCCTCACTCCATCTCGCCCCGCGCCCCCTCCCCCAGGGCCATCGGGTGTGGCAGGGCATCATCCGAAGCCTGCCAAGGGCCCCCAAGCCAGCATCTCTTCTACTTCCTATTCGCCATCCTTCTCAACCATGGCCCCTACTGTATCTCAGTCAACGAGTTTAACTGCGATCGGGGTGCCCAATACCACTTTCACCGGTACGGTCCGCTCGGGCCCGGTCAATGTCAAAGAAGATGGTCTCAGGGCTTTCATGTGGAGTAAAAGGTGGCTAGTGTTGGGCAACACTGATCTCCGTATCTACAAGAATCAGGTGAGAATCTACTTACCAGCCAAAACGTTTCTGACACTTTCATTCTATGAGTAGAGCTCTTTTTCACCCCTCCTCAGCATACCCTTGAAGGACGTTCAGGACATTCAACGCGTCGACCTCAAACCTTTTTGTGTCGAGATTGAGACAAATGATAGGCTTCTTTATCTCGCTATGCGCTCCGATGATGATGTCTATAATTGGATGGATGACATCTACAACCGGTCTCCCAAGCTTGGTGTCTCTTTACCCATGAACTTTGTCCATCAAGTACATGTAGGGTTCGATCCAAGATCTGGAGGTTTCACGGTAAGCTTACATCTCGCTTTCATGCCATAACAGTCTGACAATCTATAGGGACTTCCACCTCAATGGTCAAAGCTTCTCACCTCATCTGCTATCACAAAGGAGGAGGCGGCGAGGAACCCGGAAGCGGTGCTGGATGTTCTGCAGTTCTATACGCAACAACAAGCATCCCAACAACCCCACGAACGACCGACGCCGTCAGCATACAGTGCCCAACCCTCTGTCGTTCCTGTCGTTCCGTCACCTGATGCCGATGATCACAACAAAAGTCACGGTAGTGAACGAGTGCAAGTCGGACATCAGGCAATGAACTCTTTACTTGAAACTCAGCCCGTTACGACTACAAGCTCTCATACTGCCTATCAATCGAAGCATTCTACAGAACAAGTGAGTTTTTCATGCTTCATATCATCATGATATTCTGATGGTAATGAGAAGACCGTTTCCAAGCTTCAATTCCGAAAGACCAGTCAGCCGAGTGTCGGCCTCACTTCCGACTCCGAGCCGAAAGCTCTGGCGCCAAATCTGACAACACCTGATCGTCCCGAAAAGAGAATCAGCACCATGTCTGAAGCTCAAATAATGGTGAAGCTTCGCTCCGTGGTCAGTCAAGGGGATCCTGGGCAACTCTATGCCAAAATCAAGAAGGTGGGACAAGGGTAAGTCTCCGTCGATGTTTCTTATTGCTATCGCTGATCAGGGCTGGATATCCAGCGCCTCGGGTATGGTCTTCGTTGCAAAAGTTCTTTCCAACGGTTCCAAAGTGGCCATCAAGCAGATGGACTTGTCGCAGCAACCTCGCAAAGAACTCATAGTCAATGAGATCATTGTGATGAAAGAATCGCAACATCCCAATGTTGTCAACTTCCTAGACTCTTTCCTTGTAAGGGGCACCGAGCTATGGGTCGTCATGGAGTTCATGGAGGGCGGGGCTTTAACGGATGTAATCGAGAACAACAAGTTGACCGAGGATCAAATAGCAGCCATCTGCCTGGAGGTATGTTCAACAATGATGTATCGTCAGAAGATCTGGCTGACTATTCTCGTTCAGACTTGCCGCGGTCTGCAACATCTTCACTCGCGTGCTATCATCCATCGTGATATCAAATCGGACAATTTGCTCATGAACAGCCTTGGCCAAGTCAAAATCAGTGAGACGACAAATCGTGGCCCTCTTGAAAGAGCAGCTCTAATGGTGACATAGCGGATTTTGGATTCTGCGCTAAGCTTACCGATCAAAAGTCCAAGCGTGCGACCATGGTTGGCACACCTTACTGGATGGCACCGGAAGTCGTGAAACAGAAAGAGTATGGCGCCAAAGTGGACATCTGGTCGCTAGGGATCATGGCGATCGAAATGGTTGAGAATGAGCCCCCCTACCTTGATGAGGAACCCTTGAAAGCCCTTTATCTTATCGCTACTAACGGCACGCCAACTTTGAAGACGCCAGAGAAATTGAGCCAGGATTTGAAGCATTTTCTCAGTGTGTGTCTTTGTGTGGATGTTGCTTTCCGTGCAACCTCGAACGAGCTTCTGAGGGTCAGTTGCTAAGCTCATGAAAACAAGCGAATACACACTGACTTTCAATCTTATCCCCAGCACTCATTCTTGACCCATGCTTGTCCAGCGAGGGATTTGGCGCCTCTACTCGGCTTCAAAGAGACTCTCTCTGTGAGTTTTACTGTGCGTTTTAGGCAATCACACGCTGATCGGTGCGCTCTGTCAGGGATCAAGGTAGTTGCTTTCATTCACAACGGTGGCAAAAAGGTCTGCCTGTGTACTTATACTCATATGAAACGCTCTATTGTGCGACACCGACTTGTTCGGGTTCCTGGCAGATTGAATGGCAGAAAGAACATCAAGATAGAAGCCCGACGCAAATAGCGGATGACCAACGTCTATCCATTCAACATTGGGCTGATGATGATCATACACTTTGGAAATTGGAATGGAAAGCAGTCACAACAGAGGCATTCGGACATTCGTCTTTACGCAGGCCTTCTGGAAGAGGTCCGGTTCCGACCATATTTGCAGCCCTGCGCCTGGCCGACATCCTCTGTTCTGGCTGTGACCGTTGCCTTAGGATCCTATTGGCATTGCGAGATCAAACCACGCACATCGACATTGATATGAAGTCGACAACAAAGAAACTATGGGCCAACTTCTTCAGAGCAAGGCGTTGTTGACTCAGGCGATGTCATGTTGCCTACATGACGCTCCATGAAACATTCCCTATCTCGGTTGTTGAAGAAGACTAAGGACGGTCAAGATGGTTACAAAACAGTTGGCAAGACTGGGGAGAGAGGGGTAAAATTGAGGAAGCGGAAGGGAGTAGGCGTGCCAATTGCTGGCACCAATGCGATGTCGTCGCGATCGCGATCGCGCGATCGATATCGATGTAATGGTATGTACTTTACGTAAGTAGATGCATTGACAATAATCTGCTAGCTTGCTTTCTCTATTGTATATGGATTGCTCAACTACGCTTTACCGCATGTGCATATCAGCAGACACGGAAGATGGCCAGAATAAGAATATCATTCTTCCATAGACCACAACACTAGGCCTTATGCTACTGGTATGCTTGACAATGACCGTCTAAGTTGCCGGAGGACAGTCTGATCCTGATTTCTCCCTTGACCCGGGATCCCCACTTGTGTCCACTGACACTAAACGCATGCTGTGGACTAGATGATCTAATTCGGGTGTCCCGTTACGGGATTCGGGAAGGGTTGTCACTCTTGGGACAGGCGAGAGCAAGGTGCTGGGGCTGATAAACTCGGCTGGAACATCGCTTCCAGTAAGATGAACGGAAGGCTGTCGCAAAGGGGCAGTCGATGGACCAGTGTGAAGGGATTCGGTGTGTATCGAGACGGGTGCAGGGGTGACGGGATCCGCATCAAATGGAGAGAAGGCTGGCAGATGGGTTGTCGCATGCAGGCCTTTAGCACCCGCAGGAGTCGGAAGGATACCAGTCGAATTTGCAAAAGAGCTCAAGGGCCTCGATGCGAGCCCGGACAACGCTCTAGAGGTACCCTGTTGACTTTGACTACGTAATCCAGAAGGTCCCGATACGCCGAGGGGCATGCCCGCGCTGGCATGCAGTCGCGGATCATACCCAGCCCACATCTGCTGCTGATTTACGCTCGCCCCCTTGCCCAGCTCCAATTGGGCATACAACCGCTGAGGGCTTAGAGGTGCTGAGACCGTCCCTGTCGTTGTCAAGCCACCACCATCTGCGTAGGCGGACGTAGACCGACGGGTTGAGGGACTGCCCCGATGAGAGCCTCCTGCAGTATCGAGGCCGCGAGCGACTGTATCTCGTCCTCTGGAGCCACGCGCGTCAACATCCTCATTGAGAGTCTGTACCCCTCCCAGACTAGTGCCTTGACTATGTAGCCAGAGGTCTTGCGCCGAATATTCCGACAAATCTTCGCCAGTTCTGAGGCCGTGCGATTCGTGCGCCCCAGCTCCTAATCGGTCATAGGATGTTTGAGATTGGGATCGCCATTGGCCCTGGGCATGGGAATTGCTGAAGTTGCCGCGGTTGGCTGACAGTGCGCGAGGGGCTGGAGAAGAAGATCTTGGTGCGCGTTGGAGCTCATCTTCGCGCTCTCGACACAGTTCTGCGAGAGCAAGTACAGCTCGATCGGGACGTTGTGTAAGAATCTTGTCCAACCATCAGCCAAAGATCCCGAGCTCTAGCGAGTTTAGGAACTCACCCTTGTGGCGCGCATGAATTCTCCTCGTATCTATTGCAAAATTCAGCGTGCCCTAATCCCATAATGAAACGTTCACCCACAGTGTAAAGTCCATCTTTAGTCACAGTCCTGGCGACATTGTACGAGATCTCGAAGGGGTCCTATTCCTATCAGCAACTCGTTACATAGACTCGATGATAGTCGCTCACCTCGATACAAAGTCTGTTTCTGTCTCGCGCCATCTCGTTCAGGCCGCCTACATCGATGTCGTTTACCCAGCCCTTGCTTTCTTTTGTCAACTGGCCTGCTCGCAGTGATAAGACGGAATTGTTGAATTGGAAATCATGTGAGAAGTAGCGGAAAAAGTCCACCAGTCTGACTGGATCAGCACTCGTGAGGTAATTTCTGGCTCGACAGATGACTCACAGCTCCCCGACGCTCTCGAAATTAACACTCGACCATTCACGCCTAAGGGTCTCGACATCGTCGAAAAAATACACATTTCTACCCTCGAGCATGACCTCGTCCTCTTCAAGGGGTCGCATGGGCATGATTCGTTGCAAATTGGGCAGGACTGGTGGTTGTTTGACATGCACGAGGAAATACAAAACCATGAGAGTGAACCCGTCTAGTGCGCACATATCAGTTGGCGAAATCGGAGGCAGACAGGCTCTACTCACATGAAGACAAGGTGCCACGGTAAGGAGAATTGATCCTCCGTCGTTTTGACCATACTTTGACTGAGGCGACATGAGCTAATCAGCGAACGACCTCGATGCGATTGAAAGATAAGCTCACGAAACAGAACGAGAGTCCTAACTCTAGCGGGATCGATGGTAGCGTACGTAAGGAGTAGCCTTGTGTTTTCTATCGCTAAACGATTCTCGATGCCGATATCACAGGCAATACCTGTAATTACAGAAATATAAGCAGCCGAGATACATGCCGAGGGATGAGCTTTACTCACCAAAAGGAAGTGCGGGTGATGGAGCGAGTTCGAGTTTCAATATGGGGATACGAGCTCGAGGCAAAGGCTTGACGTTGAAATTTGTCTCCTAAAGGCAAGTCAGCTAAACACAATGGGACTTGACCGTTTGCCTGTGCCACACGCATGACTGACCCGTTCGAGAAGTACTGCCATGCTTTCGACGAAATTTCCGGGATCCAGCTTGGCACCGGAGTCATCGATTAAAACGACCAAATCCATGTCTGCGGCCATGGTCAGGAATCGCCTGAAAGTCTTTTGATGCTTACCGGAATTGCGCAAACCAAAAGAATTACAGCTACTTCCAAAACTAAGCAGTCTCGCTGATGGTTCGAGAGTCTTGATGAGCTTCTCTATCAAACACCGTACTCTGCGGAAGCGAGAATCAGCATAAGAAAGGCTCTGACAGATGAGGCCAACATGAAGCGTCACCGGCAGTGCTATTTGGGCAATATGATCTAGCACGATACCGGCGACGAAGTACGAGAAGCACGAAAAAGTCGGGAAACACATGATTTCTTCGAAGACCATACGTACTCCTCTTTGACACTGAGCTCTTCACTTGGGGGTAGAAGAGGAAGCACGAATGAGAACAGGGATGTCGAGAGATCGTTAAGGAAGCGCCGATGGAGAACGCCGGGATGCATCTTGAACGTTTTGGCCTTTCTTTGATAGAGCTATCGGAAGTTGGGTCAGCACTCAATCCAAATCATTACCGAAGTACGGTCCATGTCTCATCAGTTGACCACCGTCTGACGATTCTACAGAGGGGTTTGGGGAGATAACTTGCTTGCCTCGCGAGTTGGGCAATGGCTTTGTGTAGAAGGACTCCACTCACAAACTAAGACAGGCAAAACTCTTTTGTCGGGACCCGAGCGGATGTAGAGGACGAAAGAAGTCAAAGACTGCTGTTTTGTAGATGCTTCGGAATTTCCTTTCTTCTGGAAGAAAATCCTTGACAGAGAAAATTGGCCGACGGAGACAAGAAGAGGAATAGAAATTCCAACAGGACTCAGCAGGGCTGCTGCTGACGGCGCAGAACCAATTGGTTCTAGTACGTAATATACATGAGTTTATGTAATATTTAACACAGTGGGCGGACGCGACGAGCGCGGCGGCGGTGATGAATGGCACATTGATCAGACGAGAGCAGAGTGACATGCTCAGATCTAAGAAGACCGCTAAGGCCTTAGTGCAGTGACAGACTGCCCAACACAACAAGGCGACAACAAGAAGCTCTGTTTAACAGCCAGGGGTGCTGAGCAAACTGCTCGTACTGTAGATGGCGGTTTCGATTCCACAAGCGACACATCTGCAAACAAGACTCGAGTGACTTTTCCTATAACGTCCCTCCCTCGAGGCAAGAATTCGACTTCGGAAAGTTTGATCTAATCGATCTGCATCCATGTCTGTGAGTGGTCTCAAACATTTTGCAGTATCAACTTCACTTCCTTAAATCCTGTCGTGTTCGAAGACTATTATAAGTATGTCCTGGCGTACGCGAATTTACCACCAGACATCACCCATCACTCGAGAGACCTCTTTCTATCAGAACGTTTCTAGTAAGAACCAACTAACATGATAAGCATCAGCCCCAGACGGTAGCAACTATGGCGAACGGGTCCACCAGATATCACTCTGAAGAGACCTGGGGAGGAGATGCAGCTACGGCTGTCTGGCTCAATGACCTCGAGAAGGCAATGCAAGAGGCCAGGCGGCTCTACGGGGACGTTGCATGGAGATCCACAGGTACGACAGGCATCGACTTGTGGGCTCACAAAGGTAATCCTTTCGCTTTCTCGATTGACTCGCGCGCCGTGCTAACGAGTGTCTTCCTCAGCCATCATTTACGCCCGAGACCCTAGTGAGAGAAGCACATTGTGATCAAGTCGTCTTACGGTCAGAGCTGACATGTTATCTAGAGATCCTCAAAAGCAATCATAGAACACATGGCAACTCCGATACTCTTGAAGTAGACTCAAGGCCGTCATCTCCTGCATCGACAGTCCCGGGCAACCCCGTAGACTACTTTACAAGCCGCTCGGGCTTGACAGAACGCCAAGAATTGAGGACCCTATACACTGCGTATGACATTCAGGCCTTGCGAACCCAACTGAGGTGCGACATACTCTGATCTGAGAGCTTTGATCATCTACTAAAAAGGCTCGCAGCTGGGTATACACGGCTAAAAATAACGATATTTCGTTCGAATCAATATCAAATGTCCCAGTTGGCCACGACCGAAAAGGAACTCTAGGTTATGATGGCCATGATGGGCAAGAGCGCCTGCGACAGGATCTACTCTATATGTGGCGTAGTAAGCTTTATGCCGACGTACGAATCACGGTGATCGGGACACACGACGGCTCACCCCATCACGACGGATCAGCTCAACCTTCGATGGGCGAGTTCTATGCCTGCCACCGGTTTATTCTTTCATGTCGATCCCCATACTTTGCGACGCTTTTGCGGCACTTGCAGCCAGATGAGCATGGCTTCAACAACATATTTCTGCCATGTCAGGTGACTGCCTCTTCCATCCAAACCTGTCTCCGGTATATCTACACAGGGTCTCTCAATGTCACGATCAGCGAAATCGACCTCACACAGGCACTGCAGCTCTATGATTGCGCCAAGCTTCTCGAATTACCACATCTGCTCCATCATATTGAAAGTCACATCATTGATCACCTGTGCCATGGAATGCTTTGGATAAGGTGCCATTGCGAGACATGCCAGGTGAGGACTCGTCAAGTGTGGCTGCATGTGTTCGGAAGTGCTCGTGAAAGGATGGAAGGCAAAGCCAGAGCTTATCTTGTTGATGGCTGGGAGACGTCTTGGGACGCGACCGTGGCTGAGGCTTCCCCGGACAGACGATCAAGTCTAGTGGAGGCATTACTTGATCGTATCACAGTCGAAACCGCAAGCCACTACTGTCGACGGTCTTCCAACATGATTCAGTTGGTCGCTGATGGCCTTTCTCGGAACGAGGACAGGATTATGGCGAGAGCTGAGCCCGCACGCTGTGATTTCCTCCGCAATGTGGCTCTTTCAGTGTATGAACGGGCTGTTGTTCTTCTCGTCGATCAGCATGAGGGGGCGCGTCCTACGACGACGCAATCACCCCGGCGAGTGTCTGCAGCTGTAACAGAAGACCGCGGAGACGCTTTCGAAACTATCAAAGTACAAAATCTCCCTGGGGTCAGTTCCTTCCTACATTCGCAAGGCGATTACTGAATACAATGACCTTCCTCCCAGCATAACATACCTGTCAGGAAAGAGCGTCTGCCTGATATCGAGTCTTACCGACATGAGCAATCCACACTAGACAAGTACGCAACCTGGGATCATCCAAGAGGTACGCATCTCCTTGACTCCTTCAGAAGGCAACTGACATCCTTGGACCGGCAGACATACTGGGTCAGTGTAGCTTAGGCGCAGCTGGTAAACCCCAACATGACATCAAGCACATGAACAGACCGTCCTCGAGATACAAAAAGAGGCGCGAAACAAAGCAAGCATCCCTGGTGAGTCAGCCTACCATCTCAAGTTCGAGCTGCTCTCAACTGTCTCCATAGATCGCCGATCATACGCTAACTCGCCAGCTCGCTGGTCCTCTTGACCTTCATCTCAGAAGCCTTTTGTCGCTGGCCGAGGTGGACAAGAAGGCTATCTCTCCGATCAACGACAACCATGACGTGCTGCCCGAGCAAGCGGGGCAACAACAACCAATGGTTGATTTCATGACTCAAACTTCGACGGTTGACCCCCAAACAGGCATCGCACTGAATGTGGGTATACCTTGCATTGTCGTCCATCATGGTGGGCCCCGAATCAAAGCGTGTATACAGTACATCGGGCACGTGGAGGGTGTAAGTCTCAAATAGGCCAAGGGTGTGTATGATTAAGTCTGACTATGCACCAGTTAGTGGGCCCTCGAGTAGGAGTGATTTCAAAAGACTTCATCGGCACTAGTGTTCCAGCATTATCCACGGGCACGTATCTCGGACGCCACTATTTCGATGTGCCTCCAGATGATGGCAAAGACTTCGCATCAGGCCGCACTTGTGCGGAGTTGGACCTGCAAGATTCTCCGGAGCGAATCAATCACAAGGCACCCGCGACTGCCCGCTATTGCAGAGCATTCTTCGTTCGACCTTGCGATATCTTGGTCGTCCTCGGAGGCGCCCTGTAGCCAGACGTCAGCCATCCAGAGTAAATGATGTACTGTATGACTATTTGATGTGATGCTTTCAGTGACATTTTACTTGTCTTCTTGTGTGATGGTCAGAGTTGGAATAGTACCATTGCAGGCTCTGCGCTTATGGGGTTTCATAGGGTTACTTGCCAATCAACAATCGAGGTAAAATCTGGGAGGAATATACTCTGCTAGCCGAGATTGTTGCAATCAGGGAAACCACGAGGGGCTGTCGCAGCTTGTCGAAACTGCGGCTGGTAGTTATTTAGTTTCCGTGTTGGCAAAACAGGGTCATTGGAGTATACAGTGTATCAGCAGGTCTAGCTGTAAATCACAATGTCTGTGCCGCTATGATAGATGCAGTAGTAGTGGTACAAACCGAGCGCAGGTCGGCTGATTTGAGCATCTATGACCTTTACACCATCTGCCCTCTTTCCTCCGGACCTTCAATTTGCCTGCTGGGTCCACGACACACTCTGTTCAGGCAGCTTGATCTGGTCTCTCCAGGGTAGTTCGGCGCTCATCAAGCACTTGAGCTCGATGACCACAGAGCGAGGCGGGCCTTTCCGCTGTTGACTCATAAGCACCAATTTGTCCAATTACGCAGCCTGAAATCGATAAGTAGCCCCAATTACATGCAGCCTACACTTCTGCAATCGGACATCGGATCACCGGAAGATAGAGATTGTAAGCCGGCTGGAGGAACAGAGCCAGCGCACCGGATGCCAGGGGTTAACAGATCCACAGCTAATTCCTGGACCAACGATCTTCAACCAGCGGGCACACGGACCACGACAGAGGCGGAAGATAAAAGGTGCAATGACCAATCCATATGCTCAATTTCGAGCATCACTATTCCAATCCTCGGTCAAAAATAAAAACAGAAGCAATGGGATACATGTCGGTCAAAGATCGACCACCATTCAGACCTCCATCAATTGCCCGCTGAATCGACCACTACAGGTCAACCGACCCAAACCCATGCCTGATATTTGAGAGATTGTAGGAAGGGTGCGGAAGATTAGAGGTTGAGCTTCGTGCGTCGCCAGTGTCGTCGCTTGGCGTTGTACTACAGGTGAAGAGTCAGCTGGAATGACAGAAGAGAGCATCGCCCGCAGAACCCCGTGGGAAATTTTAGCGAGATAACGAACCTGGATCTTGTCTAATGATGACAGTCAGCGAATGAATCATAGCTTGCAAGCAGACTTACTGTCAGTCTTGAGACGGAACCATTGGGGAAGTGGTCGGTTCTGACGAGCCTTCTTCGCAAGCTTCTGCTTGACAATAAACGTTTTTTGAGAAGGCTATACGGAAGCAAGTTAGCGTGTCCAAATGCGTTTTGGGGTCGACTCTCCGACCACGGCTGGAATGGCTGGACGGAAGACAAGGTGATTTGGGGCCGAGAAGGAGCCGGACTGGTGGAGAGAAGACCTACCATGGTAGTCCTGGGGGGAAACTTGTCGTTTACTCGATTGTGATCGCCCACAGTTCTTTTACCACATCTTTGTGGAATGCCGCTAAACTCCGGACGGCTTTAAGATGTGGCACTGTGGCAGATCGCGGCGACGACGACAGCAACATTACATAACACGATCTTCGCGGCGGCCGCGGCGGTCGCGGCGGCGGCGCGGTGTGTGACCATGGTTAATGGCCTGGCGAACAGGCGAAGCAACCACCATGTATAAAAATGAGAATGACTACCAGTCATCATACCACAGCAGCTACTGTCTCTTCATTTCGAATTTTGTTCTCAAACATCGCTGATGCCTCCAAGGTGTCAGACTCTCAACTGATGGCAAACAGTTATCGTCACGCGTAGCAGTCCAAATGACGTGATATAGCGGTACACTTTGTGCGTACAAGGTCATATCGATCCTGGCAGGCCTTTACGAGCTATCATAGACGATTGTATGCTCACTTGAGAAACAGCCAGCTGAGGGTTCTATGGCGCGCCGAAAAAGGGTAAAAATTTATTCTCATTTTTTTCTTGGCTCGATCTTTCTTTTTCGGTGCTTTTTGGTGACCCCTTCAACATGGCAATACCGTAGGCATGTACGATCGGTCTATATCTCAACCATGGGCTGCTCCCTCTTAGCTGGTGAAGCCATGCATATCATTATCAGCACCGCATAGCGCACCACTTGCCTCGCCCACCACCTGCCACCGGCCAACCGCCCAACGGCCTCTTCTCCCAACGCTCGGACCGAAGGGTGCCATATCCTCAGTCTTGTATCTTCAACACACAACAACAGCCTAGTCGCTCCCAGGAGATCCAGGCGACGGACATTCTATTCTTGATCTTTCCATTACCTCTAGTTCATCTTCATCGTCGCTGTAAGAGATTGGTACAGACTGCTGGTCAGTAGGAGGAGATCTAGTGACGCGGACATCGAAACGCTGAGTCTGATGCCGGCGCCCGGCGCCCCTAGCCAGATCCCTTACGTGACTGATCCAAGGTCACGCCACCTATCCGCCCTCTTACAGTCGCCCATCTCTACCACATCACAGCCTCAATACCCCGTCTTCTAGCCATCAGAAGGGGGTACGTCAAGTCTCCCTGTCACCGTCCATATGACTTTCTGGCCACCCTCTCCCACCCAGATCACAAAACTGCGCACTGACATTCAAAGGGAGGAGACGAGGTTGCTGAGGAAGAATGGTTGTAGAAAGAGCAGAGATCACACGGAGGCGTCAGGAGCGGGCTCGAGATGATGCTCATCGTATCTGTCGGCTTCACTTGTCTCCCTTTGAGCCAGATGGTGCACAAGTATCGTAGCATGTTTGCGCATAGTATTGTGGGCCTGGCTGGCTAGGCGTTGTTGCAGGTATGTGAGAGGTTTGCTGGGGCACTCGTTGGTGATGCTATCTACTTCACTGTATCTCGACTGCTTCATGCACCTAGCCTACAAGGATGTCACCTTTGACATGATCCGTGCGTTGTTGCAAAGACAAGTGATGTGCAGCGCTGGTTGGTTGGAAATGGACTCAGCTGGGTAGAGCTTGACTGGAGTGGCGCTCCCCTGTGCAGGCTTTGGCCATGGGACGCGTGATGCATGCTCCGGAGCGGAAAAGCATCGAAGGCAAAAGAGCGAGCCAAAAAGACGTTGATCAGTACTCGTAGAGTACTCTACTTACTCTACTCGAGTAGGAGGAAAAAAACCGAGATAATTATCACCCTTTCGTTCGGCCCGCCATAGTCTTCCTTTCCGAACAATCTTCTTTCAAAGCGTCTGCCTGCCCATTCTTCAAGACTCTCAACGTCGCTTCTGCTACTGTTCTCCCCGCAGGCCCTGAGATATTCGCGTCTGCGAATGCTTAGCCGAAGGCATATAGAAGAAACGTGGTGAATAATAGCAATGCTTGAGCGGGGAGGTTGTATGATCTGAGGTTCGCGGGAATCGGGGTGCGTTCAAGAGGACGCGGCTGGCAAAGAGGGCGCTAGGATGTCGGGATGCGAATCTAGCCGCTCGTGTTTGCCTTGGCCCGGTGAAGCTTCTCCCACAGAGCTGATTACCATCGGCAGACCAGGTACGCAACGAATCGCTGCCTCTGTCCACTCCACCTTCAAGGCTTCCAACACTTTCTCCAACCCATGCGCGTGACTCACTTCTTCCAGCGGGACAACCAATGCCTCCCACAGCTCACACCGTCGAGACGCTGGAAAGCACATCGTGAAGCCCCCTCTCATGCCAACCTACTGCTATATGGATTGCAAGTACAGAGGAGGCGATAGTGTGGCGCAACATGGGTGGATGGGGATGGGGGAGGCCGTGGCGAACGATCAAGGGTATGTACAGGCGGCAAAGGTAAAAAGATGCAGCGGGACAGGGGGCTGATGAGGTTATTGTACATGGTGCGTACTGACGGGGGACATTGGGGGAACACTTCAACGGTGCGGCTATCTCTTTGACCTGTACCTCAAGCGGCCTCATCTGACTTCATCTGACTTATCACTTTACCACAGGCAGAGGACGTGCCCTCATCTTTATTCATGAATCAAATGCCGACCCAAGGGCACTTCTGTGACGCGCTCTTCCTTAAGCCTGGGTAATTCATTTCGGTTCGCGTCCAGCTTGGACGTCATCGTTGCTTTCAACGTGGTGTATTTGCAGTGTCTTTCTCCACCTTTCTCACATCTGTTATCTCCACGACCTCCAGCAGACAGGAGCAAGATGAGATCGTGCACACAGAGCCTTCCTGTGGTGATCAGGCCTGCTCTTGGGGGACAGCTGAAATCATCATCAAGTGTTGTTGCGGGTGGAGTCCAAGTACTTGAAGAGGAAGACACCAATGTGCTTGGAGAAGGTCTCTGAAGGAGGAGTAGAGTTTTTACTGAAGAAGAGGAGGAGAGAGAGTTAAAGAGTTATTGTTTGAGGTCTCTGTCCCAACACCCAGCCTCTCTTATATTCATGAATAAGTGACGAGTGGATAGACGGAGCGACTACGTGATACGTCTACGACACGAAGCGAATAAGGGTACAAGTCGACCAGCGAAGCGTACGAAAAGCTAAAGACAATAAGAAAGGAGAGACGGGCGGAAGAAGGTAGGATAACGAATACGGGCGTGTCGACGTACGTCGGACAGCCTTATTAGAAGAGAAGAACGAGGAGAGGAACAAGTAACGAAAGCGAAGACGGAGGCAAGCAAGGGTAAAAGAGTCCATGGGGCGTGCAGGCGCCTAGCACACTACACTTTCTCCCCCGACTAAGTTGCACCTCCATAGCCTCTTCATTGTATGTTGACTCACGCACTCACTCATGTATTGCAATTCCTAAGACCTATACAAAATCAGAACCAACATAGAGACGCAGTCATTTCTTGTTAACATATGCTCACTATCGTCAATATCCATGCCAGCAGCGGTGCTGAATGTGGAATGTACTTGTGCCTTACATTATGAGCGGTTTCTCGTTGACAAAGCCACGACGACAACGACCACCACTCGGACCATTTACCAAAAGTATTAGTCAGTTGATTATCCTCGTAAACCATCATTGCACTACGATCTAAGCTGACGTTACTTTGCCGACCTGCCCACCGCGTTGTTGGTGACAAGGATCGGGAACCGCCGGAACATAACGGTGAAGCAAGTATTGTAAGATGTACTGACTATGATGCGCTTAGTCTACGCCCGACAATCCCGACGACCAAATGAAATGAGTCGTCGAGAGTCTCAAGCCCGGGCCGTCAAGCATTGATGGAAGAAGTCGCGGACGTCTGCAAGGAGGTAGAGTACTCGTGCACTATTATAAATTTGCATAGCAGAAGGGACTATTTGAAACTCGTTCCTCTGACTCGAGTGTCATACGTCGCAATATCGCGAATCGGAAGCCACAATAGCTACATATACAAGTGTGGCGTCAGTATATGGCGATCAAGTCTGTGGCCGAAAAGAAAAAGACTCACTCGTTACCATCTGCCAATCGACGAGGTGAGCCTGCTTCGAATGGATCGCTGCCGAAGAACAATAAGAGTGCCGCGCAGGGCTGCCGAAGAGGAACAATAAGAATGCCGCACGGGGTTGCCGGAGAACAATAGGAATGCTGCGCAGGGCTGCCGAAGTCCTGATCTTGACGATGGCAATGGCTTATGCGTCTTTTTCACACCGAAGATCCTGAAAATCCTGAAGAACAATGGGAACAGATACGACTTTTTGAGAAGGTCCAAAGCTTGGTCGGCAATGGTCCTGCCGGAGGCACGTCTTACATATCCTCCTTAGCTTCTTATCACGCCGGGCCACAGATCCTTATACGTGCGAAGACTGGACGACGTTGACAGCATGTATACACTGAAAAAAACTTGCTAAACAGTGTGGTGGACATCTCGTCGAAGAATTGAACAACATATCTACGCTCTACGCAATACTCCTGCCGGAACGGCTCTGCCGTCTGTAGATCAGACTGTAATATGGAAAACAGAACAGTCTCTGATTGCCCTCTGGCCCCCTGGGTGATGCGACCTCAATGGGTCACTGCACCATATCAGAAGTCAGAGCCCCCCGAAAGAAAGCGGGGAGCGGGCAAGCTCATTGGCGGAATGGCTGATGCCGAAGAACAATAAGAAAGCCGATTCTGCCGGCCGAGCGCCGACACCTATACTGCGCCATATGTACACGTGTAATCACGACCTGAATACCGAGCTATGTATTTGCGTTCATTTCGTCCCTTCAAATCAGGAATTCGGCAGCCCTGCGCAGCATTCCTATTGTTCTCCGGCAACCCCGTGCGGCATTCTTATTGTTCCTCTTCGGCAGCCCCGCGCGGCACTCTTATTGTTCTTCGGCAGCGATCCATTCGAAGCAGGCTCACCTCGTCGATTGGCAGATGGTAACGTAGAGTACGAGTACTGTCTGGCACTATATAAGCAGACCTCCCAGATGTGAATTCTACACCACCCCACACCTTCCAATCCAACACCCAACACCACAACCACCACTACAATGGACGCCTTCACTGCTGTTTTCACCACCCTTACCTCTTCTGTCGCCGCCAACGTCGAGGCCCCCCGCAACGAGGAGGCTTACGGTAGCGGCGGAGGTATCCTGTCATCGCCTAGAAAGCGGAAATTCCTAGTGGGTCTTGTACTTTTCGGCCACAGACTTGATCGCCATATACTGACGCCACACTTGTATACGTAGCTAGTATGGCTTCCGATTCTCGATATGGCGACTAGCGACGCACTGTAGCTGCTGGAGAACGGGTATATCAGGAAACTTCCTCTTCAGATACCAGCTCTTCATCATGCATATTTCTACGTCCTTACTTGGTCATTATATTACGAATACATTCGTCACTTTCTTTTCAAGTCCGCTCGTTTCCTGTATCCATCTTCCAATTCCAATCATGACGGGACTTCATCGAGCCTATGCTGTCCGAGCTCGAGAACTGTACCCGTACTGTATCTCACGAGAAATCCACATAGTGAATAGACTCCTCGACCTCCCAGTACGCTCTTCAAATTCCCTCATACGCCTGATATACCGTGCTGTTGATTGAGCTCCTTCTTCTCACAAGCAAACACTTGGACGTGCCTACAGCTCACAAAATGACTGTTACCTCCCGCTGGAGGTGGATCACCAGTAAGAAAATTGACGCACTCGCAAGACTCTCAACATCCATACAAAATACACATCACCTTTTCTCGATCGTTATTGAAATATTCATCCGTACCATACTCGATTTAGGCGTCAACACAACTGTTAGCTGTACAGTATGTACTTCAGGCCTCATTGGGCTGGCAAATGCAATGACTACAGGCGCAATCTCATGAAGGTCGCCGCACGCTCCTAGTCCGTCAGCTCCGCCGCCTTGTACCCTCAAGCAGGGTACGTCATTGAGGACTATTTTGTCCGAGCCCCAGTCGATCAATTGTCTGTGGCCGCTGAATCGTGAAGAGTGGTTTGCGACGTCCTACTATATGGAAGGTATGTCACTGCAGCACCATGCAGAAAGCATTAAAGGGTCGTGCAGCAAGATCCGCCGTTGGCGTCGCGATACTCGAGTCCATATGTTCCTACTCGTACTGTACAAGTATCATTCCCGTGTCCACGACGAGGGTGAGCCCTTGGCATCAACATATAGCACCAGCGGGTTGCATGTACTGTTTTTTTAACATCTGATGATCGAAGTGCCTTCATTGGGACGTCCGAGCATTGTCAGAACGGTTGATGTAAGCAAAGCCATGTCTAAGATCATCAGCGCATACTGGAACGGAAGGTATAGGTGGAAAGAGGATCTTTGAACATTGTGTCAAGTAAAGGTGGTGGCATTCTGATGTATTACTGTGTACGGAACGCCACAATGGTATCAATTAGAGTTCCAAGGCAGAGGTGAATTTGATTGCTCTACCTCATTTCACTCATGCCTGCAGGAGAAGAATGGGAGGACCCTAGCCACAGGCATGCCTACTGTGGGTCTTCGTATCCCTTGACGATGTGTCTAGGTCTGCTAGGGGCTACAATCTCCGTCAGTAATCTTCTTGTAAGATTAATACAACACCGAAGAGCCTCAAAGTGGACCGCCAAGGCGCACGGGGGTTGGTACATACTAGGGAAGGAGGTAGGGATGGGAGCGGGGGATTGGTAGCCAAAAGATCGCCGAATGGGTGGAACAGTGAGGACTGCAACGGGGCCTGAGCACGCAGTGTGTCAGCAAACTCCACGGCGATCGCATCAAGTAGAAGTTCATGAGAGAAAGGCAACCTGCTTACCAGCGAATCCCAGGAGTAGAGACCAGAAGATGACTGGGCTTTCGTGGGCCAGGCGTTGCTGAGAGGTGTCAGCTGGAAGGGGATGGGAGAGTGGCGTGTAACACTGCTTACGGTGTATCTGTAGATGGCTGCCATGTTTGTTGGTCGGATCGAGTCGTCGCAAGGTTGCTTTTCGTCAAGCTGTGTCCGGCGCAATTGGCAGCATGGAATTGGCGCAAGATATCGATGGGACAGATTAACCTGTAAGTATGGTTAAGCTCGAGTGTGATTGTTTTTAACAGCAATTTGTTACGTAATACAAAAACTTCGAATGGCTGCCGCTGCTGTTGTTGCTCGAGATGTGGGATGCATGGACCGTTACCGTTATACATTCCACTTCCAAGCACCATGGGCAAGGGCAAGAACCATGACCGCAAAGCGAATCCCGGATTTGGCAAGACAAAGGGCAAGAGCTCGTCGGGATCATCCTCAGAGTTCACCATGAAGAAAGTCAAGGGTGCGCACTCCGCCCTCAATCCAACAAAGCTCGCCGCTGATAACGTCGCTGTGCAGGGGAAAATTTCTATAGGGATGCCAAGTCAGCCTCCAAGGTTAAGATGCTCAATGGTGGCAAACCAGTCAGAGACAAGGACGGAGTGATCACCGAGGCGGCTGCATTTCAGAAGGGCGAGAAGGATGTGCTACCTGGCAGGGTCAAGCCGGACAGAAGGTGGTTTGGTACGTGGCGCTCTACATCTCTGAGATTCCTCATTGGCTCACTATGGATGAAGGAAACACAAGAGTCATCTCCCAGGACGCTTTGGATCACTTCAGGACGGCATTGAAAGAACAGAAAGCCGACCCCTACTCTGTTCTTCTCAAGAGGAACAAATTGCCCATGGGCTTGCTACAAGATGAGAGCTCGGGCGCTGCCAAGGTGTGTTCTGAAAATTTCCGTTCCTCGCCCATGCTGACTTCATGCGAGCGTCCACACATTGTTGAGACTGAGCCATTCGGCAATACATTTGGTCCCAAAGCTCAGAGGAAGAAGCCTAGATTGGACATTGGCAGCTTTGCTGAACTTGGTGAGAGTTCTGCCGCTGCCGAAGCCTCGGCCATTGCTGAAGCCCGTGAGCTATTCCTTTGTCGCTTTCTGGTATTGACCACTGACGGCTGTTCAGGAGGCAATGCCACTGCCGACCCCGCCGACATCTATCACCCCACAACGTCTACTGCTCGAGAACCCATCTACGCCAAGGGTACATCCCGTCGTATCTGGGGTGAGCTCTATAAGGTTCTTGATTCTTCGGACGTCGTTATCCACGTCCTCGACGCAAGAGATCCGCTGGGGACCAGGTGCAAACCTGTCGTAGAATATCTGAAAAAGGAGAAGGCCCACAAGCACCTTGTCTATGTTCTGAACAAGGTCGATTTGGTACCTACATGGGTTACTGTAAGTGGCCTTTGAATTGCCAGCACACTCCAAAGCTACAATCTCATTGTCGAGCTGACCCATTCGTGATAGGCCAAGTGGGTGAAACATCTCTCACAATCCGCTCCGACCATTGCCTTCCATGCTTCCATCAACAATTCGTTTGGCAAAGGCTCCCTTATCCAGTTACTTCGACAGTTTTCTGTCCTCCATTCGGACAAGAAACAGATCTCTGTGGGCTTCATCGGTTATCCGAACACGGGAAAGTCCTCCATCATCAATACATTAAAGAAGAAGAAGGTCTGCACTGTCGCTCCCATCCCAGGTGAGACCAAAATCTGGCAGTACATCACTCTGATGCGTCGCATCTATCTGATCGACTGTCCTGGTATCGTTCCTGTCTCCGCCAAGGACTCGGATACGGACACTGTCCTCAAGGGTGTCGTGCGCGTTGAGAACCTCGCCACGCCTGCTGAACATATTCCAGCATTGCTTGAGCGGGTCCGTCCCGAGTACCTCGAGCGCACTTATGGCCTGGAACCTGTCGAAGGTGGATGGCATGGGGAGGAAGGTTCCACTTTGATTCTGACAGCAATTGCCAGGAAAAGTGGTAAGCTGCTGAAGGGTGGTGAGCCCGACCAGGAAGCGGCGGCCAAGATGGTTCTCAACGATTGGATCCGAGGAAAAATCCCTTTCTTTGTGACTCCGCCCACCAAGGAGGCTGAGGCTGCTCCTGCCGCGGTCACTGATGTCGCTGCTGCTACCGAGGCATCCCAGAAGGCCACTGAAGAGGAAGAGGAAGCTGAACGAGCGATGCTCGTGGAGCAGCAACGCCATCTGAGCAAAATTTTGGGTGAAAAGCGAGTCAAGGGGGTGGAGCAACCCTTGAAAAAGATTGTCACGATGTCGAAATTCCTAGGTGAGGACGCTAGGAAGTATTCGGACATGATTGAGGAGGACGAGGAACAGGCCGGGGACGAGATGGTGATGGGTGACGACGACAGCGACGCGGCTGATCAAGTCGAGGATGATGATGAAGAGGAGGAGGGTAGTGAAGAAGAAGTTGACGATGGCGAGGTCGGCTGGGACGATGTCTTTTCAGATGCTGAAGGGCCAGAGGCAGGAACTGGGGAAGGTGGCGAGGCGGTATCCGGAGCTTCGACCGCACAGGTCAATAAGCGAAAGGGTGAGCTGCAGTCGACATCGCCCAAGAGCTCGCTGACAGTAAAGTAGCCGCTGCGTCTGATTCGGGCTCCGAGACAGACGCTGCGCCCAAGAAACGGATGACGACTAACAAGCGCAAAGCCGCCAACTTCTACACAACTGCGAACGTCAAGAATAGAAATCGAGACAGAAAAGTTCCCAAGACAGCTGGAGGCGGCAAGAAGCGTGGGCGTGGGGATGAAGAGCCGACTGGGAAGAAGGCCAAGAAGAGAAGATGAGGGGCATGTGCTGTTTAATACCCATTTTTGCCATACCCGTATCGCGTTTCCAGGTCTCTTTGCTCTCGTGGCTGTTGCATGAAGTCTATTTGTGCAGTGTGCTCTGATACTCTGGCAGTCTGTACAGTCCACTGTTCATGGTGGTACTCGCATAAAGAGATTGTTGTTACGTACTGCGGTATATGCCAGGCACCACCGAGAAGTTGCACGACTGAGCCGTCTTCAGGCCGTCTTCGTTTGTGCTGTCCGAGTCTCGCGTCCACCTCACGTCCACCATGTCTGCTGCTCTTCGCCGCCTCGCCCTCCGCCCGCCCGCCTGCCACTCCAGAGCATTCGCCTCCCAAGCCCCAACCCACATCCCCGTCATCCGGACCCTGCCACAACTGCGGCGATGGCGCAGAGCTGCCAGGGAGAGGGGCCTCGGCGTCGGAGTGGTCCCAACCATGGGCGCCCTGCACGAGGGGCATATCGACTTGGGTGCGCTCATTGACCAAAGATACGGCTCAAGCTGATCACCCATGTCAGTCCGAACGTCATTGTCACGAAACCCTCTGACTGTCATTACCGTCTTTGTCAACCCTATGCAGGTAGGCAAGCTTTTGGAAACCATAGTCCATGCGTTGATGCCTGCTTGGGACTAGTTTGCCCCGACAGAAGACTTTTCGGCGTATCCTCGCCAACTGGAACGCGATCTCTCCACCCTGACCTCTCTTCTCCCTTCGCCCGGCACACTGTCTTCCGTTCTGCGCGGACTCGGTATCAGCGAGAACGATGCTTATCGTCCATCAAGCACGGCCACCAGTACAGCGAACGCCAACATTCTGTCATCGGCGAACGAATCAGAACGCGAGAGGAACAGGGACAACGAGTCGCCTCTGGTGGTATTCGCTCCCTCACCGGATGTGATGTATCCTTTGAAGGGAGAACTGCAGGATTTGGATGCCCACAAGGGTGTCGAAGTCAATGTGCGTGGGTGGGGCGAGCTGATGGAGGGAGCTTCGAGACGTACGTCCACTTTCCAGATGGGAGAATATCGCCAACGTCCTTGCAGCCCAATTCTTCAAGGGTGTCGCTACTGTATGCACCAAGCTGTTCAACGCTGTGGAGGTGGGTCGTGGTACGCAGGGATGACTGGCAACTGCTAACGAGTCTGTAGCCTGACCACGCATACTTTGGACAGAAGGATATCCAACAAGCACTCTTGCTCAAGATCTGTATGCTGCCACCTCTTCCCGTACAGATACCAACTGACATTTCTTGCAGTGGTGAACGATCTCCTTCTATCCCACCCCACTCCCGAGAATCTCCACATCCTGCCCACCACCCGCGCCCAATCCGGTCTCGCCCTTTCTTCCCGGAACGCGTACCTTTCTCCATCCGAGCTATCCGCCGCCCCCATCCTATTCTCCGCCCTGTCCGAGGGGCAGGCTTCTTACGAAGAAGCGCAAAGGGCAAAGAACAATGAGTTGACGGGGGAAGACATCATCTCTGCTGCCACTGGCATACTCCTGGCAGAGCAGAGCAGGCTGTTGCAGGCCTCTTTGGGGTCCAAGGAGGCTGGTGTGGAGATGAGGCTAGATTATGTAGAGCTGTTTGATAAGACCACTTTTGAGCCCGTGAGGGGCCCTGTCGGAGATAAAGAGATGGTGCTCGCCGGGGCGCTCTGGGTGGGAAAGACGAGGTTGATTGATAATGTTCTTCTGGGCTGGACATGCTCGTGAGGCTAGATATGGACAATTGTATACTTGTAACGATATGGCATTAGCCTGCATGACGTGTGCTGCTATATATACAGAGATCTATAGGAGAAGGATATTATACACTATAAAATATGCTATGATGAGGCATCCGCCCATGACGTGTACACGGACGTCGTCCCGATATGTACAAGTAGATCTATACACTGCCCTCATTGGCGTCTCCTCCCCTTTATCTTCCCGGCCCTCGCAAGGCCTCCGAAATCTTCTCTCGCCACCAACCATAGCCCGGTAACACACACCATGTCCTTTAGATTCTCCTCGGTCAACGCTACGCTCTCCTTGACCTTTTTCACTGCCGTCCCCAGTTCGCCGTCCGCGGCTCCATCCCCGCTCGAGGCCGGCTGGCGCTTGACATCGGTCAGGCTGACAGCGTCTAGCGAGACGGGGATCTTGAGCACGCCAATGACTTTTGGATGGTGCGGGGCGCGGACAAGCGTCCCGAGCAGTTGGCGCTGGCCCGTCCCCTTGACCCAGACCCAGCACGACCACGGCACCTCGCTATCTTCTGGGTCTTCTGACGTAGCGTCTTCGTCTGCCGTTGTATCGCCCCCGCCCCCATTGATGGAGCTGGTGTCTTCAAACGAGATGGACGGTTGCCTGGATGCTTCCGAGGAGGCGGCGCTAGCGGCGTGGGAGACTCTGCGTATCGGGTCTGGACGCGGATCAAAGGCGGGCGACTGTGGCCGTGAAGAGAATGGGGAGGGAGGATTTGAGGCGCCCGATAGCTCGTTTGGCGTCACTGGGGATGGTGAGAATGATCTCGGGCGATCGCTGTTGATAAAACTTGTCGTGGCACTGGCCCTCGAGTCGGTGGAGATGCCACGAGCTCGCCCCAAGGCGCTGAGACCTCGAGACTTTGCAAAGTCCCCTTCGTCCTCTCTGTCATTGGGAGACCCCTTGATCCACTCGAACTGGACTTCGTGCTCATCTGCCAGGTCCAAGGCACCGACCATCTCGAGCCCTGCAGAGGCAGCTGCCACGAGATGGGCCGACCATCCTTCGCTGTTCCTCCTCGCCCAACGCCTTACAGTCCACGTATAGCCAATAGGCCTGGAGCCAGAAGGCCGAAAGTTGGAAGGCCCCAAGGTGGGCGACGTTGGTGGTTTATCGGGCAACTCGGGTCGGAGAAAGTTGCGGTCGCATGGTGAGCGGGCGTCGCCAGCCTGCGGGCGGACGATGACGCTGGGAGAGGTGCCGAATGTGGGATAGGCGAGCGTGGTGCTCGGGACGAGATGGCTGTCTGAATAGCCCGCGTATGTCTGGTTGTTGGGTTTGGAGGCCGGGTGGGGCATAGTTTCGCTTGCTGATACCCGCGATATGGCGCCGACATCTGCAGACTGGACCGAGGCGGATCGACGCATCGCTGTGCTCGATGCCCCTTCGTCATCACCAGCAGTCTTCTTCTTTCGAAAGATCTTTCCGAAGAGCTTTTTGGCTCCATTCTCCCCGCCGGGCCCGCCTTCCTTGACACGGAGGCTATCAAAGTTGAAGCCTTTCAAATCGAGGCTTGCCCGTATGCCGCTTTTACTCGCACCGTCGTCGGATAGAGGATTGGCAGAGTTGTAAGATGCGACGGATAGGGGTCTGCGGCGTGGTGCTTCTGAGCGTTCAGTGTCGGAGGTGGCGTGTGATGTTATAGGATAGAGAGTAGGGTCTGAAGAGGATGAATATACCTCGGCGGGCTCGACGATACCGACCCCGACGACATCTACACCGCGTTTCAAGAACTGCAGTTGTCAGCGCAATGACCGACGATATGGACAAGGACACACCTTTGCGACCTTGACATCGGTGGCGGCATCTGTGACTACGGTCGGGTGCACTACGCTGTGGACTGCGAGATTAAACATTGGCTCGATTCTCTTGCCCGAGGCACCGCTGGTGGTACTGCTTGTAGCGGTCGACATGCTCGACTTTACAGACTGGGACCTCTTGAGCGAGACGCCGCCTGCTTCCGAGCTCGGGCTGATAGCAGAGGCCGGGGAGGAGGGAAGACCGAACTGGGATGACGTAGGGGTGGTGGACACTGGAGAGTTGTCAGACAGGTCGCCGTCGCGCTCCTTTCGTGGGGTGGATGGGGCGGCTGAAGAGTAGTTGGAGGAGGTGGAGACGCCCCTGGGTCGGTTTCGTTTGACGACGAGTTGTATCTGGAGATTGAGGGGATTTTTGGCTGCGGCGGGCGGTGGCTTGACGATAATGTATGTCTGCGCGGGGTCGAGATTAGTCGGATGCGTTGGGTGTCGGACGGTCTGGCTTACATCAAGGGGCTGCTTTCGGCCTCTACGGTCTGCAAAGGCGTCTTGGAAGCCACTAGAGGCGGCCTTTGTGCTCTGTGTGCGCCTTCGCCTGCCGCGAGACATACCGGTGACCTCTGGCTCTGCTATCATGACGCTGGTGCCCGAGCTCTTGCGCCGCCCGTCTGCGCCGAGGCTGCTTCTGCTGGGTGCGCTGCCCGAGGAGGAGAGGGAGGGGGCGGGGGAGGGCTGGGGCGGTGTGGAGGGGCCGGGGTGTGGGGGCGGTGTGTCTGTGTGGTGCTCTGGGGAGAAGAGGGCGTAGGGGTTGATGGTGGTGGTGAGGTCGCGGAGGCCGCCGAGGGTGGGGAGGAAGGGGGGCATCGCGGCGGGCAGAGGGAGGGAGAAGAGAAAGGAGGAGGGGATAAAAAGCTGACGCGCCAGACATCCTTCGGGCATCGTCCCATACATGTCAACATCCCCGCGGCATCCCCCGCCGAGCCACTGTGTGCATCCATCCTCAGCTGTATGTGGCTATGTGCCGCCCTGTCCCGGCCGCCCTCCCATGCATCCTCCCCTCTCCTGCCCCCCTACTCCCCCCCTGCTTCCCCCCCTACTCCCTCTCCAGCCCACCCCGGCGCCCGCCACTCATTCACCGAGCCCCCGCCCGCCGGCCTAACCGAACATCATTAATAAGCTTTTACAAGGTGGTCATATCATGCATCGGCCGCCGCAACTACTGCACCAGCCTCTCCCACGTCCGCCCCGCCATCGACCGCCCCTCGCTACGCAGCCGCCCCTCCTCAAGCCCCGCCTTTGACACAGACTCCGCCACGCCCCTGTCCCGCCTCGCCCTCTCTGCCGTCGCCCCCTGCCGCCCCCATGCGCTAGCATACCCCGGCAGCAGCACCGGCGACTGCAGGATCGACAGTCGCGTCAGCGATCCAAACTGGCTTAGCTGCTGCAGACTCTTGAGCTGGCCGAGTATCGCCTGTGGCGATGGCGAGGGGCTGCTGGACAGTGGCACGAACGCATAGACAAGAGGCAGCGCCAGGAGGTACAGCGCGCGCAGCGTGTGGATCGCCGTGGCCAGCTAGTTTGTATCAGCATGAACCTACTGTATTGTGATGAGATGGCGTACATGAGCACAGTCACCGTCGGCCACAGCTAGATCCCAGCCCCACTTGACTCCCACCTCGCCCACAAACCCGCCCACCAGTGCCCACGCTACCGTCGCACGCCATTCCTTCCGCCTCGCATCGCTGCTGCAGAGCCACGAGACGGCCCCCACAAACAGCCCCGTGATGATGTACGGGCACAGCATCCCAGGGAGCGCAAACAAAAAGTAGTCGGCAGGCTGCGTGCACCATAGACACTCTGACAGCGGCTGATGCCCCAGGCGGGCGTACAGCATCCGGTTATCGAGCATCTTCATCCGTGTCAGCAGCAATTCCAGCAGCGGTGATAGCGTCTCTTCATCGACGCCTTCCGGAACCACGATCGCCCGGAGTTCCTTGTTTGAGGCGAGGATAGGGAGCCCATGGTGCACAAAGATGTCGTACGGCGGAAAGACGAGGCTCTTTAGGTAGATAATGGTGTGCGCAGCGAGGAGGAATTTGGCCGTGTCGGATAGAGGCGGAGAGACGGCAGCAGGTTGGGTGGGTCGTTGGGTGACCAGCCTGACGAGCTTGGGGAGGACGAGGAGAAGGGCGAGGGCGAGAGGGGACTGCCATGCTTGGACGAAGGAGAGGATGGACATGGCGGTGTGATTTTTGCCTGGTGAGGAAGGAGAGAAACCCGCGCGTGTTGATTTGAGCGAGTCGCCGGCCGCCGCGCTATCTCCCGGTATCTCCAAGTTTCCCGCCAGTACAGTATCCGATCTTTCAATCGCCAGCGCATTCGGTATCCATCTAGGGTCTTCAGCAGCACAATGCCCTCCATCATCCCCACCATAGATCTCGCCCACGACTCTCCCGCCCGCCAAGCAGAGCTCATCAAGCTCGCCCTCGGCAACGTCGGCTTTTTCAGAGTCGTCAATGCCGGGCCCTCGCGCCAGGATGTCGAAAAGATGTTTGAATATGTGAGTATTTTCTATGGGTGTCGGAGGGTAGCTGACAGCGCCCAGTCAGAGTCCTTCTTCAGCCTCCCCATGGCCACCAAAGAGACATATCTCGCCGGACGTTCAGGTTCCGGCTACACCAAGCTCATGTCCCAAGCTCTGGGCGAGGGGAAACGTGATCATAAAGAGCAAGTATACTCACGCCGTCATCTTCACCTGCTGACCTCATACAAGAACATTCTCATACGGCAAATACTGCGCCAACACTACACAACAAATGCCGCCGCCTTTCCAAGACTCTACGCCTGGAGGCCAGGAAGCGCACCAGACAATCAAACGGTTTTACAAAGATTGCCACCAAGTCAGCGAGCTCTTGCTGGAGCTCTTTGCGCTCGCTCTCGACGTGAGCCCCCTTGTCATACCTGGGCTTTGCCACTGACAAGCGTACAGCTCGAGAGAACGCATTTCAAGCAGTCCCACTCGTTTGGACTCAACACCGCCATGTCGCTGATTCACTATCCCGCGTTGAATGAAGCAGAGGCCAAGGCGCTGAGCACGATAGATATCCGGGCAGGAGGTGAGTCTTTTCTAAACGCCACTCGGCACGATACCGACCCGACTCGAGAACACAAGGACTGGGGAAGTATGACACTCTTGTTCCAACAACCCCGCGGCCAACCAGGTCTCCAAGTCCACCTCCCGTCTTCCCTCATCCGCCCGGACGACCCTCAAGCTTCTCCGGAATCATACGAATGGTACCCCGCGCCCATCCCCGAAGCACACCAAGACGAGCACGCCGGCTTCCTGGTCAATGTCGGGCTCGGGATGGAGCTCTGGAGCAACGGGGCGTACAAGGCTACCATGCACCGCGTCATATTCCCCGGAGAAGAGGCGGGGTCTGAAAGCGTGCAAGATAGGCATACGATCGGGTTTTTCGTTCAGCCAGACGATCATGTGGTACGTCTCTTTTCATCCAACAAGAATCTCACAAAACCCCATCGTAGGCTTTCCAACCTATTTTACCAGGCGGCAAGGTTGACACGTCCACCAAAGCCATCACCTCGGGTGAGCTCTTTGACATGAAATTGCAGGAGAGTATGGAAAGGTTTCAGAAACATTTTGCATTTTCTGGTGGTGATGAAAAGGTCAAGAAGGATGTCCAGGTTGAGAACGCCGTGGTTGTCTGAGTGTAGTCATTGTATAGTGCCGGGTATCTGTATTATCATGCAGTATGTACATGTTTTGCAATGCGTTATGGCCGCGCCAACTATGTAGATGTATACATTCGGTCTAGTTTCTCCAGCTATAATACCCTGCGTCAGTATACTACCCTTGATGGACACAACCACACTCACATCTTGACAGTCTTGTCTCTGCCACCGCTGACCACCTTGTCGGCGACAAAGTCTACACAATAGACTTCATCCGTGTGACCGGGAAGATCGATACGGATCTTGTACGTCTTGAGGTTCCACAGCTATACACCCGTCAGCACCCGAGTACCACGAAAAAGAGTGATCGCACCTTTAATGTCGTGTCTTTACTCGCACTGACCAACATTCTCGAATCGGCAGACCAAGCGACCCGGTACACGGCAGCCACGTGCCCTCTCAGACTTGCCACAAACTTTCCCGTCCTGCCCTCCCAGAGCTTGACCGCATTGTCGAAACCTGCGCTCGCAATCATCCTCCCATCTGGGCTGAAAGCCACATGGTTGACCTGCTTTTGGTGTCCCGTCAGCCTCGCCACCGGCTTTTTCGGTGTCGCCGTCGACGAGAAGGAAGAGGAGGCCTGATCAGGCCACAAGTAGAGGGTATGGTCGTCAGAGCCAGTGATGAGCGTCTCGGGGTGGGTAGACGTGACGTCCTTGTAGCGCTCGAGGGCCCGGGCGCGAGCTTCGTCGTCGCTCCGAGGTTTCTTGGAAGTGTGGTCGAATGGACCGGTACGCAGCACGAAATCAGTCGAAAGAGCCATGGTGTTGACCCAGTGCGCGTGCTCGTTCAGCGTACGGATAAGTTTACCCTGTGGAACATTAGCGCCTGCAGCGATGAGAGAAAAGAGACTCACGTCGACACCACTCCAAACCTTGACCGTCCTATCACTGCTTCCCGTGTAAATTACATTCTCCCCACCCCATCTCACGCAGTTGACACTAGCCGCGTGACCGGTCAACACAAATTCAAGTTTCCTGGTGCCAGTGTTCCAAACTCGGACGGTACCGTCTTTCGAAGCGGAGGCAAGCCTGGGCCCAGCGGCTTTAGGAGAGACGAGGTGTAGGGGTTCAAAGGCGAGGGCGGTGATCCACTTGGTATGGCCGAGCAGGGGAGCACCATATGCCTGTCCTGTTGCGGCTTCCCAAAGGCGTACCTGCGATTCCATTGAGCGTGGCCTTGCTAATCATCAAAAGTACTCACCTGGCCATCGTGTCCACCAGTAGCCACGATCTTCTCTCTCGAGTCCCATTCGACGACAAGGACCCAGCCCTTGTGCCCCGACAAGGTCCATTTCGGCGTCTCAGTCTCCATATCCCAGATGCGGCCTGTGGCATCGCCTGACCCAGTAGCAGCATATCTGCCAGTAGGCGAGTGGGCACAGCACAAGATCGGTGAAGCATGCCCTGCGAAAAATGAGCTTGTGAATCGCGTGGAAAGTGATAACGTACCGGTCAAAGTAGCTGTACACCGTCCGACACTTCTTACACGAAACACAGCCTGCGGCTCGCACCAGAGCTCAAAGATGTCTTCAGAGGAGAATGTGCTTCCTTTACTCTCGAGCGCGTCGGCGAGGATAGAGTTGTTGATCTGTACACGGGCCGACGTCGGTGCAGTCGAGGTCGAAGGTACTTTGGGCACGAGATGGAAAGCGTACGGTAGAGGGTCTTCATCCTATAGCAGTCATGAGTACAGATCTACAAGACTCAATGTATGCGTACCTCGCCCCGAAGCTTGTTGACGAGCATCTGCAAGGCATCCCGGGCAGTATCAGCGGGAAGGTTGATGGCAGGACCGAGAGATGAGCCATCTTCAGCAGACTTGAATTGGACGACGACGGAGGGAATGTCCTTCTGGACGACCTCGACCTTGGGGTCCTTGCTCTGGGCGTAGGCGGAGCGCTGGCGTTTGGGCGGGGGAAGCTGGGTGGCCATGGTGGGAGTCAGCGGTAAGAGACTGAGGCTCACAACATTTCTGAATTTTCTGGTGGACGGCGCGGTGGAGGCCGTTTACGTAAACACTCTCAGGCTGCAACAACAAGACAGGAGGGTATGTATCTCTGCGACCAGCAACCAAAGCAACAAAGCATTCCCCACCGCCAAACAACGTAGTCCCGTGGTCCCAGCCTGTGCGTACAAGATGCCCATGCAGCTAGTGCACCCAGGATCATGTATGTGCCAGCGCACACCGAGTATCTCTACTGACATGGTGCAGCATGGACCCCATACATCAACTCGGCATCCCCCAAGCCCACTCTCAAGACGACCAGGAGCATCAGGGCGGTCAGCAGACCGACATGCAGCGCGAGCTTGCAAACCAAGTCGCAGCCCAGGCCATCGAGGCCGCTGTAGCTGCTCAGTCCGAAGCAGGCGCAGAGGCCGATGCTGGTGTCGGAATGGCGCAAGAGCTCGCAGGTGGCAGAGAAGACGAGGCGAGCGACATACACATGCGGGATACTTCGCATCCTCCCCAACACCATCCTCGCCAACCTACATTTCCGCGCTCCCGACATTCGTTCGCGACCTTGTCAAACTCCGGGTCACCCGTGGCAGGGCCTTCGACGATTGATAGGCACCCTGTGAGAGGGGATCATGCCGCCACAAGCACTGCTCAAGGATCTCATTCGGTCCTCTCTGCAAACGACCAGATAGCTATTTTACGGGAGAGTTATGCTCGTAATCCAAATCCGGGCAAACAAGAACTTGAGCGGCTGGCAGCACGAACGGGGAGACCGTGGAACAAGATTAGGGAATATTTCAGGCAGCGGAGAAACAAGCTGAGAGGCCTAGAAGCACTCGAGACGATGATTGAACCTGGGAGGGCACAAGGATGGTACGTTTTTCATCCCTTGGGGCTATAATCAATGCTGACCATTGTCTAGGCTGCTCATCACATATCGCTCTGCCTCTCCCACGTCGTATGTTCCCCAGCTCAATCTGTACAGTGCATACAAGCACCGTTTCGATCCCTACTCCATCACAACTCCTCTGCTAGGCGGACAGGACCTCATCCAATTGGCTTGTGCCACGTTTCCTGGCTGTGAAATGGCCAGAGACGAAGGAGAATACGTCCTGAAAGGGTTGGCCAAAAAGGTCAAGGAAGGTGACCATCAAGATGATGGTTCTCATGACCCTAATGGGGTTGACAAGACCGGTCACAAATTTGCGGAAGGTGTCGATCCCGAAGATTGGGAAAAAGGCATGGAAGGACTGGTAGAACCTTTACGGGCAGGAAGCTGGCTCCTCAGCTCGTTCCAATCCCACGCCAGCGGCACAGGAAGCCCCATCACGCAGACAGACCTCTACACTTCGTACGCCGCGCGCTTTTCCTCCCTCTTGAGCTCCGCGCCCAATCTTCAGCCTGGAGAGGAGAGATGCAAGGACGAAGCGAGATCTATCAACCAGGCAGAATCGTTGATGGCCTTTCAGGAAGCTGGCCTCGGGGATACGAGGGGCGAGGATGGAGAGTCGGTACCGGTGGAGGACGATGACATTCCATCGGTCGACGAAGGCCAACACCTCGATGCCCCTCCGATGGATACCACTCATTTCACTGCCTCCGCCCCATCTCCCGACTCGGCCCTACCTGGTGCACCCAAAGAGAACCGTCTCCTTACTCCTCTCGAGCTGATCAATCTCACTCGCATGACGTTCCCAACTTGCGAGCCCCTCGTTGATGAACACGGGCGGTTCATAGTCAAAGGGCTGGAGCGGAGAGAAGGCTACGAGCCGGGCAAGAAAAGGAGAGAAGGAGAGATGTATCCTTTTGCGTTGATGAGAGAAACTGAAGGGGAGACGAGGGTTGGAGATGAATTTGTCCGAGCTATCAAAAGAAAATTGGCCAGTCTACAAGACGGGCCGGATCTTGCGCTTGGTGCAAAGATAGAGGAGGGGAGAGCCAAGAAGAGAAGAGAGGAACCATTGTCAGAAGAGGACAGGGAGATGCTGGAAGGACTGAAGCGGTTCAAGTCGAGCAGACTGGGCCAAGAAGTTCACGATGCTTGTATATCGCAATAGTCGTACATATTGATCAATGATAATACCCGGTCCCATCTATCCAGAAATCAAGTGTTACAATACAGTGCCATCTCCATATTACCACTATGTCCGCCGCGGCCCATAGCCACTGCTCTTGACATGCGTATAGTTGCCTACAGTGCCCGATGCTGTCGTCGAAGGCACACCCCGCCGTGAACCAGGCGCAGAGTCGCTAGCACTACTTGGTCGAGGGAGACTTGATGGTCGAGGTATGCCTGTGCCTTGCCTGGGTGTCAGACTTGCATCCCTTGCAGAGGCGTGTGGGAAAAATTTACCTCTAGCAGTACCACCGCGCCCCGCGCCCATCCCGATCCTTCCTCTGCCTCTAGATACGCCCCTCCTGGCCGCCAGCGCCTCCGCCTTTGCCTTCTCCTGTTCGCGCTGTTCGGCTCTCCGTTGTCGATCCTCTTCTTCCTGGCGCAGAGCCTCGATACGAGCTGCTTCTTCTTGCTGTGCGCGATATTCAGCAAGGGCGGCAGCGGCTTGTTCTGCCGCGATAGCTGATTGATCCTGCGCAAAGATAAGTGCATGTTCGAGCGTCTCGAAAAAGGACGCACATCGGAAGCCCCTGTCCACCGAGGGTTTGACAAGAGCCGTTTCGTATGCTCTGACTGGCCGAGGATGGCCGTATATTCGTCTAGAAGAGCGGAAGTCTGCTGAACCCTTTCTGCCAGCCGCTTTCAGGCCGTCAGCACCAGTCCATGATCAGAAAGCTAGCTCGCACCTCATTGTGCCCCTTGACCCCATCCAACGCGCCAATGAAGCCGTCAAAGACTTCATTAAACTTGCGCAGCTCATACAAGCTCTCTCTCAGACACTTGTCCCTGTCCGAGTCGGTGCTGGCCCCACCCGTGCGTGACTGGGCTTGAGATTGCACTCTCTCCTCGTCCCGCTCTTGAACCGCATCAGGTCTCTCCTGGATGCTTTCGCCTTCTTGCCCCTCTTCTTGGGATTGCTGACGCTGGTCTTGTGTATCCTCATGGGAAGATTTTGTCAAGGATTGATCATAGTCCTGAGGAGGAGCAAAGAGCGAGAATCTTGGCTTTCCTGCCCCACCCCACGCGCTAGGCTTGTCCTCGCTATTGCTCTTGTCGGGAAGATTGAATTCGACTCCCGACTCCTTCTTTCCACCCCCGGTCCGATCATTGTCATTCCTCTGTTTTCCGAGATTGGCAGAATGCAACTGTTTGGGTGGGGGAAGAGGACTGAAACCGTCCTCTCCTAGGGAGATGTCGGCGAGAGATAGAGAGGCGTCGTCGGAAGGATCGTACTTTGGGTGTGAGAGTGTCGGGAGGAGTGGAGAGTCCATACTGGCGAGATTGTAGAGAGGCTTGGCCGGTAGCCAGATGTAAAAGCAGAGCTAGATGGGTAAAGACAAGAGATGGAGGATACGGGGAATGTGAATTCTTGTTTTTCCCTGTTGTTGTCGCGGCGCGTCGCGTATCCAATAATGTCCGGACGGTGGCGGGACGCGCCGCAAACTCTTTGGGCTGGCGATTCATCCGATGGCTGAGCGGTAACCACTCCTTCATCAGACCAGTAATACCATTATGATACATTAACATGACAACTCCAACAAATCCGATACAATGAAACATCATCTTCCCAGAACCTGCTGTAACATACCGACAACTCCCTCATCTCTCCATGGAGAAGCGTCTTCTTCAGCCTCAACAGACCCACTCAACGCCTGATGGCCTTGTGTCCAGCCTTCGATTGAATCACCTCCCTGCTCAACCCCCTCCTCGATCGCTCGCCCTCGTACATTGCTGGGCGAGGGCACGGCCTGTTGATGGAGGTTCGAGCTCCTGGTCCAGGCGCGCTCATATGCCTGACTCTTTGCTCTAAGTTGTGCCTCATCCATATCGCCCATCACTGAGCCATCGATACCCAAGCCTCTGCCTCCGGCGTAGAATGATCCTCCTGGCCCCGCGCCCATGGGTGCTGAAGCTCCCGGCGAGAGATGACGGTTGCGAATGTGAGCGAGCTTGTCGAGAAACACAGAGGGATTTGGGTCTGAAGGCTGCCAGTCGGGATGGGTAGCCCTGAAATGAAGGAAGGACTTCTCCATCTTGATCTCATTGCTACTGCGGTCGCGGGTTCTGTTCCCCTGTCCCCTGTTGCTAAGCCTTGGAGACAATGGAGCGGAAGGTATGGTGTTTTGCGCTTGAAGCCCCATTCGATCGGCTCCCGTTTCTGGCCTGTGCAGGTCTTCTGCTTCCAGATCGACGTTCCCTTGCCGTGAGAAATCAAACACAGCAAAGGAGCAGACGTAGCCCACGCCGTCTACGTGGACAGTGAATTCGCGGAAAAAGTCGATAATCTCGGAAGCACATGGCGGTAAAGAGAAGAATAGAACGAAGGGGGTGAGGATGACCGAGAGAAGTTCGTCAAAGAATATCGTGATTTTGAGAGCAAACAGTTTGCCAAATTCTTGATGGACCTACAAAAGTCTCGTTAGATAGTTGCACTATAGCGACAATCTGCGAGACTCGCCTTTTCGCTGTGCAACCGTCCTCTCCACTCTTCCGGCAAGTAGTGGGTCCACTTGACGACCTCCTTCAAGCTCGCCTCGGGGTCAAAGACCATATTCTCTTCCGGGACCATTGACCTGGCAACGGCCAGCACTGAACCAAAAACACCGAGGAAGAATAGTACGGTGCGACGCGGAGTGATTTCAAAGTGCAAGAACAGGTCGGGATTCAACAGGGTCGCAGCAAGAAGAACAGCCGCGAAGGAGCCCGCGACGAAGGCCACAAACCTGCCTGTCGTCAGTCTAAATGGATGTCATGCGGTATCGATTTCTCACCTCATCAGAAGAGCGGTCTTCTCCTTGGGAAATTGATCGACATATTCCTTGGCAGTGACATAGCTTCGGTCCAGGCGTCTTTCAAACAGATGGGGCAGCTCGTTGAATTCTCTGAATTTCCACTGAGCATAAGGGGTGTATTGGCGACTGCCAATGGAAGATGGGTTCTTGTGGTATTCCTGCGATGGATGGTAAGCGACCATCTCGTGAGGGTCATATCCACACTCACCTCAAAGTAGCGGAAGAAGGAATACATCAAAAGATAGACGATGATGAAAGGAGCAAAAAGCCCATTCAATATCCCCATAAACACAAGCCTTCGCCTCAACCTATACGAAAGTGTCAGACATGAAAAGCTGAGAAACAGCGACTCACCCTTGTACAAGATCCTGTCGTCTCTTTTCTCTCACAAACTCTTTCCGAACTTGGCCTCGCCAGTCAAACAGATATCCTAGTAGGCAGAACCTGAGGTTCCACTCTAGCGCCTTCGTCAAATGATTGGCGCCAAAGCTGAGATACTTCCTTCTGGGCGCATTCAGGTATTCAGGGAGGGTAGGGTCGGCAGAGGTGGTGAGGAGAGTTGATGGAAACATGTTGTCCAGAGCGTGAGGTACAGGTATCCGGACTTTGAGATCCAAAAGATCCTTGTTGAACAGGGCTATGAGGTAGTTCTCTTGTCGAAGAATGCGACTGAGATGAATCAACAAGTGCGATGGCCCAAGCAGCTACGTTGATAACTCACTTGGCAACATCATGCGCATCAAGCTTTTTGACAGCACCCGTAGTGTTGTCGCCTATCATGTCTGCGAGTGCAGATGCTTGCCCGTTGGATATAGATGTGATCGGGTTGTGTTTCCTGATCTCACCCACGAGTCGCACGATCTCAGGCCATGGTAAAGTCTGTATGTCGGCCTATGGGACATTAGCGAATTTGATACGTCATCGGAGAGCTTGGTACTCACGTCTGGTATACGAAGGAGATGCGTGTAAAAACGATACATCTCTAGTAAGCGGGGCAGGGATAGGGCAAAGCTGACAGCCTGGAAAATGAAGAATACTGAGAGTATGACGATAAACAACATATGGGTGAAAGACCCCCTGCAGCGACATGTCAGCCCAAAGTACCCTTGGCTGGCAGTGGCATTCACCTCGTTAGACACTGTCCCACAAGGACGTCGTCAAGTCGATTGACCGTGTCATCACCGGACGCAAGCTTGGAATAGTCGATGCAAGAAATCAGGAAAGTAGAGAAGGCAATAACAAAGAATGTCGTCCTGTGGCCAGGTCAGTGAGGTCTTTCGTGTAGAGCAACACGCTTACAAGAGATTGAGCACTCTTGACAAGGCAATGCAGTAGATTCCCTTGCCTTTGTAGTACTCGTACACCTACGCCATAGATCTCGTCAGCTGCCTGAAGAGCCCGATTGCAGCCACGCACCTCTTGCAAGAAGCCGTCCAAGTCTTCAACGTTGACCCACTTCCAGAGCGCCTTCTCGTACTCATCCAAGCCGCTCTTGGGGGTCTTTCTTCTATTCCCATCCTCCAGATCTTCTGTGCCGACTGACTGGTATCTTCGACCGCCCTTGTTCCTGACCCTCTCTTTCCCCTTCCCTTTACTTTTCGATGTCAATGGAGGAGGGATATTCGGGTCAAGATAACCATTGACTCTCTGTGATGGAGATCCTGGCCATGAAGGGCGTTGAGGCGACGATGGCTGGGGGAGGGTAACTTCTCGGAAGAGGGGCCGTTGGATCCCCCGCCCTGAAGCTGGGAGTCCTATATGCGGCGCCCCCATAGATGATGCTTTTGTATCCGGCCCAGATGCATTGATAGACAATGACTCAGCGCCGTCTCCGAAGCTGGTACTCCTGGAGCTGCCGGAAGCCTCTACAAAAGGCCCTGTGCTTGTCGGCCTTGCCAGGTGTTGATTGGAAGACGATGAAGGTAGTGGGTGACCTCGACTATCAGAGTAGGCCTCAGGTAGCGGCATAGACCCCCCTTTCTTGGTATCTGTCACTTCTGTGTCTCTTGACACGTCCCTGTGATCCCGAGCCCGCTGAACACCCTGATCGCCTAAGATCAGTGATTGCGGCGGGTTGCCACCGTCGTCGTCATCCGAGCCATCGTCGAGGATATGAGTCGGACTGCGTCTGCTTAGTGATACCCTCGGTGTGGACCCAGATCCTTGACCTTCCAGCTCCAGTATATGCGAGGGAGGGCGTGACTGTGATTCTTCGGCTTCTTCCAAGTCGCTGGTGGCATGGGGAGGGTCTCCCTGTAGCTCTCTGAGGAGCATGGTGGACGGGCTTTCTGGGTCGTGTGCTGACATGCTGTGCTGGTGGGGGATGGGGAGAGGAGAGGAGATGAATGCAAGGAAGACACTGACGTACGTACTTGCACCAACCGCTCAAGCAGCCGACGGTCGGAACACAACAATCGGACCACGCCGACGCGGGCCTATTCGAAACAGGCGCGCCTTCAATTCGTCTCTTGTCAGTCTCGCCTTCGTTGCTTCCTTGTACATTTCCCTCTCCATCGCATATCCTGCTCGGCTCTCACCAACATCCTACTCGGTGCTCCACGCATTATGCCTGAAGCAACCTCATCTATCCCCGCCACTTCGCGTCGGCAGCAGGTACCAACATCTCATACCTCCTCTTTCCTACGCTGATCCAATGCATCACAGGTCCCAGAAGAAGACGCCACAAAACTTCAGTTTGGAGGTCAGTGGGACTGTCCTATCTCGGGCGCAGAATAAGGCTGAAACAAACCTCTTCGATTGCAGAATTTGCGGACGGAGAAGCTCTAACTTTGACCGAGGTGGCTACCTTGCTCGTATATGCTCGCTCAGTCGCTGGGGTACCTCCGGCACCCGACAACAAGTACGCAGGTCTAATCTGCATGAGGTAAATCTCTGACATGGCTGTAGGGTGTACCAGTCAACATCTGAATATGTGAACGAGTTTTCCAGCACATCCATGGAAGTTTCCGACGCTATGCGGAAGTACGTTCGCCCGCCAAATCCATCGATAGGTATATGCGCTGATGTAAATCTCTATAGTGCTCTTTCCGCCAATGTGGGATTCCTGAACAAATTCGAGATTGCCCAAATCATGTCATTGAGACCTGAAAAGGTTGAGGTGGCTGTTGCTCTCATACCCAGGTACGTCTTTACGCGTTCCGCTTCATCTCACCTCAGCTAATGTATATGACACAGCTTGGAGCGATATGCTCAAGGTGACGAGAGCGAAGAACAGCTGCAGAGCCTGTTGGATGAGGTGAGGGGCATTGTGCGATATGGCGTACAGCCTTAGATTTGAACATGTAATCAGACGACCATGATATAATGTTGTAATATTATAATGCATCTTACAAGTTGATCAACCAATGCAGAATGGGTCATGAAGCCATCTAAAACATTCTAGAATCTTGGTAGTCCAATGACACCGCCGTTCTTACACCACTCGCCCAATCCCGCGGTTACCTTCACTTGGCAGCCTAGTCTGCTCTCTCCCTCCTTGTATCCTATAGCATATCCCATCATATCCATCTCGGTCTCTGAAGGATCAGGAACTGGAGCTGCTGGGCTCGCACTGATATACAGGTGGCAGGTAGCACATTCTGCAAATGGTCAGACACGCACCGCGGCGATTGGCAAAGTGCACTCACCCAGATTACCGCCGCATACCCCTTCTAGCGAAGGCAGATCGTTTGCCTTCCCGACTTCCAGTAGATTTTCGCCAACCTTCCCTTGCACTAATCTCTCCTCGCCCTCAAAAGTCCTGAATCTGAGCTGGACAGTCTCCCTCTGATCTTGAACTTTTTTTGCGTTGGGGTCGACTGTACTCCAAAGCTTGGCCTGCTGATCTCCAGTGAGGCCATATCTGCCTCTCCAATGTGACCACAAATGTGTACCGTTTCCCTTGTCTGGCGACAGAGCATGGGCAGTAAGAGTCAAGAGTTGAGACAGTACCTGAGGGGCGTCTTTTGCTGTCAAATTGGAGAGCATGTCCATAGTGGGCAGAAGAATGGCGTTGGCAGCGTATCTGTGGTCGGGTCAGCTGTGAAAAGTCTGTAGAGAGGTGTACATACTTGTGGCCTCCCACATGTGCAACCTCTCCGATCTTGACCTCGTTCTCCAACCCCTTCTTTCTCACCTCCTCTCTAAGGGCTTCCAACAACGGCACGCCCTTATCATGGCATCTGCAGTCCCTCGCGCCATGAGTGCATATCAGGATCTCTTTGGGCCGTCTTTTGGCAGAAGTCGCCAGCAGTGGCCAGCCCTCCGCGGCGATGGAAGGCGTATAGGCCAGCTCCTTCTCGAGATCTGCCGATGAAAGAGTAGCCATAGAAAATCTACCCCAAACGCGTATGCGCCCATCTGCCCAGTAAAGCCTGGCTTGGTATTTTTCCTCACCCATGCCTAGCATACCGCTTTCGGGAACAGGTAATGACTGATCATACACTACGTTCACTCCGATTCCCTTGGATTTCAAGTGTGCCGAGGCCGTGGCCAGTAAGGGAGAGGCCATTTCCAAGTGGGACGGCCATGTCGATGGCGGGTATGGCACTGATAAAAGTAGCAGGGCACGAGTCGGAGAGAGGGATCTAGGAAGAGGGAGTGGTGGTTCGATTGCAGAGGGCGGTGTCGGGTCTGCTGTCGGTATAGGTATGGGATCTCTCCAGACCCGAGAGGTTGACTGTAGTGAGCGCCGAGCTAGGCAGAAGACGGGTCTTTCTGTCGGTACCCGTGAGAGCATGGATCTCAAGAGAGCCATGGCAGCGGGAGACGAAGAAGGGCGCATGGAGCAGGTGGGTAGTCGGATGCTATACAAGAGCACCTATTGGCCTTCCTCTGTCAGTCGGTCAAGAAAACACCCGACCGTCGGCCACGGCGGTCGCCGACATGATGCAGCCAGCTTCTACAAGTGCATGACGGAGATAAGATAAGTATATATAGGTCTATGCAATGTCCACCATACTACCCCTTGTTCGTGGTGTTGCCCGCACCCTTCTGATTTTCATCCGTGTAAGCCGCCCAGTTCTCGTCCTTCAACCTCTTCTTCTCGGCCTGCTCTGCTGCATACACCGTACCGTCCATCTCGGCCTCCAGTTTCAGGGTCTCAGACTCCGTAGGGGCATCATAAGATGCTTGCCTGCAAACGTCATTAGCGAGACCCAACATGGCACTGCTCAAACAAGTAACTTACCCGCCACCAGATATTATACCTCCCCGCTCCTGTTCGATCTGCAGATACTGATCTATAGTCATTGTCGGAAGCCTCCATCCCTGCCTGAACACCTCTCCCTTCAGCTTCTGCCGGTCGGTCTCCCTACTTGCGCTCGGCAGAATGGTGAATGGCTTGAGCACTTTACCTCCAGGAGCGATCAGGTTGGCAGGATCATTCTGCCCTGGAAGAGCATCAAGACGCCATGTCGTGTCTTCCTCGCCCCTTCCACCTTGTCTAGGGTCTCGAGGAGGCTCAGAGGGAATCTCTTCAAGGTGGGCAGAGGACAGGATATCCAACTCCATTTTGATCGACGACAAAGCAGAATAAGTCGCGACAGAGAGCAATCTCAAGACGTCCAAAATAAGGTGTCTATCCTGTTCATGCTCTGGTTCTTGGTCCGGAAGACTGAAGGCGCTGGTGCCCGATGACTGGCGAGGAGGTGCGGGTAAAAGTGCTAGGATGAAGGAGATGTGCGAGGAGCCGCCAGATCGCTTAACTTTGGCCTGTCTCAATCAGTATATTCCATGACGGTGACAAGACCACCTACAGATACTCTCTCCTTCAAATCTTTCTCTTTCCTATATTGCTGGATTTTGGCATCCCTTCGGCTCGCAGGGTCGCTTGGTGTTCGTCCGTCTAAATTGTACCCGGCCTTCTCTTCAGGAGTGATGATACCGTATGAGGTCAGGACTTCCACGAATTGTTGGCATGCATCCTTCGATTGACGTTAGTCCAATTCACAAGGCAGACTAGATGGCATACCTCAGACCTCTTTAGCGATTCCACTCTCTCTTTACGCTCTCCTGTGCGCTTTTCTTCACAACCAGCAACAACCCACCCAATGGTCATGAAGACCAGCGCCCCTTCGCTGAGCTCCTCCCATCCTTCGTTATCAGAGTAGACACCAAGAAGGTTCAACGATCTCTGGATTATATGAAGCTTCTCCAGAGCGTCCGCCAGAGTAGACTGGGTGGATGCTGCAGACAAGGAGACAGCGTCGGAAAAGATCGGATCGAGGGTAGTCAAGGTTTGCGCGTATAGCTGCGGAAGAGGAAGGTTGGACATTGTGGGACGGTAATGACTTTCTTGGTTTTGCGTGAATGTTTGGCGTGGATAGATTATTTATGAACAGTTTATGACACAGACGTGACGAACGGACATTGAAAGTTGTCCGGACGCAATGTCCGGAACCATCCCAGATATGAACGTTGCGACGTTGGATGACATGCTACGAAGAGGCAAGAGCGGGGAGCCTCGCAGCCGTATGCCTGTTGAGGGATATGTCATGTATGTCCGCCTCAGATATCAGCGTTCCCTCCGAACAGTACCTCCATTGCCTAGCTGATCGCCGACTGTATAGACTCTCAGCCACTCGCAGAGGACTTGGCAAGAGCGATGGCAAACAGTTAGAGCGAAACGAAGCGAGAGAAGAGTGCAGCGTACTCTCTCATAAACTCCCATCGATAAAGACGCTTCATGTGGCATACATGAACCAAACACGGAAACCCCATTTGACACCCTTGATACATGGACTGCGCGTTTATGAGGCGCTTAGAGCTTTTTCGGGTTCATCGGCCGATGCGTCTGGTGGGCCAAAATTGGCTGACAATTCGATGGAGTCGAAATTGCCCGACCTCGGCGGAGGAGCGAGCTGAGTACCTTGGATGGGATGGAGAGCCACTTTGACATCTAGCTATTCAACTTCTGAAATATAATCAGAAACATCGCCCCAAAAGCGAACAAGATGAGCGCAGAAAAAGAAGCAGACTCGTCGTCTGCGCCCTCCACCATCGACGACCACCGCCAAAGACTCCAGGATGAGATTGCTGCCATGACCGAGGAGGAATACCTGGCGGCAGACAAGAAACTTGTCGCTAAATGTGACCGGAATCTGGTCCCATTCATGTGGTACGTGGCCTTCTGCTGTATTCTCCTTGTGGTGCTCGACGAGGGCTTGCCTGCGGCATACTCCCAACGCGAGTCCACCTGGGGGTAGCGGGCGCGTTCAAAGCTGAACTGATCATTCTTGCGCACAGTCTTCTCTTCACAATGTCCTTCCTTGACCGAATCAACATCGGTGAGCATACCATCCACTGCTGAAAGCCACGGGTTCGACTCGGCGTTCCGTGGGAGATACGCATACCAACAAAAGAAGCTTGTTCACCTTGTCGCTTGCGTAGGCACGGCTAAACTCGCCGGTCTCAACACTGATCTGGGGCTCACTTCTCTCCAGTATAATACTGCATCTATGAGTACGTGCTAGGCCAGGTAGGCGATGCGGAAGCTTACAGGTGGTCCTAGTCTTCTTTGTCAGCTATGTGGCGTTTGAAGTCCCATCGAATCTTGTGCTCAAGCGCTTTCGCCCATCAAGATGGATTCCGTTGATCATGATTGTTTGGTCATTCTTCCAGATCTTCAGTGAGTGTCTAGGGAAACTGTCCGAGACATGGCTGACAATCTGATAGTGGGCTTTGTGACGAACTGTAAATGCGCACAATACAAGTTGGAGCAGATGCTGACTCTAGTGTAGATCACCAGCTCCTGGCTATGAGATTTTGCCTTGGTCTCGCCGAAAGTGGACTTTTCCCTGGTATCTCGTTCTTCCTCGCAGGCTGGTACAAGCGCCGGGAAATAGCCAAACGTATATCCCTGTTTTTTGCGGGGGCCGTTCTGGCAGGCGCATTCGGTGGCATCTTTGGATACGCTCTATCCCGTATGGACGGCATTGGCGGAAAAGCGGGCTGGTCTTGGATCTTTATCATCGAAGGTCTCATGTCCTTTGTTGTGGGCATCGCCGCGATCTTTATGGTGCACGACTGGCCCGACAGGGCGAAATTCTTGACGCCTCTCGAGAGGGAGATGGTCTTTTTGAGGTTGAAGGATGACGTGGGTATCATGCAGGAGGGACAATTCAGCTGGAAGGTCATCAGGAGGGCCATCACGGACTGGAAGACGATTTGCTTCATGCTCATGTACATTGGGTGTGCTGAGCCCATCTACAGTCAATCGTAAGTGACTCGCGCCAGTCTTGGCCGCTGACTGACGAATACCGCTAGTCTGTTCTCTCCCACTATCATATCTTCCCTCGGCACCTACACAACACCCCAGTCTCTCCTTCTTTCCACCCCTCGTGAGCTTTTCCTTGTGACTGCAGCATCGTAGTACTTATCGCCTGCAGCCTATGTTCTGACATTCATTACCACCATGGTCACCGCCTATTTCAGTGATCGCACTGGATTGAGAGGCTTCTTCCTGATGTTTTGGAGTGGTATCGCCGCGATCGGCTACCTCCTATTCCTGACTATCCCACACACTCATCCCGGAGCACTATACTTTGCCGTCTTTTTGAGTACTTGTGCTATCGGGCCCTGCATCGCGGGTGTCATTTCTTGGTGAGTGCATTCAGAAAGCGACCGGGAGGTGGCTGATGAATAAAGGTCTGCGGGAACTTTCGGCAACCACTATAAACGAGCCACGTCAATGGGCTTTATATTCTCTCTCGGAAACTCTGGCGGCATCATCTCCTCTCAAGTATACCGCTCCCAAGACACTCCGCGCTACCTTGTCGGTCACGGTGTGACTTTTGGCTTTACTGTGATATGTTTCATCTCTTCTGTGGTCATGTACCTTGGGCTCAGGAGGGAGAACAGGAGGCGAGAAAAGTTGTATGGGCCCGCACCGGCACCGGGAAACCACCACGAGTGGGACAGTGAGGAGGGCAAGAAGAAGTGGGGGCTGGAGGGATTGAGTAGGGAGGAGGTCGTCGATCTGGGAGATGACCATCCTGCTCATAGGTTCATCTTGTAACGCAATTTTGGGTTCATTTTGTCATCATGGGAACGTGTCTTTCATAAAAATCATAGCTTGATATCAAACTAGAATTTGTAGATCATAGAGTCCTAATAATAATGCATTGATCGTATGCTATACAACTGCCTTTACATCGTTCCTGGGTATCATAGCTGAGGTAGAAGACTGCTTTTTAATGTTTACTGCATCTCGACGTCCTGCCCTTGGCCAGTCGTGTCCAAATGAGGCCCGCTCCCATGGGTCATTTGGTCACCATTGCTGATACCAGACATGGCGACGGGGCTGGTGACAGCAGGACTGGAACCAATTTTGATCTTTAACGGGCCTGGCCCCGACGCGTTCTGGCTTACTGCCCCATCCTCTTCCGCGGTACCACTCGGGCCAGCCCCCAGCGCCGGCGCAGCCACCCCGTTTTCATCCCTCTTCCTTTCCTCCTCCATACCCGTCGCCTGGCGCCTCGGCACGCTCTCTCCCTCTTGGCCCCACACCACTTTTTTCCCCATCGGCAACGCTCGCCTGCCAAACTTGTCTGCTCCTCTGGGACCAGGGTTCCAAGTCCGGCGCAGATATGCCTCTGGATGCTGCTCCTGTTTGCCCAGGGTTTTGGCAAGTACCATGTCATCGGGCCCGCGCACGGCACTACTGTAGAGTACAGCCTCATCGTTACGCATCTGCGCAACGGGCGGGCGGAGAGATGTGAGTCTATCGCGCAGGGCTGGCGGGAGATAAGGAGAAGACATGCTTTGCACCAGCGACGACAGCAGACCGTCCGACGACGGGTTGACAGGAATGAGTTTCGGGGGAAGGAGGTCTGAATGGGATGGCACGATGGGTGACGCGCGAATAGGCGCGATATGGATGGAGAGGGTATCTTTGGGGGTGAACTCGTCCACGGGGGCAATAGACCGCCTGAGAATCTCGGCAGCTTGTCGACGCAGATCGTTCTGGCGCAGAGAGATGGAAGGATCGGCGGCTATCGCTCCGTACGTGGTCACCAAGCTCGGGAGAGAGGTGGTAGGCTGAGGAAGAGTTGGCGGTTCGGCAGGAGGTGACGGCGGGACGAACGGGTATGCTTGGGAAAGCTGGGAAGAGGCGTATGGGATGGGCCGTCGATATCTGTCTGCGATGGATTTCGGGGCAGACTCGAGTTGGACTGAAGGCGGCGGGGCTGTGATATCTTGTGTAGACGGTACCGGCGCGTCTCCGCCTGGCAATGGGGGCAGCCAAGAGAGGTCTGGAGACCTGGAGCGCAAGAACGACTCGCGCTCTCCCGGTTCCGACTTGACACCATCGTCGCTCTCCATTGCCTCGTCTTGGTCACTCTCGTCGGGCATTTCCTCTTCTGCAACGAGCCGCATTTCACCCATTCCGTCGTCGATCAAGAGGCCATCCCGCAGATGATCTGCACGTTTGTCAGTCATGAGGCAACGCGTCATACAGCTGCTGCATACCTTCCAGACCGCTCAGCCCGTCGCTCTCCAACACGACCTGCCTCTGCCCCTGTGCCCACTCTGACAGTTCGCCGACGTGTATGCCCAGATCCTCGAGTGCCTCTGCGACGTCGAGGGCCGAGGCCTTGCCCCTCCCTGCGAGGTTGGCGCGCTCTACGCACGCTGCTGCGACGGTGCGGAGGTAGCGCGCCATGACGGCGGAGAGGGTGGTGCTGGCGGCCCTGGAGGTGGAGGCGAACCCGGCGGCTGCGAGGGCGTGGAGGGCTGCGAGGTGGAGGACGGCATCGGGGGCGGGGTGCATCGATGATGGTGGGTGAAAGATAGAGGAGATGGGCGCGAAATGGCTACCGCCGCCACACTCGATAACGCCATAACCCCGCGCCGCAAAAATCACCATTTTCGTACTCCAAGTTTTCCCCGTCATCACTCCCCTGCACCACCCATATCCCACCACATAAAATCATTCAGTGAGTACCCTATAAGCAGCCCCCCGACGCCCCCGAGTATCGCCCAAGAACGGACACTTGGCGTGCGCTGGGGCGGCAGCCAGAGCTCCAGACGACCCGACGCTGACATGTGGCGCTCGCGCAGAAATGGCTGAGGAGGAACACCACGAGACTTTCGAGGCTACCGGCGCCGATGCCGCCAAGACCTTCCCGTGAGTAAGCCAGCTGGGGTGTCGCCAGAATGGCCGCAGAGCCAGGGTGACATCCCAGCAATGTTTGATTGGATACGGTCGTCTGACCCCTTGTTCAGCATGCAGTGCTCCGCTCTCAGGAAGAACGGTCACGTCGTCATCAAGGGCAGGCCTTGCAAGATCATTGACATGTCTACCTCCAAGACTGGTAAGCACGGTCACGCCAAGGTCCACCTTGTCGCTACCGACGTGAGTCCACGCCTCCCGCAAATCATCGTGGTGGCAGCGCGCTGATGCAGGCATCGTACAGATCTTCACCGGCAAGAAGCTCGAAGACATCTCCCCCTCTACCCACAACATGGATGTCCCCAACGTCACCCGACGAGAGTACCAGCTCCTTGACATCCAGGATGTGAGTCTTGTCAGGGCAAAAGGGACAATGGAAGGATGCTGATGTGTCGACAGGAATTCCTCAACTTGATGGATGCCGACGGAAACTCCAAGGACGACGTCAAGGTCCCCGACACCGAGGTCGGTCAGCAGATCGCCGCCGACTTTGAGGCCGGCAAGGACCTCATGGTTACCATCATCGCCGCCATGGGTACGTCGCGCTTTTTGGATTCGCGATTTTATCACTGACAATGTTTGTAGACGAGGAGCTTGCCATCTCTTACAAGGAGGCTCCCGCCAGCTAAGCGTTTCCCCTCATCATCTTCAATCCTCAACCTCATATAAAACCTCTTGTCGTATACAGGCATGATGTACGATTGCAAACCATGACCTGAATCGCGCATCGCAGCTGGTTCGTCCGCTAGATGTTTGTCGGACTCGAACGACATGTACAACGATGTGGGAAGTTTTTGCATTTTCAGTGTCTGTTGCTGCATGACTACATTTCTTGATTCATTGTGATTTCCTGTTTCGGTGCTGGCGACTGGTTCTGTATGTCACTATGTCTTTGCCAATGCGCGGTGAGGAGCCGAAGTGAGTGCTGGGGGACAAAAGGTTGCCTTGCCGATAAGAAACGAGACTCCGTATGTTTGCGGCTGCCACGGGGTGAGATACATGGGATGCCTCTGCAGTACAGTAGTAGCATGCGGCATCTTTATCTACTCTGATGTTGCCTAGAGAGCCTTCTCCATGATCAAATCTCTCCTCTTACTATCGCCCACCCAAAAGAAATGCTCTCCAACCTCACTGAACCCCGCCTTCTCGTAGAATCGTTTGCCCCTTGCATTATCCTCCCACACCCCTAGCCAGATACTCTCCGCCCCCAGCGCCCTTGAAGCCTGTTCGGCGGCAGCAATCAAAGAGTGAGAAAGCCCAGAGCCGTGCTCTGATGGGTGCACGTAGAGGCGCTGAAGCTCTATGGGACGGGAGAGTGTGAGGCAGGGCTCGGAGGAATCTTGGACGAGGTGCACGACGGCCTTGATCTCTTCCTCTTGGCCTCCTGGTGTAAAAACTGCCACGAGGAACGTGTTCTTTTCGTTCTCGATCTCCTCTTTTATCTTGCTCTCTGACAGTCTGGATGCAAGATAATCCTTCAAGTCTTGCTCGGTGACAGAGTAGGCAAAGAACTTTGCCCAGGTCTCCCCGATAAGCTTGGACACTGACGCGGCATCGCGGGGCAGGGCGGCCCGTATAGTATAGGGTAGACCAGAGGGGGAGGTGGGGGAGGAGGGAAGAGAGGGGGGCATGGTGACGGGGAAGAGGGGCAATTGCAAGAGGACGACGGACGAGGAGACGACACGTGTTATATCTTTCAACCTTTTGCGAGTCGTGATCCAGGGTCCGATGCGCTTAATAGTCTTATCTCGGTACTTGGCAATCTTTGAGCGCACTACGTCTGGAATGTTGCTCACGTGCATGATATTTGGCAGCGTGCTGGCTACCTCTGCAGACAGTACATATGCACTCGTTCGTGGGAAATGTCCGTCCCAGCCCTCTATGTCTTTTGATGGCAGTATCACTGGGCTTGTGGGATGGACGTGGCTATAATGCAGAGAGTGGGGAGTCCCCAGCCTCAATACTCTTCTCTAAAGTCCTCTGCACCCTCGCACGCAAGGCCATTACTCGATAGTCATCGCTGCCGTGACATAATCAGTTGACTGGCGACATGTTACAGTCATACATACAACACGTTTAAGGTCATTCAACACTCCCAACTCACGCTCAAATACGCTGCGATATCACGGAGACCTCTCTGACGCACTCGACCCGCCGCTTCCTGCGTCCAGCCCTAATATGCCCATCTCAAACAGCACATCCCTGTCACTCCAGTTCTGCCCCACTACCCTGATCGGGTGCGCTCCGACGAAATCAACGTGGGCCGAAAGTGAATCGAAAGTGTCAAAATGGTTGGGGTCGGGGAACGGTGTGAGGGCAGAGGAGGAATATTGCCAAGCCGTGGTAGACAGATGATGGTTGATGACAGCCTTGAGATCTCTGTTGGATGTCTTGGACACTTGAGGGTATCAGTCTTTTGCTTTCACTGTACTAAGATGACTTACTATTACCAGCGCCCCTCGTAATGACAGGCCCCCACTTGAGCTCCCCTGCCTCGACCTCGCCTCTCTCCAGCACTCCCGCCAGCTCATCCAGTCTTTTCGCAAACGTCTCTGGATCTCCCTCAGGGTCATACTGCTCAGAAGACCCATCAGAGCCTGCTTCGTCATCCCCGGCCTCTTCTTCATCAAACGTTTCCTCCCCCGCGGCGGCTATCCCAGTCATCGCGGTCGAGGGCTCTTCTTCGTCCTCACCTTCTTCATCTTGGCCGGTGGAGCCGTGGTTGCGCGCCCAAGAGCGGTCGATGCCCGGTTGCAGACCACTGGTGTTGGGGTGGTACGCTGAAGAAGAGTCACCTTCGACTATCGGGGAAGATAGAACAGGTGGGAACCGTCCCGAGATAGAGACACCTGGACCCGGGGGTGTGAGGTGTTGGGCATATCGTGACCCGCGCCCCGCAGGAGCAGGCGGAGTGCTGTACAGGGGACGGGGATTGTTTGAGGGGCCGGATACCGAGAAGAGAGAGTCGTCTTCGTCGAATGATTCGTCGAGATTCCTGTCCATTTCTGGTGGATGTAAGGGTGACAGAAAGAGGCGCTCGGGCTGCAGATTGCCCGTGCTGTCCACAAAGTTAATGTCGAATTGCATAAACAACCGCCAAACAACGAACCGCGAGGCGCGAAGAGCGGACGCGATGACTGAATTTGACTCCGCGCCCGGCGTACTGGTTACTGTCCGTACAATTGCATTACTTGCATATTGATACTACACTCGCACTATCTCAGCATAGGTCCAGCTCCAGCAACTTCATATTGCCCGAGGGCCAAGATAGACCGGCCACAAATGACCTGTGTCAATTCTAAAGCAGCCATATAGACATTCCAGCGATGGAATCGTGAGATGCAAAGCAACTGATTGTACAAAATCGGCTATACATCTACTCATTAAATTCTGGGGGATGTTCTTCGCTATGTAGGTACAAAATCGGACGACCTCTCATCATCCCAGGCTGACGTGGTCATTACTGGAGGCTGATGGCCATTGGATCATTGATGTCTTCCGCCTCCATACTCGCACATAGCCCCTGAGCTGCTTCCAACGAAGCCCTCACATCGTCTGACACCTTCATCAACATCAATTCGCATGTAAAGATTAAATGACATACCAGCCATAGCCTTGATTCCTGACCACATGATCCCATAATAATCGAGCCCTGCCAACAACGTCTTGACGTGTTCTAGCAACCCTTGGACTTGGGCGTTTTGCTCGTCGGAGAATTCAGATTCGGCTTGAGCAGCGAGAGCGAGGAGGAGGAAGGCGTATGCACCCGTGACCAGACCGCAGGCGCAATAGGGCATCCATTTCGGGCTGGATACGAAAGTTAGAAGGCTGGGACGAGAAGAAGCAAAGTACGCACGATTGGCCGTTCCAGAGCACCTTCATCGTTTCGCGATGATATGTCTCGAGACGGACGATAGTCTGGGCGGCGGTAGCACACTGGACAAGACTGGTACCGGGAGGGAATATATCCAGCTGGGGCGACCGAGGAGATTCATGCTGTAAGGAAGTCAGCACCATCAAAGGTTGATCAAAGTTGGACACACCTGCTGAAGCGGAGAAGGGAGCACGGAAGACGCCACACTCGTTCCCGATACGCTCCTCCCTGCAGTCCCCACCAGCGGTGGAGGCGACGAATCAAAGCTCGGGGTCTGGTCCAATGGCATGAAAAGCGTCGTTTGCGCCAGGCTACCAGTCGACCACGGCGGGGAGTAGTAAGGCGATATGTGGGCATGCGACACTTCGGGGTCGTACACTGATTCAGATGTGAAACCCGTCTGCATGTGGTCTTGGTCAGAGTATGAGGTGTCCATCGCGCCGGGCCAAGTACCGGGCATGGCAGCAGGCTTTTCTTGCGTGGCTGCAGGAGTGTCGTTGAAGGATGGCAAGCCGCACACCTGTCGACTAAAGATGGAGACTTCGGGGAAAGCTTGGTGTCGGTGAATGTGGATGAGAATGACGGCCAAAGCGAGTCTGGCGGACAGCTGCAAGTTTCTGAGGGCTTCTTCCTCTTCACCCGACCGGCACTCGACCATCTCGGTGAGCTCGGCTTGCTGGAGGCCGTTTCGAAGCTCCGCCTCCGACTCGACCAGTTTCTGCTTGAGCGCTTCACTGTTTTCGGGGGAAACTCCGGTCGGTGAGAGCTGGGGCATGTACAAGGAGCAGATGACGGCGAAAATCTTGGCGCATTTACGCAGGATCCCATTGTAGATGGCCCAAGAAAAGACTTGCGAGTCCACGGTTGGAAAGTGCACGTAGTACTCTTCGTCTAGGCTCAGCAGCGGGATGTTCCCAGTGACGACAGACCCGATGATCTGCGAGTTGTACAAGCCCCACCACGTCCTCCTCGCACGATCCTTTTCCCAGCTAAAGTCGTCTGGGGCGACGTAGCCATAAGACTCTCGATCCGTCTCGTGGAGTCTCAGTACAAAAGACATGTCGATAGCTTGCTTGTGCCTCGCCCGGCTGCGTTCGACACTCCCAGAGCTACTCCATTCCCAGACACCAAGCATGATGAGCGCCTGGACGCATTCGATATGCGGCTGCCCAGAGGCCGCCATCGCATCGATGAGTTGCAGGCACTCCTGAGAGTAGGCCGCAGACGCGCCCTCTCGCAGCTGCTTGGAGATGGGAGACGAGGGGTCGGGGTCGTTGGGATGGGGAACGAGTGCGAGGATTGTCTGGGCCGCAAGGAGGAAGGGAGATTGGGGCAGGAGAGCGGATTCGAGCTGCGAAAGATATTTTCGCGGGGGCATTACGGGGATATAGGGGTGTATTTCCTGGTAGTGTTTCTCGAGACTAGATGGCGGCCTCAGTGAGCTGATTGGCACGAGGGCTACGGGACACTCACATGAGACGTGGTGTACCATAATGCAGTACGCGGTCCTGGGGCGCCTCGGTGTGTGGGATGACGACATGCTTAAAGTCGTGTAGGGCGGGGGCAAAGACGAGGTTGTCGAGGCGCTGCAGGTAGTCGTTGAGGGGTTTGGGAGCTGCGTCATGTTAATAAGGTTTGGCCGAGACAGTCGCAAGAGACGAGGCATACGTTGTTTCCTCCGCGGTCGAGCACCACCACGGCGCGACTTGACGTACTGGCACTCGGTGTGCTTGTTGATGCACTGGTGGGGGTCAGCAGGCGGGGTCAGCAGGAGGAGGCGGGCGGGACGGCGTGCGGGACTGACCTGCGTACAGATGGGGAGTTTTCCGTCGCACTTTTGTTTTTTCTGCCTGCAGCTGAGACAGGCTGCCTTGACGGGGCCCTCTTTTCCGTGGTCTGTGTCTGCCTTGGGCATTGCGGCCGGGATACAGTACGTATAAAGAATGCTGACAAGAGGGAAATGTCAGAGGAGATACGCGGCGGCGGCGGGGAGCGCCGTGCGGGGCCCCCATGCGATGGCCATATGCGGGCGGCTGCATCTCTGTGTTGTTTGTGCACGCCATGGATCTCTACCATGCCTCAGACGGCGGCCTCTTCCGCACACCCACCCCTATCCAAGACTACCCCAAGTGAGCAGAATTTGAGCCCCCCGGCCCCGCTGACCAGCCCAGCATCGATGCTCTCTACCAGCACGTCGCCGCCGCAACCGCCATTCCGGACCACCATATCCTCCTCTTTCTCGAGGACGGCAGGGAGCTTCAGGGGGGCGTCCTGCACCAACTGCAGAATGAGCCGGTCACTGGTGCGGAAAGGGTGAGCACCGCTGTGGCTTGGTCCCTTTGAACGGCTGCTGACGTACACCCAGTTGCCGCTCAAAGTATATCTGTACAATAGAGACACATTCTGGTCAGACCCCGAGGCGTGGGCGGCACAGTTTCAGGAAGAGCTGCAGCTTCCTCCACCTATAGACCGTGAGGCTGGCTCCTCTCTTTCTATGCAGCAACTGACCAAGCTCAGTGTCGAGTCTGCAGGGTATACAGCACCCCTTTCTGATCGCCCACGACCACTTGTCCCACCTTCAATCTCTATTCGACGCCCAGTCATCTGCATTATACATTGCGTATGCCAACCTGTCGCAACACCTCCAACCAGTGGTCAATGAATTCCAGTCATTCGCCTCCCGCGTGGAGGCAAGCTTCAAGTCGGAAGAGGAACTCATCAAAAGCTCCAAGCTGGACATGGCATTACTACCCAAACTAGCCATCAATCCTGTCATGTTGAAGAAACGGGAGGGAGAGGAGGGGAAAGAGCGGACCATGGGCGACTATGTCAATGGCAAAAAGATGGAACAAGTGCGGGAAAGCTGTCGCGTGTTGCATGGTGAGTCACACTGGTCATAGCACCCATACTGACTGCTCGATATCAGTGGAGAGTGTCGAGAGGTTTAATTCAATAGCAGACAGCTTGGACGAACTTGTCGAGCAATCGGAGAGCGAGAGCGAGGCGTACGATACAAGAGCCACTCAAGTGCGGAATGAGTTTTCCGATGGACTGGCCCGGCTTGAAGTAGCCCTGGGGCAGTTGGCGCAACTCATCGATAGCGGGGCCAGCGATGTTGAGGAAGGCAAGCCTGTCACGGTATTCCTCGACTACGCTGACCTAGCACAGACTTTGTCGAGCTCGACCAAGCGATGCGTGAAGACCTCACCGCCCTGACCACTCTCAAGAACGAATTCACCCTCGACGTCCACGTCCATCTCCGCCAAGTCGCTTCCTTGCAATCCCAAACCCACGACATGCTCTCGCCCATTCGTAAACTTGACGCCGACCTGTCCACCCAAAAAGAGAAATCCGCTTTCCCGCATCTGCAGAGGCTACATCAAATCCCATTTGCCTATGCGACGGCTGTGGCAGAAATGATCAAGAGGCGGGATTTCGGGCAAATGTTGGGTGACTGGACGAAACGTCTGAAAGGCACCTTGGAGACGTTTGTCCAGGTGGAGCACAAAAGAAGGCAGATGGTGCAGGGCGAATGGCTCTCGCAGCTGCCTTTCAGTATACCAGGGCTCGGTGAGAATCAACCGCCCAGGGTGGATATCACTGTCATTACTGGCTCCGAAGGCATTTCCAACGTGACACTTGGCTATGAAGAGATCGAAAGTGAGTCTACAAAAGAGACAGGCCAAGAGCTAACGAGACCAGAGCTGGTAGCGTGGCTGGAAAGTATACAAGATGATCCCGATGTGCGTGCAGTCATGCAGGAAGGTGATGAAGAACGGCTCAAGGATATGCAAATCGGTATCGAGTCGCTCGTCAGTAGGCTTGACACTGCGGGGATGGAACTGGATCGGGCCGTAGAACGAGGTGGTACGTGTGCTTGTTTCCCACTTGATATATGCTCATGTAAGGCAGTGCTACATCCAAAATCTCTATCGCAGTCCCGATCCACCAGTACCTCCCGCACCACTCTCCATCTCTCCTCCCAACTTCGCGCTACCACCAAAGAACGCGACGATACCATCCAGCTTCTCGACACCCAAAATGTCCTCGTCGAGTCTCTACAAACACGGCAGACCGAGCTTCAGGATGAGCTTGTCCGGCTGCGGAGCGACTTGGAGGAAGAAGGCCTTGCAAGGCAAGCTTTGAGCCAAGAACTGGAAGAGAGAGAGAAGGAGAAGGAGGATAAGTCAAAGGAAGATGAGGACCTGATCAAGGGACTGCAAGCCGAGCTGGCGCAGGAGAAGGATCGAGCCACCGATCTCGGCGTGCGCTTGCAAGAAGCTCTTCTCGACGTCGACGGGCTCCGCAATGGGGAACGTACCCTACATGCACAGCTCCACGAGCTTCAAGAAGAGCGAAGCAACGCTCTGCAAGACCATCAAGCAGCTCAGGCTGTTATCGCAAACTTCGAGTCTCAGGTAGCTGGTCTCAGAGCTGAGCTCGTAACGACTGTCAATCAATTGGAGCAGGCTCGGGAAGATAGAGAAACGGCACTCAAGCATCAGACGGCCGAGGCTGAGCGCCTTTTGAGAGACCAAATCGCCGAGGCCGATGGAGATAGAGCTGTGCTCGACCAGCAAACATTGACGCTCACAAAAGAACTGGAAGATCTCAAAGTGGACACCCAGAGACGAATCTCTGCTGCTGAAAACAACTCTATCCGGCAAATTGACGGTCTGAAAGCAGAACTCTCTCTTACCAAAGCGCAACTAAAAGAAAATCAGCGAAAAGAGCTGGCTCTGACAGACGAGCTTGCCGTAGCCAAAGATTCTCTGAACGCCTCGGTACAAGACAAGAGCAAACTCGGTGATCAGACGAGGGAAGCTGTGGCACTTGCAGGGAGGTATTACGAAGCTTGTCAAAGGCTCTTTGATGCTATCAATTCTTCAACGACCATATCTGGCACTGCAGCCCAAGGCCGATCGAGGTCTCCGACTTTCCATCAGTCGGGGTCTTTGCCAGCTGCAAAGTCTCAATTTGAGACCTCCTATGAGACCAAGACAGTGCCCGGGTCTGATCAGCTCGAAGCATCCTCCACCTCTGCCGCATCTTTCGCTACATCCCCAGCTTCTTCATTTGACATCCAAGCTTTCGCCGATGCCGTCACCAAGACAATAGGCATGGCGAAAAAGTGGTCAAAGAGCTGTAGACAGTATAGGGATCAAGCGAAGAACAAGATCAGCTTTACCAACTTTTCCAAGGGCGATTTGGCGCTGTTCCTGCCTACTAGAAATACAGCTACCAAGTCCTGGGCTGCTTTCAACAGTGAGTATTCATCTTACAGGGTGGGACAAGTCATTGACCTTGCTGCAGTCTCAGCCCCTCACAACTTCCTCAAGCTGAATGCGGCGCTGCTAGAGCAAATCAGAACTCGAGAATGGATCATTGCGAGGATCATCAAGATCGAGGAGGCAGTGGCTACTGGCGGCGAGGTTAGTCATTCCCAAGATGCAGGCGCCCATATTGACCATTCTTCAGTCCCTGGACACCAATCCTTTCGGTCTGGCTGATGGACTCCGCTACTACACCCATACCGTAGAAGAGTATAACCCTCACGCCGCTCGCCCATCTCGGCGAACACCTTCGGCAAGCTTTGGCGGTAGTCAGATCATGACTTCTCCCCAACGCATGTTGAGTGAGGGTGCATCCAGTGTTGGTCTAGGCGGCATGACACCGTTGAAGGTGCAGTCTGGTATCACCGCTGGTATGCCGGGCGTGGGTCGCGGGAGGACGCAGAGTGGATACTTTCCGCCTATGAAGAGTCTGGATGAACAGGCGTCTGGCTCGGGATCCGAAGCGCCTGGAGAGAATGAAGCTGCAGACAAAGCCGGTTTGTCGTTCTCCACTTCAAGCCCTCGTGGCTCGACAAGCCCTTCTTCTGCGAAACGCGGCTCTCCTTTGTCCTTTGGCCGACCTTTATCGCCCCTAGCAGATGGTTCTCTTTCGCCTAAAGTCGGCCCCATTACCGTACCTGCATCTGCCACCCGCTTCACAACCTCAGCCCATTCTCCTGCACAGTCCAACTTTCCCAGCCGAGCTTCTCGAACAAGTCTCACGACGTTCATCACCGCCCAAGCTACGTCCCCGCCTTCTCAGCCTTCTCAAGGGGAGTCTCAGCAACATTCGGGGAGGCCGGCGAGCGTGACGAGTACGGCGAGCTCGTATCCAAAAGGATTGGGAATCGGGATCCCGGGTGGAAAGACGGCACCTTCAATGGCGGTTACCACTTCGCACGACGGCGAGGATGCTGCTTCATCGAAAAGCCCAGGTCTATCCAAGAGCCCTTCTGTGCTGCCTGAAGCTTCCACTTCGCCCGGCCATGAATCTAGACGAAATCGTCACTCGAGTGCCCGATCGAAGCGGGCTAGCTTTAGCTTGCTGGGTACAGCGCCTGACATAGGCACAGGATCGTCAGGAGGGCCGGTGGCGGCGGAGAGCGGAAATGGAAAGCCTTCGGATGGGAGAAAGGGGAGTGTGAGCGCCATAGAGATGCTTCGAAGGATTGACAAGGGCTCAGGCGCAATCTGAGCGACTATATCATGTTCTGTGTGACAGTTACTTTGTATTTGCAATTGATGTTGTGTGATTCACTGTATAATACCATGATCCGTTATCTATATACAAAGCGATGCATATATGCTTTTGCTTACATGTGGTTCAATTGAACCTCTTTTTGATATCTTGTCGCCGGGCGACCTAGTCTGTGTACAGAGTAGTCTCGTAATCATGCCCATGTCTCTGATCGGCTATTCATCCTCCCAGCCTACGGCAACCTCGTTTCCTTCATCATCCTCACAGAAGAACGAGACGCCCCGCATCTCCTCTTCCTCCACATGGTTGGGGTCCATGATCACTTGCAACCCTTTTTCTTGGTTGGCTATCCACTCTTCAATACTCTGCCCTTCCACCTCGTCATTCTCCCACTTTTCGCTGTCCCGAACCTGATCTCTGGTGGGCCCGGGGATTATGAACTCCAGAGGCTCTTCAGCAGCGGTTGGGTCGTGCATTGAGGAGAAAAAGTCGGGTTGGACTGGGTTGGCCTCGTAGGCCTCTCTGAACTTGTCGAGGGTGTTGCCCGTCATAAGAGCCACAAAGACCTGAAGTGTATACTAGAGATTCGTGTCAGTATCCGATGAGGCAAAACGAGCAGGAAAGACTCACGAAAGCGTCGTTACCAGCGTTACCGCAGAATTGCGGTTTTCTACTCTCATAATCGCCAAACAACAACATGGCCACGTGTTGCAAAGACTTTTCCGTCCTGCCCAGACCTTTGATGTCGTCAATGGGCGTGATCGACTCGTCAATAGAGGTCGAGTTGATGACGGGAGTGTAACCGGCAGGTGGGCGGGTGGGAGTTGCTCTTTCAATACCTCCGAAAAGAGCGGCAGTGTTCTGTAAAGGTAATCAGCTCCATCGTTTGCGTCATCGAGACCGCGCTTACAATCATAAAAGGAACTCCACACTTGGTGGCATCCATGTAAGGCGGAAGGCCTCCAGTGTCGGGCCTTAGGTCACCGAAATCGCCTCTCTCGGTCGAAAAGCTGGGTCCGATGTCTTTGAAATCAAAGTCTACCCCTTTGCGGGCATGGACTAGAACATCTGGACCAGATCAATATACAATACCGACAGCAAAGAGGGACCAGAGCTCACAGAGGGATCCTTTACCACCTTTGGTGTTGACTTCGACGATTTTGTTTCGGATGGTTGATTTGAGCTTGGCTTTCGGAACTTGAAGAGACTCTCCAAAGAGATAGTTTTCTCGGTAGTCGGGATAGGTGGTATTCTTCTTGTTCAGACGGTGATCTTCGACACTAGACATTCATCAGCATTAGGTGGCCTGTCATGCGGACAAACTAACATGTAATGACCTTGGTCCCTGATTTCCTCAAAGACGGGCTTTGCATTGCCATCCCTTTGAGAGCCGGGTTGAATGACCTCCTGCCAGTACATGGCAGACCATCCGACCTCCAGGACGACCTTTGAATCTTGATCCCATCTCGTCACCGCCAACGCCAAAAAGCTGCTTCTCCCAACTTCTTTCGGCGGCTCATTCTCCGGGGTCACCTCGGCCTCAACTTCCGCGAGCGCGTTGCGCAAGCCGCCTTCAGCGGCAATGATGAGCGCTTGCGATGCCACGAAATGATATCGCTCGGCGAGCTGATCATCCGTCAGAGTCTTCTGCGGTTCATCGTCTTCTCCCTCGTCACCGGAATCAAGAGAATCGTCTCGTGACGCGCCGTCGTCGCTGCCATCGTCGCTCTTGGTATTGGAAGCGAACCCGAAATCTTGAAGGACTTTCGTCGCAGCTTCTTCGGCTGCCTTGATCCAAGCAGGGTTTTGCGAATCGTCTTCGTTCGGCTTGACGTCACCCGCCTTTGCTTTGGAATTTGCTCCTGCCTTTGCTTCTTCTGGCGCGGATGGGGGAGCTTCTGGGGTAGCGTCTCCTGCCGGAGTCCCCTGCTTCGCCAGCCTGTCACGCTCCATTCTCTCCCTTCTAGCCTGTTTCTCTTGCTCCTTCTGGACAGCCCGCTGTTCCTTCTTCTTGATCTCTTCCTCCTCGGTAGTGGGAGGGACGTCCAGTGCCAGAATGGGTTCAAAACGCTTGGGGTCAAAGTCTGGCAAGGGGAGTCCGTTGCGCTCGTGACGTTCGGCAATTTTGGCGTCTTTGTCGAGCTGCTTGGTGACCTTGGTCAGATGGAAGAAAGAAGGGATAGTAATCTCCTCCTGTGCTGGGTGTCAGTCACGTTCATAGTGGCATAGGGCAAGTGACGTACGACCTTGATGAACCACTCGGCAGGCAACACCATATCCGGAATCGGGACCCAATCGTCCTGACCCAGCTCGTAAGACGGCTCTTCCAGCTCTTCCAGCTCTTGCATTGCCTTCTCACTCCCATCTTGCTCCAGCTCTGCCCGTTTCGAGTAGTACTCGACCCAAGATGGGTTGCTGAGGCGCAAAGCGTTGATGCAGTACTGGATGTACTCGACCTGTTTCAAGGTGAAAAGAAGACGAGGGCGATTGGTCTTGTCATATCCTAGGTACAGGGTCAAGCCATCCTGCCCTGGGTGGAGAGGGTGGCCCTTGTCGAAGAGGGCAGTGTTGGATAGGAATGAGTTGACAGCTCCGGCCTACACATGGGAATGGCGTAAGCACACATCTTGTCGTCATTTTCTCGACCTGGCAATACCACACCAGCTCCAGCGGTGGAAAAGACTCACATGCCAGGGGTTGAGGCTATTGGGCCACTGCCACATGACATCCATCTGGCGCATATAGGCATGCTTCGCGAGGACGAGGCCGGCGCTGTCTGTGATCCTGAGGTCGGGGTCGACCCAAGGAACTTGCTCGCTGTCCTGTGCCATTATGTGTGATGGGCAGGCTGGGTGGGCATGTGGGGGGTGATGAGAAGAGAAAGAAGAATCTATGGATCTATAGGGGTGTTTGTTGAGACATAGTCGAATTGCTCCCGTGTTGCTGTGTATGTATCTCTGCCGTTGACTACCATCAAACCTGGCACCCGCGGCATACTTTATTGTGGGCAATGCATATTTACTAGTGTACTTACTGCCACTAATAACCATGTAATTACTCCTTACAGCGTTGTTGTTGTCGACCTCCACCGGGCGATGATACGTAAGTGGAATTGATCCCGCTGATAAGAGCATAATAGAGTTTCGTCATCGCGCTCTTGACTGCATCCACTCACAAAATCATCAGCATACCCCATGTCAGAGGACTCGGTCCCCAGTAAGCATGCCCCAGCATAGCATGCCTCGCTGACCACCACCTCCGCAGTCAAGACTCTACTGCTCACAGTCTTCAACGTCAGTCGCCTCCCACCATCCCTGGAGTATCACTGACTTGGTGCCCTCACCAGTCTATCGTCGAGGTATTCCTTCTATGTGTCGCAGGTTATATACTGGCGCGCTCAGGCGTGACCGATAAAGCGACCCAACGAAAGCTGAACGTCATCAATGTATCGCTCTTCACGCCTGCTCTGCTCTTCTCAAAGGTGTGTCAATCAAGTCACGAAGGCCCGGTCGCGCCCGGTGCTTGTGAGACGTCGCCAAAACGTCGTTGAGATCTTGTCACTAATGCATGGGTCAGGTGGCATACTCTCTCACGCCTGCAAAACTGAAGGAGCTGTGGATCATCCCTCTCGGGTGCGTTTCATCCTCCAGCTCTCACCATGCCCACCGCTGAATCTTTGCAGATTCGTCATAGTCACTGGTGTATCGGCTGGAGTAGCTTGGTCTCTTGCGAAAACTTTCAAACTCTCCAAGTCGCAGAGGTACGACCAGATCTGTGCACGCTCTTGGCGGTCTTGCGGGGCCCCCGTCATGAATCATGCTGACAGCGGTCTATAGAGCCTTTGCGATCTGCGCTGCCATGTTCCAGAACAGCAACTCTCTTCCCATAGCACTCATACAATCTCTTGTAGTCGAGGTCCCCGGTCTCAGATGGGACGAAGATGACAACAAGAATCAGATGCTCGGTCGGGCGCTCACCTATCTCGTGCTCTACTCGACTCTCGGTATGATGCTCAGATGGTCTTGGGGTGTCAAGCTCTTGTCTGGTGCAGACGACGAAGCACAGGTAGAGCCTGGAGAGACGGGTCTCACCGGAAATGGAGACTTGGTCCAAAGCCCCGGGCAAATGGGTGATGGCAGGGAAGAGAGTGATCCGTTCTTCTCTCCCCACGATGGTGAGACCCCGACGCGACACGAATCAGCCATGGGGGTCACTCCGACCACTATCCGTCAACCCACTTCCCCCACACTCCCCTTCACCGCTCCAGGCTCTGCGCACTCGATGCACCCGACCCCCGACAGGCGCGCCTCGGCCACGGGCACGGAAAGATCGCACTCTGTCTTGAGCGCCACCAGACGACTGAGGGCACCTTCGCGGACTGACAGTGGAAGGGAATTCTTGGGCCTTCCTGAAGCTCCTAGAGAAAGGGCTTTTGATTTGATCAATGAAGTCGATAGCAGCGATGAAGAAGACGAGGAATGGGTTCGTACCTCTTGAACATCTCTTCACACGACGGCACGCTGACCAAATCACAGGGCAGCGACTCTCAGCCAACTCTCCGTCTTCGCCGCCAGCCTCCCCAGACCGCTTTCCAAAAGTTCAAGACCAAAGGCAAGGTCGTCGCCCAAAAAGTCAATGCCTTCATGACCGTCCCGATGTACGCTGCCTTGCTGTCAATCTTCATCGCCATGGTACAGCCTCTGCAGGCCAAGATGGCCGAGTTCAAGCCTCTGGAGCAAGCCATCAAGGGCGCCGGACAATGTTCAAGTGAGTGCTTGCTGACTGATCCCCCAGAGATGAGCCAACGAGATGTGCAGTTCCTGTGACTCTAGTCGTCCTCGGCGCCTTCTTCTACACTCCTCCCGCGCCCCCCACCATTCCCATCTCCCTTCCGCCCGACGAACACGATCCGCCCGCCAAACGTGGCAACTTTTTCGAACGCAAGTTCCGCGCTATCGCCGGGTACTCTCCCATCGGGAATGGGAACGCCGCGCCAAAGCCCAAGGCCTACCCAGGCGAGAATCGAGCGGTGTTCGTGGCGGTGGTTAGTAGGATGGTCGTTACGCCACTGGTGATGATGCCATTCCTGGCGGTCATGGCCAAGTATGACTTGTTTGAGGCGGCCGAGGATCCGGTTTTCGTGCTGAGTGCCGTGTTGTTGGTTTCTTCAGTGAGTTCTCTGAGATCGACCAGACGCATAGACTGACATGGTTGCAGCCTCCTGCATTGACGCTCGCCCAGATTACGCAGGCAGCATCCGGGGATGCATTTGAGCGACTCATCTCGAAAACTATCAGCTGGTCCTATGCCGTTCTGACTCCCCCGTACGTGTCTGAGGATCCATCCGTTTTTAACACTGATCGCTTTCAAGGTTGACTCTTGTCTACGTCGTCATTGGCTTGATTTTTGGTAGGATGTGACGGGAGTCGAGAGTGGTAGTACCAAGAAAATTTCACTGTACAGACAGGTCTATGAGCCATGTAAGACCTATGCTGAGTTTTCGGCAAGCCGAGTTCTCGTAATGATCGTATCATGACTGCGGGTGGTGCTTGTTTGGTGCTGGTCGAAAGTGTGTGCATGACATCCTGATCCAATGCCAGTAAGACAGCCCTCCGCATGCATAGACGGGAGCTGGGCCGGCCACATGAGTGGGAGGCGCCTGCGCAGGAGACTGGGAGGCGACAGGGAGAATCCAGGAACGCGGCATTAGGCTCTCTCTTAACGCCACGCCGTATCTCTTGTTGTCTTTTTCCCTCTCTTTGTTCTCCATCCACCATCCCACGCAATGCCCCCCAAGAGACCTCCGCCCCTCCCCAAGAGCCTCTTCGTCGGCACAGGTCCCCTGGCCCCAGGTACGTCCACCCCCGCCATCCCCATCCCATCCCCATCTTGACCACTTGCATCACACAGGCTCTGCAACTCTGCCCCCTTCTCCCACAACCATTCACCCCAGCTTTATCATCGACTCTCACTCATTCGTGACGTCCCACGAACCCACTCCAGACCCGATCTACCACGGCCTCAAGGCCGAGTACCCAAGGCCGCCCGTCAAGCATGCGGTGCAGGTCAAGATGAATGTCAGTGCTGAACCTGCTCAATCCGTCCTGTGAGTATAGCTTCATTGATTGTCTAGAGCAGTGCTTGCACTGGTGCATACGGGAGAGGTATTCAAGTTGTAGTGGCTGACAGACCCGTGCGCTTCCTTCACCCATGTCACGCCCATTGACGCAACACCGCGTTGGCACTCAAAATCTCGCCTGCACTCGCAATGCATAGTGGTGTCAAGCCGTTCTCGATCCACCCCACCATTCTCAACCTCGCCCTTGCCACCCCGCCGTCTGTCACCAACATTGCCAAAGGCGCGGTGGACATCATTGTTCCGTCCACCGTTCCTTTGACAGAGAAGGACTGGGATCTGCTTGACGAGGCCGTCGATGCGCTCGATGGCTGTTGGGGCCATAAGGACGAAGGGAAAGAGCCTCGCGGAAGAATCGTCATCTGTATGTCATTTCAGGATCTCCCACGGCATCCTCTGATTTGGAGACATAGCGGGCCTTCTCCTCCCTCCTCTCACCACACCATCTTCTTTCTTGATCCACTCGGAGGCCTATAACCTCCACCTTGCCCGACTCGCCTCATTGTCTCTCCACCCAAACGTGTACTTGAAGGCTCTTCCTCCTGTCGTCGATGCTGCCTTGTTGAAGAAGGACGGTAGTCCCGCTTGGTGGACAAATAGACCTGAGCTAGAGAGGGTCATGAGGATGTATAGTGAGTCGCATGGCGTGCGAGACCCTTGCTCAATAACTGACTCTGAAAAGTTGCTCATGCAATCGAAACCTTTGGCACTCATCGAATCATCTTTGGTTCCTCCTCCGCTCTTCCCCTATACGACCTCGAGCGTGTCAGCCATACCGTCAATGAGCTCGAGCAGCCCATCAGCAATGGCGAATGGTACTCTGTGCTGAGAAAATGTGTCACGGAATTGGGAGAAGGTCTCGAGGAGACGACCGGGATATTCGGGGAGAATGCCAAAGCGGTCTATGACTTTTCATGTTAGGTTACGCGTCTTTGACGCTGATGGCAGGCGGCCAAGGCATATGCGTCTTTGCGAAGACCATAGAAGAACTGGGAGCTGGGAGAGAGATAGCTTTACATTACACACAACTGATATCTGTCCACATTTGACTATGACGACCGGACGATCTGTTACGAAAGATTCTGTTTATAACGCCCTAGAATAATAACTTTGCTCTTTGTTGATTTCGACATGTATACCCTGAGCCAGAGTGTGTCTAGAACAGTTCCCGTTCCATGCGATCATTTCAAAGGCGGAGGAGGTGAGCTCAGAGCTGGATACGGTCGCCAAGTTGCTGACGTCGGCACAGAATGCACAGTGGAGACCATGTTGACGACCGCTAGGAGACACGATGGCTGTTGGCGTAGAGACCTTGTCAATTATTCAGCATCACAGTATGCCAGGCTCGAAGGGTCTCCCTGTATGGATGAGCCTTGCTTTCTCAGCATCTTTCTTCGCATAGCTGCTTCACCTTTTTCATCACGAACCATCGCTCGCTTCTTCATGGACTCTCAACAGCTCCCCTCCTACAGCCCACCGTTGACGAAGCCGTCGCCACCACCTTGCCCTAAAGCTGTCCGCTCGACTCGACATATTTCGAGCGACCTTCTAAGCTCAATTACACTGGATCGTATCCTGAAAGAAGAAACCAGATCTCCTGTTACGAAAAATGACTTGCTGCGATGGCTAGAGTGCCGAGTACGGAAGGCGATCTCAAGCGGCGACCAAGAGGAGGCAAGAGAGGCGGAATTGGGGTGGTGGGTCGTAGAGTTTTTGTCAGAAGTCGAGATGTGAGACGCAGTCCCACAGAAGGCATGATCTGTGCTAACAAGCCATCCATACAGGTACAAGGAATCGTTCAACGCTCTTCCTGCCGAGAAGGCTTCTCTGGCGCCACCTCCATTCCAAGTCATCTCTCAGATTGCCCTCACCAACTCGGAGATCATGCGGCCTCCTCCCACTCGCAGGCAGAAAGGAGCAGCTTCCCTTGGTCAGGATCACGAGCTGAATCCGTTCAAGACACACAACGTAGGGCACGAGAGGGACAAGTCGTCGATCGAGTCGTTTGAGACTTGGTCGTCTGATTCGAGCATCCCCCGTAAGCGTCTTGAAAGGTCTCCTTCAAATGCTACTACCATCGAGAATACGCCCAGCTTGGAACCTGTGACGCTTGAATTGAATCGACCAGAGCTCGCTTCCCCGAGGAGAGTTCTCCCTAAACCCCACAATCCGCGTTCCCCTTCTGCCGCTTCGGCCTCTTCCACTCTTGGTATCAGCGGCTTGAGCATGGCTGCGAGCTATGCAACCGGGAGTGGTCGAAGCACAGCCGGCGGGCTTGCGAGGCAGGCCTTTACTGCCGGAGGACTCAGTGATCCGAGCAGCTACCAGAGAGAGATGGACAGGGACAGGAGAGACACCATGGCGCCGCAAGCGCAAGACCCGCTTGCTCCTCCGCCTCCTTTCGAGGCTACGGGCTTGGGCTCTTTCAGGAATGGGCTCAGCCAGCGAAGACCTACCGAGAACATGCTCTCGAGACCGCTTTCGCCCATACCCTCTCCTTCCTTAAGCCAGAAGCCGTTGTCGCCTTGCCCCTCGATAGTCTCGATGGCGTTGCCTGCAGGCCTTGACCCTGGTGTACAGCCCTTGCGCCAGCGACTAGCCAGCCTCACGGAGCTCTACCTTCTGCCATACTCGTCTCGCTCTGTCGTGCCCCTCATACCACCTCGTTTACTGGCGACCTTTGTCTCCGAGTCGTCCTTGACTACCCATCCAGAGACGATAGGCCCAACGGTGACGGTGCTTTACGAAATGTTTTCGGTGAACCCCCGCCTACTCCCTGCTTTCCTGAATGCCAGCGCACAGAACCTGCATAGGAATACGGCAATGGGCAGGCTCCTGGTAGGCTTTGCTTGCTGCGTGGTCGTCATAGCAATAGGCATATGTCTCATACTTGACCCGAGCCCCTTCAACCCGCATGGTCCCGTAGACAGAGTATGGAGGTTGACGATAATACCTCTCCTTCTAGGCGGAGTCGGTTATGGTATGGGGGCAAGAGCTTCACTCTGCTTTGTAAGCTTTCATACGCTTCACTTCACGCCAAGACTGACAACGAACCCTTGTAGTGGCTGGCGTTCTTTGGTGTCACCGAAGAGACATACTCGCCTTCACACCCTCCCCTGTCCCCTTCCCAAGCGCTCAACTTACTATCATCTGCTTTCATGAGCCATCTTCCTTGCGGGTTTTTCAGAAAGACGCAGCGTAAGATCGAGCCTGTTTCCGAGAGAAGAACCAGCAGAAAGCTCAAGAAGAGAAATGTATCCACGCTCAAGGATGGCAACCCGTTTGGTCCAGGTGACGCCGCCGTGGCAGGGTTTGGCTTGGACATGGTGTCCATGTCCCGCTCACGTTCAGGTAGCAACCCGACTCCTGCTACGCATATTCTTGCCTCGTCGGGGTCTACCAGCTATGAACAATACAGCATTTGGGTCCTCCTATGGCGTCTGACGGGGACGGCCTGGGGAGTCAAGAAGGTTGAGGACCCTTTTCTTCGAAAGTACCAGAGAAGGGAGGCGTGGAAGATTGCAGGGCAGTTGGTGCTGGCTCTGATATTCATTGGGGCAGCCTTCTTCTTTGTCCCGTATATACCTTTGTCTCATAAGTGAGAGTGGATCCTTCACCTACTGGTCTAGGCCTCTATGCGGATGACTGTGTGGGCGTCTCGCCGGTCCATGAGGCCTAGCACCTCCAAATATGTTGTCATATCTTTTGCTTGTACATGTCCCGTCATCCCCCTGGCTGTGCAGATACAATAGATAGATGTATGCAAAGATATACAGAGATATGAATTCGGGAGGTTACATTCGCAAGAGACAATGTACCATCCCTCAACTAGCTGCTTTTGGATGAAGCAAAGTAAAAATGTACGTAAAGACTAGCTCAAACACCAGAATGAAAGAGAAATGTTCGGCTTGGGAATTGACAGCTCTTGCCGAGATGGGCGAGCCTCACACAAAAGAACAGTATGGGGACCTCAACGCTTCCCCGGACAAAAACCAAAAGATAAACATGAAGGTGGAAAAGAGGTGTCCATGTAGAAGCAGGGTTTATTCTGCGCCACGGGGGCAGTCAAATCTCGAGTGCACAGGGTACACATTTACTGGGCGGTTCCGTACTCCCTAAATTCGAGAGAGTTGCCCTGTAAAGTAGGCTGGGAGATCAGGGCCTTGTTGACGGGCTTGCCCGCAGCGCTTCTCCTCTTGGCTGCCGCTGAAGACCCAGGCATGCTACCGCTGTTACCAATGTACGAGCGAGTCACCATGTCCTGGAATGGATTTTGGGACAGCCTGGAGCGCATAGGCGACTGGGTCTGAGGTTGGTACTCGTGAGAGCCATGAGGATCCTGGAACCATGAGCCATTGAAGACTGACTGGCCATAATGGCTAGGAGACTCGGCCGAGAGGTGGGACCCATCGTAAGAACCATCTGCGAATGGGTTGCTGTGGCCGTCCTCTGACCCGTACTGGCGCTGCTGCTCACGCATCGTGCGATCGTTGTCCATAGGAGACGCATAGAAAGAGGAGGGGCGGTCGTCAATATCTGACGCGGCAATGGAAGGCGCACGAGAGACACGACGATCACCTCCCCATGCAGTCGCGGTGGCAGTAGCGCCCGTGGCAGCGGCACCACCATGATAGACTTGGGACATGGTACGGTGATCGCCAAACATAGACATGTGCTCGGACATCCGTTTATGGACAGCCTTGTCATTGTTTCTCTTGACGCGCTTGTATACCCAATAGACCAACGCTAGCCAGAGAGCACCGCCAACGCCGACACAGACACCAATGATGATGTTCCTCTTCCGCTTGCTGCTTGACGAATCGTCAGAAGACGACGATGTCGTCGGAGCGGTGTCAGAAGAGGCCGCAAGCGGAAAGGCGGTGTTGATCTGGGCAGCCAGCATACCTTCGATACCGCTTTGGTTGTACAGAGGCGAAGAAGCTGTAGTGATATAGGCATTGAGGGTATCGAAATACTCGGTGGGGATATAGGCGATGTATTGGGTCAAGAGAGAGGTCTCTTTGCCGTCCCATGAGGCGGGCTGGTATACTTGAAGACCGTAGGTAGACACCTCCGAAGCTGTAGACAATCAGTCAGTCAAGTTGCGTGCCAAGCCCGTTTCACTCACAGTCAATTTCCAGAGCATTACTGATCAACGTAGGGAACGTGTTGAACAATTGACTCGTAGCGTCTGAAGAGTCCACCTGTACAGCATATCAGCACCCAGCCCACTGTGTCAGAAACAAATACTTACGACAAACCACCAAGGGTATTGCGAAGAGGCCAGCAGGATTGCAATAAGAGTGTCGTCTTTGATAGGATCACTGTCACTGCCGGTACCGGCATCGGCGTTGTTGGCCACTGAGCTGGCGGGCACAATCAACGTTGGCATACTGCTTGGGATGGTGGCCACTGAAGCGGAAGCCGACGAAGTACCAGACGCTTTGCTCGAGCTCTTTGTGGAACCGGTCTCGGAAGAGGTTGTGGTAGGCGCGGAATAAGAAGAAGAAGCTTCTGCGGATGTCTGAGAAGAGGCGACAATGAGCCAGGTCTGGGTTGGAGTGTAGCCTTGATCAGTAGACGAAGTGGCCGAAGTGTAATTGTACGCCGAAGTCGATGATTGGGACCACTCATTGGAGGAGCTACTCGAGGGGTCATAGGTAACGACTTGCGATCCCGTAGCGGCTGGTGCGGAGCTGATGGTGGTCATGTTGATCATCCCTGACCCATCAGATGACGAGGCGGTGGCATTCAAAGACGAGCTCGTGCCACTCGATGTGGACGTGCCCTCATCATAGGCTCCACTTTCTGATGTCGAAGCAGTAGTCTGAGCGGACGACGACGCGCGATAAGTACTGCTAACGTTGGCGGACCCCGTAGCAGTGTCGCTGCTGCTGACATTAGATGACTCGAAGGGTATCTCGCTGGCGCTGACATTAGATGTCTCGGAGGGCGTCTCGCTGGCGCTGACACTTGTGTTTACGGTCGGCCCTTCGCTTTCGGCAACGGGCGTAGACGAGCTGGCGTTGGCACTGGTAGTAAAGCTGGGCGACGAGCTTTCGGACGCAGATACAGTAGCAGAGTCGGATGAGGAAGTATTAGAACCCCAAGACTCAATCGCCGAGCTGGAGGCGCTCGTGGGCACAGACGTGGGTCCGGCAGAGGTGGTGTCAGAAGAGGCACTCTGACTTTGCGATACGCCCAATATGGAAGACAAAAGGTCTCCAGCAGAAGAAGTCGTGCTAACAGAGCTGATCCCTGTGACGGAATCGGTCACGTACAAGGCTGATGGCGATCCCGAGTTGGACGGTGCTTCAGAGCTCGACACGGTTTCTGAAGCCGTGACCGAGTTGGTCCAGAGCTCGGAAGATGCCTCAGCTTCGGAAGTAGTGCCCGCAGAGCTTACAGAGGAAATCTGGGCCGACGCCGAAGAGCTTGTTGCGCTTGCTGTCACGGGATCGGAACTGGAGACACCAAAGATAGAGCTCAGTAGATCCCCCGGAGTGGAGCTAGCAGAAGGTTCGACAGAAGAGGAAGCCCCAGTAGAAACAGAGGGCTCATCAGACGTGGCAGATTGGCTGGAGGCTTCGGTAGACGCAGTCGTTGCCCCGTCATATGCGCTGGGCTCGGAAGAGGTGGAAGCAGCTGTCTCAGTAGGGCTAGGAGCGGCTTCGGTGGTGGATGTAGAGGGTTCGACCGTCGAGGATGACTCTGTCGATGCAGTAGGGCTAGGAGCGGCTTCGGTGGTGGACGTGGAGGGTTCGACCGTCGAGGACGACTCTGTCGATGAGCTGAAACCAAGTAAAGAACCAAGAGCGTCTCCGAGACCGCTGGAAGATGTGGCTGAAAGTATGTTTAGTGGAATTCCAACATCGAGGTCCATACTGGCTTACCTGTGGCAGAAGAGCTTGTAGTTTCTCCAGTGGAAGTAGTACTAGTAGAGTCCACAGTACCTGAAAAAGAAGGAGGCAAAATATCAGCGCTGGTTTCACTTGGAACGATCGCCGTCTCCGAGTACGAAAATGTATTTGAAATCAAAACAGATGAAGACAAGAAGGTGGAAGATGGAACAAATTGTTGATATTGAGTTAGAGAATCAGAAAGAACTCCTTCTACAGGCACACTTGAGCTAGAGCTGGCAATTTCGCTCGTCATAGACAGCGTATCCACGAAAGCTGATGAAAATGTGGCAGTATCAGGAGGAAAGGCACTTGTACCTGATCCACCTGCTGTCCCTGAGGGGAGTGAAGCGTCACTGGAGGCAGATCCCACAGAAGTGAACGAGCTCGGATCGATGTAAGATGAGCCCGCCGTGTACGACAGTCCCGTCGCAAGTTCGGACTGAACAGGCGACAAGACACTCGATATCAAACTTGACGCCGGCACACCTGAAAGGTCTGTGCTGACGCTGGGATAGCCTGGGTTCTCCGACCCTAATATGGTCGAGGAAGACATTGTGGCGGGTGACAAAGTTTTCTGCGTAGTGGGAAGTACGGCAGAGGCAGAACTCTGGGCATCGCTGATGAAGCTTTCGGTGGGGAGAGCAGCATCAGAGGCAGACCAGGCAGAACTGGATGGGACACTGGGGATGGCCGAGTTTGACCACGTATTGACTTCGCTTGCCATAGTCTGACTTTGGGGTCCCGTAGCATTCAGCCCTGCTCCATTTCCGGTAATAGGAGCTGATAGAGTAGACGTCAATGCCCCAGTGATGAGCGGCAAGGTGGACGATGCGTCAGGAGTGGCGTAACTGGATTCTTGAATGCCAATAGACGAGGTGATCTGCCCGTCGGAATCTGTGGGTTGGACAGAGGCAGAACTCTGGGTGCTGCTGACAAAGCTCGCGGTGGGGAGAGTGGCACCAGAGACAGACCAGATTGAACTGGACGAGATACTGGGAATAGCCGAGCTAGACTCTGTAACGATGGCACCTGTCATGGCCTGACTTTGAAGTCCAGTAGCACTCGACCCTTGTCCAATACCGGTATTTATATCCGATAGAGTGGATGTCGATCCCCCAGATGTGACCTGCACGCTGGATAATACGTCAAGACTTGCGGAACTGGACTCTGCAAGAGTGCCAGTGGGCGAAATGAGTTGCCCGTCAGAGCCCGTGACAGTCATCGAGCTTCCGATGGAACTAGAGTCTGCCAAAGCGGATCCACCTGACGCAGAGTTCAACAAGGATGTCAAACCCGTGGAAGAGGTGCCCGTGACACTGAGACTGTCGAGGGTAGATGAAGTAGCGCTCCCTGAAAGTCCTCCAGCGGAAGCCGATTCGGAAGACAGGAGAGAGCTTGTCGAGCTCTGCCCCAAAGTTCCAGAGAGCGCTGTAGTAGACCCAGGCGGCGCAGAAGTCGATGACAGAGAATCCGAATACAAGTCTTGCAGATTCGTTGACGTGGAAGCAAGATCATTGAATGTGTTCGATGTCAAAGACTCGCTCAGGGTCGCGTCCCCAGCGACGGGGCTTGTCAACGATGCGTCGGGAAGACCGGAGCTTTGATCATCGAGCTGGGACGAAGAAGTGACAGACTCGGACAGAGTCCCGGTTTCGCTGAGTGAGGGGTCCACTGACGTAGTCGGCAAACCCGTTTCAGTCGAGGCACCGTACGACGAAGTAGTCACCGATGATGGGCCGCCATCCACACTTGACTGTCCTGATACATCTGTTGCGATGGACGACATTGACCAAGTGTCACTAGTGCTGGTGGAGTCAAGCTCTGATGCGGCCACCTCAGTTGAGGCAGTATCTTGGGAAGCCAGAGTCGACTGTAGAGAGATGCTGGTAGAGACTGACTCTCCAGGTAGAGTCGAAGCAAGGGTTGAGTCTTCGGAACTACTCGTCGGCAAAGTGGCGTCACTCCAAGCTGTACCTAGACAACAGTGGTCAGATATGTGACCAAATGATCTTGGATACGACCAAACTTACTCTGAGCCGGCATACTGGCGGTATCGCCTTGCACCGATGCCCCCCACGAGCTCGCCGTGATTGAGCTTGAGCCAGCAGGCGGATCGGTGGATATAGCGGAAGTCGACAACGTGTCGCTTTCAGGGTCACTGATTGGATTGCTGAGCGACGTCGAGTCGCTCGGAGCTTGGTCGGTCGTAACAGCCGATGGTGAGACCCATGCAGAGCCGGTAGTGCCTACCAAGGGCGATATTTCGGAAGACTCTGCGGCAGACCAGATGCTGCTTGAGGCCGAGTCTTCACCGACTGAAGTTGGAAGTGTGGATGTAGGCAACGCCGCAGGATCAGCGCTCGTATCATCAATTGACGTCGACGTCAGAACAGGATCGGCAGCAGTGCTCGACAAGAACTCGCCGCTCCAGGCCGTATCTGCAAGCAATTATTAGACCTCGACCACGTATATCTGCGCAAGACACATACTCTGATTCTGCGACGTGGCCGCCGTCTCCCCCAAAGTAGTGGCCTCTGATATAGCGCTTGTGGCGGGCGCCATTGTATCGATAGTATTCCAAGCTGCACGCAAAAGGCAAACGTCAGAGAGCTCTTCAATGTGGCCTAGCAATGGGACTTACTCTCTTGAGAAGTTGCAGAATTCGCCGCCTCCGGGGTAGTGCTCGTCGCTGGGTCTGCTATCGAAGCAGTCCCGGAATCCCAAGCGCTCGAATCTGGTTCGCTGGCAGAAGTTGCTGCCGCCACACTCGTAGACACTGCCGTATCGGGTAGGGCTTCGCTGGTGGCTGCTTGACTTGTTTCCAAAGCAGCACTTGTTGCTTGTCCCTCGGCAGTAGCACTGGTTGGCTGTTCCCCGACAGCAGCACTTGTTGCCTGTCCCTCCACGGCTGCGCTCGTGCCATCCGCTGCTGGTGTCCCATCCTGTCTCTTTCCTAATCTTCGCCTCCCATCCGTCATCTCACCCTCAATCAGCCCCGACTTGCCATCCACTGTCGCGCCGCGCGCAAACACACGAGGGGAATGCCAGCCCTCAAAACAAAAACCCAAGAAGCCCAAAGAAAAACGATCGTAGACTTGAAATAAAGGAGAAAAAGACTTGAAACTTGAAAATGAACTTGAGACAGAAGAAGACTTACTTGAGGTTGAACTTAAGGTTGAGCTTGAACTTGAAGTTGAGCTTGAACTCGAGGTTGAGCTTGTAGATGGCGCGGACGAGGTTGTGCTCGTAGATGGCGCGGCGGAAGACTGGGAGCTGGAGCTAGCGCTGGCCGAGGACGACGCGAGGGACGATGTGGAAGACGCCTGTGTGCTGGAACCAAGAGTGGACGTGGATGGAGCCACCGAGCTGCTGCTGCTCACTGCTGCCGAAGAAGATGCCGCCGTGGAGCTTGCAGAAGAGGAGATAGAGGAGGTGACAGCAGAAGATGAGGATGAGGAAGATTGGGCAGATGAAGAAGAGGATGTCGAGCTGATTCCACTGGAGGTGACGGTAGACGTCGCGTCCCCAAAGAGGTCATCCAACAATCCCCTCTCAGACACCTTGGAAGTGGCAGACGTGACTCCTTCACCGTACGTTAGCTCCTATCCTCATCTGGCCGCGCGCGCACTCACCGTCGACATCCAGGCTCAAGCCGAGCTGCCTCTTTCTACCCTCGCTCCACTGCCTCCTCTCCTGCACATGGGTCCTCCTCTCCAACCTGCCAGGGCCGGGATGCTCGACCGCTTCCGCGCCCTGTACTACCGCCAGAAGCCCTAATAGGATGAAAAGAGGGACCAGCGCCAATGCAGCGCGCTGTTGTGGTCGTCGGTTTCGCATTGGCCAATGAGCCGCTGGCTCTTGTGCGAAGGGTATAAGTGTGTTTGGGTTGAGCTCTTCCCTGAAGTGGCGAGGTCTGATTGCTGAGTAGACAATGAAGGAGCGTGATCAGGTGCGTGTCGCCAGAGTAGACATGGGGGTAGAGACGGAGGGGTAATGCGCGGTGGGAGGGGCGCGTAGATGTGGTACTAGAATAGACTGCGATTGATGTCCAGAGGTGTCGGCCAGCGGTGCTCTGTCGTTGCTACGGTTGCAAGGGGTTGTAGGGAGGGGATGAAAAGAGGTGCGGGGAGGAGAAAGGATGTTGTAACGAGTGTGGTGGCTGTTGGACGCGGGGGTTAGCTGACGAGAGGGAGTGGGTGGATGGGATGAGAGGAGGATGAGGAAGAGATGCAAATGCTCTTTAGAGGAGAGCCCAGACACCACATCTCCCAGAGGGCCAGGAACGGGGGCTGTCTGGCCCGGGCACTCCTTGTCCTCCACTCGTGGTCGCACTCACCTGTATGCACGGGTCGGGGCTGCGTGTATGGTGCTGGGCAGGGTGGGCTGGGGCGAGATGTATACGGGTGGGCGGAAAGCGAATATGGAGAGACGAGCAAGACGAACAAGGCTCGACCGCGTCCAAGAGGCCAAGGCGCAGCGACTTGTTTTGCCCTGTTGTGATTTCGTAAAACTTTGTCGTCTGCGGGAACGCGTGGCAGTCACCAGTAAACAACAGGCAGCGACGTGTCTGAGAGTGCACCAGGGGATGGAGTAGAGTGCAAGAAGCAAGCCAGAGCTCTGTATCGTCTCTTACATGCATGCGATGGGTCGCTGTCGCGCAGTTCGCTCGGATCTTGGTTGACGCGGTCAACGCGAGTCGCGGCCCTGAAGTGTGGAGACCATCCGACGTGAAAAGCGCGCCTGGGGTCTGGCTGCGAATGCATGAACTCGTACGCCACTGACCGTACCATCCATGAACTGCCAACTCGTGACACGTTGGCGTGTATAGAGCTAGGGGGAAAGCCATGCAAAGTACATTGATATGGCAGGCGTTCAACGAGATTCCGTATTCTTCCTCCGCCCGATTAACGCTCCGTGTCGGTCTTCAAAGATCTTTTGTGACCCCCAGCAATCATCGTGAGCAGGCTGACAGGAGCACCTGCATTCACTACACGTGCGCTTAGCTGTCGGAATATAGAATACCTAGTGAATCTCGGATACTTCAGCAACGGCAGGGTCTCATCAGCGTCAACCACCGTTTCGGGCCTTTCGAGACTTTGCTCAATGATGGGGGCTGCACTTCATGGTAGAGCAAGCTGAACATCATCACGGAGCACCTAACGGTCAAGTGAACCAAGTCAGTCACCCAACGTTGCGAGAGTGGCACAGAGGCTGATAACGGTAGCAAAATTAACACGTCAGACCCCGTCGCGCCACGTCCATCTCCTCTACAGCAGTACAGCCCTTCTCTCTATACCCAGACCTTATCCAACATCCACAATGGTCGTACTCGCTGCATCTGTCTGTACAAGAAGTGGCAAACGTAAGCTGTCCCGTACTCGCCCCGTGCCAGACTGACCTTAATCAAGCTCTACTCTCCCGTCAATTCAGACCTATCCCCCGCGGTCGTATCGACTCTCTCCTCGCATCTTTCCCTAAACTCATCCCTGCCAACTCGCAACATACTACGGTCGAGACGAACGATGTCAGATTTGTGTACCAGCCTTTCGAGGAGCTCTATGTCTTGCTCATCACGAATAAGGGGAGCAATATCCTCCAGGTAAGTCTGTCCATTACGATCGTGCCGTGGTGCAATGCAACTCTGGCCAAGTCGCTTACTGTGTACGGATAGGACATTGGCACTCTATCTTTGATCGTTCGCCTGATCTCCTCCCTCACACCAGCAATGACCGAACCTGCTATCCTCCACCATTCCTTCGATCTTCTCTGTGCCTTTGACGAAGTCGTCTCCCTCGGCTACAAGGAGAACGTCTCTCTCCTCCAGGTCCGCAACGTCCTCGAAGGGGAGTCGCACGAAGAAAAGATCCAAGAGATCATTGCGCGCAACAAGGAGGCCGAGGCGAAAGAAGAGCTGAAGAGACGCGCAAAGCAGCTCGAGATGCAGAGGCGGGAGCAGCAGAGGCGCGCGCAAGGCGGCGGTAGTGCAGGAGGCTTTGGAAATGGTGCTGGGAATGGGTACTCGTCCGTCCCTAGGTATGAACAGCCGGCTGCTGCGCAAGAATATAGGGCACCATCGCCTGCGGTGAATGCGCCTTCCAAGCCGGCGTTCAAGGGGAGTGGAATGAAACTCGGGAAGAAGGGAAAGCAGACAGATCTGATGAACGCTCTGGGTGGGGAGGGTCAGGGCGGTTATGAATGAGTGAGATGCCGAGTGGTGGGAGATGAGATGCCGAGTGATGGGAGAGGAGACGGTCGTGAGGCGTGTTCCAGTGAGTCGACCATCATGCTTGTGATGTGTATCTGACATGTTTCCAGACCAAAATGCAAAAGGTGGTTGAAAGTCGTTGAGCTGTCCTAGAAGAATGTCATAGGCATATACGCTCAGATGGCTGGCCATGGCTTTTGGAGACCAAATGAAACCTTGTGGTATTGTATGCATACGAATATTTTTTCTGCCAGAGCTGTGCCGTCCAGCGCATGTCTTGATTCTTGATCCGTCTGCATCAAAGACTTTGTATCGTGAACAAGACCTCAAGAATTCAGAGGTCATAAGGCGCCCGATTTGCTTCCGTTCAGTTAGTCACCTCGCGAAAGTTGTCAACTTTCATTCCTCGACTTTTGCATTCATCAATCCAGCGCTCAACGATGTCGGACCCCAAATCTTTCAAATATGTCATCGGTGAGCCACCAACACTTCCCAGCGTAAGTTGCAGTCGCTGACTCCCATGGCCAGAACACATGGAGGAAGACGACTCCAAGACACATGCCCTCCCGCCTTGGGTGACCCTTGAATACGCCCACATGCTGAGCTGTGTTGGGCCCCAGTCCACCGTTCACTTCACCTCCCTATCTTCGACTTCCATCCCTCCTCTCCAGCAATCCCTCGCATCCTCCTCCGTATCCCAAAAAGCCAAACCAACCACCCAACCCATTCTCGACCTCCTCCCGTCCCTTGCGCCGCCTATCGACAAGAGCCGAGTATGTCTGTTGGACCCGAGGGCGGAGAAGGTGATCAGCCCGGAGGATGGAGACTTGTTTGACGTGTTCCTGTATGGTGGTATCTTGGGCGATGATCCACCCAGGGACAGGACCGGGGAGTTGAGGAAACTCGGTTTCGAAGGCAGGCATCTGGGAGAGAAGCAGATGACTACCGACACCGCGGTGAAGGTGACCAAGATTGTTGTGGAGGACAAGGGTCAGTAAATCCCATGTCTGCTAGAGGATTTAGCTGATGTTTGATAAAGTGCCATTGGACGAGATTCCATTCACCGATTTCCCTACTATTCAATTCACCAAAGTCGAATCCATCGAGATGCCCTTCCGTGAGTCCCAATCGTGATTCAGGTATGCAATGCTAGAACGTGATCACAGGATACGTCAAGGACGAGCAGGGGCAGCCTATTTTGCCTCCCGGTATGAAGGAACACCTCAAGGCGGACTTGGACCGTACCATCGATGACTTTTAGATTGATATGCAGTCGTAATGTCCAGTCTCAACAAGTATGCGGCTTATACATCTTTGCAAGATTTCCTGCAGCTTGGCCCACTGACGACCCTTTCGGCTTGCCATGAACTGATCTTTCATTCAAGTATACAAGGTCAAGCGGTCTTCTCACTAAGATACCATCAGCTATCCAGTTTCATTCATTGATTACGAAACTGACTCGATAAACTTGTTCCAGTCTTCTTTGCCCCACGAGGAGCTGACATTGTTGTCTATGAGGCCATCCCACAGGACGGTGGGCTTTTCCACGTCTTAGCCGACAAAAATCACATCCAGAGTCTGAAACATACCGTGACGTTGATTCCGTTCTGCCTGCCCAGCTTGTTCACATACTTCAACCCCTCGGTCCCCTCCGTACCCCCGTTCTCACTCTCCTTGATCTCGAGCGCATCCCTCAACTCTCCAAACAGTTTAGACTTGGGGCCCTTGGCAGCATCGGGGTCGTTTGCAGGGATGACTTCCTCCACTGCAAATCCCACGAGCTGGTCTCGTGCATGAGCAGGAGTGGTGCCAGAGGCAGGACGATTGAAGAATTCCTTTTGCTTATCAAAGACAGCGAGAAGATATGGCCAGAACAGGTGAGGATACTTGTTGGCAACCACAGTGATGGCTTCAATCACCAGAGCAGAGTAGTAGTGGCTGTGGGATACGTACGTCAGCAAGCCGCTGTAGCTCCCGCCTTGTGCGACTCCAGGATATTCTTCGACGTACAATGGCTGCGGGTATAGTCTGATGACCACAGATAGTTTGCCCTCGTACTTTCCACCCTTGGTGATCTGGGGCACGACATTCTCGTCAAGAGACTTGGCGATCTTTGCCGAGAAGGGGCAGAGGGGGTCGAGGTAGACTTCGAGGGAGGGGCCGGAGCCGATCCTGGAGTAGGCAGAGTGCTTGGGGACAGACATGGGATGGGTGTACAAATGGGAATGCATTGTCCAAGCACAGGATATATACGGCCGAGTGGGATATGGCTGACGTATGAGATCGTGATTGACCTCCACCGCGCCGCCACGCACATGACATGACCGCGCGCGCACGACTGGAGCCAATGGCGGCACAACCAACTCAATCCCATCAGCATCTCCATCTCCACCATGCTCACCCACATCCCCCCAGAAATCCTCTCCCACATCGCGTTCCACCTCGCCCTCGCCAGCCCCGACACCCTCCTCGCCACCCCCCACGTTCCGCTCCTCCAGACATGCCGCGCCGTGGCCGACACACTCGCCCCGAGCGGCAACTACAGGCTGTATGCCAGGATATACCGTACATGCTTCGATACAGATGCGGCCGAGCGCCGCATGGGCAGCGGATACGATGCGGGGCCAGCGGGCGCCCGGTTTAAGAAGCTGACTGTGGATGGAGGCAAGAAAATACAGGCGCAGGGAATGGTCGCAGAGCTTCAGAAGCGACTCGGGTCTCTAGCGAGGTTGCGAAGGATGGTGCAGCAAGGAGATGTACGGGATGTAGTGGATGGTGACCTCTGGGTGCTCTATTTTATGCTCATTGAAAACGGTCAGTCTCCGTTTCGCAGACAACGACACATGCTGATAGCTCATCAGATGGCAAGAATATAGACCTTCTCTTCGGCCCTACCGCCCTCGTAGACCTTGAACGGTTTTTGGAGCTATACCATGAGCAACACCTTCTTGAGGCTGCCGTGGCTCCCGGATATCCAGAAGAGACAGTCGGCAGAAGCCTCGCCATGTGGATTATCTGGTTTGTCGCCGGCTCTGGCCCATCGGACGAGACGGAAGAGCAAAAGGAAGAGCGCCAGTTCGTCTTGCGTCCCTATGTCTTTGCAGCTCCACGCTACGACGCGTACTTTGCACCCTGGACTCTGCCATCGCTTCCCATCTCACCTGAATCCGCGGCACTCTTGTCTGAAGACGTTGGGGGATCAAATCCATATGTCGCCGACCTTGTCCCTCGCTCAAGGCTCGAGGTCATACAGGCATACGGGAGAGACGTCAGGATATGTGCACCTCATATCAGCCACGCAGCCATCGCGAGATTCTTCTATAGAAGACTTGGCGAAGAAATCGAGGAGAGCAAGACCAATGTGGTTGTCGCGCCGTTCATGTCGCTTCTAGGAGAGGCCAGTAGAACGGCGTCGACGAGTACCACCCCTGCTGGTCCCACCCCCGCTGGCCCTACTCCGACAGGGCCTTCACCTGCTTCCACTGCGCCCCAGACACCTCTTCTTGCTCCCTTTGGAGCACCCTCCACTCGCATGCCCCTCCTCACCTCTTCCGCCGCCCACGATGCCGAGTTCTATCGCCTCTCGCTCTGCTACGACCCCACCCGTACCCCGGGTATGCCTCGCCCTGCATGGAGGGGAACTTTTGAAGGGTGCTGGGAAGGGACATTCAGCTTCTTTGACTTTGAAGCTTTCAAAGAGATGTTGAGTGGGCAGGCGAGGGCGCTGTATGAAGGGCCGTATGGCGAGCAGGCGCAGGTGTGGAAAATCAAGGAGACATGGGTCAGGAGGGAAGGGTGGGTCAGGAAAGAGGCGGTAGACAAGGGGAAGGCGAAGGCGAAGGCGAAGGCGAAGGGAGAGGAAAGGGAGGTAGAAGAGCCGCAATCGCCCAATACTGCCGTGTCCGGCCCTATGCTCAATGCTGGTTTTCCTTCTGATCAGGTGTCACCTACCTTTCCGTCGCTTGCTCCTTTTGCCGCTGAACAAGTGACGGTCCAAGAGACCATTCAGCAGCAACTCGAGGCGATGAATGGATACGAGCAGGTACCGGAGCACGAGCTGGACGAGATGATGGGGGCAGACGACGGCGGTGAGGAAGCGGGTCTGGAACTGCTCTTGACTGGAGTCGGACATAGTGCATGGGGAAACTTTATCCTGAAGGGCAGAGTCCGGGCTTGGGACGGTATGGCGTCGCTGGTCAAGGAATATGCTGTGAGTAACGCTCGAGTGTGTAATGGTTGTCACTGACACGCTTCCAGCCCGACTCTCGGGGTAAATGGATCTACAGAGGCTATGTAATGGCTGGCAGCATTTTTGTTGGTCGGTGGAGAGACACCTACACGCCAGAGTCGTATGTTGGGTATGAAGGGACCTTTATACTGAACCGGAGGTAGAGGTGCTTCAGGTTTGCAAGGCGGGGTGTTGCAACATAGTCACTGTTTTGTTTTTTGTGGGACTGCTTGACATTCATGGTTGTACTGTATCAATATGTAAAGCACATGATCATACTTCTCGCACTTCCGGATCATACATCAAGTTCTCATGGCTGTTTGCAACTGACTGCATGTCGACCTGCTTCTTTGCTACATTTTGGGTAGGCGTCTTGTGCTATGCATATGTGTCTAAGCTATCGTGAATATGAGTGTGAACAAAAGATGTTGGAACAGGTGAACTGAGAGAGGTCAAAGAAGGCTACAGAAGTCATGAAAGCCTGCTGGTCACCAAGAATGTATTACAGTTGCTAGTAGCCCATGATACTGATTATTGTGGACAATGAATTATGTCATGCTGCACATAATTTCGTTATGTGGTGGTCGCAAAAGATGGTTATCGGGAAAGATGTCGGCGGTTTTGAGTGAGATTGTTTCAAGTGGAAAAGGTGATCCAGCCAGGCGGCGGCTGGCTGGGCGCAGGATGAACCTCAATGATGGGCGGCGGCACCCCTTTTCGCCCTTCGGTCACCAAGTCTCCTTCCCCAGCCGATATGGGGCTCATTACCATCCCACTTCCATCACTCATCCCAGCCGTATCATCAGACTCAAAGCTGGTCCAGCTCGTGCTCGAGTCATACCTCTGTGGCTTCTTCGCCGGTGGCGCAGGTGCCCTCCTCCGCCTCGGCGGGGTCGCGCCAGGATCAGCACTAGAATAGCCTGAAGCGGCGCTGGAGGGGCGTTCGCGGCCAGACACGGAGAGAGACGAAGAAACGTCGTTCAAAGAGGATTGGCGGACGGGGTCGCGGGAGGTGTAAATGGAGGTACTTGCAGTGGGCTTAGTGGGATGAACAGATAAAGGTGGGTACGAAGACTGTGTAGCCGCTCTAGTCGAGGATCGACCATCAGGCAGAGCAGTGGATATAGCATGCAGCGAGATGGTCGACGCTTCGCTGTCTTGGCGAGTAGCAGTCGGTACGTTTTCAGCGCTAAATAGAGGATTAACGTCCACAGTCATCCCATAACGCAAGGAACATACCTGTAGCTTCTTTCCATTTTTCTCGGCTCCTCCAAACATCTTTCGACTAACCTGCGCGTAGTAGGATCAATCTCCTTCAGATGGGCATTTGCGATCAAGCTTTTCAATACGAGTTTGATCTGAGGACGTTTGTAGAGATCCGATTTCAATTGGGTGTGATTCAGTAGTGGGTAGAGAACTCGGAGATAGGTGTGTCGTAGCTGACGAGAGTGAGCGACAAACAGAGTACGAGGAAAACTGTAGACGTACAGCTTCACATTCTTCAGGCAAGTCAACGAGTTCACGGATAAACACATCCAACAGAACGCGGAGATCGTTCGTGAAAAAGTATTCTCTCGTGCCAGGCGTTGTGAACAATAGATATATCATTTTCAGGATGAGCAATTGCATACACAAGTCATCGGGAGTGTTCTCTGAGTGGTCTGATTAGCGGATGCGAAGCTGCGGTATTGCGCTCACTTACCAGCTCTATTGAGCATGAAGATCATGTTCTCTCCAAAAGTCTTGCTGCTACCCAATCTCCGCATGAGCACGACCAACACCCTGTTGTTCTTCTTTGCGTCTTCAGATTGATCTGGGGCGTACCCCCGCCCGGCTGCAAGCCCACTCTGCGCTCTATGGTGATTTCGAGTGGCACCTGCAGGGACTGAAGTTTCTGCCATGGCTGTCGGCGATGTCGACAATGACGCCGACAAGAGATCTTTTGCGCCCGCTCCAGCCGGGGGTTGCACCCCATGTTTCGACGGCAAAGAAGCCACCATGAACTGCTCGTTCAGCGCGACAATCAGTCTTATTACAGCATAATTCAGATGCTCATCTTGCTGGTCCCTTGTAGTCTCGACAAGGTCAAACAAGTGATCGATGAATTGATCGTCACAGGTGGACAATTCCAAAGGGGTGAGCTTCTGTACGCGGGCGACCTCGTACATAAGGTAAGTTGCGGGAAGCCGGAGGCGGATTTCGATTGGAGGAAGGCCAAGGACGAAGCTCTGGACACCAGGGCGGTCAGTCCGGTGTACAGTGGAGGGTGTGTCACTTACCTCGTCGATGTCCAGCCCGACCACCTCGCCCAAAGTAGGTAGCAACTTTTTCCATCGTCGATGGGAGCGAAATAGGCTTGGATGCCTTTGGCCGTAGAAAAGAATAAGATAGTACAGAATGTACAAGTCGTGTGGATTCGTGTTCTGTAGGGGATGTCACACGTTGAACTGTCTGACGGCCAACTAACTCACTTCTTGCGCATCAGACATCATGATACCGACCATTCTTTCGGTATAGTAGACAAACAGCTCAGACTCCAAAAGAATAGCCAAGGCATGGTGTATCTCAACAACACCGGGTAGATACTTGTCTATACCACCATCGTCAGCTTCGTCTTCCGAGCCGGTACCGAATGCGCTGTCGCACGGCCCCGTGCAACAATTCCATTGTCACTTACCGTGATACGCTGCGCAGAAGTTGATAAACATTCGCAATGTATTGTCAAGTTGCTCCAGGGTGGGCGAGTCAGGGATTGTGACTATCTGATCGATCTCTGTCGTTTACAATAATCAGTCAATGGTCTCTGCTTGGCGCCCTCCTGAGGAGCCTCTCGCCTGCCCCCACCTTTCCAACCAAACGAATTCACTCACCATACCAGAACGCTTCCTTGTCATGTACCCTGATATGGACGTTCATGCTGCCCTCTGCCTGCAGCCCCTCATCGGTGACACTAGCATTGTGGCCCAGAGCTGGCTCGACCCTGGAAGACTGGACGGGAAGCTCTGCGGACCTGCGAGGACGATGGTGGTGGTGGTGGTGGCGATGGCGCTCCCTGGACCTCTGCTTGTGGGGCTGCTCTTGGTGGAGCATGGCGTCGAGCGGTGTCTTGGACAATTCGCATCTATCACATATCATTCAAGCAGCGCTCGTCGTCGGGATGCCGCAACCCAAGATCGCAATGATGACGTAAAATGATTAATTACGAATGTTAATGATGTTCAGTAAGTTAAATTCTATGGCCTCTTTCATATCTCGAATGGCCTTTCGACCCACACTAAAGATCACATAAACAATGGCTTCTTCCAGAGCAGAAATCCTCAATGACGGAGGTGAGTCTCCCTCATACGATATGGCTTGCAACTGAACACTTTCCAGGGCTGAGGCAAGACGCTAGACGCCCCTATGAACTCCGCTCAACCTCCTTCCAACTTTCACCACACACTTCCTCAGATGGCTCAGCCACGGCTCAACAAGGCCTCACCACCGTAGTAGTATCAGTATTTGGGCCGAGAGAACCAAGAAATAGGGGTTTGGCAAGCCACGATCGGGCCGTGGTCAGTGTCGAGGTGGGTACTGTACCATGGGCTGCTGGCGGAGGTGCCAGACGGACAAGAGGAGACAAGTGAGTGCGACGGGCCATCAAATGAGTATGCTAATCAGATACCAGGCGACTTTTGGAGATCGGGGCGGCTATAAGACAAACATTTGAGCCTGTCATCTTGACACATCTGTATCCTCGAAGTGAAATCTCCATACATGTCCAAGTCCTAGCTGCCGATGGAGGTATGTGCTTGGGAGCAGTGTATATACCGGCTTGCTCTTTCTTTGATCTATCGTTACCGACGCTCACACATCGTTAGGCATCCTGCCCACAGCCATCAATGCCACCACCCTCGCTCTCATCGATGCGGGTATATCTCTGCTCGACTACGTGACCTCTGTCTCCATCGGCCTTCACCTTCTCCAACCCCTCCTGGACCTCTCACAACCCGAAGAGTCTGACCTTCCTGCCCTTGTTATTGCTTCCCTCCCGTCATCGGGCAAGATTACTCTGGCGCAGATGGAAACGAGATTACATGTGGATAGATTTGAGGAGATGGTGACGCTGGGGGTGGAGGCGTGTGGCGTTCTCAAAGAGGAGATGGAAGCGGTTGTCAAGAAGAGGACAGAGAAGGTCGTGGAGAGGATGGACGTTAGGGTCGTTGGAGAAGCCACTGGAGGAATGACCATAGATGACTAAGAGCCGTCCATCGTCCGTCTCCTACTCTTTGGTAGATTGGTACGGTACAATCATCATCATCATCATTCAGCTCCTATGTATGTCATAGATAGTAAATAGTACTGCTTCCGTGTAATCATCGACAGTAAGCCTGTCGCGTTGAAGTCAGGCCACCTACGTGGCAGCTCTCAAGCCCCTACATGCATCTTGCGAGCACGCAGTATGGTACAGTTGAAAATCGTTAGTCATCCAAAGAACACTTGCAGAACTCGTTGTGATTTGTAGCTGGCAGAACTGAATGCCATATAGGCCGAGGACGCGCCAACTGCCACTTTTGTTTTTGCTCCATTTATTCTGGGCCCGGCGTCTACCGACGGCGTCGGCCGCCGTGCTGTCCTTCTGGCTCTCTTCTTCATCTCTCAGTCGTTTGTACTCTTCTCACCTGCCATCCACCCAGCTGAGGTGTACCCGACCACTTTGCCGAACCAGATCGCCAGACGATACAAGATACAGCACACCAAGTTACGCCATGAGCGATCACGGTGAGATTTCAAATAAGAAACGCAAGATCCAGGCATGTCTATTCCCTTCCCGGCAGGACCACACCACTGACATCCCAACGACATTAGAGAGCGTGCGACTCGTGCAGAAAGAAGAAGGTCAAATGTGACGGGCCCCAGAACAGGGTGACCAATACCAGTACGTCCTCTGCATCGTTCAATACCGCGGAAAGCTGATCCCTGATAGAATGTAGCAATTGTCATGAGGCCAATGCAGAGTGCACATATCAGGAAGAGTCGGCTCGTCGAGGACCTCCCAAAGGGTATGTTCAAGGGATGCTCTCGACATATAGTGCTGACCATTGCGCAGATATGTGGAGACTCTTGAACACCGGTGCAAGCGCCTAGAAAGAATCATTGAGCAGGTACGCAAGTATTCTCGAGCATGCTTGAGCATAGCTACATGGCACTTACACTCTTGCAGCTCGACCCGGAGCTGGATTCGGATGCGTATGCGGGACCAGTCATGGACCGCGACTCTTTTGACTTGAATGCCTACCGCCGCGAGCTTTCCGGTCGAAACATACCCTCTTTCCCCTCCCACAAACCACTCGATGCGTCCAAGCCGGGACATTACCGTACCGCCGACACATCTTCCAACAATGCTGACACTCCCGAATCTTTCTTGAGGAGGTTCTATGCTGAGCTCTCCCCGGCCGCGTCCCTGAACAACGTTGTGGACGAGAAAGACCATTACAATCAAATCAGCGTTGCAGGAGGTATGAAGCGGATGGGTATCCGTGACGAACACTGGCGATACCATGGGAGATCTTCGCAGATTGATCTTGTTGCAACCCTTTTGGGGCTCCAACGGAATACTGCAGGGCGACCGAAAGAATTTGGGGCGGAAGTGGTTAAAACCAAGAGGCCAGAATTTTGGGAGGTGCCGGAATGGGAAGTTGTTGTTGCACAAGAAGGTGTGCAGAGTGTTGATCTCGGTTCTTGGCCTGATAAGGGGCTGTGTCAATCAATGATCAACGCCTATTTCCGCCACATCAATATACATCTGCCTCTGCTCGACAAAAAGAACTTTCAGAATCAGTACGACGCTGGCAAGTGGCGAGTCAACAAGGGATTTGCCAAACTATGTCTCCTTGTCTTTGCATGCGGCTCTCGCTTCGTTGACGATGCGCGTGTACTATGGCCCGTGGAACACAACACGCCCGACGGCCCCCCGCACCACAGCTCCCAGTACGCACAACGCCAATCTGCTGGTTGGGGTTATTTCCTCTCTTTCTTGCGGACAGGCGAAAGCATCGCGGAAAGGCCCAGCCTTTTAGAGATACAATGTCAAGTCTTGACGTGTCAATTCTTGTTTGGCGCTGCTCTTCCGCACTATGTGTGGACGCTGGCTGGCTCAGGCCTTCGCTCGACGCAAGAGCTTGGCATCCATATGCGAGCTACGCTCCACCAAGCTGACCCCGTGCAACGCGAGATGTTCACGAGGGCGTTCTGGTGTCTTTACCACCTCGATCGGCTCAATAGCTCGATCATCGGGAGAACCGTCGCCATCCAAGACTCTGATTTCGACCTTTACTATCCTTCCGATGTGAGCGGGTCCACATCCGGTGAAGCATCCGAAGTGTCCGTCTTTGTCCAGTTGATCAAGCTCGATCACGTCCTCGGAGCTGCGTTGCAGACTGTATACGCTCAGAGAGCCAGCTTGCGTAGCACAGCAATGCTTCAGATCTCTGTTGACCAGCTCAACAATGCCCTCAACGCTTGGTCTACCCATCTCCCCGAAACACTGCGGTGGAGCCCGACCATACCTGACTATGTCTTGTTCCAGCAGGTATCTACACTGTCCTTGCAGTACCTTTACTGCCGCATCGCAGCCAACCGTCCTTTGATGGAGCCCAGTGCCTACGCCAAAGCCGACCCGTCCTCTGCATTCGCACTCAGTCTCGAAGCGTCCCGCGGGATATTGGACATTGTCAACTCGTGTCTGGCTCGTAGTCGACAGGAGCCATTCCAAGCAGGTCCAGTCCTTGATATAAGCACCGCTCTGCCTATATGGCAAGCTGCTATCATCGTGCTCATCGACGTCTACTCGAGCAGCAGGCAGACCGCCCAACAACGTGATGCGAGCTTGCAGCTAGTGAGGGTTGCTTTTGATGCCATTCAAGAGCTCGAGGGCCAATGGAAGATGGCGGGCAAGTTCAATGACATGTTATCTGTCCTGGGCGATACCGAAGTCCTTCCGAGTCTTGAAGGCGGGGAAAGTGCTCAAAATCAGCTTTCAAACTCGAGAGATAATCCTGCAGGGCGGCAAGCTCCTTTCCAATCTTTCGCCAATAATGCCGCATCGACGTCATCCACCCGTTCTACACTGGCCAACGATGCCGTCCCCATTCCTTACGCCCATTCCCGTAATCCGTCTCACACCCCGCCCCCACGGGGAGGACAGTTCTCAGGCTTCTTACCGCAGCAATTCCCAATTGATCCCGTGCTGGCTTCGCAGGATGAGCAGCATGCTGCTCTGGAGAACGAGCCGTTGGGTTGGTTGTTGGCGATGAGCAATCCGGGCGCACAGGGCAATGGCGAGACGGCCGGAGTCAACGGAGTTTTTGGCGATGGGGATGTATGGGCGCAGCTGTTTGGCGGAGGCTCTTTTTTCTGTGAGTGCTAGGAAAGAAGAAGGTCACGAGACATGGCTGACTAACGGCGTGGTAGAGACGGCAACTGTATTCCATCTCTGGGATAGCATAGTATATATGCTTTATTGTTTCTAAGTCTCTGTATGAAGATTAATCACGGGCCGGCTTGCCAGGTTTAAGCTTTCTCCTCATCGGGTATCGTGGACACCTGCAACGTCTTGATTCCTGTAGCGAGACTCGAGCCTGGCTAGTACGATACAACCGGGGGATTCGGGCGCTCAGCAAACTTTTTTGTGCGATTGAGCAAGAGGAAAGCATCCAAAGTGGCAGATGCAATTGCTCTTACTCCTGCCAATTCTTACTCCGGCAAGCCTTGTGTTGTTCAGCCCTCATACAGCGCATCTCTTGGCCGCGCAAAATTCCCGAGCGCGTTCAGGATCCTTGTCATCCGAGTTGCAAGCCCCTACGGTTTTGAGTCCGTGACATATAGAATACATCGACCGACGGAGTGCTAAACTCGTGCTGAACTGACACTACTGGCTCAATGGCTGCACTGCTGTGTACATATGTAGATCACAGCGACGGAACTCGCTCAACCCTTTGATCCCAATTTGATCCCGTCGCGGATGGCCGCCGTTGGAATTGTGATGTCATTCGTTCGACTTCCACCCAACTTCCACCACCAACACTTGAAACACTTGAACACTTTCTGCAGAGCAGTCTTCTTGTCCAAAGTATACACGCCATTGAGATACCATGGCAGAGACATCATCTTACTTGACGTGGACCAACGTCCTCATCGGTCTCCTCTTCATCATCTTCGACTCGGTCCTCTCCCTATTCCTCGGCCTCGGCATCTCCTCTTCCCTCCTCGTGGCTGCGCTGCGATGTATAGTCCAGCTGACTATCATGAGTACGATACTGGGGAAAGTGTTTGCTAGTAATAATGTGTGGGGAGTATTTGGGATTGCGGGTGAGTTGAGGCATGTCGAAGCGTGGCGCGTGCTGACTCGTATATAGTATTGCTGAACCTCATGGCGGCTAGCGAGGCGACTTACAACAAGTCGAAGAGGAGGTTTACCAACATGGTGTGTTGCTTTTTCTCCGTACCCAGTCACTCTCCGATCTGACTCCTGATCATGTCACAGTTCCCACTCATCTTGGCCGCCATGTTGTGTGGAACCATCCCGGTCTCCGTTCTGGGCACTCAATATGCTATGGCACAGCACCCTTTCTGGCAGCCCGACCAGTATAGTATGACCATAGTCTCACTACGCATTGCTCATAGTCTGACATGTGTTTCCTAGTCCCTATAATCGGCATGATTCTCGGCAACGCCATCTCTTCTCTTGGTATTGCTCTCAATACTACCCACAAAGAGTTTTCAGAAAACAAGGACAAGGTGGAGACTTATTTGGCTCTCGGCGCCAGTCGCTTTGAGGCTTGCAAGCCGATAGCTGTGAGCGCGCTCAAGCTGGCGCTCTTACCTACTGTCAATCAGCTCAGGTAAGTCTAAAAAAGAGCAGTTGTGCAGGTCGTTGACACCTTTTTTTGCAGTGTGATTGGGTTGATCAGTATCCCGGGTATGATGACTGGTGCTATCGTGGGAGGCAAGTCGGTGGAGCAAGCTGCCCGGCTGCAGAGTGAGTACCCGGGTTTTCAGCCATGAGCAATGCTGACCGACTACTTTGCAGTGATCATCATGTTTAGTACGGCACTCCCATCCAAGTACTTGTACATGGCCGAAGCTAACGTTGCCGCAGTGATTTCTGCTTCCTCAGCACTCTGCACTCTCATCGCTCTCTTCTTTTCCCTCTCAACCTTGGTCGACGGCTGCGTTCGGATACGATCCGACCGTCTCACCTCTGAGGCCCCTTTGCTGTATCGTTGGAGGAACGAGGCAGGGGCCAAGGTCTTGAAAGTGGCAAAGAGAGTGGGAGGAGCAGTGACGGGGAAGAAGAGGGAGAGTGGGACAGCAGAGGAGAGGAGGGGCTTGTTGGATGGACAGCAGGGATGAGGAAGCTTGGGGATGGGGGAAATAGAGCATAGAGTTGCATATGTATTGGATCAAAATCATCGACGCGTTCGCGCTTGTTGAGTTCCGGCCGGGGTACCGGGCCGCGTACACGGCACATCATTATGACTGCAGATGTTTGGACACGGTATTGGCCGCACCGAAGGTGAGCAGGAGAGTTGATAACGACAGACTACACGGAGGGATCAGCCGGGATTCTCCTTGAGCGGTGACAGGAGTCTTACTGTGCTTCACACCCCCGGGGACCAAGTCTGTGAGAGACAGGGCCGCCCCGCCGTCGTGCGCAGTGCACCAAGAATAGTGGCCAGCCAGCTAGAGATGACTGGAAACGACTAGTCATTTTTCTTGGCCTGTGCTGGTCCAGCATTATCATATGGATCTGTCCAAAATTAGCAGAAGACGCGCAGGTAGCATCCACACTCACCTGTCAATCCTTTAGGGCTCTCCCAAGATGGATTGTTGTAGACGATCACAGCACCGTAGGACCAGTACATGAGAATGAACGCCATGAGCATCCAGCAGGGTACTACAAGGGCCCATTGCCTGTGAAGCATGAGCAGACGCTTCGAACTCTTCGTGTACATGCGCCCTACCGATCAGGGAGCCAGTCAGTCCAGCCCCATGTGGGGGGTACAAAGGCCCAGAACAGGTACACTGCGAACCCCAGGTAGCTTCCCAAGATGGCGATACTGGCGTACACCTCGGTAGGGTTTGGCAGAGATTCTTCCACGAGGGGTGTTTGAGAGTCGTCCGGGGCGGGAGGGATGGATGGCCAAGGAGAGATGGGGTTGAGGGGCGAGAGGGGCTCGATTGGCGAGGGTGGGGAGGAGGACGCCATGGAGAAGTGTTGGGCTGGAGTATGTTACTTGCAGAGCACTCTTGCCTTTTGCTAGGGGTGTCGGTGGGCCGAAGGAGAGTCGCGGGGGGCTTCTGTGTACGCGTGTCAGGGTCGGAGGCACTGGGCTGAAACGCGTGCGGGTTGTTCTGTTGGTTGCCTGTCTTCTGTTCCTACCATTCCGTATTCCATCTCTTTCTTTCTTCTTCTTCTTCTTCTTCTTCTTCTTCTTCTCCTCTCTCCTCCCCCGCCTAGACACTGTATAAACCCCCACCCGCTCCTTCGACAGGACGGACCACACTCATTCACCACCCACCGGCCGACGCGCACAGACCCCTCGCACCGTCCTTCAACACAGTCGCCCAATCATCCAACCCACTATCTCTCTCGAACACGTCTTCATCCCTCATCACTCGCCTCTCTACACTTCCTTCATCCCCCCTCCCCCCTCTTCGCCATGGCAGACTCCGCCCTTGCCCACATCCTCCGTCGATCCCGCCTCAGGGCCCTCACAGCCAAGGCCGGCCATGCCCTCCATCTCGACTCGAGGCGTGCCCACCCCGCCCCCGAGACTCTCGAAAAGAAGGATGTCATCCAGGCGCTTGACGAGAGGTTCTACGCGAGTATGAATGAGTACAGCCCCGAGCAGCTGAGTAGCATGGCCGCGGCCGGTAGCACAGTTGCTGCCGGTACTGTGAGTACAGATCGTCGATACCAGAATGCGAGAAAAAGCTGACGGACAACCAGTCGACAGCCAAAACCTCCACGACTCAGCGGCACGCCGCACAGGCCGCTACGGCCAAGACCACAATATCGCGAGTTTCGTCTGCTGCAGCTGCCGCCAGCACTGTGCATGCATCAACCAGCACCAGCTCCGTCGCCCAAAGCTCTGCAGCCCGGACTTCCTCCGCGGCGTCGTCAAGTATAGCTTCCAGTGCCGTGAGGAGTGTCGCAGCCAGTTCCGTAAGTGTTTGGCTCTACTTTCACTGTACCACAAACTGACAATTTTCCAGTCTTCCTCGGCAAGTCCTTCAGTGGCTCCATCCACGAGCTCGACATCCACCAGCTCAATCGCCCGTTCCACCAGTAGCGCAGCGTTGTCGACCTCCACCACTCATTCTACTAGCAGCACTTCGACCACCCATTCCACGTCCAAAGCAGCTTCCACCACTGCCCGAGAGATCACCTCTCACGCGGCTGTTCAATCATCCTCATCATCCTCATCCTCCGCTGGTTCTTCACCCATAACGTCTTCCTCCATCTCTGCAACCGCTGCCGCGCTTTCATCGAATTCAGACAGCTCTTCCAGGTGAGATAAGCTCAAATCACATGACCCGGGCTCTGCTGACGCGTCATGCGCCACAGCTTATCTACCGGGGCGGTCGTCGGCATAGTCTTCGCCGTGGTATGCGGGGTGGTCGTGGTCGGCTCCTTCTTCGGGTGGCTTTACGTACGTGCCTCCTTCTCCCGCATCATCGCCCCAGCAAACTCTAACTGAGACCGTGTATGACCTCTAGCGTAAATACACGGCCCGATCTTACAACAGCAGCTCTCCCTGGTCCAAGATTGACGACGATATCACTCCCTACAACTCTGAGAAACCCGGATTCGACGACATCTATGGTGGCTCTACCGTCCCAGTGATCGCCTCCAGCCGTGACCTCTCTCGCGCTCGATCCGACATGGTTCCATACACAATGTACGACAACTCGCCGCTCAGTAACCATGCCGGCGTTGGGGCTGGGGCGCTGGCATTTGGTGGCCAAGGGGACATTTCGCCTCCCCCCTCCGCCTTGTCCTATGGGATAGACTCGCAGGGCAGGCCTTATAATCCGCATGCTGGAAGGACGCCAATGCTTCACACGCTCGAGGACCGGTATGGCCACCAGGCTGAGCCGTACTCGCCCTATAGCCACCAGCCCTACTCTTCCGCCTCGGACAATTCTCGTCAACTCGTTGGTCCGGCTTCCTACCGGCCTACGTCCCCTGTCAACCAGTACGGATCTCCTGGAGGTCACGTCGAGATGCCCTTGCCTTCCCCCGTCCCTCTTGGTGGCCCCGCGCACGCAAGTGACGCCGATCTGAGAGACTTGGATGAGTTTGCGGACGACCCGCAGATGGCCGGACTGGCGTATACCTACGGTGACAGCCCCACGGCCAGCACCTTTGCTCATACCCAGGCCCCAATCAAGCACGACCTTCCTGCTGAGACCTACCGTGCGTCTGATCACACGTCCTCGGCTCCTGCTGCTCCCGACTTTTCTGCCCCCGCCGTCTCTCCTCTCGACCCCACTGTCCCTGCTGCTTCTTCATCTGACGAAAAGTCGCGACTCGCACCCCTTCCTTTGCCTGCCTTTGAGCCGCTTTCTCCATTGATGTCTCACTTTGACACGAACAATCAAGGCCAAAGCCAACCGCTGGCCATGTACGAAGACGAGCAGGAGAGGGAGCAAAGAAGAATGTACCAGGAAGTGGCCAAGAGTGCTGGGATCGATGAGCCTGTGACGCCATTCGTCTCCTACACCAATGCCTCGCCTTCCCCCGAGCCCATGCCTGTCCCCAATGCGCAAGCACTCAACCAGTCGACCGCTTCTACCACTTCGTCATTCTCCACCGGCATGCCCAGGCTCCCCGAGATTGCTTTGAGCGCTCCTAAGCCGTACGAACACGGCCAGCCCCTGTCACCTTTGGCTGAAGTGCCCACGCCCATGAGCTCCAGCTCTATCGGCGTGCCGCTCCCTAATCCATTTGACAATCCCGCTTTCACCTCGCCCAAGTCTGTTTCCTCGGCTCCTGCCCCGCCTTACTCGCCGTACGAGTACGAGCAAGAGCCCGGGACGCCGGCCTCTACGACTGCGACATTGAACACGCCGGTACCCGGGCAGACAATGAACAGGTCTTTCCCGCCGCCTGATATGCCTGGAAGTGTGCTGGGCTCGCCTGCTGCTGGGAGGAGGTGGAGTGGGGGCGAGGATGTTTATGGGGGAATTTAGGGATGGCACGATCGGTCCATATTATGACTAGGTACGTTGATCTGAGGACCTGTTTTGACGCACGCTCATTGCCGAATAGCTTGTTATACCCTTATGACCGGAAGACTTTTGGATGGTATCACGATAATATTGCAGACGTGCTGGACACGTCTTTTTTCATTCCTCTCTATGAAGATTTGGATGGACTTTCTGAATTTCTCGGGCGTTCGCATTCTATTTTTTTGCTCACAGTCGGCAATGCACATTGATGATGGTATATGAAACGGAAGACTGTTGATTAATGCATCGATTGCCTGATATGGTACAGACTACAGTGAATTCTCACCCCCAAACAGATGGAAACTTCTACTATAACTAGCACTAGCCACAAACTTGCCATCGCCGCTGATATCGGCACTCATCACCTTGCCCGCGTCTGTCGACAAGTTTCGCACGAGGTTCCACTCGTCTGCCGACCATAGACGGACGGTGTTGTCAAACCCTGCTGTGAGGAGGAATGTGCCCGAACGTGAGGGGTTGACATCTTCCCCGTTCGCCTCTGGTCGGTCATGGGACGCATCCACGTCCATTCCATCTGCTGGCCCTTCCACCACATCCTTCCCGCCCTTTTCGACGGCCTCCCCATCCGGTCCCATGCCCAGCAACTTTTTCTCCCCGCTATCTCGGAAGAATCGTACGTCCGACACACTGGACTTGTGGGCGGGTATAATGTATTGCGTTTTGAGCGCGCGGAGGTCCCAGATACGGACGGTATCGTCGCCTGAACCTGTTGCTATTTGGTATCTGCGCAGAAACGTCAGCTCTGGAAGGGGAGAGAAAGAAGGGACGTACCCGTTGGGGGCAAAGTCCATGGCAAGCAATTCTTTGACGTGTCCATCGAGAATCATGATGGTTCGGCCTGTACGCAGATCCCACACTCTTCCTATCGCATCGAAACCACTGCACCTCGGTCAGGACCATGACAAAAAGTCAAAACGGGAGACTTACCCGGACGCAATCAACGCTCCATCATCTTGGAAACCCAAGGCATACACCTCCTTACTGTGTCCTTCCTGGATCATCAACTCTTTTTGTTTATGTGCGTCCCATAGGCGCCATGTGCCGTCGAAACCTGCCGAAGCGAGATATTCACCCGAAGGGTGGAATGCCATCCGCCCGACTCGCGAAGTGTGCCCCTTGAGCGTCCCGATCGACTTTTCCCCGTTCATGCTCCACAACTTGACATCGCCCTCTCCCCCGCCCGTCGCAAAAGCGAGACTGTCATCCGTCCATCCATTCTCCAACCCGGCAAAAGGATACCACGCCGCTCCTCCCAGCTTTTCCTCGTGCCCCCGTTTGGTACAGACGGGATTGAGGTTGGGCATGTCCCATATTTTGGTGGCGCCTGTCCAGGATGTGGTCAGGAGGTATTGAGAGTTGGGGGAGAAGCGGATGGTGGAGAGGGGGCGATCGTCACCGTGTTGCGAGCCGAGATTGTTGAAGGTCTAGCGGAGCAAGTCAGTAGTGGGACTAGCAGGGGCGAGAATGGCCTACTTGGAGATCTTTGAAGATTGCTTTACGATGGTTGACCAATTTGCCAAGTGGCAAGCTGTATTCCTGACGCTGCCGAGTGACACGGTCTTTTGCCCTCAGAATAGAGTACTTTGCCATTTTGCGCCGGGCTTGGAGAAGGTCATTGGACCCCTCGTAGAACTCTTCCTGCGAAAGGTCAGCGAGCTGTGGTGCGCAAAGGAGTTCACCCACTTCTTCGCCCTCGGAATCACTACTCTCATCGTCGCTATCCACGATCATGCCGCCTCCGCCCTTTGCCTGTTCCATCTGCTCTTGTACATATTTCAGACGATCTCTTCTGTCCCCCGGCTGCGTTCGCCGTCAGCAGTGGTTCTTTTGGACGAGCAAAGAACATACCCCTTCACCAAACAGCGTTATAGGTTCGCCGTACGCCCTGAGCCTCTCCCTGACCTTCTTGTCGTCTGTTGGAACGGCCAGCTTTCGGAGACGCTTCTTGCGTTCGAGCTCTTCAATGATGGCGGCATTCTGTGCCCGCTCCCGTTCGTCGTCTGCGCCGCCGAGCTGGTACCCGTTGTCCACGGCTAGTGAGGGTCAGCGCGTGCGATTGCCACCCCTCGAAACGTACCGAGGTCGTCAAAGTCCATGATGTATGGTGGACAGAGAGATGCGGCGGATTCATTGCAACCAGTGCATGTTATTTACGAGCGGTAATTACAAATGCTAATTACGTGTTGATGATTCCGGATGCGGCAGTCATCTATGGCTTCACATCCATCTACACCGAAAGAGCGATGAAGTATCTCGACCTCCCCCTCCTCACCCAGCTCTCCCACTCCCTATCCGCCACAGCCCCCACAGACACCCCCGTCAATGTCCGCTTCGAGGCATACAGCGTAAAGCCCGTCGGCAGAGAGAAGCGCGCATTCAAGGAGCGGGAGGAGGCCTACATCTCAGAGCAGGAGGGCATGGAAGAGTGAGTCCCCACCCCCCATGCATCGCTGACAGCCAGAATGAGCTTCTCCCCAGAGATGCGTGAGGCCGGACTCGCGTCGTGCTTTGGCAGACTCGACGAGAAAGAGTCCCGGTAAGCAGTTCAAGCCCCGCCGCGGCCGCTCGCTGATAAGCCATGGCCACAGCAAGGTCCACTTCCTCCTCGTCTCCACCCTCAACTCTGCCTTCCCCGACCACGACTTTTCATCCCTTAGGCCAGACCACTTTACCCGCGAACCAAACAGTGCACAGGTCCTCGCTTATCTCAGTGGGAGCCTCCTCGGCTCACTCGGTAATGGCACCGCTCCGTACGTTCGTCGTGCAATGATAGACAAGCCTGCTGACCTGTTTGAAAGCATATTCCTGCCCATGGCGCTGAACTCACGCTCTCCCCAATCATCTCCGTCCCTGCAGCCCCATTCTCTGAGTCACTCACCAAGCCCGTACTCGGCATTCTCACCTTCGTCATTCCCCAACTCGGCCTCCAATGCCTCCTCCCTCCCCTCCTTGTCGAATCTCAACCAAGTCAATCTCTACCGCGTTCTCAACCAAGTGATCCCTCTGGACGACTGCGATGTCTATTCGTTCTTCCCCGAACCCGAGTATGACCCGCACATGGATCCTCTCGAGGAGGCAGACCTGATGGAGGAGGATGAGGGAATGGATGCTGATGGCGACGCCCAATATGATGAAGGGGAGCCTGCTTGGGGCACTGGGATGGACCTGGATGTGGAGATGGAGATGGACGACGATGAGAGACCAAAGACCGGCTCGACGAGTCGGAATAATGGGGAGACCTGGGGGGACAAAAGGCGAGCTGGCGGGCTGCTTTGGAGTGCCAATTACTTTTTCTACAGCAAGTAAGATCTTCAAGCTGTCACTGGAGGCTTTGGCTGACCACAATGCGTAGGAGACAGAAACGAATCCTGTTCTTGACTTCATGGTGCCGACATCTCCCGTCCGGGTCGTCTGGCTTGTCCGGCAATCAAGCCGACACTGACATTCGCCTTGACGGCTCCACCCCTGCCCTCCCCCTGCCCATAACGGCCTCCATATCCCCTTCGTCCCTCGAGACGCGCGGCCATCCAACACCCCTCAAGGCCAGGCGAGGCAGCACGAGCGCAGCCCGCAAAGCGCGACACCCGCCACCTATCAGAAAATCACTTCCTGGCGCGCTCAACATCCATCCCTCGACCTCCTCATCTGCCAGCGAGCATAGCACCATCCCCATCCGGGGCATTTCTCGCCCCCCAGCTTCTCCTTCAAATGCCACCCACGTGCCTTCTACCCCACGTGCAGAGAGACTCGTCTCGAGTGCGCCGAACGTGACCAGCTTGGGATTCACCGCCACGCCAAGTTCATTGCTCAACGCTGCCCGGGACAGTGGGAAAGAAGGAGGCCAAAGTCCAATGGCGAGGATGAAGGTTGGCGGGTTCAAGCCGCGACAGACACCAGCGAGGATGGTGATCAACGCACGTGCGACCCAGCAGCCTACTGCCGAAGAAGACTCATCTTCTGCACCCAGTGGTAGCGGTAGTGGTGGCGAGAATGGCAATGGCGAGGAAGGTGGTGCGGAAAAGCGAAGAGACAGGAGCGAGAGTACGACTCCAGGCCCGTCGAGCGCGTTGACAGCGGGCCTGAGAGCTGCTGGGGCGAAAGGGACGGCGGAAAAGGGTAAGAGGGTCAAGGTCTGAGACCGGTCTACAATGAGATGGTTGTGGTTGTCCTTTGATGATGCTATTGCTTGTAGATATGTTGCAGAGTTGTGCTCATTTCTCGTACTGTTGGTATGACTCTTTCAAGTGTACATTAGTAGGACTCGGAGGTGGCCAAAGCGCTGGCGCCTGAGCGCTGGGGTAGGGCGTAGTGTGTCTTTTTCAAGAAACCCGTAACACATTTTAGAAATGGAAATAATTCGTTCTCAACCATGACATAGAGTGCCAAAATCACTGAGGTTCGAGTCACAATTCCGACTCGATGTCGTTCACTTCCCGGCCGACCTACCCGGCAGAAGCACATTCCATTGCAGCAGTGTTATTCGTGCAAAGATATTTTCATGGCCATAAGAAAACAAACACCAAGAGAGATGAGAAACATGACTGTTTTACACTACACTTCTAGGCTCCACCTTCCTTGACGCGGTGGAAAAAGTTGTTGACTTTGGTAAAGTCTATCAGCTGTCCATCAGACTCGACCGCTGCCAGCAGCCCGTCCAGCATCTGTCATTTGTCAGTCCGCATATCCCAACGAGACATGGAGCAGGCTACTCACTCCATCAACTTTATCCACCGGCACCCTCGCACACACTGCCACAAGCTTTCGATATTTGATTTCCTTCTCCACACCTTCGCCTTCCAACGATTGTATCTTGTCCTCCAATATTTCGGCAACCCGATCTTCCCACAGAGCCATGCGTCGGAGCTTGACGAGTCCCTCGGGGTCGTTGTGCTCCGGCAAAGGTACGTCTTGTGGCGTATCGGTAGACGTCGGAGAGTGAGGTGAAGGTATAGGATGGAGAGAAGGCGAGATCACGCCGGGGACGTGGCGGAAGGCCAACGGCGGCAACTGCGCGCTCCTCTTTTCCAGAATCGTCTGAGACCTGCCTGTAAAGTCACTTGGCCCGAGGATATCACCCATGAGCACCCCGTCAAGGATACGCTTGACACTCTCAGCACGCTGCTCATAGAGGTGCATCGTGCCGAGCTGTTCTTGTGCGTGGTGAAGGCGGACACGCTTGTCAGCCAGGGCACGAGTGGCGTGGCGGACAGAATTTTCAGTGGCATTGAGCTTTGTTTGTTTGGCCAGCATTTCCGAGGTAAAGGTGGAAGAAATGCGCTCGAATACAGCGGCGATGTCTGCTTTGGGTCAGCTCCATGTATATGAATGTGAATTAATGACCTACTCTTTTGAACATCACGGCTCTTTCGTTCAGGCTTGCTTACCTCGCTTCTCAAATTATTTACCACTGCCTCCCCGTTTGTGACCTTGAGGCCTTCAATCTCCAATCCGAAGTGCTCTGGTCTCAAACCAAGCTTGTTGGCCCGCGACTTGTCCGCCCCGCCGTCGAGCAGCAAGTTGACCATGGCCCGGTTACCAACCCTAGCAGCGACGTTCAGGGCTGTGTCACCATGAACGTCTTGTACGTCCACCAGAGTCTTGAGCGGGATTGGCGCAAGCTCGGTGGATTCAGATTCTTGAGGTCGACCCGCGATGCTATGAGGCTTATTTCGCTGTTCTCGCGCAACCCATTCCAGAACATTGGCCATGTATGACCTGGCAGCCGGAATCCGGCCTTTGACGCCGGCAACGAGGGCGATATGATGAAGCACCGTCCTGTATGCGTGGTCAAGCGTGCGGATGGAGGGTGACAGGAGCGAAAGAAGCTGGGCGAAAGTGCCAGCCTCGGCGTGGTTCGATGTCAACACACTGCGCACGAGAGGCGTCTCGCCGGCATAATTGCCCCGTTGGATATCTGCTCCGAGATCGATGAGTTGCTGGATGATTTCCATCTTTGCCAGCGCACACGCCCAGTGTAGTGCAGAGTGTCCTTGGTCATCGATGACCATGTCCACGTCAAATCCTGGAACCTGGTCAGGCGCCAAACCAAAGACAGACCTGAGGTTGACGGGGCCTTCGACGTTGAAGATTTGGACGAGCTTGGCCTTGATGCGGCCGTTGGCCGTGGTGGCTTTCGGTCGGATAGGCTTGTGAGGAAGAAGCATAGAAGAAGGCAGAGGAGGAGGGTCACGCGCATCGTCAGAAGCGGTGGAATCAACCTCGGCATCGCCTTCTTCCTCGGCCTCAGCAGCAGCAGCGGTTTCGACGTAGCTCCCTTCGGCATCAGATCTCAGACGCTTGGCGGGGTGGCCATCCTTAGCATAGGCATTGCTCTGGTACGTTGCGTGTGGTTGACCATACTGGTCAATGTACACTTCAGACGCACTGTAGGGGAACCCCATTCGTGCAATGTCAGCAGCTGGGGCAAGACCATTATCGCTCGGGTTGTGCACCATCGGCACAGGACCTTCACGGGCCGGAGGATATAATCCAGGCTGACCGACCGCGTGCGGTGGCGGCATAGAGTAGTAAGGCCTCGGCTGAGACGGATAAGCCAAAGCTGAAGGGTGAGGCGGCAAAGACATCATCTGCTCATGGGGATGAGCAAAATGAGGGGGTAGTCCCGGACCGGGCCCTGGCAAAGGCGTAGCATGGGCAGGGTAAGGAGAGATGACCCGCTGATTGGGATGGACCGGCGCTTTCTGGGCAGCTGTTCGGTCAGGAGTCCCTGTCCGGAGAACGGGGAGCGCGGCAATGGCACTTTGAGAAGGGACAAAGTCGAATATGGGAGAGAGGTAGCTTGCGACGCCGTATTGTTCGGCAAGCTCCTTTCCACGATCAAGGGGAATCCACGTCCCTTGGTACTTTCCGTCTGGTCATTGTCAGTGGATGCGGTGATGAAGCTGACGACACTCACAGCCACCTTGCACTTTCTCGTGGATACCGGTCAAGACTTCCTTGTCTAGGACCTTGGTCCTCGCGGATTTATTGATGCCCGCAACTTTCAAAATCTGTGTGGCATTGACCCATCTACATCACGTTCAGATGAGTCGAGGAAATGAATGAGATTACGCACGAATCGGATGTCCGCCTCATCACAGAAATACCTCGAATCATAGCCTCAAACACGGGAATCTAAGCGGATCGTAAGCAAATATAATGAAATCTGAATAGGCCACATACACTCGAGTAAACACTAGCATAGACTTTCGCCTGATTGCTACCGGCTCCTGCTTCGGAATGTTGCCCGGGACCGGCACCCATAACACTCCCGAAAACGTTCTCATCGGCATTCCCCTGCTGTTGACCCTTCTGGGGCGTCTGTGCAGACTGGGGCCCATTAGGGGGCGCTCCAAGACGAGGTGTGGCCCCTTGTTGAGACTGAGCCTGCCCAGGCGTGCCTTGGCCTTGGTACTGCCCATACATGTTGGGCTGCGGCATCGGTTGTCTCAGATGCGCTGGGAGAGTCTGCAGGGGTGCGGGAGTCTGCTGCTCTGCCATAGCGGGAGAGAGGGCAGGTAAGAGTGATGGATGGGAAGGAGTGACGGGGGGCTGGAGGTTGTTGCTGGATGAAAAGAGATCAGCGGAAAGCGACGCGTGATGAAAAAACGCGTGGGAGCCGCGTCGATGGGGTGTGTAACTGACCTGGGTGGCTCCATCTTGACGCGCAGGGGTGCTTGCTATGTGCGGGATGATGGGTTCCCGTGTATCCTCTCTGGGGGATGGGGAGAATGGAATGTGGAAAGGAAAGAGATGAAATGGACGACGCGCTCTTTCGACGCGGGTCGCGTTCAGAGTCCCATATCCCATTTGATCCCGCTTATGTAACCCTAATTACTGCTGTTGACATTTTTACCTCCACCCACAAAAATCTCTCGCCATCTCCTATACCACCCCGAGCAGCCATGGCCAAGTCCAGCAAGAGGAAAGAACAGCCCGAGGGAGACGCCCCCGATGTCCAGGTAGACAAGAACAAGCGTCACAGAAAAGACAAACGTACGTAGATACCTCGCCACCCCTGTGCATTGCTCATCCGTCACTCCATAGCATGGGACACTGATGACATTGATCACTGGGCCATTCCGGAATTCAAAGCCCCCACCAACTCCTCCGAACACAAACCTTTCCTCGAAGAATCTTCGTTCGCCCTCCTCTTCCCCAAGTACCGCGAACCCTATCTCCGATCAGTATGGTCTTCCATCACCTCCGCTCTGGACAGCTATGGTCTTGCTTGTGAGCTCGACTTGGTCAAAGGTCAGATGACCGTCAAGACCACCAGAAAGACTTGGGATCCTTATGTGATCTTTAAGGCGCGAGACCTGCTCAAGCTGCTGGCAAGAGGCGTCAGTGCGCCGCAGAGTTTGAAAGTTCTACAAGATGGGATTGCATGTGATATTATCAAGATTGGGGGGCTGGTCAGAAACAAGGAGAGATTTGTAAAGAGACGGCAGCGTATTGTGGGACCCAACGGATCGACTTTGAAGGTAATTGAATTCAATAGACTGTCAGAACTGGGCTGATCATCTGCAGGCTATCGAGCTTTTGACCGAATGCTACGTCCTCGTGCAAGGCAACACCGTCTCTGTCATGGGATCATACAAGGGTCTCAAAGAGGTTCGCCGTATCATCATCGATTGCATGAACAACATCCACCCAATCTACCGGATCAAAGAGTTGATGATCAGGAGAGAACTGGCCAAAGACCCCAAGTTGGCTGAGGAGAACTGGGAGAGATTCTTGCCCAGTACGTCATTTATCTTGAAGGCAAGATGCCAGTGCTGACGAAGCGTAGAGTTCCAGAAGAAGCACTTGAAGACGTCTGAGAAGACTGCCAAGAAGAATGCTGCCCTTGAGCGTCCTGCAGACAACGCCAACTCCAACTTTACTCCCCTCGGCGCTGCTTCCACCTCCTCTGCCCCTACCCCCGCCCCTGCGGCCAAAGAGAAGCCCAAGAAGAAGACCTACACCCCCTTCCCCCCTCCCCAACAACCTTCCAAGCTCGATCTTCAACTCGCTTCGGGAGAATATTTCCTCAAACCGAAAGAGAAGGAGCAGATCGAAAAGAGAAAGAAGTTGGAGAAGCAACAGGAGGTATCGGAGGAGAAGCGAGTACAAAGAGAGGAGGCGTTTATTGCGCCCGAGGAGAAGAAGGAAGATGCTGTGGAAGAAAGGAGGCAGAAAAGGAGAAAGGCTGCTGCAGAGTTCATGTAGATTTCCTCGGTTGTTTATCTATTGTCTACTAGGCATATCCATTCAGGAACTGTACGGGTGCGCATGCATATCGATACAACATATGATACAATGAACAAGCTGTTAAACGAAGTATGATGGTGCGCCCTAGATATCGTCAGCGGCCGCTGCATACACAGAGAAGAGAAAGGATACTCACGACTCTCCGCATGGCAGGATTTTTCATGTCCGTCACATTCTCTCGAGCCGCACCATACACTCGGAAACTCGTCTTGCCCTCATCATCCACCACCATTATACTTGCGTCATTTCCACATCTATAGCAATAATTGGGAGCAGACCACACGGTAACAAGTGCGTCGTTGAACATGTGCTTGTACCCTTCCTGAACCAACTGATGCGCTCGCGCTATCAGAGTGAGCCCATTGACATGATTGAACTGCTCGACATTAGTCTATCATCAACACGCGAAGAAAGAAGGACAAACCTCATCCGTAACCTTGCCCCCAAACAACCATCCTGCCCCTCTCGGGCTCACGCTCCAACTATCAACCTCGTCTGGATCCGACCACATCAGATCACAGAACGCGCCCTGGTGAGGCACCTCCTGGGCTCTCGAGAGAGTTCTGATCTGGTCGAGCGTCCGGATATCAGGGGACAATCCGCCGTGGACACATAATATCGAAGAGTCGATGATCTGCAGAACGAGTGAGAATGTTCGGGGGCAGTGTCTGGAGTGACGTACGGCAGCGAGGTTCAAGTGGTCAAAAACGGTACAGCAAGCTTTCCATACTGAGGGATTGCCGTATTTTTGCATACATTCGTCTTGAGTGGTCTGAGCGAATGTACACCAGAAATTTCAAAAGGTAAAAACTCACCATAGAACCCATAAACTTGCGTTATTTGACGAGACTCGTGATTTCCTCGTAATAATGTGATCTTGTCGGGATATCTCGCCTTGTACGCCAGTAATAACGAAAGAGTCTCAAGACTGTAGTATCCTCTATCCACAAAGTCTCCCTGTGTGCTATGTCAGCACCGTCCGCGCTACCATTGCCAGCTTACCATAAAGATATAAGCCGTTTCCGGGACTTCTCCGCCCTGCCTGAAAATCTCCAGAACATCCCAAAATTGCCCATGAATATCCCCGCAGACAGTCACTGGAGATTGCACCAGACGGACATTGGATTCTTCCATCAAGAGGTCGCGAACTCGGTGGCAGAGAAGCTTCATCTGGCGTTCGGGGAGGTGATTACATTTGCGAAGCTGCGAGGTAGTGTCAGCGCATAAACTGTAGGAGAAAAGATACTGACGTGGGCTATCCACTGGTCTGGATCTGAGGACGATATTGTTGAGGGGGGCGTGGCGACGGGCATGGCGATAGGGCTACAGTGTGCAAGCAGAGTGCATTAGATGATCACGAAATGCAAGAGAAGATAAGGGCATTAATAAACAGTAATTACGCATTGTAATTTCGCCCATTTTCGGCGTCGCCAAAGAACGAAGCACATGGCTGAAGTGACTCGACAATTGTTTGCCTTTCCACATAAACACCATGATTGACCTTATCCACTGTACGTCCCCCCCTGTCTCTTCGGAACAAGTGCTCACTGGTATCTCCGGTATCTCTCTCACTCACTTGCTCACTCTATCACTCGTCTCGCCAAAACAGTCCAAACCGACAAGGGTGGTAACCCCGACGTTGTGCGAGAGTCTCAGAAGAAGCGAGGCGCCTCTGTCGAGATCGTTGACGAGGTCATTGCCCTTTTCACCGAACACAAGGCCGGTGCGTCCTTCCCGAGCTACCTGGATCGTATCTCACACTTTTTGGTCATAGCACAATTCTCCCTCGAAAATGCCAAGCGAGAACTCAACGTCTTGCAGAAAGAGATCGGTCAGATCAAGAAGAACAAGGGAGATGCCTCTGCTCAGCTCGCCAAAAAGGCTGAGATGGACAAGGAAATTCTCGACATCACAGCGCGGGTGCAGGACCTCATCAAGCAGAGAGATCAGAAGGCTGGGCAGATTGGAAACATTGTGGACCCTCAAAATCATGTGTCAATGACCGAGGTATGTTGCAGTTGACTGTCAAGGAATGCTGCTGATACAATATTACAGGACGACAACCCCGTTCTCAAGCTCTGGCACCCCGAGCCCAACCACAAGGGCAACTCTGAGTTGCTTACCGAGGCCGACAAGTCCACCGATATCCTCTCCCACCATGAAGTCCTCGCCCGTCTCGAAGCCTACGACACTGACCGTGGTGTCAAGGTCAACGGTCACCGTGGTTTCTTCCTCACCAACGATGGTGTCGACCTTAACCAGGCTTTGATCAACTACGGCCTCGACTTTTTGAGAAAGAAGCAGTACAAGAAGGTGCAACCGCCGTTCATGATCAAGAAGGAGATCATGGGTGCTACTGCGCAGCTGGAAGACTTTGACGAGGCCTTGTACAAGGTACAGGGTGGTGACAAGGACATGTACTTGATCGCTACCAGCGAACAACCCATCTCTGCCATGCACATGGACGAGAACCTCGACCCCAAGAACTTGCCCTTCCGGTATGTTTTGTATGTGGCTACAGGAGCACGACTGATACATGACCTAGATACGCCGGTTACTCTACGTGTTTCCGAAAAGAGGCCGGTTCTCACGGCAAGGACACTTGGGGTATCTTCCGTGTCCACCAATTCGAAAAGGTTGAGCAATTCATCGTGTGTGTCCCCGAAGAGTCTCCCGCCCACCTGGACAACATGGTTGCCAACTCCCGCGAATTTTACGAGAGTCTGGGTATTCCTTACAGGGTTGTCAACATCGTCTCTGGTGGCCTGAATAACGCTGCCGCTATCAAGTACGACTTGGAAGCTTGGTTCCCTTATCAGGGAGAGTACAAGGAGTTGGTATCTTGCTCCAACTGTACCGACTACCGTACGTCAACTCGTTAAGGCGTCGTTCGCGATGACTAACAGGATACTGTAGAGTCCCGATCTCTCAATGTCCGCCTCGGTTTCAAGGAGAAGGACAAGAAGACTGGTTTCGTGCACATGCTCAACGGCACTCTCTGTGCCACCGAGCGAGCCCTCTGCTGTTTGGTTGAGAACTACCAGACTCCCGATGTACGTCGCCACTACTCCGATATCAACATTACTAATGATATGCGCAGGGTCTTCGTATACCCAAGGTTCTCCAGCCTTACATGCAAGGCCGAGACTTCCTTCCCTACACTGCCGAGTTGCCCAAGACTTCTACCAGCAACAGGGCCAAGAAGTAGAGCCATGGCGACAATGGTGGCCTGGACGCGACGGGGATGGAGGGGCTGTACACATAGACTTCACTCGAGTATGGATCCCGTGCAGTCGTTCATCGTACAGATTCAATGGTCTCATAGATACGGCGGACAATAATACATTACATCTCGAGAGCATCGAGAATAGCTCATCTACTTTACTGTCGTCAACGACTCGTCTCAGGTCGTAAAAATGTCTATACTGTAAAGATCAAAATCACAATCAAATAGGGGCCTCAGCGATAGCCTTCAGGCTGACTATATTCTCAACAAGCCTTTTCCGGTAAACGGCGACGGCTTTTTCGTGCTTGCCTCTGCCTCTCCCAGGTTCACCAAAGTCTTCACCGCGTGAGCGTGCCCATTAGTCGGGCGAGCCTGTACAGGGCGTTGAGAAGCGACAGAGTGGGGGTACGTCTGCGCCAGGGTATAGCTCTGATGGGACCATCAGCATGTGACTTTGCCTGTGTGCGTGTAAAACTCACCCTCGCTTCATGAATGGCTCCTTCCAACTTGAACGCCTCGTTACTCTCACATGCAAAGACATGACCCCACTCCTCTCTATTCTCAAAGTTGCCTGCCGCTTCGGATCGTTTCAACATGAACGCGTGGGACTGGTTGTTGTATGAAGAGAGGAATGAGTAGACGTCGAAGAAGAGAGTGTTGAGATGGACTTCATCCTTGCCCTGGTTGTCGAGTCAGTATGAGACTAGTCTGCCAGAAAGCAACATACCTTATCATTCTTTGCCAGGAAGACGTGGCCTCCGCGAGTCTCCAACCATCTTCTCGACCATTTCCCTTTCTTTGACTCGTGCATCACCCAGCCGCCAAACATGGGCGGCGTAGTAGGAACAGTCTGTCGGGTCCATCAGCATGACACACATGGGCAGTAGACGCAACATACCCGAGCCCAAGTCAAAACACCACGAGTAGACTGCTTGATCTCAAACCTGTTTCCTCTTCCTTGCTCCCACCCATTCATGATGGACTGTATCGTCTCATACTCTCGCACATGTCTCTCTATCGAACGAAAGTCGTCAGCCTTTGCTCTCGCAGCTCGGAAAGCATCAAACGTACCACAGTTCATTTCAGCAAAGACTTCACAAACCACCCATGACAAGCCGCCCTCCGCATCGGAGAGCTCTCTCGCTTGGTAAGCAGCAGAGAGCACATCCTTTGCGGTTGTCCTCGCATGCACCTCTTTAGAGATTCGCTTGACAATTCCACCTTGAGACGGGACGATATCGATCGGGATTGACCTTGTCTGAGCTCGAGGGATGGCAGGAGGGGCACTGGGTTGGGCAGCCACAAGCTGGGGCTGTGAGGGCTTCTTGCGAATCTCAAGGGGGCTGGTCCCGGACGCTGCAGAATCGCGAGGAATAGCAGGAGGTGGGCGCGTAGGACGCGAAGAGATGACCTTCTCCCCCTGAACCTCCGTGGACGCCTGCATACGCGCCTGAGCAGCCATCGAGTCCCATTTCTGCCTCATCACCAACACATCTTCCAGCTTCTTGGCAAGCACATCGGCAGGAACCCCGCCTTCACCGTCCCAATCGGTGTCGCCGCCTGGGTTGCGTCCCCGGACTTTGATCTTTGAGAGCGACACCGACTTGCCACGGGGCCGCGAGGATGTGGATGGAGCTGGTGGGGCGGGATGTGACAAGGTGGATGCACGCTGAATTTGCACCAGGGCAGCTTCAGGGTGGACTTTTGCAAGTGGGATATCATCCTCTTCCCTCTCCATACCTCGCGCGCTTTTGTCGAGCATGTCGTGCTTGAGAGAGCCGACACTGGTTGCCTGTGTCTCTGTGCTGGTCCGGGGATTCATGGTCGACATGGAGATCTCGAGAGCGGCGGGGTAGAACGAGCTGCTCCTGGACGAGCCGGCGGCCGCACGGAGGGATGAGCTGTCTGGGTCTGCGGTGTGGAGGACCTCTTCGTGTTCGGCGTGTTCTCGGTGGGCCTTGGACTTTGGAGTTGACTGGAACTGGATTTCGAGGCTGGACGCGCCGCCGACAACAATGGAACTCTTGCCAGATCCCGAGGCACCGCGCTCCTCCGCGCTCGGGCCCTCAGGGAACAGTCCAAGAATGGGACCCCATCCGGCGCTGCTCAGGCTCATCAGCGACGAAGAGGCACCCAGCTCGCCGCCCGACGCAGTCGTCTCAATGGAAGGGGGCACCCGAGCAGACTCGACGTCAGAGAGCCGCTCCTTGCCCTCGCCAGCGCCCACCTCCGCTACAGGGCCGTCTTCATTCTTCAGCTCTTGTATCAAGTCATCCTCCTTCTCCTCATCGACCTTGTCCTTGTTCTCCCCCTTGGGCCAGATACCCAGCTGCTCATATAAGTCAAAGAAACTCGAACTTGTCGGCGGGCTCTTCAGAGACATGCTCGTTGATCGACTCCGGGGTAACAGCACCGGCGTAGACCCGCTTCTCGCCATGATACGCCCGCCCGGACTGAGCCCGAGTGGACTACCGCTGCTGGGGGAGACAGGAGACGAGCCTGTAGATAGAGGGGTGGTCGTGATCGGGGTCAACAGACCGGCCGGGAGAGCAGGCGATGATGAAGGCGAATGTGTGACGTTGGATGGTGCCGGAGGAAGAGGCACATCTGGGGGTGTGGCATCTGATGGGCTCTTTGATATCGGACGACTCATATATGCAGGGTTAGGGGGCAGCAGCTCGGGAGAGTCTAAAGGAGCGGAAAAGTCGAGTGGAGCCATGGGCGGTATGGAGGGAGCTGTGGCAGATATGACCGATGCAGTGTCCTTCTTGTCGCACGGTTTCTCTACCACGACTGGTGAAGGTGCCAGACCCCGTATTCCAGAAGGCTTGTCGGCCTTTTTCAATGGCGCGCCATCGTTCTCCGCCTTTTCTCTACCGAATGACCGCATGTTTGCCAGGGAGCGGGCTTTGGTCAATTTTGGCTTGCTCTCCTTGTTCTCCTTGTTTTCTTTCTCTCTTCCCTCTCGCGACGGGAGGCTGAGCATATTTCTCAAATCCCTAATTGAGGGCGAGTGTGGTCGCAGCCTGCGCTGAGGGGATGGTGGTCTGAGATCTTCATGGACTGGATCCGCCGCAATATCCAAAGCACTCTCAAATGGATCGGAAGGCAGAGATGGGTGGCTAAAGATAAAGTCATGCTCTGGCATGAGCGGCGTGGTTGCTGATGCAGGTGAATGCGAGGGAGACAAAAATGACAATATGTTGTTGCTCCTCTTCGCCTCACCTAACGGCGGGCGTGGAGAGGTGGCGCTAGACGGTGGGGTCTGAGACGCGAATTTCCCACTGACTTTAGAGTATGTCGGGAGAGGGGGGAGGGGTCGGTCCTTAGCGCCACCATCCGCTGGTGCTGATGGGCGAAGAGCAGCATGCGATTTGGATTTGAAAAGTTTTCGCATGCCCTTTTTCCATGAAGAGCTGCTCTCGGCTTTGGCATTGACAATGTTTTCTTTCGTTTCCCTGAGAGGATATGTCTGGGAGTTGACAGCTGGAGAGGCTGGCAGGGGAGGGCCAAAATCATGCTTTGGGGATGGAAGGTTGATTGGCGACCGCAACGATTGCTTGGGTGGCTTGGGATACAAGTGATGGTATTGCTCTGGTGGGCTCGCCGGTGAAGGGAAGGATGCCTGTGGGGTATACGGCGATGGCGTGGGCATCATCACCGCGGGCGAGGCAGTGATATATGTTGAGGGGGTAGTAGGAAGTGGAGGAGGCGCTTCAAACTGCCATTTCGATCAGGACATCACGCATATGAGGTACGGAGACTGGCTTACCGAGTCATCAACATTGTCGTCCACATGAACTCCCAGATCAAACTTCTTTCCACCATTGACCGCAGCACTTCCAGAACCCCCCATTCCCCGCAGGAATCTCATACTCTTTTGCTTGACGAGCTTTCCAGCGCCAGAGTCTTCAAGGCCACTCTTTGCTTTCACATCATCCCTCTCGTCACCCGCATTTGACATGACCGTCCCACGCCATCCATGTGAAGGCACCGAGCTGTACACCGAAGCTCCGCCCATACTCCCCTCCCTTCGTCCTGGAATGCCCGGAATGGCAATGCTCCCCATCCTCGAGCTTTGGGCTGACAAGTACACGCTAGGGGATGTTGACCTTGTCCTTTCGGTCATGGAGGAAAAGTTGTACTCTTCCGGCTCGTCCCATAGACCGTCCCTCGAGTACGCTCCTGCGGTAGGAGTTCCAGGAGGGTGAAACTCGTATTCTTCGGGCTGGGGAGGGGCTGGCATAGATAGAGGGGAGGGGAGAGCTTGGCCGTGGGGTGATCGAAGGGAGGGGGCATGGGAGTGCGGGCTGGAGGGTGGTTGGATCGATAGCGTTGGACGTCGGGAGCGAGACATGTTGGGCGTTGATTTGGGGAGTGGGTGTAGGTAGCGTAAAGACTACGGTGCGTTGGAATGCAAGTTTCCTTTATGGGCGACGGGCCTCTTGCTGGAATGATTTATCGTGTCGTATGGAAGTGCGCAGGGTGGTGTGCCGTGGGTTGTGGTATGTGCTATGCGGGGAGGATGTAGAGGCGGGTTGAGACGATACACTATGTAAACACGCCAGCGCGCACGGGAATCAACAAACAAACCGCCATCATTGGGTTTAGGTCCAGGCACGGATTCCAAGGCGCTAAAAATCCCTAGAATCTCGCGCCAAAGCAATGGGAGATGAAATTTGACCCCGCAAATGTGGCACCTTGTCCTCGAGGCGCGCGCGACGTTCTTGACAATCGTCATGTGAATCTTGTGTGAATCCTGTGTGAATCCAGCGGGAACATGCCGGCAGCTGGAGGGATCGCTGCTGACAAAGCACCTGGCGTGATTTCTCGAGTGCACATCGCCCCTCAGTATAACAAATTCGGCCAGCAGCATGCACTCTGCCAGCATTCCGCAAGGCTGGGCCATTCCGCTATCTCTGCATCCTGATCTCCACTCCCAACTCAAGCCCCAGCAATGGCAGACATCAAAGAAGCCAAAAGCGAAGCCGCCACCACTGATGAGCATAGTCAAGTCCAGATAGTTCCCGGCCTGGAGGACGAGACAGTGATTGAAGGGGTCGATCCTGTATATGCCGCAAAAGCTAAGGTACTCAATCATGCGGTAAATATCTCATGATTTGCTACATCCCGCGCTGAAGCTGCTCGCAGATCCAGGAGATTGGCATGGGGCGCTATCAATGGCAACTCTTTGTGGTGATTGGCTTTGGCTGGGCACAGGATAACTTGTGGCCCGTCGTCACTTCTGTAACTAGGTTCACGTGCTGTCCTCACCTGTGTTGAACATGTCATAGCTTATCCTTACCCCTATCACTAACGAGTTCAATCCTTCGCGTCCTCCTCTTCTTACGCTTGCGCAAAACATTGGACTGCTCGGCGGGGCTGCATTCTGGGGTTTTGGGAGCGATATCTTTGGCAGGCGCTGGGGCTTCAACCTGACGCTGGGCATCACAGCCGTCTTTGGAATGATAGCCGCCTCCTCTCCCAACTTTGCTGCCATCGGGATTTTTGCTGCACTGTGGAGCTTTGGGGTCGGTAAGTATCATCTACGTCTCGCAGGGAGATATGAGCTGATACCGCCGCAGGCGGAAACCTCCCTGTCGACAGCGCAATCTATCTCGAGTTTCTGCCCCATGTCTGTCATCTACCATCTGCTTATCGAGTGCTGACGAGCACATGCCACAGAGCCACGCCTACACGCTTACAATCTTGAGCGTCTTCTGGGCGTTCGCACAACTTCTTGCTGCACTTGTCGCATGGCCATTGTTGGGCAATCTCACGTGCCAGGAAAACACTGTTTGTACTCGTCATGACAACATGGGTTGGCGATATTTTGTCATCACCATGGGTGGTATCGCTCTACTCATGTTCTTCTGTCGTTTCGTACTGTTCACGGTCTACGAATCGCCCAAATACCTCATGGGAAAGGGCAAGGATGAAGAGGTGAGCACACAAGCCATACTGGTGCAGTACTGATGTGTCTTACAGGCCGTGAGGATTGTCCATGAGGTCGCAAGGAGGAACAAGACGACTTCGATCCTGTCTGTCGATGATCTGAGAGCTTGCGAGAGATTTGGTGACCAGGAAGTGCGACAACAGACGAACGCAACCGCCGCCATCAAAAGAAAGCTTCAGGCTGTGAGCGGCAAGCACATCAGGGCCTTGTTTGCGACAAAGAAACTCGCATACAGTACGTCTCTGATCATGCTGGTGTGGGCTTTCATCGGCTTGGCTTTTCCCCTCTATGTAAGCTTCGTCTCGTCATTGTGGGCGAGGGGCAGCTGACAATAGTTTCTCAGAACGCCTTCATTCCCTTTACGCTAGCTAAGAAGGGTGCCGAGCTCGGAGATGGTTCCACGTACATCACATACCGCAACGCCTGTATCATCGCCGTCCTCGGCGTTCCAGGATCAATCCTCGGAGGGATCTTGGTCGAGATCAAATTCTTTGGGCGCAAAGGTACATTATCGATGGCCACCATTCTCACCGGTGTCTTTATTCTCGGAAGCACGACGGCCAAATCGTCTTCAGCTCTGCTCGCTTGGGACTGCCTCTACTCTTTCTTTTCGAATGTCATGTACGCGGTTCTGTACGCGTATACCCCCGAGATCTTCCCAACGAGGGATAGGGGGACCGGTAATGCTTTGACGGCCATCTCCAACAGAATCTTCGGCATCATGGGTGAGCACATGATCCTGCCTGCTTGTCGATGACTGACAGTCTTCCTAGCGCCCATTATTGCTATGTTTGCCAACTTGGAGACATCTGCGCCGGTGTACACAAGCGGCGCGCTGTTCATAGCTGCGGGCTTGGTCGTTGTCATACTCCCATACGAGTCTCGGGGGAAAGCATCTTTGTAATCAGCACGTCCAGCAGGGGTATATGGTGACTTTGGGTGAATTATAATCGAGAAAGCATGTACTTGTGAATGATTCCGTATTGTCTGATGCGAAGAGTTTGCATAAAGGATTGAAACCTACCCCGAAATGAGTCTATACTGTACAAAGGCAACCGTCGCCCATACATCGTCTTCTCCCACCGAACCCGCGTTACTAGCCATACGCATGCCATAAACAAACAAAATATACATTTAATGCCTATACATTTAATGCCTGAAAGCCAAGTCAGCGCCATACATCTGCAGGAATAACGCCAACCACTTACGCGCTCCACTCGATCTTGCTGATATCAATACCCTCCTGTACCATCTCCCAGAGAGGACTCATGTCCCTCAACCTGTTGACAACGCTGACAATCCTTTCAACGACCATGTCAATCTCCTCCTCGGTAGTGAAACGTCCGATGCCGAATCGAAGTGAGGAGTGGGCCATGTCTTCGGCCGCGCCGAGAGCTCGGAGGACATATGAGGGTTCAAGAGAGGCAGAGGTACAGGCTGATCCAGATGAAAGTGCGATATCCTAGAGTAATATTAGTATCGGTAAACCAGGGTGGACAGTTGAGACTTACTTTAAGAGCCATCAAGAGCGATTCGCCCTCGACATACGAAAAACTGAGGTTGACACAACCCGGGTATCCACTAGGATCACCGTTTCGTACAATCATATCCACTTGACTGGTGATGCCGTTGATCAATCTGTCTGACAACTCCTTGATCCTCTCGTGGTCCGCTGCCATCTCCTGCTTGGCGATCCGACAAGCTTCACCGAGACCGACCACTATAGGGGCAGGTACGGTACCGGATCGGAGGCCGCGCTCTTGACCACCACCATGGATGAGAGGCTCGAGTCTGACACGAGGTCGCCGTCTGACATACGCGGCGCCGACACCCTTGGGTCCGTAGATCTTGTGACCAGAGATAGACATGGCGTCGATACCCATAGCCTCAACGTCGATGTTGATCTTTCCGACGGCCTGGGCGGCATCGGTGTGGAACATGGCCTTGGGAATACCCTTCTCCTTGGCGTACGCCTTGATAGTGGCAGAGATTTCGGCGAGAGGCTGAATTACACCAATCTCGTTGTTGACGGCCATGATAGACACAAGGGATGTGTCTGGTCGCAAAGCTGATTTAAGTTCCTGAAGAGATACAAGACCGTTGGGAAGAACAGGGAGATAGGTGACTTCGAACCCTTGCGTAGAGAGCCATCGGCAAGAGTCGAGGACACACTTGTGCTCGGTTTGGGTGGTAATGATATGCCTTCTCTTGGCTTGGTGGAACTTGGCAATGCCTTTGATGATCATATTGTTGCTTTCGGTCGCACCACTTGTAAAGACAATGTCCTTCTCGTGAGCGCCGACCAAAGAGGCGACGTGCTGCCTAGCCTCATCGACGGCCTTCTCGGCCTCCCAGCCATAAGCGTGGGTACGAGAGTGCGGGTTACCGAATTGCTCGGTGAATAGAGGGAGCATTTTGTCAAGGACTCGGGGGTCCATGGGAGTGGTGGCCTGCATGTCGAGATAGATGGGACGACCTTCTGATTTCGCATTGCCACCGGTCTTGGTGGACACGGGGTTGAGCTTGAAACCGAACATTTCTAACGGCATCGTCAGTCATTGCGTGATTTCGCCACAGAAGTGCTTACCGTCGCCAGACTCGGGGTGGGCAGAGGCGAGGTGCTCGCCACTCTCGGCCTCGGCGGGGTCCTCCTTGACGTGTTCCACAGTAACATTCGAGACGGTGGCGTTGACCGGGTGGGTCGGGGTGACGAGGGAGCGTCGGGGTGCCCTGGCGGCGGCGGGGTGGAGCGGCCTGGGTGCGCGGAGGGCTGCTGACCTGAGGAGGGGTCTGATGAGGCTCATTTTCTTTGATGGATGGGGCAGGGAGAAGAGAACGATGGCGGCAACTTGCTCGCCTCTCGCTGTCCCCTGATTGCTCAGCGCCGAAAGCCGAGGTGAAAATAATCTGCTTCCGTCCCCCTCGGCGGACATAAGCGGCGGCGGCACCTCGTTTCTGTTGATATGCGCGGCAGTATCTGGGCAGTATTGCATGTGAAGAACCAAGTATAAACGAGCCAGGATATTATCACGCGACTATAGAGCAAGAGGAACCAAAAAAAGTGATATTCGAACCCCCGATACAAGGGAATAAAGGAAGGACAGCCAAGCTACGAACTTGGCTATCGAGAACGATCGCTCAACATTTGCAGTCGATCAACTGTCGGACACCGGACAATGGTCAGGGTAGCCATCTGCAGGATTTCCCCACCAAGATGGGAAGGCTACAGTAGAGTTTGCGGCACCAAACACTGCGAAAGACAAGATAAACAAGACGAACAGACTCGCCCCGTCCCAGGCCGCAGTGACAAGATACGAGTAGTCTCTGAAGATTCTGGGCTTGTATTTTCGTAGGTAGAATTGCGTGAAGAACCCGGCTGCGAGCTGAGAGAGGACGACACAGCTTTGTGTCTGGTTGAATCCCAGGTAGCCGGAGTAGATGAAGAATTGGGGAAGGTTGAGGTCGCTGAGAGAGAACTTGCCGATGCGAGGCACGTACTGGATAATGTCAGCAGTATGCGAGTCATGTTCAGGATGGACTCACTCGTGCAAACACACGATGAAGTATCACTGCAGCAAACCCGATAGGGAGGCCCAAGAGCACAATGAAGTATTCTCCGCTTCTACCATACAAGTACTTGGCCAAAGCCCAGACAGATGCTTGAGTCGATTGACTTTGGAAGTATTGTCCTGGATGCAACAATCAGTAATTACCCGGCCAGATTTCGTCTCGTACTCACCTGACCAGACAGAAGAGCCATTGGTGTCCTGAAGGAGCTCCCTGTGCGAGTTGACAACGCTGATCATGACGACATAATTGATGAATGCGCCGAAGACAGTGCCGTACACTTGGGTGGTGAACATAATCCTAGGAGGGATTTTGACTTGATTCAGGTCAATAGCTACTCGTGGTGGGCTTAAGCAGATGGCTTACGATATTCTCCCATCTTGAGATCCGAGGCCAGGTTGAGACTCTGCGAGATAACGCTATGGGACCACGCGCTAAAGTACAAGTTTGCCACAGGTCGTCCGGGTTGGCAGACTGCACACAGCCCGTCAAAAAGTTACGCAATGGTATCATCGTGAAGACTCACCTCCCGCAATGGTCTTCATCAACTGGTTGGTCGCTATACCGTTACCGAACCGAGAGTAGAGGATTGTACTCTGCGCTCTGTCAGGTACCGTGCGACGGTATATAACTGAGAGAACTTACGAAGGGTGCGATGAACGCTCCGAGGGCCAAAGCCACGATGTAGGCCCACCACGTCAAAGTGATGCCTTCCTTGACGACGACGACAAGACCCAGGACGAAGGCGATCACAAGGAGGCCGACATACCAGTACCAGTTGGCCTCTTTGTACTTTTTCATAGCTGCGTGGTGTCGGTCGGCATATACGCCTTTCCTGCCGTCCTTCAAGGCTTGCCAGATGTCGGGCCCGTACCAGAAGATGCAATGGGCGACAAGCGCACCAATCTGTGAGGATGTAAGCAGATATCCAATGGTGCAAGTGACAGGGTCGTAAGGAGAGAGTAGAGGCGCGGCGGCGATGTGAGGGTACTTACAGAGAGACTGTTTACCACCATAGCCCAGACATAAGTCCCCGAGAGCTTCGGCAGGCCGTAACGTTCCAATGCGCTCTCATCCAGGATACCATTGACAAAAACTTTCGCAGTAGGATATGTGTCACCGCTGGCAGTGTGGAGCGTGGTAGAAAGGAATGGCAAGGATTTGGCCGACCAGGCGTTGCCGTAATAGACGGCGAGGAAGGCGATCCAGCAAAAGACGATACCAGAAGCATAGTTGGCCTGGGCGATATGTGAGCTAGATTTCTCAACGACAGGACCTGTCACCTACCTGAAGGATGAGAGGCATCGAGGTCGCGGAAGAGGTGATCTGAAAGCATGTCAGCCCATGTCACGGGATAAGGTATACCATTTTGGAAGCACGAGAGACGAATCATCAACGGTTGGCGGTCCGTCTTCCTCGATGCTCTAGTATGACTGTACTCACATATTGCCAGTCGAATGAAAAGTTCAAGATACCGAGTCCCTCGTTACTCAACGAGCCGCCAAAGAGATTTGTGAGGATATCAGCCTTGGAGCCTGTAGCTTTCATCGAAGCGAGGCAGGGCACGGAAACACTGTGACAACAGTCAGTCATCACAGCTCAAGCGCGGAGCGGAGTGGAGTACATACCTGTTGAGCCATGGGATGATGTAAGCTGGAAATGGCTGATACGCGAGCATGCCACCAAAGGCATACCAGAAATACCGCATCGGTTTGCTGTCTTTGACCGAATCCCAATGCAGCGATTGCAAGGTGCGTACAATAGGGATGTTGGTCCAATACACGCTCTCAGGGTGGTACACAGTGATTGGGCGAAGAAGTCCAGTGAGACCGTAGCCAAAGAGCCCGATAGAGAGCGTACTGAGAATGACGGTAGTGGCGCTCAGCGGAATGTCGTAGAAGAGGTTGGTTGTGGCGAAAACTGTCACACTCGCGGCACCGTTAGAAGCTGAGGTAGCTGTGATGGAGGCGATGGCATGCTCTTTGAGTGAGAAGGGACCAGGGTTGATGAATATGGCCGCTCGTATCCAAAGCGGCAGCCGGCCCTCGTTACCCCTCTCTCTCCACTTTCTCTCTTGCAAGTCGCCTCTGGGGAGGAAGAGGGCCCATGCCCCACCCAAAAAGTAGAGAAGAAGTACCATGAAGCTCCCGCTCTTTGATAGTGTCAGCTTTGATCATGATATAAGCGAGTCATGAGTGCTCACGATGGTGACATTTGTAGGCTTGAACTATAGTATGAATCCCAGTCAGACACGGAACAGATGAGAGTGAATGGAGGAACTCACAAGGTAAATCTGGTTCATGGAAGCCTGGAAAGCAGCCATAAGAGTACCCAATACCAAACTTCGGAAGGTCAGAACCTGGTCGCCATCGTCTCTGATAGGCAAGAGGTAGTTTGCCGCATCCAAGCCGGTAACGATCTCCTTCTCCTCCTTCTCAGATACTTCAGATCCGTCGTTGATGCTATTATGGTGATCGAGCTTTTCGTTCAAAGGAATCTTGTCGAAGGGTATAGTCTTTTCGTCAGAGGGCGTACCGGCCACCAGCTCGTGGCCAGCGTGAGGAAGAACGGCGACCTGGTCCATAGTCGAGGGAGTGATGTCTTGGTCGCGCTTCTCGTGCGGAGGAGCTGTACATACTCCATGTCTCGCTAGCCATGCTTATATAGGATCAACTTTGTGGTTACTGAGAGTCGCAACCTTGTAGATAATGAAATAAAAAGTCGGTGAAAGTTGGTATGAATGAGGTGATGGATGGCAATTCATTCAATTCTGGCACGCAATTGTAGCGGGGCGAGATTTGCGCCGTCGACGCCCATATGGGGGTATCTCGGAAGGGCATATGGGCCGCAGATCCCGCAGAGAAGAGTCGAGGATAGGCAATGTAGGCGGGGATGCTGAAAGATCAATGCTCCATCGAGGGTAAATGCCAGGGCGAGCAGCGTGTACCATGCGGCCAGTCAATGGCGCCATCGATTGGGATTGGCCTCGCTTCCATCCCTGCCGTGGCGAGCAGCTCGGCAGACCGCGGTCCTGCGCCAGCCGGGTCGCATTTACCAGTAGGGACAGACAGGGTATAGGTCTGGCTGTCAACGATAGGGGCGGGTTAAGCCTACAGATTGTGTGCTATATCGAGGTCAACTCGAGTGATTTGTAGTATTTAGGATGCAGAGTTCAGCTCTTTACCTTTACCTCTGAGCCCCGCCTTACCCGTTCCAGTTGGAGACCGAGTTTTCCCGCCCCCCAAAGCGCCGAGTGACCCATGTGCGCCACGACCACCCCTGGAAAAAGAAGAGACCATCCGAACCAAACGTCAAATCATGCCACCTCCTCGCTTCGTGCCTGCCGCAGATTGCCGATGCGGGCTGCCGATACGACGACCATCCTCCTATCTCTACATACCAGTCAACACATTTTACATATACACATAGCTCACAGAAGTCATCGTATAAACGTAAGCATCGTAAATGCGATATAGAATCGTCTTTCAAGGAAAAAAATATCTCTCAATGTCTGCTCGGCATCGCCCACCTCCATCTGGTAACGAAATGTATCACTGGAGACTCCTCAAATCCCGCACTTCATCGCCCTTCCTCTCCAGCACACCAATCGCCTGCTTCAGCTTCTTTGCTATAATGTGTCTTTTGCGCGGGTCCGAAGCCGGGTCAAGAGACTTGTATCTGGTCGCCAGATCTACATAGATCCTGGACAAACGTCAGCAAGGCAACGTATGGATCTCAGCCACGGCCTTACGCACGATTTGTAATGCACATAATCTTCCTCGGCCTGCCCCAGAATCCTTTGCAAAGTCACCCTCGCAGACTCCCGAATTTCGCCTGTCGGCTCTTTGTTCACGCGGTGTGGCCCTGCACCCGAAGGCTGTCGGGACGAAGGCGCAGAAGGCGCTCGGATGAGGGTAGGAGTCGGCGAGTATGTCATGTCCTCGCTGCGCACAAATGTCCTCTCGGCCTTCGACGGTCCGGGGCGCTGGACAGTATCAGGAGCTAGCGTTTCGTGGATGGATGCTGCTGCATGCAGACCCTGCTTGAGCTTGGATGGTCCAGGTGCGTCCTCTTGTTGAGCAGGTTGCTCATCTTGCACGATTTGCCGAACGAGTTCCTCCATCTTCTGTCGCTCCATCCTCACCGACCGTTCGGACCGGGAGTGTTGGCGCGTAGCAAGACCCTTCTCGACTATAGAGTTGAGGGAGCTGACCTGCTGAGAGAGACGGTTGATCTCAGAACGGATATTGGCAAGTGTGGAGGAAGACGGGGAGGATGAAGGGTGCGGCGGGGCGGATTGAAACTTGTGTATTAGTGCTTTGTGAGCGTCGAGCTCGAGAGTCAGACGGGCAAGATGGGCTTGTGTAGACTCTACAAGCTGTTCCAATGCTTTTGGTCATCAGCACGATCCCAGAAATGCGACGAAGGACATACCGATCTTTTCATCCGCGACTTCTTTGATACCTCGATCCCCATTCTCTTGAGCTTCTGCCAGCTCCTCCTTTGCCTTTGATAGCTCGTCCTGGAGCTCTCGCATTCTGCGCCGCGAAGTTGAATTTTCGACCTCCAGGTTCTTCAGGCGCTCATTGAGCTGTTCCAGGCTCCCGGGAATGTCGACTTTGACACGTCAGTAGCAGTCGAGAGTATCCAGTACGTCAACTCACCTAATGCAACTCCACCAACGCTCTCGTCACGATTCAGATATCCATACTCGCCAGCCCTCGCCGGTGTCTTCAGCAGATCGGTCAAGCCAGTCACATCTCCTATCGTCCATCCGCCTCTGACTGGGGCACTGACAGATCTCACTGACGATCCTTCCGCCCGTGGAGTCTTGATATTCGACTTTTGGGACGCTTTGCTTTTTGATTTCGTGGGCTTCGACTGGCTGGCAGAGGAATGTACGCCTGCGGCTTTGGGTGTTCGGGCGAACCGAGTATCCCTAAGGCTGGTATCTTGCCATTGACCAGCTTGCGGCTTATGATCCTGATTGACCGGGCTCGAAGGCGGGCTGGGCAGGGGATTACTGCGGGTGAGAGTAAAGGAGAGATTGAGAAGGTTGAACACTGGTGTGGGGGATTGATTGGTATAGAAGGGGGATGTCGGGCGCTCCGGAACTCTCTGCAGGGCGTCAATGTCTTCCCTAGAGCCCATTACCGAAAACCTCACTTCGTTGCCCATGACTTTACCGAGCTCATTCACCAACCTGCCGAGGCTCCTTTCGGGGTCAAACTCGCCGGTACGGCTCGTATCTCCACCGTTTTTGAATACTCCGGCGCCAAGTGTCATCGCGCTCGCATGATGTCCAGCGGTTGATACCGGACTCGCACCAACAAACATTGAGGCTTCTCCGCGATAGGTCGAAAGACCATCTCCGTTGGTCCCGTCTCCCCGACCGACACCATTGTGTTGGTCATGATTGTCATAGGTGACTGTGCCATCTGCTCCTCTAGGATACTCAAGAGACTCGTCCGAATCGTCGTAAGATACGGTAGATGTAGGGATGGAGGAGAAGGAGAGGGAGTACAAGTCGTTGGCGAGTGTGGATTCGAGTTTTTGGCGGGCGAGGTCGGAGCGGGAAGGGATGATTGGGCGGGCCATAATGGGAGGAGGGGTGAGGAGGGCGGTATCTACAAGACGCTGCGGTGTGGAACAGTGGAAGACAAAATCAACAGCAGTTGTTTACGCGTGAAACAACAAGACAGCCGCGCGGCGACCGCCGACCGAGTGGATATCGAGCCACCGTGGACATGCATGCAGGGGGAGGGGCGCTTGAAAGGAAACATGTGCAGTCAGGGCTGGCATGCGCAGAGGTATGCATGGGGTCGAACAGAAAAAATCAATCATGAATCATGGGCTCCTTTTACGTACAAGCATTCGGAGCCGTCCACCAGTAGAGTGGCGCATCTTTTGTCATCCCTCTCGGCTCTCCTCTTCTTTGCTCATCTCCTTGAAATGGAACAACAAAATGTCGACGACTCACAGCGCATACTCAACTCCCTTGAAGACTTACGAGACTCCCTGGACGACACAATGGCCCAGCTGAATGAGGCGGTTACCAGGCTGAGAAACCAGGCCAGGCAGGTAGCAGCGCAGAGGGGAGGCGGTGCTGGATCGCCCGGGGTGAGAGAAGGGGCACGGGTGGATGACCAGGGATCTAGAACAGGCAATGTGAGTCCACCCTGTGCGATTTGGACCCGACTAACCTCTACAGGTCACGATACAGCTCACCGACCCCCCGCCTTTCGTTCTGCCGTCTCACATCCAATTCTTCATATCTCAACATTCTCTCCCTCCTCTCACTGCAGGCCCTCAGCCGTCGTCTGACCCAGAAGCATGGGAGGTTCGAGCACAGACTGTAGAGAATAGGATACAGCGATTGTCACAGGCAGCCAGGGTGTTACGCGATCGTGCCCAAGCCCAAGGTGAACGTCGGCAGAGAATGATCGACAGCCATTTGAGATCAGACAGGCCACCTCAGAGCAATGAGGACTTGGCACCATGGCGACGGGCAACAGACGCGGCAGATGCACGAGTGCAGAGGCTGTTGGAACCATCCGACCAATTTCTTCGAAGAAGGGACCGAGAAACGATAGTCGACGGCATCCGAGACATGGAAGGGCTTAACAGCAATATAGGAAGTGAGCTGGAAGGCATTGCTGGACAGATTCACGGGCTTCTACTGGGCAATGCTAGTGGCGCTGGTAGCGAAACTGCCACTGAAAGATGTCAGAGGCGAGCTTCGAGGTCACATGTCAGACGACACGAGAACCAGCAGCCATTGAGGTCGAGTCGCAGTCGGGGGTGTGCTCCTACGAATATTCGACAAGTTTTTAGGCAGCCACCACCCCAAGTGATCGGTACACCTCACACTGCTGTCGCCGAGCCTGCTCCTGATATCAACCCCGAGCTTACCCCCGCCTCTCAGCTTACACCTGTACCTGCCATGGGCAACACTGCAGCGTCCCTCGACCATCCCGCCCCCGCCCAACCTCGTCCTTCCTCCCGTACCCCACATTTCAATCTACCTTCCCTACGTGAAGCCCTTGGCCTGGAAGAGCATTCTCCATGGGCATTTGGGAGCGAACCCGATCCAGAGGATGACGAAGGTACCGTCCGCGGCACGCCCCCTCCAGGCGGACGAGTCAGGATCGAACAGCTGGAAGAAAGTATACATCGGATTGAGAACTCAGCGGAGACGAGTGGAGGGACGTACAGGTCTTTGGTCAATGGCGCTCTGCGCCCGAGTAGTCGTCCCAATGGGGCAGCCATCGAAGAAAGTGGACCAAGTCCTTCACTGCAGTCGAACGGCAGGGAGGGTGCTGGAGCTGGGACCATTCGAGAAGTTGCGGCTCGTCTGCGAGAGTCTGCCGACCGCCATATCTCGCGTAGGCCTGGGCTCGACGCCGCGAGGGCGCAGACCGCGTCTTTGCAGCCTTTTCCCGATGCCAACTCTCCCAACGAGAGGATGGAAGTCGCGGTGGAACTCGGGCCAGTGGTGTTCATTGGCGATAGCGACGGGGAAGGGGATTGGTCGGACGACTCGTTGGATGACCTTTTCGAGGGTATGGATCCGACTGCAGCGTTTGGCGATATTGGTGATGTTTTGGCAGCAGGCAGCCCGGATGGTGAAAGTGGTCGCAACGGTGGGAGATCAGAGAGGATAGCGCAGCAAGAGGGCATGACTTTCCGAGGCAGGCGTGTCGCAGACCGCATTGCGGCCTCTTCTTCTTCTCCAGCTCCCAGTACTCCCTTTTCTGATCCTATCGCGCGCCATCTACCGCGGTGGGACTCTTCCGCAGACGACTATCCGTGGTTCGGGCCCCGGCGCCCCCGCAGCTTTCGTTCGGGAGACACTTTCTCTTCGGACGTACGACCAACTGCGAGAGAAGCTTTGGGACCAAACTTTTTGGGTGGTCCTGTGGGAAGATGGAGAATGGCGCCTCTGCAAAATACGAGGGAAGAGGGTAGTGCGACGACGGGATTGACTGAAGGTCCTTCCCCTGTCACTCCTTCTCGTGGTACCACTCTGGGTCCTGATAGCTCTGCGAGGACTTCTTCGGCCCCAAACAGTACCCGTCACGAAGAGATGATGGCGCGCATTCGCCATGCCCGTGAAGCTCTGCGAAATATCAGGGGACTGAGGGAAGACATGGGAACTCAGAGGAGAGGACCGCCCGTGCCCATGCCGGAGGTGATGCACCGGGAGTCGGCGGTCAGGCAGGTGAGAGAAGAGGCGGTGGCACCACATGCGAGGAGTGAGGGAATACAGCCCGTACGAGGCGAAATCACCAGCGAACCTGACGGTGAAGCTGCGGCAGAGGTTTCTACGGCTCAGCAAGGTGTGTACGACTTGATTTTGACTTGACATGGCTGACGGGTGTGCGTAGGGGCAGCAAGCACCCAGGCAGGGTCGAGCAGGTCTGCCTATATGGTTTGCGACAGGGAGGATTCGGATCTTGGGATCCAACATTGGCCTACCTTTGACCGATTGTAGAACATAACTTGTAGAATACCGATTGTATAGTATTGCCCCGCCATGGCGATCTATGTCAATCAGGAGTTACATACACCAGATAGCACACTCTACGTTATTACCTAGAAAGGTAGGAGAGCTGATCTAGTCCTCAGCCTCGATCATGGAGTAAACGGGAGCATCCAGTTTCTCGTGACCCTTGAGGAAGGGCAAGCCGACGATGAAGAGGTACTCGAGAGTCTCACCACCAGACTTCTTGATAAGCTCGCCGGCAGCAGCGGCGGACCCACCAGTAGCAATAAGGTCGCTTCAAAGATCATCAGTTATGCATTCACCAGCCGCTCATTCAAGACTTACTCGATAACGATGACCTTTTGTCCAGGCTGGATGGCACCAGCCTGCATCTCAAACTCGTCGGTTCCGTACTCCTTCTCGTACTTGACGACCTCAACCTGACCGGGGAGCTTACCGCCCTTCCTCACAGGGACGAAAGCAGCCTGGAGACGCATGGCAATGATGGGGCCGAGGAGGAAGCCACGGGCATCAAGACCGACGATGACATCGGGCTTGGTCTTGTGGGTGGTGAAGATGTGGTGAAGGAGGTGGGTGATGAGGTTTTCAAAAGCGACGGGGTCTCTGAGGATGGGAAAGATGTCGAGGAAGGTGATGCCCTTCTTGGGGAAGTCGGGGTGAACACCGAGGAGGGATTTGAGGTGGGCGACGTCGGACATGGTGGAGATGGGGTGTCAATAAATACTTTATGGAAAACCAGAATTTTGTGGCGAGATAAGCTGCGGCAGTGAGCGGCGAGGTCCGCCCCGGTACGCGCGGTGCACCGAGGTCGATTGTTCTCTCCCGTTCTTTCCCATCTTTCCATTCACATTCACCTTTTCCATCTTTTAATTCACCCACAATGCCCCTCAACTACTCCAAATGGGACATGCTCGAGGTAAGCCATGCACAGGCCGGGCACCGCTGACAACCAGCTCTCCGACGACTCGGACATCGAGGAACACCCCAATGTCGACAAGAAGAGTATGATCCGGTGCGTTCTTCCAAGAGAAACCGAACTACGCTCATGGGCAGCACAGCTGGAAGCAACGCGATATCCACGAGAAGCGTGAGCAGCGAAAGCTCCAGATCGCAAAATTCAACTCTGAGCTTTCGCTCAACGGTGTCCTCCGTCCCCGCATCGAAGCCATCATCACGGGCCTCTCTGCCAACGGTTTTGACCACTACCGCGCCGTGCAGCGTCGTATCAAAGAGGCTCCCTCTGATGAAAAGCCTCAGACCGGTGCTCCCAACCAGCCGACGTACGATATGATGCTGGGTCAGCTGTTGGAAGATGTGTTCAAGGAGGGTACTTGGCTCCTGGACGGGGCCAAGTGGGACGGAAAGATCAAAAAGATCCTCATCAATGGCACTGCCGCCGATTTCAACACCCCTTTGCCAGAGTGGGCTACGGGTGAAATCCCTCAGGGCAAGAAAGAGGCTCTCAAGGAAGTGCTCGAGGAGAGACTCAAGTGGAACGTTGACGAGCTCGTGAGGCGTGACGCCGAGGTGAAGAAGGAGATTGAAAAGGAAGAGGCCGAGATGAGGAAGAAGATTACTTCCGATGATATCCACGAGGGTTGGGACAAGTCGACGGTCAATCCCGCCAAACAGGGCGTATGGGATGAGAAGCCCAAGCCCAAGCGGGCGCCGGCACAAAAAAAGGAACAGACGATCGAGGTGCTCAATCCCAAGGCCAGTGTAGGTGACACCATTTTTGCGCGAACAGCCGGCTCACATCCTGCAGTCGTCTGCTCTCACCCCTCCTGCTCCTCTCGCCGAAGACTCGGACGACGACGAAGAGTTTGGCCCCCTGTCTGAGTCCGGCCGGGCCTTTGCCAACATCCCCATCGGCGCTTTCGAGAAATCTTACAATTTCATCCAAAATGACTCGTCTGTCCTCGCCGCTTCAACGCACGACTCGCTCCTTGCCGAAGCTTTCGATGCGGAGAGAAGGGGTGATAACCAGCTCGCGATGCGATGCGTGCACCAGAGCTTGTTGATTAGCTACTGTAGGCAGTTGGGCAAGGACGGAGTCGGATTGTTCTTCCAAAAGTGAGTCTATTCTCACAGGATTATCCATGCTGACGGTACGCAGAATGATTACTCGAAACCCCCAGTCCATCAAGATGTTCCAAGAAGACTTCACCCGCACTTACGGCCGCATCCATCTCCGCACCAAAGAGATCCTCGCAGAAGAAGCGAAAAACCCCTCCGCACCTGCCGAGCGCGAGACGATTCAGCTCGTAGCTACCGACCCCTCCATGGATATCACTTTCAACATCCCCGACGGGCCTCCTCCTGCCGAGCTCCATATTGAGGGCGAGGGCGCGGAAGATCTGGATCTGGATGATGTGAGGGCGTGGTTGCAAAGAAAGTGGGAGATCTTTGAGGGCTTCCCAGAGGACTTTAGGAAGGCGCTCCAGACAGAAAATCTTGAAAAGGTCAACAAAGTGCTTGGTGACATGAGCCTGAATGAGGCAGAGGGGATTGTCGGGTTGCTGCAAGAGGGAGGAATGTTGAGTTTCAGGTGAGTGGGTGTGTCCACATTCGGACATTGACTGACTAGAAATGCAGTGAGAAGGGCGTTCGTGACATGACCACTCAGTAATTCTTGGATGTTATGCAGTGTATACATTCTGATCTATGCTCGCTTTGTCCCTGTATCCACCAACTCTTCACCCGCAAATTCATCAAAATCCAGCAGCCCTTCTTCTCCCTCATCCAGCCCCATGCCCAACATGTTCAACATTGCGGCCACTTCCGCTCCTGCCCGCTCTCGTCTCTCGTCTTCATTGTTGAGAGAAGAGAGTTCAGAGCGGACTTGCTGGAGATGAAGGAGTAAGGGTGTCGGATCGAGGGCAAGAGTTTCTGCCCGAGGTTGGGCAGATTGGAAAGAGTCAAAATCGTCTTCAAACCCCTCGTTTTCGAGAGAGTCTATGGGATGGCCGTGCTCAGCTTTCTGCCAATCTTCCTCTGGCTTCAGCTCAGGCAAAAGTCCCGCTAAAGAAGGTTCAAATCGCTTGTCGTCATTTTCCAGCCAATCCCCTTCCTTGGGCTTCTCTTGCTCCGCGTTCTCCTCTTGACCAGTTTGATCTCTCCTTAGCAACTCGGGCTCAAACTCATCATCGTCCTTTTCCAACCAATCCTCCAGCCTCTCATACTCTTTGCCACCATCCCCACCGTCCGGGAACAGGTCCAAATCATTCAAAGACATGTACGGCCCGTCCAGCCCCGCCAGCGCTGCTGATGGGAAGCCAGAATCAGATTCGGAAGAGGAGAAAAGGTGGGCATAGCGGTCAAGAGCATCGATAGATCCAAACTCTGCCGAAGCAAGTTGGGCTCGCAATTCGTAGAGGTCAGGGAAGACTGTCCCTTCTCTTTGCTCGTGATCGCCTGCCTTGTCTTCGTGTGCATTCTGTCGTGGCAGTGGGGAAGCGTTGACGTCGAAAGTCACATCGAAAACCGCATGGTCCAACGACCCCTGACCTTCTCCGCTTCCAATAGACGATGTAGGAGAACCAGGTAGTTGAGAAGAGGCGTGTAGAGGTTTGCGTGCCATGCCTGGCCACATGTGTGTCTGTAATGTTTGACGGATGATATACAATGGCGGCATAGCTGGAAAGATCAGTACAGGATCCAAATGTGTCTGCCGAAAGAACCTACGCCGTTCGTCATCCTCGTCCGTGAGAGGGTGCACTTCGTCGATGAATTCCATGCCTAGCTCATCAAAGAGCTCCTCCACTCGTGCTTCTTCCGTTCCATCATCCTCGTGGATCTTATTGAGGTCCTTGGGATCTCCTTTTTGGTTCACAGCAGCTTCTGATGAGGCGTCGGGCAGTATGCAAACGGCCAGAGCGATATTACGCGGAGTAGCCATGAGCCTCACCAGCTGCGGCGGCAGTGACGCTGGCACCTATACCTTTCATCAGCATCAATACCTCTGTATTCTAGTCAATTGCTTACCTGGTCAAATATATATACCACGACATCAGCCCCCTCCCACTGCTTCATCCCTGCCGCACCATCTCCTTCTTCGGAAGAGCCAAAGAGCTCCTTGTCGATAGGAAATGCCCGGAACTCCACTTGTGCAGTATAATAACGATTGTTGATCTCCCAATAAACTGACTCGATGCTGGCATCTACTGAAGAGAGATCACGCCCCGTCAGACCTGTTGCCAGTCGAGAAGGTCAGTCAGTCATCCGCGCGAAAAGGAAAGAGGCGGCACTGACGAGAGAGGAAATGCGTGGGGTCCAACGACGGAGGGTGAAGAAGAAGGATTGTGTTGCTGGTATCGCTGGACATGGTGGCTATGCAGTGCTACGAAACTGAATTGAATCACTGAGAGATCTATAGTGATGTCCAGTGTTGCGTCCGGACACGGTCGCGTCGTCACAACAAATCCCCGCTCTTTACCTCTTCCATCTCACTTTCATTCCATCCACGGCATAGATATCACTGGAACATCAGACATGCCCTCAACATCATCCTCTATCCCCTCTGACCCTTCGTCAACGCACCTCCCACCCTCGTCTGTCCCGCCATACCTGCGCCATCTGATCGTCCAGATACTGTTGAGAAAGGGGTTTGACGGAGCTGAAGCCGGCGCCCTGGGAGAAATCGAACGATTGCTGGAGAGGCGTGCGTCTCACTTCTCTGAACGTGAAGCTATAGCTGATGTGGACCTAGACGTGGAGACATTACTAGAGACGGCGAGGGATTATGCGAATCTCTCTGGTCGGAGAGAGGTACATGCTGGAGATGTTGTCACGGCGCAAGAGTCAAGAGGATGGGGTGTCAAGGGTCTCAAGAAAGAGACTAAACAGCGTCGAACCGGTGCGTACTTTCGTGTTTGTCAGAGATCATGTGCTCACTAGATTCTAGCGCTGGGGATAAAGACCACCCCCTCCCCTCCACCGTCTCCTTCATCTTTGGATCCCTTTCTTTCAGATATACTGCGACAAGAGATATTGGATGAACAAGACCTCAAGCCGCATCTGACTGAGGACGGGGAAAGGACAGAGGATGGCGAGAGGAGACTGGATTATGCTCCTGGTTGGATACCGTCTTTACCGCATACGTGGACCTTTGAACCGCTGGTAAGCCCTCTATCCCCCGATTTCTCCAATGCAAATGCTGATGGTCCTTGAAAGGAAACGGAAGAGGAGCAACAAGCCAAAAAGCCCGCTGCAAACCCACCAGAAGTCACCGGCTCTCTTCTTGACTTTATTAAACTCACAGCCGCCGAGCGTGGCGATATCCCACCAGAGCTTGGTCTGGTAGATTACAGAAGAGAACGCGAAGGGGCTGGTGGGAAGAGGGGCGCTGGACTCGAGAAGAGAAAATGGGGCTTGAAGGGTGCTGGGGCGTAGAATGTTTACAATTCATTACATGGATGTATGTTGTACGATACGAGTACTCTATGATTATACAGCGTGCTCTCTTGTTCCTATGGCTTTCCCAGAGTGTCATTGCTCTCTGGGTCAAACATGCTAATCACTATCATCGCTTCCCGCAAACTCATCCTCCACGATCTTTCTCCTCTTCTGAGTCGGCTGGAGTTTGTTGGCATTCTTGGGCGCTTTGGGCTTGACCGGAGATTGCTGAGACGCTGAAGGCTCGTCAGTTTTCTGCCCAGAATATCCGGAACATGGAGGAGCAAGACGTACATTTCCCCGGGCCACCCTGGCTCGCCTTTGCTTGTTGCGAGCTGAGCGCATTGATCTGCGCTTGCGCCTGCGCCAGTTGCTCCTGCATTTCCTGCAAGGAGACTGTCAGCCTCACCGCGTCATTGCGAGTTGGGAAAGATGCGCACTCGAATTTGTGGATCGATGTCGGGCGCAGGGCGAGCGAGTTCCGGCGTCTTGGGTTTCGGCGGGGGAGCTGTAGCATGATGGTTGGCGGTCAGCCCACTCGATCTTGTCGGAGCTGTAAGACTGACTCTTGTCCCTGGTATGCCGCTCGTCTGTAGACGGGTTTTGCTGATTTGCACCACCACCAGTCCACCCCTCAGACTCTGGGTCTAGCAGCTGCGCCCATAACTATCAGCCAGTGTCCTGCCCGTGATACTACCAAAGCCCTCACCTTGTATATTACTCTCATCAGATCCGGAATGTATTGGCCGATTTCGTCTTCTTCCAGACATGACAGCCATTTCTTGGGTTCTATCATTTGCAGCTATCACGCCCGATCAGCTCTCAATCTTACACCCCAATAACAGAGACGCTCACGTAGAGCTCCTTCATTGCGTTGAGATCATCGGTAGCTTTCAGCTTGACAGACATCATCCCGCTCTGGATCGATTTCACCAGCTGGGCTTCGTTCATTGTCGTCTGCAAGACACACTGTCAGCTCGCCTTCCTTGCCCCATATTAAGGAGTATGACCTACCTCTGATATTCTCTGATCGAGCTTCCACACTTTCACTCCCCTCCCATCATTGGGTATCCAAAAGAGACACATCCGCCACTCGTCGGGGTCGTCCCTATTTGGCAGGGAAGAGGTGAGGAGGAACTTGGTCGTGGGGACTAGTTGATGAGCGTGGATGATCTGGGAGATGTTATGGAGAGACATTATAGCCACTTCGTATTCTTCTTCTTAGAGGGGCTGTTGTTGGAAAAGAGGATTGGACTGACTGGACTGCCTCCACCACGCGTCAAACCGTTGTGACTTGTTGAGGGTAATGATCTCGTTACGTCAGCAGTTTCATCTCCTCGCCTCGTTCCGATGGATAATCCGACCATGAGTCGTTGTTGTTGTTGTCACAATTGCCTCATCTAAAGCCCCGCCACTCGTCTCCTGTTCGCCACCGGGATCATAAAAAGGACCCATAACCCATATCTATTTGAAAATGTCCCAAACGACCACACCAGACGAAGCGACCCTGAACGCCATCCGCCAGAGACTCATGGAGACTGGCGATTGGGAGCGGTATGTCCAACTCTCTACTGATCCCTACTATGGATATGGGGAAGAGGATGACGAGGCTGATCATGATGGATGTAGGATACAAAAGCTCCTCCGAGCGCACTTGGAAGAGAGCGGATGGGTGGATGATCTCAAGGACCTTGCCAAAGGTAAACCTCCCTCTCCATTCACCCTTGACTCGAGGAGATCTTGCTTACGCTTATGGAAAGAACGCGCGAGGGCTCAAGAGATGCCAAACCTTGAAGCACTCGTCAAAGAGATTAGCGAGAATGCTGCCGGTAAGTCGCTTCTTTCTGGCGTCGGGAAAGGTGGCGCTGACGATGAGGTGGGTTTAGGTATGGTCAACGAATCTGTGAGGAGGGATGTGACGGTGGAGATTGAGAGTGTGCTGGATCGTGAAGTAGATCAGGCTTAGATGTGCTGCGGGGCGTTTGGCGAGGGGCTTGTGTATAAAGACTTTCCGGGCAGGACTGGGAATTTGTCATGTTGTAATGAATATAGCTGTCATGATATGTTTGATCGTGTGCATCACGGCGTGAAACAATGGGACCATAAAGAAATTTCATGTCGAACCAATATCAAATGGAGCCCTCTATCGCTACATGTCCCTTCACAGCAGATTAGACAGCGTTGGCCTTGGCAACGCTCTGCTTGTTCTCCTCGGCCTTTGCTCTCGCCTCCCTCTCGATAATAGGTATGAGCTCGGCCGAAGGGGTGTTGGTACCAGACGAGCCGAGACGGGTGACGGAGCCGTCGTTGGATCGAACACTGACTGATCCGTCCTACTCGCCCTGTCAGCGATTACCTATGGAAACAGAAAAGACGCACTTCGTTACCAAAGTAGGCAGCTCGGGCCATACCACAGAAAAGACCGACTTCGACGACACCAGTCAACATTTTGATCCTGTGCAAGAGCTAACCCCAATGTCAGTCTTTTCCCCTCCACTCTATGGGCACACGCACGCTTTCAGGCTTGGACATTTCCTCTGACGAGAAGGGAGCATCGATGATAAAGTTGCCATTGTCACTGACGACCGGTCCGGCCTTCATCTTGCCCATCCTGAGCGTCAGGCCGGGCTCGCCGTTTGCCAGCACATGGGGCGAGCCCATGTTGGCCAGATTCGTAAGGACCTTGGCGTAGGCAAAAGGGACGACTTCGATGGGGATACCCTTGGTCCACTCGGTTCCGAGGGTTTCCGAGTTTTTGCGGTAGTCGGCGACAATGACCCAGGTGTCGGCGGCTTCGGCGAGCACTTTTTCACGGAGCTGGCAAGCACCTCCACCCTTGATAGAGTTGAGCTCGTTGTCGACCCTGGTCTAGTGTCAGCGCTCTGTTATGAAAATTTCAGAGCACTTACTCGTCGGCACCGTCAATGGTCACATCGATCCTGGCATACTGGTCAACATCACCAAGAGTCAAGCCAGCCTTGACAATGAGCTCTTTGGACTGGAAGCCAGTGGGCAAAAAGACACGGTCCTTGTTGACCTCAAACCCCTGGGCGAGGATGCGGTCGACGACGTAGGGAACTGTAGAGCCTGATCCGACACCGATGACCTGTTTCTCGTCAGCGCGTGATTGCGTGGTCAAAGACGACTCGCCTTGTGCTCTGGAAGGACATGGCGGTCGACGGCAGCATAGGCTGCGAGGCGCTTGGCGGCCTCGACTGCCGGCAGAATGGGGAGGGGGTTGGAGGTGGGCAGTTGCTTGCCGTCAGTGACGGGCTGGGCGGGGGGGATGAACTGGACACACCATGAGCTGCTGTCAGTGGGAAAAGAGAGGGCGTACCGAGTTGGCGGCGACGTGTCCGATAGGGGGGTTGGGGATGCGCTCTATCTTTTCGCGCAGGAGGTCAGCAGGAAGGGGCATGGTGGCGAGGGTGCGGCGGAGGGGGGCGATGCGAGCGAGGGGGCGAAGGAAGGACAGTGTGCGAAGTTGGCAGATGACGTTGGAGAGGACAGCCGGCGGACGACCCGAAAGACCCGGGACCAAATCAGTCACAGCGACGGGAGCATTTGCGCGGCTGATTTATTTCATGGTGGGGTGGGGCGCATGCATGCATTGGTGTTGGTGCAGAGCACAGAGCGCAGGGCCTAGGCTGGTTGGGGTGGAGACGGGCTGGTGCATGGGCGAGCAACAGCAACAGCGACAAGTACACTGTACATAGCAGACGCGACGCGACGAGAAAGAGGGCCTGGGCCGTGGCGCATCCGACGGGATATATCGCTGCACCTCATAACAGCTGTATGTATCCCTGCCGGTGCATGGCTCGAGCAGCTGTATGCATGCAGAGGACACACTGGAGGGAGGGGAGGGGGAGGCGGTGGCGGGCGGTGCGAGAAAGGGGGTGTTGGGCCAGCCCCTGTATAGAATGATAGCTCAGGTGCGCGGCGGGCGGAGCTGTCACCCAGGTCCATGTTGGAGTATGCAGCCGAGAACTTGTCCTTCTCTTTCATCTCTACAAAACAGGCATGCCCTGATGCGTCCCCACTCCAAGTCTGCCTCCATCCCCCTCCCCCTCCCCGCCGCCCCCATGCCCCTCTCACGCCACTCGTCTCTCCGTTCGCGCTCTCGCGCAACCTCTCCCACCCGTTCGTCCCTCCGCCCCCGCCCCTCCTCGCCCTCCCGCCTCCCATCCACCGACTCGGTATCCTACTTTCCGCCCTTTGAAGCCATGGGCAGCGTCTGCTCGGACGACGAGGCTGCAGGCGATGACGGCGACGGCGAGGGCTCGTCCACTGGCACCTCGCACCGTGAGAAAAAGCGCGAGGCCTGGCAAGGACACGCCCGTGGTGCGGCCCAGGGAAGCAGCTTGGGCAATATCAAAGACATGGTCAGCGCTGGCATATCCTGGAGTCTTTCTGGCTTTGCCTGTACCGCACCGCCCACACCCGCAGACATTGCCGTGACAGAAGAGAAACGCCCTCGGCACACGCACTCGTCTTCGACCTCTAAAATCCCATCCAAACCCCAGCCCGTCGCGCCCCGTCTCCCACATGCCAACTCGTGCGCTGCTGTCGAAGCCCTGGCCCGCCGCATCAATCCCGCCAAGCGCCGTGTCCTAGAGCCGCTCACATTGGATGAGAGTGAGCATTACCTGTCTGTCAGTACGCGGTCGCTAGGCGGCTGGGCGGGGCCTCGCGGTGAAGAAGGCGTACGGGATATTCATAAAAGGCGGATGAAGGGTGAGGTAGAGGCTGTAGGTCTCGCGAGGAGTGAGAGTCAAGGAGATGTTGCTTTTGCTGGCAAGCCTAGTGTGAGTACCTCTCTTCTTGCTCTCGGTGCAATGCTGACTATTGCAGACTCTGTGTCGATCCAAGTCGCTACACAATCCCACGACTAGACGTCCTCCGCGACTTCGCCTGCAAAACCAGCCAAAAGTTTCCATTCCCGTCCGAGCCCAACAACCTAAACTACAAGTACCTCTGCCCACGCCCTACCACTGGCGATTCCCTCTCCCGTCCCCGCCAGTCACCTCCCTCTCCCCAGACATTCCTCACGAGGCATTCGAGATGGCTGTCGACAATCCTTGCTCGCCTCGCTCGCCCAGAGGCCCCAGGTCGAGCTTGCCCGCCTTTGGCGTGAGCGCAAGAGGCGAGCTAGAGCAGGTCGAATACGACCTCTCACCAAGCGTCTCTCCCACCATCGCATCATCATCCCAGCCGTCCACCCCGCCTCCTCCTCCCAAGCGTGATCTCGGTTACGCCCTCATCACCCACTCGTCCACCGGACCCGACCCGTGGTCCCACCTCGCCCTCGGCGGCGGGCCAGTCATCACGGGCGGAGCAGGCAAGGTGAGGCGGATGAGGAGCAAGAGTTCTGGCTGGAGTGAAAAGTCGGGGGATACGATCAGGCCTGGGGTCGTCAAGATACGAGGACGGGCGGTCGGGCTCTGGGCGGAGGAGGACGAAGGGGATGGGGAGGCTACGCCAAAGGGCAAGGTGCATTGAGCATGCCCTTTACGATCCTTTTTTTTTCACGAACTCGTCATGACGGACACTTTCCACCTTTTTCCTCTTCATCACTAGGGCCACCATCGCCGGCATATATGTGTATAGTCTTGTTCTTCCTTGTCAATATGAAGAACCCACCAAACAAACAAAAAAAGCATTTCAATTTGTATAGAATAGTCGAATTGTCATTCCATATCATCACTATCCTACACTTCACGCTGTCTCATAGTCATACCCTTGTAGTCTATCGCTGAGAGTAGGGTGGAGAGGAGGAGTCTACATAGGCATAAGCATATCACATTACCTCATGGACGGTAGCGCCTTGTCCATCACAGTGCCATTCTGAAGCAAGCATACATGATGATCGATAATGTCTGATTGGACAACCAACGCTCGGTGGGCCGACGTATCAGCGAGAGGCTACTGGAATGTTCGACATGCAAAGGTGAAGCTCTTCCCTCGGATAGTCATACGAGCACCCCCTCTCCTCTGGGTGATGCCAAGCAGTGTACCCATGCATATCGAAGAATGCTCACGTCAAGCGTTGAATGAGACGGAGCCTCGGCGTTATGGCCATGTGGCGGTGATTTTTGAAGATGACCATCTCCTCATACACCTGGTGCTGTTTACACAAAAAGTGCTCTCTGCATACAACTCAAAATGTAAGCAGCCACGGCAGTATACACCCAAGCTAACACCCCCCAGGTCTATCCTTGGTATCAACTTTGGTCAATCATACGCCTCCATTGCCGTCATCGACAAGGAGGGCCACCCCACATGTATCGCCAACGAGGAGGGTGAGAGGCAGATCGCCTGTGCCATCTCCTACGCCGGCGAGCAGGTCGTGCGTATAGCCACATAGTATATACACAGCCAACTAACACAAAGCAGTACATCGGTAACGGGGCCAAGCCTCACCTCGTCAAGAATGGCAAGAACACCATCATGGGCTTCCGAAACCTCCTCGGCCACTCTTACGACGAAGTAGACCACACCGCCATCCTCACTGCTCCCCTTATCTCCACCTCCACCACCCCTGCCTACACTGTCGACGTCCTCATCCCTCCCCCCGCCAAGGGCAACAAGTCTGGCGCTACTTCTGGTGCTGCCACCCCTGCCGCCGCCGAGCCCGTCGCTTCCCAAAAGACCCTCTCCGTCCCCGAGGTCACCACCTTGTTCCTCTCTACCCTCTTCACCTCTGCGACCGATTTCCTCGGTACCAAGCCCACCGCCGCCGTCATCTCTGCGCCCTCATGGTTTACCGCCGAGCAGAAGGACGCTCTGAGAAAAGCTGCCAAGGCTGCTGGCATCAACGTGCTCCAGGTCTTGGACGAGGCCGCCGCCGTCCTTGTCGGCTACAGGGCTGGTCTTAGTGAGGAGAGGAAGGAGAGGGGTCTTTTGGGTAACCCTGAGGAGGGCAACGCCGGTGAGGAGGAGGCTAGGGACAAGCGAGTCGTCGTGCTCGACATGGGAGAGACCTCTTTGAACGTCACTGTTGCCCAGGTTTCTGAGGGAGAGTACACCGTCTTGGCCAAGGGCAAGGATGACAAGGTCGGTGGTAGAGAATTCGACAACTTGGTAAGTCTTGCTCGTAGCCAAATACATGTCCCAGGCTGACCCCTATCTAGCTCTTGAAGCACTTTGCCAAAGAGTTTACCAAGAAGACCAAGATCGCCCTCGACCTCCCCTGTGGCGAGTCTGCCCCTGAGGCCGACAAGCGAGCCGAGGCCAAGCTCCGTCTTGCCGTCGAGCACACCAAGCGATCATTGTCTGCTTCCAGCGGTGCCGCCACCTGTGCCGTCGAGTCCCTCAAGGACGGTTACGACATTTCTTCTTCCATCAACCGACTCCGATTCGACGGTCTCGCTGCCCCCGTGTACCGAAAGATCAGCGCTGTCGTCTCCAATATCGTCAAGGAGGCCGGTCTTGACCTTGCTCAGATTGACGAGGTCCTCCTTGCCGGTGCTTCCACCCTCTTCCCCGGATTACAATCCAACCTCTCCTACTCTTTCCCTGCCACCACCCCCATCACCGCTACTATCGATCCTGCCGAGGTGATTGCTGTCGGCTGTGCCCTCGAGGCTTTGCACCTTTCCACCCTTTCAGACGGTCTCAAGATTGAGGACGTGCTCGCTACCGTCGCTGAGGGCAAGGTCGACACTACCTCTGCCCCTATCGGTATCGTTCTTCCCGGACAAGAAGCCAACACCCTCGCTGCCGTCGTCGTCGAGTCTGGTGCCCCTCTTCCCGTCAGGCGACGAGTCGCCATCCCTGCCCCCGCCGGCAAGGTCGCCCTTGAGCTCTGGGAAGGTAAGCACGAGGTCAAGGTCGACCTCATCCAGCCTCCTCCCCGAGAGAAGGACGAGGACGACGAGGATGATGAGGATGACGAAGAAGATGAGCCCGAGGAGGTCAAGACTGCCATCACTGTCAAGACCAAGGCTCTTGGTGCTGTCGAGGTCGAGCTGAAAAAGGAAAACAACCTTGTGCTCGAAGTCATCGTTCAGCGAGATGGTGGCCTCGAGGTCAGGGCTTGGGAAGAGGGGCGTGAGGAGGAGGCCGACAAGCTTGAGGCTTAGATGTGTTTAGAGTGATATATTGTATACATGCATCTGCATACGACGGCTTGATCTGGATCATGGATTCGTGCATCATTTCATGGTAGCAGCCCTTACATGGCTTTTTATCTGAGTTTCTTGTCTTCAAAGTAGACCTTTGCAAGCGATCAGCAGACGACTCTTGACCGACATGAGTCTTACCTTGAGATGTCTCATTTGCCATCCAGCAGCCGCAATCAGCACCACGATCTGCAAGAGACTCCACCAGACAGCCCTCGCGTTGGTTGATTCACTCGCATTCCTAAAGTCTGCCTCCACTTCTCGCAGGTAGCGTTGCTCACGCTGAATGTCGGCGACCTTGACGTTGAGCTCGCGAATCTTGGAGGAGAGGGTGGTAACGTGGGATTTGTCGTCGCTGTAGATTTGGTCAGTCGATATAGCTAGACCGTAGGTATAACGCACGATTGGTCAATCTTGGCAGAGCCGACGTTGAGATCAAGGTACATCTTGATGTGTTGGTTCGAGAGCCATCCACCGGTGATGTTGGAGTGTAAGCAGATGTTGTGGTCTCCTGCGGGACACGGATATGTCAGCACGATATAAGCCCTATCTGACTTGGGATACGCACCAGGCTCGTGGGAGGTAAAAGTGAATCGTCCGTCGGGAGGACCGCGGGTGTTGACCACATTGTGTCCAGACGACAATTCCTGTATCAGACAGTCAGTCGCAACTTCCCTATTGGTAGGATATCTGACACGCACGTCGACAGTCACATGAATGCCCATAGCCTCTTCCGGCTTCCATTGGTTTTGTTGCTCATCCCATAGAAACGCCTTGTAGTGGCCTATAGTCCAAGGTGACTAATCAGCGCCCTTCCTTGCCAGCGAGATGTTTGCAAAGGAGAACAGACGTACCTTCTACAATGGTTTCACTCGGTAATTCTTCCAAGAAACACCGCTTTTCATCAGATTCAAAGTAGAAATGCAGGGCCTTTAGGGATTGTCAGCTTTCACATTTCCTCCTCGACAGGCCGCTATCTTTTTACAACTCCTTTACAAGTATCGCGGCCCAGGGCAGACTTACATTGACGGCGGAGAGGAGAGGAAGCGCGAGGAACACCTGGGCGAGCTTCATATTGACTCTGGTGTTGCGTGGTTCGGGGGATGGAGTGGAGCGGGCACAGGGCTAGCTTCTGGCGAGAGCGTTTTCGCCAAGGGAATCAGAACAGTACAAGAAAAGAACAAACGGACTGCATTCGTTCGTGTCTGCAAGCGTTGTCTCCGAGACGCGTATCGATGACGTGGAACTCGCCGCATGTTTTGCGCATATTGGTTGAAGACTCTGTAACAGTAGCTAAAGAGTCGCAGCGAGAGCTGACGCAAACAGTGCATAGTCCATGTCCATAGAAAGGATAACATCCTCAGCTAAGCTACCCATGAGAGGCCCGATCTCGATTACCAACCTATAGAATGAACAAACCACTAAAAGGAAACCCTGACATTGTCCGTTTGTCAAGTACTAATCTTATCACACGCGCCTGTCCCCTTCCTGGTCGAGCAAAGGCGAATCGACATCGCCTCCATCTCCCGACACCCTCCTATCCTCCCTCCCATGGATCCTTGCATCCAGATCCCTTTCCCTGCCCACGTGATCAACGATGGCCACAAGGCCATGATGCACCGCCAAGTCCTCCGCCTCATTCTCTGCGACCCGCGCCTCGTCGTATGGCAGCCAGATGAGTGGTACCGGCTGGAGCATCTCAGGGGGGTATACAAGGCCCTTTGTCTCGGTTGTCTCTTGATACAGCCCTGAGGAAACAATGGTCCCTGGCCTGAGGTCTGGGTTGGAGTAGGCGGCAAGCTCGGTTTGAAACATGTCATCGATCTTGTCCGTCTTGAGGGGAACAGGACAATCTGGAGGCAGTCTGGTATATCCCGGAAGTAACGCGGCTACTCGCCGAAAAAGAGAAAGCTCAGATTGCCTAGATGGTACCCTAGTCATATGAGAGTCTGTCGTTGAACCTCGCTGGAAGGCTTTCACTCTGTCGAGTGCTTGCCGTGTATCGGGCTTGAGATTGTTATAGCTGGGTGAGGGTATCCGCCAGAATGTAAGGGTTTCAGCCGATACGAAGGCGATAACCCCAACAGCTAAAGAGACTGCCGCGAGGGCCCACTCATTCCTCGACAGCATGATCAGACCATAGAGAACGGGCCCAAGAGCCAATACCCATCCGAGCCTTCTGACTGTCCAGAGCCCCGCAAGGGTCCCCAAATGGCCATTAGAAGAGTCAATAAACACGTGCGATACCATGTATCTGTTCGCGATGAATGTCAAGTAGAGAGTCAAGAGTATCGGGATGGCCAGTAAGGGGAAGAGGAAAAGAAGGGTGGAGGCGTAAAAGACGGCTAGGAGACAGGGAGCCATGGCATATGAGAGGATGTAAGATGGAGGTTGTCTGACTGAGAATCCGTCATTGATATATCTACCTAAGGATGATGAAGACTTACGCCTGAAAAGTTTCCTGGGAGTTACGGCTTTTCCCATACTTAGACGATAGCTGAGTAATCGCTTCCCTTGTAACAGATACAGCCCGGGAGCGATAAAAGCGATATTCAACAAAAGCACAAATATGAACCAAGCTGCTTCACATGTCAGTCAATGATACCCCGAAGTATGATTCACGATGCACTCACAGGACCATGAAGCACCATCCCCGACCCCTCGAGCTTTCTGTACTCCCAGGACAAAGTTCTGGGTTGCATATTCCAGAGCAATCGTCAGGATCACCCAGAGTAGCATCACCCAGAGCTGCAAGGCTGTCAATAAAATGAGCTCTACAGCTGAAAAGGACTTGCTAGTAGCCAGAACGTCGCTTTGTATGCCAGCAGCTTCCGTCTCAAGTGTGTCACGCTGTGCACGCGCTCTGCAAGTTCTGTTCCAAGTCAGCGCCGCAACCGCCAACAAATTTGATGAGGCTTACTCTCAACGAACCATATAGATGTACCCATAGCCAGCGAAAGAATGATAGCAGGCACCAAACCTTCTACGAAGCCCGATCCAAAGCCATCACTTCTAGCGAGAGGTTTGAATAGCCCTAGATAGTAGGAGAGGCCAGGAGCTGTGCCCACAGCGAGGCCCAGACATGGAACACCTAGGGTTTGTTAGCCACTTATTGCCTAGACAGTTGTACAGTGCTCACATATGGCCATCAACAGAAATCCCAGTAGACATACTTCTGCCCAGAACGTCATCTCACTCTTCCTCCCCGTTTGACCCAGTTGATCCCACAGGATATCTTCTTTGCTCTTACCTTCAATCGCGTCCGCTCCGTGAAGCCATTTTACTCCTCTCCCGACTACGATCCACCCAAGGATAGCGCTCGAGACTTGACCTTCTTGCCCCTTTGTGCTCTGTGAAATCTCTGCAAACTTGCCAGCTTGCAACCTTTCGACCTCGGTGTTGAGCTCTTTGAATTTTGATCGGAGTTCGCGGACTTCCATATACGTCTTGGCAGTCGTTGAAGGTGCACCCGAATGTCTGTGCGAGGACGCCTGGGGACCAGAGGATACCGGGCGTGGAAAAAGTTCCTCATGTGATCTCGGCTGCGGCCGGAGCAACGCAGGGTCAGAATACGAGTTTGAGATGTCGGCATCGTTTGGACTGATTGAACCAATGTCGGCTGGTGTGGTCATGGGCGCAAAATGCCCCGATGCGGATCTTGTAGGTATCTTCCCAAGATCTCCACTTTCCGCAGAGCCGAGCATATCGTCAGTCTCGTTGAGTCCCGTGCTGTATAGATGCCCAGCACTTTCAGACGACGTTGGAGGTGATGGGTCAGGAACGTAGTTGCCGTGCTCGTCGACCTTGATGCGTTGGCCGACTTGGAAGCGACCGCCCATGAGGATGGAATCACGGTTGAGCTCGTGAAATTTGGTACCTGTCGGAGCTGTAGTCACAGTGGTAGGGGGGTCAGATTCAAGACGTTCGCCGGAGGGAGGATCGTCGATAGAGCCGACTTTGTAGAAGCCTGAAGCCCGTGGTCAGCGGCTACACCTCAACGCGAAAGCGAAGCAAACCTTTCGGCCCCAGAAAGTCTGCTCCCTGATTAGACGGTGACATCTGGTCGGCCACACGAGTACTCTGGCTACTTTTTGGTGACCATACGGTTTCCAGTCCACGTCCTCCAGGAGTCGACGGAGCTGAGACTTTAAAGAAATGGATGTACCTTGTCTCGACTTGCTCGAGTTTGAGGAGCACTTGTTCTCTATCAGCGACAACTTTCTTGAGCTCTGTCGTATCGCTGAATTGGTGTCAGCGGTGTAGGAAGAGAGCAAACGATACGCACGGGATTGCAAACAGTCCGAGAACTTCGACTTCAGACTCCTGATCTCTATTGTCTCGGAAAGAGATCTGCCACCATTCCTTGAACCACCTCCTGAGGCCCTCCTCGGATAGTCCTGCCCAGCCATGGGCTCGCTGAACATCTATCCAGACCATATCCACCCCGTGGCATGTTTCGTCTTCAAAAACTCTTTTGGCTCGCATCAACGCAGCGTAAGCTCGCGTCACCACAAACAGTCCTCCACCGACAGACAAGACGGTCAAAAGGACGAGGATGACAATCAGTCGCGTTCGTGCCGAGCTGATAGCTGGGGCTATGGTCGATGGTAGATTTCGTTTCTTGCCTGTAGAGACCAGCATGGCCAGAAAGGTGTCTGCGGCGGGAGAATCTGGACTGGGGTCGAGAGCGTCCAAAAGCCTCACTAACGACATGTCAGTCAGCGCCCCCAATCGACCTCCTAGGGAGTTGGAGGGCGATGTGTCTCTCAAGCACGGCACGCCGGCCATAATGATTGGAAGAATCACCGCAAGTGCCACGACTGACGCGTTGGCTGAAAGTTTTAGCCCTGCCAGCAAAACGTGTAGGGCGTTGTCACCTTCGGATGGCGACGCGCCTGCTTTATCGATGGAAGGAAGGTGAAGGAATGGTAGGAGAAAGGCAAAGAATGACCACCTTGCAGAGGGTCGCAAACTAGAGCGGTCATTCAACAACGAAACACTGGCTGGAAGTTCGGTACTTACTCTGGACGTGAGTACCACGATTTTGGTGAGAAGATCGTAGGAACACGACTCCGCAGAAAGATCCACGCCAACCACAACAGCCCTCCCACGATAACCCCAGACCCCAAACCTGCCACAGCACCCCATCCTTGCCAATCCCACTCTCCTGCACACGTGTTGAGCGTCCCCGCCACTTGTTCTGATGGCGTCGCAGGGGGTATGGTGGCGGTAGACACTGTCGTGGTAGAAGTGGCCACAGCTGTGGAAGTACTCGAAGCCATGGAAGATGAGTCGCTGGATCCCGTTTCGACTGATAAAGTCGAAGTGATCACCGACCGGTACGTCGTCGTCTCCACCTCTCCGTCCGAGGTGAATGTTGACCGTATACTGGTGGTCACTCGTGTCGTCTGTGGTCCTTCCATCTGGCTCCCACTGGCCGATAGTGCGCTACTGCCAGTGATACCTTCCGCGCTCAGTGAGCTCAGCACCCTTGAACATTCCCCTACCGACTTGTAGACACTCTCCGGAGGCTGCACAGGCCCTGTAGAGGCTGCACTATCGTAGGAGGCGCGATAAGAGGTGAAAAATGGCTCCGTATACCATTGCTCCTCCCACGAAAGGGTCTGGCCACCACACAGATAGTAGTGGCGCCTGTTGTGGGTGTGGAGGCTGGGCGGGGGAGGATGAGTCACCGTCGTGGCTGCCATAGTCCGTGAGAGGTGGGGTGGGAAGAAGTCTATGGCTGTGTTTTTTACGAGGGACGCATTAGCCGGACGCACTAGTGGGCTGTGGGTTGTCAAGAGGACCGGGATAGCTCACGTACCTAGTAAAGAGAAAGGGCCGAGGGTGGCGTCGTGGCCAGCACCTGGCGACTGGAATTATAGATACAAGGGGCGGGAGGGGAGATACATGGGAGAAATGAATGACAGATAAAACTGCGCGCAAGAGGAGACATCGCAACACGCGCACAGACCATGCCATCACGCACAGACCACGCGCCGAACATCTATCCCATTCTATCGTCAATTCTGTACAGAGCACCGGTACCCCAGCCTGGATACCATCTGGACCAGGCCCCATCGTTGGAATCAAAAGGCTGTCGCGGTGAGAAAAGATACCGGAGAGTCTGATCCGAGAAAGGCACACTGAGACAGATGTGAGATGTCGCCTCAGCGAGGCGGATGCGACCCTCAATGGGATAGCCTCGATGGTTGTGAAGCGGTTCGACGTCAAGGTGCCAGTACAAGCAAACGCAAAATCCGAGCCAGGTATCGCTTGGACGCTTTACTCGTTCTGAGCCACGCCCAGGATATACGGGGGTTCTTCTCACACTCGAGAGAAAACTTACTTCTCAACCTTGAGACTCATATTGATGCATAACGCAAAACCATAACCTCGAGATAAAATGTTCTACAAGTACAATCTGCGAGAAGTATTAGCGGTAAAGAGGGGGGGGGTACACGGAAGCAACGTACGAAGGGTTGAACACCACAGTGTTGGGTCTCTCCAAAAGATCCATACTCTCCCCAAACTTCTTCTCCAGCTCGGTGTTACCAATGGCGTGGGCGGCCGCGCCCATCTGACGGATGAGCTCCTGTAGACGCCTGAAACATCTGATGATAGAGCCTTCAAAGATATCGGTCATCTAAACCTGCGTCAGCTCGCTCTAAATCGCAGAAAGTGGATGGAAAGAACGTACAGCACAGATCTCGGAAAACTTGGCTCCCTTACACCATTGCAGGACTACATCCATCATCTCCACCTTGAAGCTTTGCACATACTCGTCTTCCACCAGCGCAATACCAGACTCGGTCGATACCTTGGCTATTCTCTTGGCCGTCTCCTGGAGAGTTCTGAGGGGCGTGGCAAGCTCTTCCTTTAATCGCACCTTCGCTTCCGACTTTTCTTGGAAAACGAAGCAACTCAACAACGCCGCACATTGTTCTGGAGTCAACGTGCCAAAGGTGCCGCCAAACATCATCTCGGTCAACATCAACTCATCTCCCGTGGAGATCTCACACGCCACACGGCCCTTCATCTCAACCACATCATCCGCCGTAGTGAAGCCCAGTCGTCTCAGTACACGCTTGCGCGACTTGAGCTCTTCGAGCTGGAGGATGTCATGCACCGAGTTGATACGGCGCTTGAGCGATTTGACAGTGTTGATGGATTGTTGTTTTCTGTCGTAGAGGTCGTAGAGACGGGGAAGTTCAGAGGAGGTCGTGACGGGAAGTGATTGAAGCTTGTTCTCCAGGATGGAGATCTTCTTGACCAAGTCTTTGAAAGACTTGTCTTCAATACCCATGCTCTTGATGGGATCCAACAGAGGAGGTCCATCGGGCATTCGCTTCTTGATTTCGCCGACAGCTCGGAACGCGGCGTTCTTGTCTTGCTGAGAGCGCAAGTCTTTGGGAAGATTGATCCTGTACTGACTTATCGCTTGAAGGGTCGACAACGAGCAGGCGATGATGGCCACATCGCCCTTGTCTCCCTCATCAGGGGGCGACAGCTCTGACGCAGACCGGTCCTTGGGGACAGACGAGCCAGAAGCAATCCTCGTCAGAATGTCGACCACATACTGCTTCTGTGGGGGGTCCTGATCCGTCCAAATGGGTGGTCGACCCCTGGGGTTGACTACCTTGTTGAAAGCGATCACGACGCCCCAGCCAAAGTCCTTCTCGCCTTCGCGCACTTCAACGAGACGCCCTGGCTGGAGGAAGCGAAGGCAGTAGGCCGGGTGGGTGATGACGGCTTGGAAGTCTTGACCTCGTTCCTTGAGCTGCTGGCGGAGTTCATAGTATTCCTCGATTTCGTCTTCGCGTTCAACGGCGATGGCGTCACGTTCGACTTCAGCCTCTTTCAATTCTGACGCCTTATCAGCAATGGGCATATACAAAGACGCTCCACTCACGCTTCTCCAACACTGGCACGCTCATTGAGTTTTGGAATTGGAAGAAACACCTCTCCAACATGAACTCTGGGCTAACACCCTCGACCCTCATCAAGTTGATGATCATGTTGTATCCCAAATGGAACGCCGAGTCAAGCCTATCCGCTTGACCCTTGACCATGCCCTTGGCAGCCTCTGGCTCGATCTTCTCGTCGCACATCATGATGACGATACCTCGGGCATCAAGACCTCGTCGACCGGCACGACCAGACATCTGGATGTATTCACCGCCAGAAAGATTTCGGAAGTCTTTACCGTCAAACTTGCGGACACTTGTAAACACGACAGTCTTGGCGGGCATGTTAAGACCGATAGAGAATGTTTCCGTGGCGAAGAGGGCTTTGATAAGACCTTCTTGGAAGAGAATCTCGATGACTTCCTTCAAAATGGGCAAAAGACCACCGTGGTGGATTCCAATACCTCTCTTGAGAAGCGGCAAGATGCCCTCAATCTGCGATAATTTCTTGTCATCCTCCGACAGCGACCCAATCGCATTCTCGAACACCTGCGCCACCGTGGAGGCTTCATCCGGCGTGTTGAAGTCGAACTTTTGCATCTGCATGGCGAGGTCTTCACATTCGCGCTTGGAGAAGGCAAAGATGATGACGGGGTTAAGGTTGCGGCGCATGATAAGGGTGACAATTTTGTAAATGTCGGATGTTTCTCCCTTCATGGCTCCACCCTTCTTTGTTTTACCCTTCTTGTTTCTCCCACTGTTGGGGTCCGCAGGATCTTCTCCCTGCCCCTGGGCGAGGGAGGCCATCGCCTTCTGGAAGTTGTCATCCCTGAAGTTGCTTTTTTCGTCCACCACGAGGTAGATCCCTTCGGAGCCAGCTGGGAACAGGTAGTGCTGTAAGGGGGTTGGACGGAAGTCGGTATAGACAACGTGGCACGGTTGTTCGTGCGTTTGTGTGATCCACTCGGCAAATTCCATAGAGTTGGGGATGGTGGCGGAGAGGAAGACGTAACGGACCGAGTGGGGCAGGAGAATGATGGTTTCTTCCCAGACGACACCTCGCTCTGCGAAGGGTGAGCGTAGTTTCTATTAGTGGAGTAGACATACCCTTGTCTCGCATGTAATGCACTTCATCAAAGACAACCCAAGCAACTTCCCTCATTACCTCTGAGCCTCGATACAGCATAGACCTCAGAATTTCCGTCGTCATGACCAGACACGAAGCCTCAGGCTTGATGGTCACATCACCAGTCATCAGGCCGACATCTCCAAATGTCTCTGTAAACTCCCTAAACTTTTGGTTCGACAGAGCCTTGATAGGACTTGTGTAGACGATTCGCTTGCCTTCGCGCAGGCAAGTGGCGATGGCGTATTCGGCGACAACGGTCTTACCAGCCGATGTATGCGCAGACACCAGAACAGACTCGTTTCGTTCGATACAAGAAGTAGAGACATATTGGAAAGGATCAAGCTCGAACTTGTAGGTTCGGGCAGGAGGGTCGAGACGTTTATGTTGGTTGATGGGAACGTAGGGGTAATCGGGAGGGATGGCAACTTGGTGACGGACCTATCACTATTGTCAGATTCAGCCACTCTACTCGCAGAAGAACGTGCGTACTTGATGCACAAGTTTTAACGGCTCCTTGTCACCGCTGCTATCCAGTGAATCCTTTGCCGCGGCGACCTCTCTCTCAGCCTGCACTTCATACTCATCGGCCATTTTGGGCACGATTTGCTCCTCCTCTAGTGCCTCCATCGGGTCCTTATCTTCGTTTTGTTCATTTTCGAGCGCGGCCATGGGATCATCATCGTCGTTGATTTCCACAAGTTTGGCACTTTTGGAGGGTCGGGGAGAGGGTGTGGGGGTGGTCTTGCTCCTCTTCTTCTTCTCGGGATTGAGATTTTGTTTCGAAGACTTGCTCTTGGTGGCCTTCTTTGTCGAGTCTGGCATGGTGTCGTGGTGTACGAAAATATACCTCCAAAGTTCAGATATCAGCAAAATGTTTAACGCGGCTCGCGGTGCCAACCGGCTTACATAAGCACAGGAGAAATTGATCAAAAGCGATGGAAGCAAATTACGCCGCCCACTTGGACTCATCGCCGACTTTTCTAGCATCACGGTGCTTCCTGTGACTTTTCCTATAACCTATACTCTCCCGCTCCCCGCTCCTGCATTACTCAACATGGCCATCTTCGGTCTCTTCGGATCGTCCACCCCAGAACAACAGGAGCCCTCTGCTTCTGCCGACCTCTTCAGCAGCACCAACTTCAGATCAAACGTCATCCCCTCAGAGCAGCCCCAGCAATCATCTTCCTTCCTCCCCGATCCCCCTTCTCAGCCGAATGCTGCCCCTGCACCTCCTCCAGCCCCCCAGCAACACGCTCCTACGGCTTTAGAAGCCCTTGGCTCAGCGTTTGATCCCGCCAGACTGCACCCTTTGGCGGGTATCTCGGAAAACCTCGATTTCTTGCAATTGGATGAGGAGAAGTTGAATGAATTGGAAGGCTCAGCAAGTGTTCTTCCCAGTAGGGGATGGACAGATGATCTCTGTGTGGGAACGGGAACGACTTACGTCTCTGGTGTGTTTCACTTTTTTTTGCCGACTACGGAAATATCAATATGCTGACTCGTGCGGCAGGGCTGGCTGCTGGTGGTCTTTGGGGTTTCAAAGATGGTCTCTCCAGACCTCTTGGTAACAATCCCTCGTTCAAGCTTCGGCTGAACAGTATCTTGAACGGTTGTACGAGGCGAGGTAGTTTCATGGGTAATTCGCTTGGTGTCCTTGGTGAGTCTCGTACACAAACGTGACCCCCCTCATGCTGATCACTGATATAGCCATCTTCTACAATCTCACAAACTCATCCTTGGACGCCGTCCGGGGCAAGCACGACGTCTTCAATGCCGTTGCCGCCGCTTCCGTCAGTGGTGCCATATTCAAGTCCACTGGTATGTTCTCTCCATTCGTTATTCACACCTTTCTAACACCTCGGCAGCTGGTCTGCGACCCGCCATGGTCGGTGCTGGTATCGGTGGTATTGCCGCCAGCGCTTGGTCTGGCTTCAAGTCTTTTGTCTAATTTTCCACCACCAATAATCATCGACTAAAAAGTAGTCTTACATCCTAGACACTACCTTGCCTCCTTCCGCCTGGGGCTTTTACCTCAGAGATCCAGGCCGTCTACTGCATCGGGATTTACGAGCTTTCATGCACACCCCTCTTCTGACATGTGCAAGTGATGTACATGGAGCTAAGATAAGGCAATATGTTTAACAGGCTACAGGTGTCCACAGCTTCTGGAGGGAACTCGACCTAGCACTACCTCATCAGTCTTGGCCAAGCGGCGATGAACTTGCTTACAGTTCGGTAGGAAACATCATGCCAGTACCGCCGCAGACCCCCTCATATCGATACCCTGCCCCAAATTCTTCTCCATCATCTTTACTCTTCCGCTCGCCTCTGACTGCTTCGCAAATCCTGGAAAGTGGTGGTCTCTGGAAGTCCTCGGCATTGCAGTAGCGGAGTCGTCGTCAGCGGGATAAGTAACCTTGGTAGCGACCGGGAAAGGATATGGCCGGGCGGTTGGCGATGGACTGGGAGCTGGCATGGTCCTGAGGAAAGCTCCCTGTACAACAACGGTAGCCTCTCCTGGACCGCTTTCTCTTTCCGACTTGATGTTTCTTCCCACCTCCGACCCAGTGTATCGACTGTCCTCACTCTCCCTTGGCAACAGACACAGCGGTCCCAGATCCCCGCCATCCGCCATATCGATCCTCGACGCAAACGGGTCATCCGGCAAGTCTCTGTGGGGCGAGGGAAGGTATACTGTTCCGGCACCGGTTTGAGTTGCTCCCACTTCTTCTGCAGTCCCGTGTGGATTGTGGCTTCCTTGGAGATACTTGGGCTTGTAGGTTTCGAAGAAGCCGCTCAGGCGTTGGGTGAAGGTGCTCCTCGGTCGGCCGGGGGTGGACTGCTCGGGGGTGCGGGCGAGGCGGGGTATATTGCTGGGCATGACGGTGTCGCCTGAGACTCGTCTTGGAGGTATATCAGAATGCGATCGGAAGAAGGACGTCAAGGACGGGTTGGGATTGGGAGATTGTGATGCTGACGCGGAACGTATGAACGGCGGACGTCTACCGTTAAGAGATACCCGGGAAGAGGCAGTAGGGACAGTCGGGGGAGTGATGACAGGTGATGCCGTATCTGGTGCGGGCTCTGGATGGGGTATGTCATCCAGGCCAGAGATTGGTGTGGCGGGGATGATCTTTACCCGGGGAGGCTGGGAGCATCGAGTCAGTGGACTGGTTCTAGATTGGGCTGAGTAGGGTGTGGACGCACCCCGGGAAGGGTCGGCGGGGACTGGGAAGGCGATGGGGCGGCAGAGCGTACATCCCTGCTAAACGCAGGTTTCGAGTCTTCGCCATCCAGCGTGGTACAGTTGCAGCATGGTAGACGCATCTCGGTGGCAAAAGTATACGTGAGTGTTGTGCGAAGAACATGTGGGGAAGAGAGAAATGGGAGGCAGTAGGCTGTATATATACTATTCTGGTGAGATGGGAAGCCAAAGGAGGCGTGACTAGCCCCCGCTCGGACCTCCTCATACATCTTTGGCAAGCGGGCATCTCCGGCGGATGCGGCCAAACTCCCTTCAGGCGCCCACTGGAAGCCGCCGCATGGCTCTATGCCTGTAGTAACCTTGTATACAGGAGCGTAGAAGATAGTCTACACTTGCTTGCTACGACCACACATTGACGGAGAATAGCGCGTCGCGTCGCGTGCGTTCTTCAACATCACGCATTGCTTGTCGAGCGACTAAGGACAAGTCAAGTCCTCTATACCAGGTCGGACACAAGTTTCACGTGGGCTGATTGCCCCTTCCCCATCACCTTCACTCGCCACTCAGTAGCCTTGAGAGCCCCTTAACAGCGACACACAACCTCGTTCGGCGTGCCTACTCCTGGGTAAGCTGGTACCTGAGAGAACAATAGACGAAACTTGGCTCATCATCCATTCATTCACTCGTCGCTTCCTTTCCATCAAATGTGACTTCCCTCGTCTCTCAGCTGGATTGCATACTGACAGGACACATGTCTGGGCTGACGACCATGTGAAGGACGTCGAGAGGTATAAGAGATGGGCGTGGTCGATGGTAGTAAGAGCACCAACAACCACCAACACATAGCCTCAGAGCACTACTCAGCGCACCCAAACCAAACCGAACCAAACCGAAAACATACCCTTCACCATGTCTGCCCACCCCTTCCTCACCAGCCAAGCTGCGTACCTCCCCCAGGCTAGCGCTGCGGTGTACTCCCACAGCCGTCATGGTTCTACCACTTCCCTTGACTCCATGTCATCGGGCACCACCACCTCTACCACCTACACACACCACTCTTCTTCCTCGCAATCCCCCATCAACCGCGACTGTCTTCTTTGGATGCAGCGCGAGTCTACGAGGTGCCACGTGTTTGGCTCTGTTGCGAACAGAGGCCGAGGACTGAGCAGAGAGCAGAGAGCAGAGAGCAGGAAGAGGGAAGAGGAGCAGAGGCTCATGCAAGAAGAGGAAATGGCTTTGAAGAAGAGCGAGAAGAGAAGGGGGAGGTGGTTCTAGGAAGATTGGCTGGCCCTATAATCCGGTTGTATTATAGAGCAGCGTATAATGCTTTTATATTATTGAAATCATGTTGAATGTACTTGTACTGGTCCTACTTATTTGCTGTCCTTCCAGAATCAATTTGTGTAGTTGTTGTTGAATCAGTCCAAACAAATCAGTCCAAACAGAATTGTTGAATGAAAGAGAACATAGGGCGCATAGGCGCGCAAAGTCAATCCGCGCCTTTGTCAGGGAGCGTTGAGCGTGTCGTCACTGCAACTCGCTATCAAGCATCCATCTCTCGCTCATCCTCAGCAACCAATCTTCCAGCATCCCCCCGCCTTCGCCATGTCCCGCCAGGCCCCCCTCGTTATTGATAATGGTACCGGCTACACCAAGATGGGGTAAGTCTCACATCGCCCAATGAGGATCCCCAATGTCGTTCCGTGCACAGCTCACCGTGTATGCTCTTGTCCTTAGTTTCGCCGGTAACTCGGAGCCTTCGTTCGTTTTCCCTACAGTCATAGCCACTCACCAATCAGCTGGTGGTGGTGGGTCATCTTCAGGGGGAGGTGGTCGTGCCCCTCCGCCCGTGGCTGGCAAGCCATCGCATCTCGCGAGTAAGAGGGGCATCGAGGACTTGGACTTTTTCATCGGCGATGAGGCTGTTGCCAACTCCAAGTGGGTAGACGTCTATCTATCCCAGCAAAGCTCATGTGCTATAGGACTTACTCTCTCCACTACCCGATCCGACACGGTATGATTGAGAACTGGGATCACATGGAACGATTATGGGAGCAGTCTATCTTCAAGTACCTTCGTGCCGAGCCCGAGGACCATTACGTCTGCTTGGTATGCTGCTATCAGTCCTTTCTCGGGATTCTTACTCACAAATTTGTAGACCGAGCCCCCTCTCAATCCTCCCGAGAACCGTGAAAACACTGCCGAAATCATGTTTGAATCTTTCAACGTGCAGGGATTGTAAGTCGCTCGCTAGCCACGCGCGACATGTACTGATCCCCATGCAGGTACATTGCTGTCCAGGCCGTTCTTGCCCTTGCGGCGTCCTGGACTTCGTCCAAGGTTACTGAGCGAACACTTACAGGTGTCGTCATTGACTCTGGAGACGGTGTCACCCACACGATCCCTGTCGTGAGTAGGACTTTCTGATACCTAAGAACCCCGCTCATGGAGCTCCAGGCCGAAGGCTATGTCATTGGTTCCTCTATCAAACACATTCCCATCGCCGGTCGCGACATCACATACTTTGTCCAGAACCTCCTCCGAGACCGTGGCGAATCTGCCGTTATTCCTCCTGAAGACCAACTTCGAGTCGCCGAGAAGATCAAGGAAGACTACACCTATGTCTGCCAAGACATCGTCAAAGAGTTCAAAAAGTACGACGGGGACCCCTACAAGTACTTTGCGCGATTCGCCGGGGAGCACAGTGTGACAGGGCGCAAGTACGATGTGGATGTTGGTTACGAGCGATTCCTTGCTCCCGAAATCTTCTTCAATCCCGAAATTTACTCGTCCGACTTTTTGACGCCTCTGCCAGAGGTAGTCGATCAAGTTGTGCAGACGTCGCCGATGGATGTAAGGAGAGGACTGTACAAGAACATTGTGTTGTCGGGTGGCTCGACAATGTTCAAGGATTTCGGCAAGAGATTGCAGAGAGATGTCAAGGCGATTGTTGATGGCAGAATTGCGGGAAGCGAACAGGCATCTGGTAGCCATCTCAAGGTGAGTTCGGGGATGTAATGAGACCGAGCTTATACGGTGGCAGTCAACCGGTGTCGACGTCAACGTTATCTCCCACAAGAGACAGAGGTATGCGGTGTGGTACGGCGGTAGTTTGATGGCTTCTACTGTGAGTATTTCAACACCTTCCCGGAGGATGTATCTGATCGTCAACAGCCCGAGTTCTTCAACGTCAGTCATAGCCGAGAAGACTACCAAGAATACGGTCCATCTCTTGTCCGCAGGTTCTCCGTCTTTGGCAGTGCCTCATAGGCCTCCCGGTAAAATTGGGGAGGTGGAGGGGCAATGAATAGGCACAATAAAAGCGATGGAGAGGGAGGTTTTGATACCCCTTGTGTTTGCGTTGTTATACAGTATATGCAGTTTGGAAATGGCTCTCACATGCCTGAACATGCCGAGTGTGGCAGCTGCTTGAGAGATACGGGTTTCGGCAAGTCATTCGGGAGGTCCGCATGCCAAAGCGACTTCCCGTGCGGTCCCAGACACATCACGTACAAAAATCTTTGGATCTTGAGCTTCTCTGTCCGTTCTCCTCCCGATCTGAGCTCATACTGCTACACTGTGATCTTCACCTGCGCTGTAGTCAGAAGACCATTGCAGCACGAGAAAGCATCGAAGCTAACACTTCTCTCTGCCGTTGCTCGCATGCAGTCGCTGTCGGATTTCGGATGAATTGCGGAGACAAGCTATACGTGATTCTCACGAAAACGCGATCGATAGAAGCTAAGAAGACACGGATTTGTCTTTTCATCATTAGCTCTTCGCTTCGCCCCTCGCCCACATGACTTGTCAATCATGACTCATGGGCCATGGCTTTCGGTGAGATTGCATTCGGGGGGCCAAAGATGATCGACTTGGATTGTTGATCTTGCACTTAACATAAACGACGGTCGTTAGTACGATATGATGGCCATGCTGATCCACTGGATTCACTGGTAACGGAAAGCTCGTCTAGCCTGCACATACTGGTAGCATGCTAGTAGTATCATACTACCGGTCTTTGAGAATACTCTACATAGACCCTGATATGGGTTCGTCGAGTTATGGGCTGGCACTGTTTACGAAACGGATGCGCATACGTATGATTATGCACATATGCCATCCATGGTCCCGTGTACGGCGTACGTGCTGTGCATACTCGTAGTATCGCAGGCAACGACAACTCGTAGTACGTAGTCAAGTCCGTACTGATCCTTCATATCTCGCCTTATTATGATGAAGCCTTCTTTTTTATTGACTGCATCGACAGACCGATTCCTCGGCGTCTTTGGTGCCTCTTCTAAAATTGAACGTACATCACAAGAAGTTGCCTGTTGGGATATCTCCAACCAGAGAGAGATCGTGCTCTATTATTATGATGCCTCTGGTGTCTCTGGTCTTTGTACAGTATCATCTCGTCAGCTCCGTCTTGGCGCCTATCTTCGATTCATGGGCAAGTCTTCTGCAATTCAGAATACCGTCTGCACCCTGCTATTAACCTAATGCATCCCTTTTATTGTCAGACAGGCCCAGTCCTGCTCGCGTGTGCGGCGCTCGGGATGGGTTTCGTTGATGAGGATAGAGAATGCAGGCTGTAGGCAGGAGGGCGCAGAGGGCTGGTTGAAAATGATTTGCTATATAGACTTGTAGTGGCTTCAAGGGGCCGCAGAAGGCCCGGAACCGGGGATTGAGCCAGGATTGAGGCCGCCGGGGAGGATAGGCGCCGTGTCTTAGCGCGGCGATTTAACTACAATCAGCAGCCTCAGCCTCAGCCCCAGCGATAATCAGAGACATGTCATTTATTATACGAGCATGTTACTCAGCGAGCACGGTATTATTCCAATTACAGATACCCTTGACCCTTGTATACCAACGCGTGTTGATTCGTTGACCATGACCCTCGAAGCAGGTCTCAGCCACCTCCATGTGTATGCGGGATTTGCGGGTTGGCTCTTAGCTTTGAGCTTCGCGACGCCTCGGATTTCGAGAGAGCAGAGGTGGTCTAACTTATGATACGATCAACCGCAGTATGTAGCTTTGTGCTTTGCACCTGCGGTACTGCATCCACATATTGACTGTTCAATTGGGCAGCAAGAGGGTTGACTCCGACTGGGCCGGCTGAGCTGTGAACCTTGGCGCATGTGCGGATGCATGCTTGCCATGCTCGCACCTCTTGTAGCTTGCATGTCTTGCCTAGTGGTGATCGCGGATCGTTTCTGTTATCCTTTCATTTTGGACCTTCTTCTTTCAGCTTCTCCCCGCATAGTTCGGGATGTTAGGGTTCGGGAACCTTGAAAGATGTTTATCTTTCTTCTGATTTCGCCTCTTTCAGGCCACTTTTGGGCTTTCGCACTTCGTCAAAGTCAATGATCAAGAAGATCAATGTCGGTTCTGAAGCATTTTGACATGAAACAAGCGAACGACCTGCCAGCCATTACTTGGTCCATGCCCACCATACTTGTGCTCCGCGCTCCTGCATGGATTCTCGAACGAAGTCTCAGGAGGATCATGGCCCTCCCAGTGTACAGTGCAGTATGTGCCGTGTGCCGTGTGCCGTGTGCATGTGCCCCGGGGTGGTAGTGAAAGAGGCGTAGACACCCTTAGGGATATGCCGGCATGGCCGGCGACCGGTGATAGGATTCGAATACATTCTTGGTTTGAGTTCCCGGTCATGGCCCCTTTCCCCTTAAGCCCTTGACGCCTTTTTACGCATGACGTTCGCACTGCTTCTTATTTCCGACGCTTGGTACAGCATGTACATGCAGCTCATGCAGTACGGCCGCAACGGCCGCAAGCGCAAGGGTGCGGATATATACCTACGTTCGAGAGACTTCGAGAACAGAGTTTGAGCGCGTTGTGATGATGGCCGCCGGGGATGTGCCGGGAAAAGAGGGGCCACGGAGAAGAACGAAAGACAGCGAGAAAGCACTGAGGACAGGAGAGCCTAGATGGACAAGGGGAAGGGCCGGAAGAGGTCCCGCCATGCAATAGCAATATATATATTGCAGTGTAAGATATTTGGCTGGTTCCAGGTGACAGCAGCAAGACACACTATTATTATGTATGACTGTTGCGATCATTGCGAAGAAATCGGGAACCGATATTCTGGTAGGCAGGGCCATAAACTCTAACCCCAATTAACCTTGTCCGCTACCAGACCCCGAAGCCCTTTTTCCCGGCGGGCCACCAGAAAGACAAGGTTGGGGCATTTTCTCGTTTTTTTTTGGCATCCGTCCTTACTTCTGACTGCCACTACTAGGTTTCGTCGTATGCATCAAGCTCGTACATGCCGGATACACAGGCGCACGCCCTAGGGCCAAAAGCAGTAGGAAGCGGAATGCGTCGCGCTTCTGGCTTCTGGGAGTACGGCATTTGAAACTCTCCAGATTTCGGGGCCGCTTCTGGCAAGTGTCATCACCCATCGGAGTGTAACACAAATGACATGCGCCCTTATTACGCCTTTTTGCGATCGGTTTCCCCATGGTTCATGGCTCAATTTTTTTCTTCTGTCTCAGATCTTATACATATCGTACGCACATAACGTTCCCGGGATACGGCAGGAAGCGCAGCGTGGCCATCGTGTGCTCAAAAGATCTTAGAATCTTGCCCAGGGTCTTGCGTCTATGGCTTTTCATCATAGCCCGGCGTTCGGCAGCAGCATCTGGCCCATAGCGGCAATATGAAACAATTGATCTTTTTGTTCTTTCTTTTTCTCTCCTTCTCTACTCTCTTACACCATCGCCATCGACTTGGACCGCCACAAAAAGTACCACACCAGCGCACCTTGTTCCACCGTCAACTACGCATTTGCCGCCTCGCCTTTTCGCTGCCTACCCACATCATTCCGCAAACCTACCGGCTTAGCAAGGAGTCTAATTGAAGCCAGACAAGTCACCAAAGCTGGCTTGTGTCTTCACGACTGTCACAGATTCAAAAGAAGAAAAAGGTGAGTTCAGTCCTCCGTCCATTTCTTCCTTGATCATTGGTGGCGGGGTTCGACGCTGTTTCCGCTACAAGGAACGGTGCCTCCTGATCTGATCTCTGATCTGTGTCTACCTGGAGCTCCATCTTTACAGGAGGTCGAAGGCGTATTTGGAACCAAGGGCAGGCTGGTCGGAAGACCGATGAGCAGTCCTTGGTCTTTGCGCCTCACGTCTTGCTGCTGCATGCCCATGCTCGCATTCTGTACCGTGCGTGCTGCCAGAGGCCAGAGGGGGCTACTACGTTGCTGCCATGTCATCGTTTTATGGCATGTCTGGCTGTCTGACGTCGCAAGGCCGTGGCCCGTGGCTCGAATCTGAGCTTGGGGTGTCCCGAGTCATGCCGTAACGTTGATTAAAAAGGGGTTCGGACAACGCCTCTTTGCACGTCATGCGGCCTGGAGTGGCGTTGTGTCTTCATTGCAGCCTTTTTCCCTCGAGCACACCCGGGCGCCTGTAGCCTATCCTGCTGGCTGTACTGTCTACATCTGTGGCGTCTTCCGCTCTCTGTCTGCGGGCATTCGTCGGGTGGCCCAGTTGGTCTACTGGGCCCTCTCGTACACTGCACAGCTCCCCACGTCTACGCCCCGCTAGCGTCTCAATTAATTTTGCGAGCCGACTTCCGAACTGGTCTCACGTATTTTTTTCTTGGGCGGTGTGTTTGTCGTACTCGTCGTCGGCTGTGAATAATTGCCCCATTCGACATGCAGCATGGGCCTCTGTGCGCTTGGGCTGTGGATCTTCTGTCTTCTGTCTTCTGTCTGCTCTTCTCCTATTGATTGCGAGACTGACGCCACAGAAGGATCTCCTAATTGATTGTCGCAGGTGTTTCCCGTCTCTGCGATACCGCCACATCAGTGGACATCCCTGTGGGCTGCGATCGAGTGATGGCAAGGGCCGCGTGCTGATTTGGGTGCAGCGGATCACTCCCATACATACTCGGCCTCCCTGCCCCGCTTGGACGCCGCCACCGCGCAAAGGAGAGTATAAGTGCCCTCCCACCGTGTCTTCTTGCACCCACCAGCATCGCCCCACCCCCGTCCTTTCACAACCGCCCCCTCTTTCGCTCCCCGCACTCACCCCGTATAGAACCATGGACGACAATCGCCAGCCCCACCCTCCTCTCCAACGCCCCTCATCCTCCCACTCCTCCCGCCCCGTCGGCGCCGCACAGGACCCTCCCGAAGCACAGATGGCAAATGCCTCGAGACGCCGTCAGTGTGCCAACCCCTGCTCTAGCCAGCCCATGGCCCCCAATCCGCTCCCGGACTGGTCCACCAGCGAGGACGTCGCATCCGAGACCAACTTCTACGCCAAGCGGCCCGAGCGCGACAACTCGCTGTGGAAGCCCAACTGGCAGGGGGCCTCGTCCACGCCAACGGAACCCTCTGTGAGCAACGCGGGCAGCGTGGGTCTCGGTATCCGCACCCCCGTCGCCTCACCCAAAGAACAGTATCCATTTGCGAGACCCAGCCCTGCGGCCTCGCCTGAAGAAAAGTGCCCCAACCCACACTCTTCTCTCCTGACGTCGACGCCGCTCAACCGCACATGCTCGTCAGCCAATCACTCCCCGTGCACTTCTCCCACACCCCCTCCTACCCAAATGGCGTCTTCTGGCGTAAAGAGGCGTACAAGGTCCAACTCGCTGCCATGCCCCAACCCTCCCAAGCGGCTCAAGACGGTTGCCTACCCTCCACCGACCCGCCCCCCGTCGCCTCGCAGCCTCAGACACCCCATGCGTCCCCAGCACCCCTTCCAAGGTGCCCCAGCGCGAGAGGCCATGTTTCATTGTGTCGTCGCCGGGCGCAGCCCTGCCATCAACACAAAGAGCCTGAAGACGCTAGACGCAGCCGAGATTCTGAAGAATAAGCAACTGCGACATGATCTCCTGTTTGATGCTCTTGCCTTCCGCCCCGTCAACGCCGGACCACAAGGCGAGGGCAAGGTTGGGCGTTATGCGGGCGTGGTATCTACATCTGCGGTCCCTGTCGTTGATCCTAGCACATCGAACGTCGTCACCGAGCTGTATTGGCAGAGTATCGATGCAGAGCTCAAATGGGGCTGTCGATGCACCAGGTGGTCGCTTCCCGAAGGCACTTCCAGCCTCAAGGGCGATGCTCTCAGAAACCTGGTCAGAGTGCACAAGTGTCTCTGTGGTCAGTGGCGGCCAGAATTGTCCGAGAGACAATGGTGGGCAAAAACCAAGGCATGGCCTTCCAGACTTCCCGAGCTCATCAAAAGTAAGTCTTCTTCTCGAACATCGTGTGTCAAGCTGACAGGTTGTAGCATTACGAGAAATTCTCATGTCTCTTATGGGATCTACCACCCCTTGTGCTGACCACTTTGCGCATTCCTTCTCTCGTGAAGCTCTCGAAGCCCACGAGCAGACTTGCCCCACCGTCACCCACTCGCTTGTCCCTCACCTGCAATCAGCTCTTGACCCTGAGTTCTTGACCATGCAGGTCCGTAGAGGCTCATTCAATATCGAGCTCTTCAAGGTGCTTGGGAATGCCATGAAGGTGCACTGCGCCCCAGTGAGAGATGGCTTGATCGATCGGATGGTGGAGACTGCCATGGCCGGTAAGATCACCGAGGGGCTCAAGATGTGCTTTGACTGTGCAGAGGTCATGAAACTTGTATGTCTCGTGTTTATGCCATCCTGCGAACGCTAACGTATGTGCAGGACATTGCCAACCACCAAGTCCACTCTCTTCGCCCTTACCTCTGGCAAAATGCCGGTGCCCACGAGTACGCCGCCTTTGAGGATACCCTCCTCGCATCTTGCAGCACTTTTGCCACTTCCAAGACCCGCCGTTGGATCAACGAGGCATCTCTCCGCATGCTCAAAGCTGCCTCCCCTGCCGAGCGTACGCACTTGATTGGCAAGTGTGCTTGCGGGAACGCGAACGAGCTTGCTGCTAGATCGGTGGTGGACGGCTTCCTCGAGCTTGTCTTTGAGCAAAGGTGTGGCGAGGGCAGATGGCCACCACTCACTGCGAGGACCGCTTCCACCGAGGCTCCCTTGTGGGAGGATGGGTCTGGAAATATGGCTTCTTTGCCCGAGGTGCTGCAGATGGACGGAAGAAGGATCCGTGACTTCCAGTGAGTGATCTTGTCGTAATGACGGCGCAGCAGCTGACTCTTTCAGTGCGAGCGTCGTCGAACTTGCAGCTACCCATCTGGTCCTCATGGCCATACGAGAGCTCTATAGAGCACATACCCAAAGTCCAAACAAGGAAATCTCATCCGACACCTACAGTTTCTTCCTCTCCGACATTCTCGAGGCCTTTGACCGCGTGTCCGCGATCACTCCTGAGCCTGTGGGCCAGGATGAGCGGGACGCCATCTACGACGAATTGTCCTTTGCGCTCGCTCTTCGTGTCGTCCTGCCCGATGAGATGAAGCGCATCTCGGAGGCCGAAGAGCTCGAAGGCATGCTCACTCCCGACAAACTTGCCCACATCCATCCCGTCAAGGACCAGCTGTACATGTTTCTCCGAAACAACATCAGCAGAGAGTCCCAGAGGCTCCAAGACCACATGCTTGTCATGCGCAAGGTCCTGTACAAGGTCCTCACGGACGTATTCATGAGCTACCGATTCAACCCCAAGAGTATCTTCTTTGACGTTGCGGCGGACAAGTGCAGGTCGACCGACAAGGTCACTGCCTCCTCGGCAGGGCAAGATCAGCAATCAAAGACAGGTTCCCCCTCGCCCATGTGGATCTTTTCCTCTGATCTGCGTTTTGAAGCCAATCGCGCTTCGCGCGCCGTTACCGCACGTCACGACGAGTGCTTGGAAACGTACAAAGAGGAAGAGCTGTTGCTGATCGCCAACCTTGGGCTCGAGGGCGTGGTCGAGCCAATCAAGGATATCACTGAGAGGATGGTGAGGCTGCTGGGTTTCAACCTGTCGGTCTTTAAGGAGGTGTATCTGCGAAAGGGGTTCATGGCTGGGTCGGGAAAATGCGACCCTGTCAATGAGCGTGGGCTTTGATCTCCCTTCTTGTTTCTAACTATCTGTCGATCTATTACCCTGTCTCACATCTGTATCATCTAGTACTAGCTTAGCGCTCTATAGATTCTCTAACGACTGTTTCTTTTCATTCTTGTTTGGGCCTTTTCACCTGGTGTACACGAGGGTTTACGTAGACTAATCTACTTTCTGTATACTAGCGCATACACGCAACACGCAACGAACCTTTATGAATACAAGCATTGCCCCCATCATTCGTATCAAGAATCATCCGTATCAAGAATCATCGGTAGCAGTGTCTGCATATCTACCCAGAATACAGGAACTCTCAAACGATCAACGACCCCCGCAACCACTCGGCCCCTACGATCGTCATGCCCACCGCAAAGACCAAAAGACAACCATCCTTGTAAGTCTGGTTGAGAAGATTGAGGTAGCGCGAGCCGGTGAGGAGAGGGCGGGCGATCCCTTGAGGAAGGACGGGAAGAAAGTTCTGAAGGAGGGCGTGAGGAGCAGGAGGTGACTGTCGGATGGTTAGCAGGCGCATGGGAAGAGGTCAGAGGGCGTACTCTAAAGATCATAAGCCGTGAGCTTTGGAGAATGAGTTCGACAGTGACAAAGGCGAGGAAAAGAGGCTGGGCGTTCAGTTGGCGGCGATCTCGTGTGTACAGGGAGTCACTTACGAGCACCTCGACCTCCCCCAGACCCTTCACCCGCCTACCGGAGAAGCCACTCCATCTCTCTGACCATGTGGTGGCCTCCTCTTGATAAGCAGAGGCGGATCGCAAAGCCGGCTCCCACCAGAGCACTGCGAAAAGCGCGAGGAAAAGAGTCGCGACGAGGTGCACGAGGGGAAAGTACCTGGCGACTTTGCTCTTTCCTTGCGACTGTTGCTGCATGCCAGGGAACGGGAAGGGCGAAGAGCCATCAGCGCCTCCAAAGATGTTGGGCGGGACGCCACCGGCCCCACCAAACGCCCCGAGACCAGCAGGATCATCCATGTCGCCCAGAAGGTTCTGGCCGGCGGGACCGCCCGCGAGGGAAGGATCACCCATCATCTGAGACAAGAGCTTTGACATGTCGGGCATCTCTCCTCCAGCAGCGCCATTGCCGGGGGCGCCAAACATGGACATCATGGCTTCCATTTGGCGCGCCATGGCTTCCTGTTCAGAGGACATTTGAGGTTGGGGCGAGGCAGAGGCAGTCGGCCGGGGCGCTTTAGGTTCGGCAGGAGGGGGAGCCCAGGAGGGCTGGACAGGTTCCGCCTGGGGTGGCGTTGGCTGGGATACCGGCTTGACTAGAACAAGGTCAGCTTGATATCTCACAACCAATGGTCGACGTGCAGTCATTGCCGTAGAGGCTCTGGGCTTCATCGCCTCGGGCTGTCTGCGCGAGCTTGTTGAGGCCAGAGTTACCTCGAGCGAGGATCTTTGCTCTTCGTGCGGCGGCTTTTTTCGCTGCGTCAGACTGTTGAGGTTCCGCCATAGTGCTGGATGGAGAGCCGAGATGGAATCGTCAACAAGAAAGCGTATCGTGCTCGCGGCATCTACTTTGCCGCGGGACTGCCACAGTTCAATGCATGGCCCATCGCAGAGCTGCCACCTCCTCCCGCCATGCATACCCCCTCCTCCCGCCCTAGCCTGCTGCATGCATGCATGGGGATGCCCCGATCTCTGACCACTGTACGCCCGCTGACTCGCTGTCGGCGCTCGCCGCCGGGGCTCCAAAGGCTGATCGATTCAATCCTGCTCGTTTTTTTTGCGACTTGAGCCGACATCTTTTCCAGCATTTCCACGAAAACCACTGCCACATCCACCCCACCATGTCCGCCTCCGCCTCCCCCGACCGCAACAGGCCCCTCGACGACCGCAAGGTCACCGGCGTACGTGACCCGAGACCCCGCCAGCCGCTGCCGAGAAAGCCACTCACCATCTCATAGTACGACCCCCTCATCCCCCCCGCCCTCCTCAGACACGACCTGCCAGTCCCTGCCGTCGCCTCCAAGACCATCTCCGCCTCCCGAAAAGTGACTTCCTCCATCGTCCAGGGTACCGACCCACTTTCAAGATTGGTCGTCGTCGTTGGCCCCTGCAGTATCCACGACATTGACCAGGCCAAGGAGTACGCTGCCAAGCTGAGGAAGGGTGTGCAGGAGGGCAAGTGGCCGGGTTTGGAGGTCATCATGAGAGCATACTTGTGAGCGAATTGGCATCTTGGTTGCAAAATGAGTCTGATGACGTGCAAAGCGAAAAGCCGAGAACAACTGTCGGCTGGAAGGGTCTCATCAACGATCCCGATATCGATGGATCTTTCAAGATCAACAAGGGTTTGAGGATGGCCAGGCAGCTTTTGGGTGACATTAACGAGATGGGCATGCCCGTTGGTTGCGAACTTCTCGACACCATCTCGTATGTCTTTCCATCTCCTCATGACCTCATTTCTAATTATTATACAGTCCCCAGTTCATTGCCGACCTCATCTCCTGGGGAGCCATTGGTGCCCGAACCACCGAGTCCCAACTTCATCGAGAACTCGCCTCTGGTGCTTCTTTCCCCATTGGTTTCAAGAACGGTACCGACGGCTCTGTCGGCGTCGCTATTGACGCCATGCAATCCGCTTCTCACCCTCACTGCTTCATGGGCATCAACTCTCAGGGTATGGCCAGCATCGTCAAGACTTCTGGCAACAAGGACTGCCACGTCATCCTGAGAGGCGGTACCCACGGTCCCAACTTTGCGTTCGTCCCTTGTCTTTCTCTTGAGATTGTCGCCTGACGAGAAAATAGCGCCGAGCACGTTCAAAAAGCCCTGTCGACCATGCGCACCAAGAACCCCGACGCCTTTGCTTCCATCATGGTCGACTGCTCTCACGGCAACTCTTCCAAGAACCACCTCAACCAGCCCAAGGTCGCTGCCGACGTTGCTGCCCAGATTGCCGCGGGTGAGGTTGGAATCACCGGTATCATGTTTGAGAGCAACTTGAAGGGCGGTAAGCAGAGCAGTGACTTGGGCAGGGAGAACCTCGAGTACGGTGTCTCCATCACCGATGGTGAGTGCAATCGTCATATCAGCACAGCAGAGCTAATGTAAAGTGCAGCTTGTGTTGACTGGGAGATGACTGTCGACATGCTCGACAACCTGAACCAAGCATCCCTCACCCGACGAGCCCTCCTCGAATCTCGAGCTGGTGCTAGTGGCGACGCCCCCGCCGTCAAGAGACTGAGGGCCGACGAGTAATTGTGGTGTTTTATATGTTGTTTGAATCTCGATCATGACTCTAATCAAAAGCATAGATATCTGCAGGGATCTCATCATATCTGCGCGGATTATGCATCTCGTTTCACGCATCATGAGTCCACACTTCGTTCTACTTGGACGATATGTGACCAGGTGGAACCTCTCCGTCCTTTAATGTGTCAGCTTGTCAAGTCGGCCATCACAGCAAGGGCTTACATTGACATCGGTCCCGTCCTTGAACCACCTGTCGTCCTGGGCAATACTGATGGTGTTTCCACTCATCTGCCGGCTCTTCATCCTGCCATCCTCTGCAAAGACCTGCCCCAGGATCAATGATCAAGCAAGAGTTCGTGCGAACGTGACTCACCCAATGCTCAAGGCCATAAGTACGGTACCATTGACTCGAGACATCTTTGGTTTCTGAATACTCGTACCAGAATTCCACGGCGCTTCGGGGTATAAGCCAAGGTCCTCTGGTCGGCAACCGGCTCACATCCTGTCCTTGTCAAAAGCAAACAACTCCTTTCTCAGTCTATAATTGTGCTCCTTCTGCCACTTTCTGGTCAAAAAGTCTTCGATTGACTTGGTCCCTGAGAAGAAATCGTTACGATTACGCCATACAGAGTCGGGCGTATAGGCAGGCGAGATCAGGTGAGGCGTCTTGGTGTCTATATGTAGCAACTTAGTCACCATCTTGACATTCAAACATTGCTTACTCCACTTGTCCTGGGCAGCTTTCACCTTTCTGCGCCACACCAATCAGTACAAGGGCTGAGGCAAAGTGGAGATGGTGGGCGTACTTTTGGGCAGTCTCGGCGGTGAAGGGTGGCAAGGGCGGTACGGTAGCCATGGTTCTGGTACCGACGGCGATGGGCGGAAAAACAGAGCGAGGAGGGGTCCCGAGGAACCGAGAAGTCGAAACCAAGGGCCGGGATAGCATTGTTACTAGAGCTGGTACGAGGCGTTACTAGGGTTGTATTGATAGATGGCAAAGTGAATGTGAAGGTAGAATATCGGTAAGCCAAAAGCCGCGAATGTTGTTGGGTGACATCTGTAGAACGGGAGGCCGAACGAGACAAACCACCCTGTGCATGGAATATATGCCCTCGACAGTGATTGAAGCCTAGTAAAACAGTCTGTACATGCCCCTCCTCATATACCTGCAGATGTGACTCGAGGATAGAATGATGGTGGCATGGCATGGCTGGTAAGCCCCCCGAGACCCGGGTATTGCGGCACATGCGGCGGGGGATGGCATGAGATCATCCATTTGCTGGAATCACAGAGACAGTACCATCCTTCTCATCCACCACATCTCCACTCCCTCTATCCTCCAACACCACTCCCCCCTCCCCGCCCCCAGCTGTATCCACCCACCGCCGTTGGGGACACCCCGCCCCAACGCCCACCAGCGCCCCACCCCGCCGCCCTTATACACCATGCAGTATCTCTCCAAGGCCTACAACTACTGTGCGTACTACAATCTATCCTACAATCCATGCTGACTGTGCACAGACTCTGGCATCAACCCCGCCACCCTCTCTGGCGCTATCGATGTCATCGTAGTCCGCCATGTCGCCGCCGACGGCACAGTGACCCTCTCCTCCTCACCGTTCCACGTCCGCTTTGGCAAACTGCAGGTGCTTCGCGCGGCCGAGAAGCGCGTGACTATACGGATGCCAAACAATCTCCCAGCGCCGCATATTGCGCCGTTCGACATGAAAGTCGGCGAGAGTGGAGAAGCATTCTTTGTGGTGGAAACGGATGAGCAGGTGCCGGAAGACCTGTTGACTAGTCCCATTGTGGCTCCTACGGAGGTCAGTGGCTAGACAATGTTCTGAGAACGAAAGCTGACACTCGTGCTAGACTGAATTACCACCCACGCCACCCTTATCAGACGATCAAGCAGCAGAGGAGCATGGGGGATCTGTCACGCACGAACCCTTTGGGAGCACAGAGAAGCAGGTGCCACACGAAGAGCCCTTGGGTGATGTCGATTTTCTCGACCTCAATGCAACCCCAGACACACCCAGCAAGGCCACACATTCGGCTACGGCAAGTCCTCTGCGGCGAGATAACCCTCTCAGACACAACATACTCGGCACAGCGTCCAACATCCTTCCCCAATCCATGCGATCTGCTCCCTCCACACCCACAAAACCACAGGCTCCCGCTCGACAGCCATCTATCGACGATAATGCCCCCAACGACGAGGCCAAAGCGAAAGAGGAGGACCGCCCTGTGGTGTCCACTACCGACAAGGAGCCCAATCCCATCGAAGCGCACGCGGGAGACCGCCCAGAGCTTCCAGCAAGAGACAAGAAACTTAGCTCGTACCATGCTGCGTATTCAGCGTCCTCGGCAGAAAAGGCATTGCCCAAGGTACCGGCTGGCCAGGGCGAAGGCCCAGAAGTGCTTTACGGCAAGGACGTCGTCTTGGACATGGACGGATACCATAGTGCCAAGGACGCCGAAGCGCAGCAGGGAGAGCATGACGCCACAGTAGAGACGTTCATTCAAGACCTGATTTCAAGTGTACAGTCGACTGTCGAAAGTCGTCCGAAACCTCGAAAGTCATTGTCTCTACAGACAGAGGCGGAAAGGTCTTTTGATGACCAAGATGTCTCTCCAGCACTTTCCCCTCGCCAAAGCTCTCCCGATCTAGACCTAAGCACAACGTTGTCGGGCTTGTCTATGGACGGCAAAAAGACACACTTCTCCAACGTTGCCTCTCACAACAGGTTGGAGAGGGGTCAATCTGAGCCTCCCCAGACATTCCACACTGATGACCTGAGTAAATCGCCCGACACTCAAGCGAAAGACGTGGTGGAAAGAGAATGGGACTGGTCACGCCCTCAACCCGATACTCCAGATGACGGTGGGGGGCAGCATAATGTGACCGGCAGCTTGAAGAATGTCGAGGAGAATCCATTCCTATTTGTCCTCGAAGTTGGAAAACACACGCATTCTTTCGAGCTGTCACTGTGCGAGGGCTTTGGCAAAGATGCTACAGAGGCTGAACAAGAGGCGATGTTTGTCAAGAACCGCATTACCTTTCAGCGTTTCATTGAAGACTCGCGCATCATCGACAACCCTGCCATCGTTGTCAGCTACAACGACCTCTACTTTACTTGGTCTACTGGCTACCGCCTTCTCTACGGCTTGGCTGTGTATCGCCGTACACTTGCGCCTCCTAATGCTTCGCCCTCGAGTCCCACCTTGCCTGCAATGTCTTTGGCTGATGCAGGTGGGGATATAGGGAGCCGCTCGACGACGGCAGCAAACGGGACCGGGTGGTCGAAGTGGTGGAGACGGGGGCAGAGTAATGGAAGCGCGTCAAGTGTCAGGCAGGGGCAAAGCGAGACCGCTCCAGCGACTACAACTCCCGTGCCCGGCACTCCCAAGCCCGAGTCCAATGCGCCGCCAGTGCAAGAGGCAGATGGCACCAGACATTTTGCAAAGACACTTCGTCTGTCTTCGGATCAACTTGTAAGTTGCAGCTTGTCGTGTCAGTCTTTTGCTGAAATCAGAAAAGGAACAATTGTATCTCAAACCTGGGCCCAATACGATCTCTTTCTCTGTTAGCTCTTCTTACTCTGGGCTGGCTGTTTGCACGTCCAGGATCTTCCTGTGGGAAGAAACAGATCAGATCGTCATTTCGGACATTGACGGCACCATCACCAAGTGTGTACCTCGTCGACTTGTCTGGCATTGCTAACCAAATCAGATCGGATGCTCTAGGCCACGTCTTTGCTGCCATCGGTCGTGACTGGACCCACCTGGGTATCGCCAAGCTCTATACCGATATCTGTAACAACGGCTACAAGATTCTCTACCTCACATCGCGAGCGATTGGTCAAGCGGACACTACGCGAGAGTATCTGAAGAGCATTGCACAGGGGCAATATCGAATGCCTGAAGGTCCAGTCTTGATGAGTCCCGATAGGCTCATGGCGAGTCTGCATCGGTAAGTGATTTGAACGGTGCATGCAGGAACGTCCGCTAATTTCGAGCAGGGAGGTCATCATGCGGAAACCAGAGCTTTTCAAAATGGCCTGTCTTCGAGACATTCAACGTCTCTTTGGCGAGCAAGCCAAAGAAGCCTTCTACGCTGGATTCGGTAATCGTATCACCGATGCCATGAGTTATCGAAGTGTAGGGATTGAAGCGAGTAAGATATATACAATCGACTCTACGGGCGTGGTCAAGACTGAGCTGCTACAATCTGCGGGGCACAAGGGAAGCTACATCCAACTTGTAAGTACCCTGATCTACTACGATAGTCAAGCTCATGTGTCGAAGAACGATCTTGTGAACGAAGTTTTCCCAACTGCGTCAAGCAAGGTCAAGCCCGAGTATACGGATTTCAACTACTGGCGCGACCCTGTGCCCGATATTCCTTTACCCGACCTTACACCCCCATCGCCTGCTCTGTCAGCGCGCAGTGACACTTCGGGGCGCTACAGTGTGATTGGAAAAATCACAGGCATGGCCCGACGTTCTTCGCGTGCAACGCATCCCAATGGGTCCGCGTCTACATCGCAGGTGGATCCTTCCAGTCGCCCGTCCAGTCCTCTGATGGCGCCCAGCTTGACGAGCTTGGATATGAGCGAGGGTGACGAAGAAGACGACGAAAGGAGTCTGAGCTCGATGCCCGGGTCATTTGAGGATGACAAGGAGAAATTACTAGATGAAGTGTTTTTTGCGAGCGGAAGCCAGCAATCAAGACCGGGTCATCGAGAAGAAGAAGATGATAGAGAGGAGAGCGACGGAGAAGATGATGAGGACGGGGGAGAAGGAGGCCAGAATGATTCGTACGACGACGATGCCATCTTTGACGATGATATCTTGGCCGCCGGAGAGATGCAGAATGTGCCCTTCTGAGGGCATGTACCACCAGAGTCATATTGGAGTATTTATAACTGTAGATCATACATGGCCTTGAATATGCTGTCTGTATCAACCAACAATGCATACGTTAGTCCTTCTAGGCGTCATCAGAACCTGTAGTGAAAGCGCCTACATAGACACGCAGAAGGACATGATCAAACAAATAGCATTTCAGTCATAACAGCTTTTGAATGTACCATCACTATACTATGGAGTATGGAGACAACCTGATAATCAGAATCACCAGAAGACTCGTGTCGACTCGACATACTCATCGTGATGCCATCTGTTCGGCTCCCCGAGCACATCCCCTCGTTGTGGACTACTCGAACTTGATGGCATCATGTAGCATGCTCTGGATGCGCCCCTCGTACGCAGGTGAGACTGGAGGGTAAGCTTCTGCCGACTAAGAGCTGTAAAAAGGTAATGTGGTTTGAGGGCGATGCTCCATTACTACATACAAGCGACAAACGACAAAAAAAGAAAATCTTCCTGACGGGGAATCGAACCCCGATCTCCCGCGATCACTATTACTAATGACAAGCGAGCATACTAAACCGTTATACGATCAAGAATTGGTTATTAGAGAGCTTTCAAAAACAGCTATATCCTTATTGATTGTCTTCACCCCGACCCCGCATTTCCGTACGAGTACTCATAATGTACTTGGTATGCCAACTTCTGCGTGCAAGTAGAGTGAGCTTTGACATCTCGACAGACACATTGCTATTATTATAAAGTATACGGAAAATACTGCACAAGCATCACCTTCCTGGAAGCGTGGCACCTGGAGTGATCGGTTGTTCCTCCTCTCCATCGTCATACCGGCCGGCCGCAGGATCAATCGTCAACGTCTTTTTGCCCAATTCTGCCGCAGCATCCTCAAATTGGTCATCTTCTTCCTCGTCCTCGCTCTTTACGCTATGAGCGCCAACAAGAGGGGATGCCTTTCCTTCGGCAACGGCGTGCAAGCCGTGAATGGAAGAGTTGAGAGACTTTTCGAGTTTCTTCTCACCCGACCTTTTAACACGAAGGTGAATGGCGCGTCGGAGAGCATCAATGTAAGTCTCGTACTTGAAAATTTCGGTGTGAATATAGTGTGATTTGGCACGCCAATTTTCCTTGGCTTTGGCCAGATTCTTTGAACCAACGGAGTACTACCAGTTTATATCAGCGAGAGATTCCAGCGTTAATGACAGTCACTGACCAAGCGAATCATCGGCTCTTCAACAGCTTTGTGCCTTTCAAGCTCCTTCTCCTGAAGCTTCACGTAGGCCATTAGTGCTTCGAGTTGCGCCTCCTCGTCCAGAGGGCTCGGAACGCTAGCAGCAGGAGGTGGCTTCCAATCGTTGATATAGATCTTGTCATTCCCACCGCCACCGCTAGAAGTGCCCAAGCGACGCCCATATGTCCCACCGAGTCGACTGATGTTACTCCTATGGCTCATGATGCTCATCCGATCATCTTGATCGTCCAGCCCAACCTTGTTCCACCCATACTCCATGTTGGAAACACCTCCTTGCAGGGGCTGACGACTCTTTCGCGCAGCCCAGTAGTTGCAAGTAGCTACCCATTCGGCCACCAGATCTTCAGTACCAGCTTGGAAGAAGCTGACCTCACCAGAAGGCTCGGTGAGGGAAAAGCAGTAAGGTCGAGAGGAAGAGTAGCCGGGTTTGGGAAGGGTGGCCGAGGTGGTGTGCATGAGAGAAATCTTGCCGTTGGCGTTGGCATTTTCCTGACAAACCTTAGCGCTTGTTGTAACAGAGATGAGAACAACTTACGAGCCAATTACCACCTCCGACTGAGCCGCCCATAGACATCGATCCGCCACCTTTGCCATCACCGAAAGTGAACATAAAGATGTCCCCTTTGCTGGCGACCACAAAGTACTGCTTCCAGTCTCCGCTCTTCTTGACTCTCTTCGTCACGCCTTCCGAATGCACCTTGCGTTGCAAGATGCCCTCTTTTGCCCAGGGCGCGCCCAAAAGAGCCAACTCGTCGTCGTCCATCTCCTCTATCGTCCCCACACTGGCATGCGAATGTACAGAGTGTGTGTCGTCACCGTCATGTTCGCGAATCACCGTGTGTGAAAGGTTGGACGCAAAGCCGAGAGCTGGTGAAAACGCTGACCCAGGAGAATTGATTTCGTTGGTAGAAGTGGCGTAACTTGGCGCGGGAGATAGTCTACCTTCAGAGCTGTACCACTGTGACGAGTACGGGCTGTTGCTCCCTAACAAGCCTTGTACGCTACGGATGCTGCCTCGTTTGAGGATATTGACTCTGTCGGAGGGACTCCTAACGCGCCCAGCCTTGTCGTAAGGGCCGTTGCTGGCGATAGATACCATCGACTGGCGCTTGTTACCCGTCATATTCCTGTCATTGCCCCAAGCTGATGCCGTTGGTAGAAGAATTCTATCGGCGCGGACACTAGAGTATATCTCCTTGAGCGCTGCCTCGGTTTCAGTTTCCCAGGTCTTGCCATAGTTGAATGACCCGGAGCTGACGGTGGTCGAACTGCTTCGGAGCTTACTCTCTGAGGGACTGACAGCGCTACCGACTACAGACAGAGAGCTATCGGCGCGGTGATGGGGCGGTGGCGACGTCACCACAGGGGCGGAAGCGCTTCTTTGGGTGGCACCAGAAGCCGGGACCTTTGCACGTACGCTGCCCACGTAATTAGTGGATGTACTCGAGCTCAAACTTGGCGGCTGGTTGTCCCCATCATCTCTGATCAAATCAGGCGTCGAAGACCTGTCCTCGTCGGCACCGCTGCTCATCTGAATTGCCCGCATTGCGTTCCTCACAAATTCGCTCTTGGACATGTGCTTTTGGAGTTCTGCAATGTGCAGATCGGTGTTGAGCATAAGCATTGCAGCCGCGACGGTGTGGACGACACCGGGGGAGCCAAAAGTGGTGTTTGGGTTACACTCGAAATAGCGGCCAGAGAAGGCTTCGATGATGCGGTCAATCTCTTGAGACTCGGCTTTGAGGTAGAGCTTTTGACAGAGATCACTAGAAAAAGGTTAGAGTAGACTTCACTGTGAGATAGCAAACGTACCGGAAAGCTTCAACAAGATTCTGACCCTTCATGTCAAAGTACTGCATGTAGTACTTGAGCGCGACGGTATTCACGGGGTGCCTGCGATGGTCAGTCCTCGAAATTCTCATAAATGCCAGACTCACGGTCCCCCCAAGAACTCTGCAACCTTGTCTCCCGCTACATTCGTCGTGTCCTCGTCCAAGATCTCACATGCCAGCCTCTTGCCCTTCTCCTCCAATTCTTCACCACCTTCGGTGATATCGGTGTTCACCGTTTCCGCTCGACTGGGCGTCCTTGGTGGCGATGCCATCATCTCCACGTCGCCGTCGTCATGCCTGCTCGCAACCGAGCCGGAGCCAGTGTTGCTTTGAAGACGCGAGAGCTCAGTGTCTGATGATTCTGACAGATTTGGGGCTCCAGGAGATTGTCTGCCCCAGGCCGACGGGCCGGTGGGGGAAGGCGACTTTGGAGAATCCCTGGAAGGCGTTTCAGAGGCGTCGTTGGCTTGAGAGGCCGCCTTGACAGTGCTCGGAAGACCCAGCCTTTTGTTTTCACCAACGATGGGTGAGATCTGAGGTGCCGCTGATGGTTGTGCATTGAGCAGAGGCCCTTCGGAACCTTCCATCTGAGTCTCGAGCCGAGTCTTGGATCCAGACGAAGCTCGCAAACGGGAGAATTGGTTCGGCTGGGCCTTGCTAGCGGTTGCGAGATACGATGGGATGTGTGAAGTCGACGCTCGCTGAGGGGATGAGGATTCCTGCTTGGCCAGATTGTTTGCCGGCAGGGAAGCCGATCTCTGAGGTCCTGTCGGGGGAGGCGACTCCTGTGACGGAGTCCGACTCAAATCGGCAGGGAACTTGCCTCGGCCATTCGCCTTTTTTCTCATACTTGACGGCGGTAGCCCCAACTCTCTGGCAGGCTCCGACTGACCGATATCCGCCAGCATGCCTGCCATGTCCGCCGAGAACGAGGACACTGCCGCCGTGGCTGGCGACGATTGAGGCTTCCGTGATGAACCGGCTCGGACAGGCGTAGTCTCCTCCTCCTCCTCCGCATTCGCAGGCTGCCGTACGTGCAGCGAGCTCCCAATCTTTTTCTCGAGTTGGGGCGCCGTACCATCTTGGTCTGTGACTCGTACAGCCGGCAGAGGCTTGTCGATGCTCAATGCGCTTGCTCCTGACTCTCTCCTCCCTGTGGGCGTAGTAGATACTCTCCCGGCAACCATCCCAGTATTGATAGGTCTTGGGGGAGGAGGTGGACCCTTTTGAGGCAACACTGGACTGCCGAGCGTGAACCGGTCTGCAGTACTTTCGTCGGTGGGACCGAATACGTCGGGATGTGAAATAGGAGGAGAATTGAAGACGCGCTGCTTCTGTTGCGCATAGGCGGAGGGAACTGCAGGGACCGGTGGTACCGACTGACTTGGCATCTCATGGATGTCTATTCGGGAAGAAGAGGCAGACGCTGAATTACTTGGTAGACGAGACTGTAAGGCGTCAGAGGGCTCTGTGAGAGCTGGTACGTACATCCTTGCTGGATCCAAACATCTTGCCAAACATGCCTCTGGCCTTGTTTCTCATGCTCTGTTGCAAGTCAGCACGGGCCTCCTTGACAATGCTGCAGCCCTTACTCTGAAGCCCTCGTCCGAAGTATTCGACCTATTCCTATTCAAAGTACCTTGCCCCTCTGCTATCGTGGCCATCTGGTTGCCTCCCATCATTGACCCATACACGTCCATGTTTTCCTTCTTCGTACCTTCAGCCGTTCCAGTCCCTGCAGCTCGAGGGGGGGAGCTCAAACCTCGCGGGCTTTGGTATAGTGTCCTGGAGCTCGTCGAGGGAGTTATCTCAGACATTGGCGATGCGGTAGATGTAGGGCCGGCAGAGGGAGGGGGGTCGTGATCTGGTTTGTCCTTTGTAGACCGACGAACGATAGAAGCAAGATCCGGCTGAGAACTCGTGCCAGCGGAGCGAAACACGTTGCGGCGCTTTGGGGGTGGCTTCTTCAATTTTTGCTTAGGTTCGATACCGAGTTCAGCTATGGAGGGGGTCAGTGTAGCCTTGGTACGGAAGGTTGGGGTATGACTCACCGTCAATGCCGAGACTTTTGCTGACCTTGCGCGCATGGCGGCCTGGCGTATCGCCCGTGCCATTCGAGGCCGCGCTCGAGGTAGTCATCACCGACCCTGCTCGCATGTGCCCCCTCGTGGGGGTAGGAGGAATGACGCCGGGTGTAGCGAACGTTCCTCTTGAAGGGCTTCCCATCCCCAGACTGCCCACACCAAGCCCGACCCTTTCATCCTGTGACTTTCGTCCGAGTTCTCTGAAATCGTCCTCATAACTCCTGTGCTTTCCCGCTTCAGTTGAATATACTGGACTATCCATAGTATCTGCGTCGAGCCCTGGCGTAGCCTCGGAAGCGCCAGAAGCAGACTCTGTCTCGGGCTCTTCCCCTATAGCGGCCGGTCCAGCAGAGAGGAAGAGAGTAGCACCAGTGTCACGAAGGGCAGCTTCAAAGTCTGCTTCGGATTTCTTGAGAGAGCGATTGGAAGAGGTGGAGAGGCGGTGGTTTGGATTAGGAGAAGAAGGATTTGACCGGGCCATTGGGGGGATGGGGGAGAGTGATCGGAGGGACGGCATGTCGGACAGTCACCAGGGTGGTCGGTTGTTGTCAAGGAGAAGTGAGGCCGGGTGATGCTCCGAGGGGCGCTCAGGTCAGGTACTGAACGATACGCAGAGGACGGCGTGGGATGTATAGGGATTATTGATTTGTGGGACGAATGCAAGAGATGATAAGCGGGCTATTGATGCGAACTAAAGTGGAGGACCTCTCGCGTCTTCCCTTTCCTTTCTATCTCCCGCACTCCTCTCTTCCCTCTCCCCTCACCCCCCTGACCCCAGTCTCGGACGTCTACCCCTCAGCTGAAACAAGCCCCCTCGCAGCAACCCGCCACATTTTCAAGCATCCCCCAACGCCCAGTAACCACCTCTCAATATGGTATGCTCTCGCACTAGGCCATCACATCATAATCAGCCCCTATATACTCACACCGCCACAGCCTCCCAGCTCGAGCGTACTGAACCAGCAGTTCCGAGCCATCACAGGTGCCTCGTATGTCTTCTCTATCGTGCCACTCTAGAATACACGCGGCGCCGAGATCCTGGGGCATGGTATTGCAGATGGCTGACAGCACGCGAACAGGGCGGCAGAGGCGACCAAGTACATCAAGAAGTACAAGTCTGTTGAGAATGTCAGCCAAGCTTTGGACCCCTCTGTGATCGTGAAGCTGATATGTGTTTCAAGGCCGTGGACGCTTACTATAACGACGACGACGATGAGCCTTTTGCTGTTGCGGACCCTGCTCAAGAGAAGAAGCTCGGGGCTATCTGGGAAAAGTACAAGGGTGCGCATTGTGCCATTGTGCATGATGTTTATGCTGACGTTGCGCAGATGAGAGCAACCCCAAGCTGATCACGATTGAGGGTACTTTGCAACTATGCGAGGAACTTGGTATCGACCCCGAGAATGTACGTTTGCCGACCCAGCTCGAATCTGTGTGCTGACATAAAGGGCATAGGACTCTGTGCTTTTCTGCCTCGCGGCTGACCTGGGATCCAAGGTCACCGGTGAATGGGAAAAGGCTCCCTTCGTGGCCGGCATCCAGAGCTACCCCGGCACGTAAGCCACCTCTCATGCTCACTTGTCCCGATCCATTCACTCATATCGAACTTGCAGCATCGACTCCATCCCCAAGCTCAAAAATTACCTCCCTACCCTCCGTACAAAGCTGAATACCGATCCCGTCTACTTTAAAAAGGTCTACACCCACGCTTTCACGCTCGGCAAGGGGTCCAACGAGATGACTCGTTCCCTTGCTCTTGATACTGGTACGCCTATGGAGACTTCTAGCCCATGGTATGCTCATCCGTCTACAGCTATCCCCTTTTGGAGTCTCTTCTTCCCCCCCGCCTTCAACTCGACCCCCTCCGCCCTTTCTCATGTCCCTGACAACTCTCCACCCCAATTCACTCAACCCGAACTTGATCTCTGGATAGAATTTGTCACCCAGAAGAACAGAGCCATCTCGAAAGATACCTGGTCTCTTTTGGTCGACTTTGCAAGACAGATAGACAAGGAGTTCAAGGAGTATGATGAAATGGCGGCGTGGCCGTCGATGATTGACGAGTTTGTAGAGTATGCGAGGGAGAAGAAGGGAACTCGGGTGTGATGCCCGCTATCGAGCCAAGCATGACATGTACACATACCATATCGAGGACACATCATGACATTACATCGTTGACAAGATCTACAGCAAAAATCGCAAGTATTTATACAGAAGCACATCATAAACAGGGCCCATTAAACACTGTCCGCCAGATATATACGAGAGGCAGCGACAAGAAATATATAAAGATTCTCTAAAGGTATTCAACCAAGATTCCAAGCTATCTCAACACTGGACAATCCTCTGAGCAGCTTGTCCGAGCGCATCGAGGGCATCCCTCGCACCATCCTCGCTCTCTCCATACTCGCTCTCCTCGTCCAACCTCTCCACTCCCCTGTCACCCAATCTATCAATCTCCGGCGACCTCTTTGCCTGGTTCTGCATCAAGTCTCCAAGTGAGGCGCTCGACACATTGTAACTAGGCACCATCCCTTTGCAAGCCACATGTCTCACGTGCGCCACCTCTCCCAGCTCCCAGCTCTTGAGCGACTGGTGGCTCGTCCTGGACGTGCGGTCTGAGCGCATACTGGTGCGAGAGTCGCGAGAGTAGCGGGAGAATGTACTTTGGAGGGAATCGCGATTGGGATAGCCGTGCGAGTCGGAAGAGGTAGAGTTGCGATGTGGGGCAGAAAGATGTTTGGGAAGTGGGAGAGGAGAGTAGGATGGGGGCGGGGACAGGGGCAAGCCTGGGACAGCAGGTTCTGGCGAAGGAGAAATGGGAGACTTGCCAAACGTGCTAGCATCTACATCCAGAGGGCTTACCCCGATCTGTGGTAGAGATGGGCTGCGGTCGATCGACAGCCTTGGCAAGTCTCTTCCGTGAGGCGGCGGAGCATGACCAAAAGTCTGACGTTTATCCTTGGGTCCCTTCTTCTTTGCTGAACCAGACTGATCGGCAAATCCAGACTCGAAATCATGCTCCTCATCGTCCGAGGAATAGTCAACGGCATACCCTGTATCGACTTGTTCGACGTGGTCTGCCCCATGAGCACGAAGCCCTGGAAATCCATCCGAGGTGGAAGGGGTGATCAGGTCGAGTTCGACAGACGAACGCGACTTGAAAGGAGACGAGTAATGCACACCGAATGACTCGGACGATGTTCGAGGTATGGCCACGGCTCTCTCCCCGCTCTCTTCACGAATCACCTCTACCTCCTTGAGCTGCGGTCCTTGTGGATAGACCTCTCTAGAAGAGACGAAAGCATTTGTATGATGCCCCCCGCTGCCACTCCCACTCGAACTCATCGCACTTGCGCTCCCAGAGAAACCGGAACCACCTCGTCGATGGCCATTGCCGGGCCTCTTGGGAGGTGGTGGGGAGTGAGGGAATGGAGTGGTCGTCGACGCGGATGCAGGCTCAAATTCGCGTGCTGTACCAGAGGCTGAAGATGGGGGAGTATGCTCCTCTTTCGGGGGGGGTTTCCTTGCAATCTTCTTTGGGAGACTTTCCGGGGTGCAAGGTCTGCTCTGTTTGGGCGCCAGGCTCAGTTTCGAACTCCTGTTCAATGCCTTTCCGACGCCAGAAGAGTCTGCACTTTGGACCGCCTTCTCTGCCGTAATACTCTCTTCGTATTTCTTCGGCTCTTCCCACGCGAACCCCATACCCAAGATACTCTTTGTCCATTCCCCGTTTCTGGCCGACTCGGCATCTCCGATCGGAAGGTCTTTGAATCCTCGCAGTTGGGCAGAGAGGCGCTTGGTTTGACGTGGGGTGGGGGCAGCGAGGAGGTTCGGGTCGGAGACAGAGCGGGATCGATTCGAAGGTGAAGTTGTGTGAGGCGCGGTTGTGGGGAGGCGGTGTTGGTGGTGCGAGTACTCTGATTCGGAGACTTCAGATTCGGTGGCGGAAACGGGGTATGAGTCTGATGGAATCCGACGTGAGATTCGCTTAGGGTTTGTAGTGGGATGACCTCCAAAGACGTCTCCCGCCGCCAAGCGTTCACCATGGGCAGTGGGCATGGCCTGACGATCTACCTCAAAGGAAAACTTGCGCAGCATTCCCGTAGCAGAGCTCGCCCTCGAGCTTTGGCTATCCCTCGTCCCATACGCATACGGCTCGTTCGAGGGGCCAACCGGAGCAGAGTGCGGGGCACGGAGGAAATCGTCACCTGCAACGTGATGGTCGGGAGTAGTATGCTGGCGTTTACGGGCACTGCTGATTAATAACAAGTCGGATTCCGAGAGACCCTGAGCTTTGAGAGAGGATAGCCAAGCCGGTGGGAGGTCTTGGAGGTCTGGCGAGACGTGAAGATCGTGCTGCAGATCGTTAGCTCTATGGGGTACAGCGGGTATGGATAAAGGTCGTGTAAGATCCACCAACGCGCGATAGAGAGATTACTCACTTCAACATTGAACGGTCGACCAATGCCACTATCGCCTTCATTCCTATCCATGCTCTCCCATCCGGTACCCTCAAACACTACCTGTTCCTGCGTCGACGGCATCTTGCCCCTTTTCCTCCATGTACCCGTATTGTTCACTCCCTTCCTTGGTGTAGATGTGGCGCTACTAGGTGCAGAGCCTGGCGCAGAGAATGAGCCGTGGCTAGACGTCCCTTCCGCGGTGTTGCGGCGCATCACGCTGCCTACTCTGCCTATACCCTTACCGATGCCCATCAAGAGCTGACTGGATGATCGTTTTTTAGTCAAGGGTACGGGGGCACTATTACCACTGTTGCCACTGCCCGAGCTCGGCGTCGGTGGCGCTGAGCGGTCGGGGCGCGCGCATCTGCCTGGGGTTGAAGTCTGCTCTGATCGAAGGGAAGGAGAAGCTTGGGGTTGAAACATGACCCGTCTTTTTGATACAGGCGTTTCGGGGCCTTCAGAGTAAAAGACAGAGGTCTGCGAAGATGCCACAGACCTAGATGGTGAGCCCGGGACAGTCAAGGTAGTTGTGCTGTAGTTTTGTGTGCCGGTGGTCAATGTAGAAGACGATTGGTTGGTGTAGGGATAGCGAGAGGCTGAACGAGTGGACGAAGTGGTGATCGGAGAGATGGATCCGGTGTTGGATGATGCTTGTTGTCTATGGAAATGCTGTGAGCGTGTGGCCGTGTGTGGATTGCTTGGTGAAGGACACACAGGGTGAATGTCCCCTTTGGCACAACGCACAAGGGGCTCGCTTGGGGGCTCTCAACAGCACTTACCTGGCAGACCGTCTGTGGTTCTCATCGCCGCTGCCCGTCGTGCAGCTGCCCTCGCCGGCGTAGAGGCCTCTGCCATGGAGGTCGAGTCCGAGCGCATCGAGGGGGACGGCTGGGAGCTTCTTGTTGCTGTCAGCCGTGGTGGGTGTCCGGGGGGCCATGGGGAAATGGAACAGGAAGAACGTTGGATGATGAAAAAGAAAGAGAGGATGTGATTGTTCTACGTGCACCAGATGCCACTAGCCACCCAGACAGCGGCCGTGCACCAAGCCACCCACCGCTGCCGTTCCTGCTGCCACCCCCCGAGGGCGCGCTGCAGCCCGGCGACCTGGGAGGCATGGGAGGCCGTCCGAGGCCATCTGGGGCGGGTTCGGAGCTGGTTTGTGGTCGCCGAGTGAGGCTACCTGAGGCTTCCCTATCTCCTAGCGCGTGAAAGAGGGCATAAGCGCGGCGGAAGCAAATGAGAGCGAGATAGATGTCAACAAAATCAGAAGATGCGTGAATCTTTGGTGAATCTGAAATCTCATAATCGCACCAAATATCCCCCTCGATGGCCGCTCTGCCCCCCTTCCAGGCCTCAAAGCAGGCACAAGCTGTCGCCATGCTCAGGAATCAGATGCGCCGGGAAGCAGAGTCTGGCAACAGCAGACAGTGCCAGAAATGCTTTCGATGTTGGCCGTGGGCGACCTTTAGGCCAGTCAAGTCTGGAGACCTCGCAAGTCATTCACTCGGCCCAAAATCACGATCTGACACACTACTTAGCCCGTATTCTGCCTGAGTTGCTCCAGGCAAGACGGGTACAGCAAGCACTGTAAAGAGGTCCATGGCGAGATGGTGCGTCCTCAAGCGTCTCCGAATACGATTTTGACCGATGTTTAGCTCCAATTCATTGCCCTACGCCGTGGAAAGCTGGCACCATCGGATGGTCGCACGTCTCTCGGAAAACCTGCCCAGAAATCTCGGCCAGAGGTCGTTACTGCCGGAAGATCCGAGCCTCAGCTCGCTCAACACCATCGCAAAGAGCGGTTGCAGATGGAGATGGCGGCCAAGCAACGAGCTGCTGAACAAAATCGCTTCCGCCCCGCCACCCCTATCACACTGTCAAGCGAACGGTCCCCTGCGATGCGTCTCATTTCGAATCCGCCCCAATCGAATGGCCGACCAGGCAATGCAATTGACTTGCCCCGTCTGCCCCATCAACCAGACCCCATTCGTAATGTCAGCCACCCCGCTCTTAGCAGTCAACCTTTGGATCACCCCCCGAGACATCCCATAGCACCAGGACACAACGTGGCAGTGCCCCTACCGACCTCCGACGTTGTCCCCTTGGCGGTGGCACTCAGCCGGTTGGCACCCCGTGATCTAGATGCACTGTCACGGAAGCCAGAACATGTCAGGCTCATGAGAGAACCTTACCGGTTTTCCGTCTGGTACGCTCGCTATCCTTCTCACTCGCGACTGCTTCATCTGATCTTTATATAGGTTGCAAATCATGTGTCGGCCCACAACAGCCCCGCATGCTGTGTCGTTCAATCTCCTCGCGCGGGCGTATCGTCATTTCCTATCTTTCTCCGCTAGAGAGACCGCATCCACCCCCGGCACACCCATACATTCCTACCGACACCCTCCACCTCTAAGCCCCAAAGACCTCGTCATAATTTTGCGCAACCTCTGGCCTCAAGTTCGCTTTTCTGGCGGCGTGCCGGGCAACGAAGAGCTGTTCTGTTTGGGGATGGAGTTTAGGGCCGGGGATGCTGAGACGGGGTCGAACACCGGCGGCGCGAGTAGTAGGCCTTGAGAGGCCAGCGGGCCCGCCTCCCGGCGTTGAGAGAACGAGTCAATATTCTCTCTCTCGGGACGTAGAACAACGCTCGGTCAGCGCGTGTGGGACAGGACATCCCCGGCGAAGGAGCAGTGGATCTGAGGTGGCAATGCAGTCAAAGCAGATATCGGCACAACTCTGCCTGATGCCGCCCCGATCAATTTTGAGTATCTGCCACTCCCTGAAGCGTCACCTAAACAGCTTTCCTGGGAGACGAGGCCTCTGCTGCTATCGCCTGAACAGATCCTCCCAAACCGCCAGAACGCTCAAGGCAGCATCAGGTGTGTATTGTTTCTTCTGTTCAAAGCAACTGCTAACCTTGTCACAGATCCTTCTGGTGATTGAACAAGAAGTAGGAGAGGTCACCACTACCCCTTGGCAGTACACAGCCTACATCAAGGGACGAGCTTTCTACAGACAGCATCATAATTCTCGATAAATTGTTGTAATCATACTGTATGCCTTATGTACTTTTTGCGTCTTCTCGACCACGACTCAATCCCCACGCTCTGTAACGGATTACATGAGACTGCCATCGGACAAACATGAGACTGCCACCGGACAACCACTCGGACGCAAAATGTGAAAAATGCCATGTTTCGGATATCTATGGAAGCGAATACTATTTGTAACAGATACACAAACATTGGAAAGCCCTCTGAGGGTACTATATGGACTAAAATATTCTACTGACTATTACTGTTGACACACGTACACAAATGTATATATCAGGTGTTTCCCTTGGAAAGGGTTTTACTATCGATGTACAAAGAGAAATGATACAGTCCGTCCGTTCTGATGTAGGGAAACGGATATGAGAATGTTTTTGAATGGGGCCAACTCATGAGCCATCAAAGGCCATGGCCACATTGCCCCAAGCACCCAACACGACCACCTCATCACCGTCCGCCCCCGCTTGATCCTGCACCTCGTCGACAGTCTTGTAGCGTACTGTCGTCTTGCCATCGCCCCGCTTCTCACTCCGCCGGCTGTTCCCAGCGACAGCATCTCCCCCTGTGCTCTGCGCGCTCCAGTCTTGATTGGTCGAAACTAGATCAGCCCAGTAGGCCGCCCCCGTGATGGTATTGGTACTGTTCTGAAGTACCGTAGCGTTCATTCCAGCGCGAGCAAAAGACGAGTTGCTCTGCACAGTGATCTGGCCCAGCGACACCGCCCTATGCCGCCCCTGCCATGTGGGGTCGTAATCTGGCACAGGTGATGGGTCGGGTATGCGAATTTCTCCCCAGACAGTCTTGGCCGCGAACGGTCCGACAAAGTTTGGATGAAGATGCAGACTGATATGGCCGTGCAAAGTCGAGACCAAAGAGGACAAAGCAACCGTTGTGGGCTGATGCAGGTATCGCACATACAGTGAGCCGTCAACGGTGCAGAACCCGGTATTGACTCTGTGTTTACTGGAGGCAGAAGCAGACTTTCGGCGGACGATGGCAAAATCAGAATCGGAATTGGTGCTGTCAAGCGTTGTAGAGTTGTCAGAGGCCGCAGATGGGTCGTGAAGGATGATGTCCGCAAGAATGTTTCCACTATGAGCGTGGTCAGGACTTTTCTTGCGCCACTCGGGAGCACTCACGAGGACACATTTACAAAGATACCCTCAGAAACATTCCACTGGCCCCTGATATCTCCCTTCGCCTCAATGTTCCCCGCCTGCAATGCCACATATCCTGCACTCACGCCGCCTGAATCATTCGACAGATTCAGCTCGCCAAACTGCGCAATCCCCTCGAGGTCCCCCAAGCTGAGGTGCATGTAATCCAAGCCAAACGACAGGGAAGGGAAGTAGGTGAAGGGTGCGTCTTGATTATAGATGGAGGCTGGCACGCGGATGACGATGTGGGTGGTAGGGATGTAGTTCGGGTTGAGAAGGCTGCGGTCCGTGATCTTGTTATCTGTCTGAAGTGGGCTCTGTAAAGAGGTCAGATTGGATGACTGGGCGACATGCAGAACTCACATAGATGCCTACGCCCACTCCACCTTCACCTCGATTCATTTCGCAGACCTTCAACATCGAGTCCAAAGCCTGCAACCCAGCATATTTCACTATGACATCCACAGTGATGTTTCCCTCAGGCGCACTGTTCTTGAGATCATCGCTGCCATCTGAGCCAACGAACGTTATTGTTCCAGTCGATCCCAGACCACGCGCATTGATGAACAGGTCGGAAGGAGCAGACGCATTCGCCTGCAGAGGAAAGTTGAATGTTGTCATATAGACACTGGTGGCGGAGAATGGCGTAAACAGAGACGAATAGGCGGAGGAAGATTTTAAGGGTGTGAATCGATTACAATTTGTCAAGTTGCCATCAGTGGGCGAAGGCCCGTCCTGTATAATGTCAATACTGCCTACGTGACAAGGCTGATCTACTCACTCTCGCTTCGGTGTATGTCAGATTAAACGGATCATTCCACCCCCAGATAGCTACATGTCGCGGTGTCCCGTCATTGTCTTCCCACGGAGCCGCTGAGACACCGTGTTTCGACACACCGGCCTGCCTCATGCCGACCAACAAACCGATGACAAGCGCGACGGCGATCAGAACCAATACGACCGCGCCCTGTACCCATCTTCTCCATCTTTTCCACCATCTTCTGAAAGTGGGCGAAGCTGCAAAGAGGACATGCTTTTCTTTCGACGCCGAGGATTCCCAAAGCTTGGAAGTACTCGCGACTGGAAGCGTTGTTCTCGTTGTGCTCACGATAGAGGGACTCCGTGATATATGTGATCCACCGTGTAGCAGCACAGCACCGTGATGTGTGTGGAACGAGGGCAGAGAGGAGGAGGATGCTCTCGCAGCGGTCGGCGTGAGGCTACCAGCTGAATCTGTTGGTGAATGCCGGTCACGGTACGAATGCGTCGGTTCGGGCGGTATGACTACACCCAGGCCAGGCCGCCGTCCTCGGTCTCTCGTCTCGAGCTGTGGCTGCTGGGCCGCATTCTCATCTGAAAAGACATCGCCTTCGCGTGAGGACGAGCCAGCCAGGGCAGGGGCTGTGCCAAGGTCATTGTCGACTGATAGACGCGACCGGCGCTGGCCTTCGTACGGCGGCAATGACTCGGCGTCCCACGCGGACCCCTCAAAGTACGAGTGCTCTGAGGGGGCGCCATAGGTGGAGGGGGTGGCGGATTGTCGAAAGATGTTTGGGTCCTTCTCAGGGTCGGGAGGGATAATCATGGCGAGGAGGTTTGAGAGGTTTGTTGTGGTTTATAGGACGAGTAGGAAAGAATAGGGAGGCCGGGCGCTCTGCGCGTTGGTGGGTATGTGGGCCAGCGAGGGGCTATCTCATGTCTCGCTCGCTGTAGTGGGGGCGGTGGATGTGAAGGGAGGCGGTGTACTGGAGGAAGGATTGGCGGTAGTCGGGGAACAACGATGGAGATAGATGGGGAGGAGAGATGATGAGATGGGGGAGATGGATGACGAGATGAGATGTTCGGGGAGCACAGACCACAACACCGAAAGCGTCCTCTACCCCATCTGCTGCGACCCTCCCCCACACGCGCCTATCCTGCAGAACCGAGAGGCACGCGAAAGGCGGTGGGCGGCGGTGCCCGCTGCTGCTATCTCGTCTTGTACAACTCGGGGCGGTGAAGGCGCAGATGCAATGGTTCCATAGATACACACCTCTATGATACATACAATAATGCGACTATGCAATAAGAAAAGATCCGCTAAAACACCAAGGTTTCTATGCGCGTAGCCCCCGTACCCCCAAGATCCCGGACCCCGTCGACGTCTTACTCCCCTTCGCCTCATTCTCCTTTCCCTTCGCGCTCCTTTCTCCCAGAGACACCTTCGATCCCATCTCGTTCTCTTGTAAGAGCACGCTAAACTTTTTCTGGCTTCCCGTTGAAGACTTTGACTTGCGGAGAGCAGATTTGTTTGGTGCCGCTATGATCTCGTTCGAGAGTCGCTTCTCGACCAGAGTCAAGGGCTTCAGGCCCCTCTTCTCCACAGTCTTGCTCTTTTGAGCAGGCTCCACAGTAGATTCAGACTTTTGTCCCTTCATCTCCTTCTCAGCGTCCCTTTCCGCATTCCTCTCGTTCAACTGCTTCACTAGCCGAAGTTCCTGCTTTGAGGGCTTGTAGTCTAGCGCCTTTGGCAAGGGGGTAGGATTGCTAGCCTCAGACTCTGACGCCGTCCAGTTGGACTGTAATGACCCGCTGGAGCTTTTCGGCAAGAGGTGCTGGACAGACGGGTGAGGCTCAATGGTGGAGAAGCGCTGATTGTTGACGGGCCCGAAAGTAGAGGCAGAAGTAGACTTTGCCAAAGGAGGAGGATGGGGGTGGGAGCGGACAGGCGGGGCAGCGGCATGGGCCAAGTGGCGATATGGTGAAGGGATGTCGGGCACAGGAGGTGCTTCGACGGCAAAGCTCGTCGAGTACCCTGTTCCGGAAGCAGATGTAGCTGTCGTTCCACTGGTGGTTGTCGAGATTGACCTGACGCTCGCCCTGCTCGATCGACCGTCCTCGCCACCATATGAAGAAAGCGGGGGAGAAATGACAAATTCAGCTCGAGTGGGAGTGTCCATGGCCATCATGGCTTCCATCTCCTCCACCGCGTCCTCGGCGTCGGTGTTCAAAGTACTGGCCAAAGACCCTTGGCTTGGAGACATATGGGAGGCCTCTTGCGGCAGATTGGCCTCTGCTGCCAGACTTTGGGAGGAGATTGAGGCGCCCAGCTCAAGAGCCAAGTGCATATCTGCCATGTACGATTTGGAAAAGGTCATCGAGCTTTCCTTTGGCAGACGCTCCTCGACCCTTTCGACTGTGCTGACCTGCTGAGTCAAAGTGGCGGGGATAGGTGGGAGATCAAAGCCAGAGGATACAGGACGAGAGAGCTCATCGAAAGACTTTCTCATCTCCTCTGTAAAGTCTTCCTTGTTGAATTTCGGCAGACCGAAAGAAGTCTTCTCCTTCAATTCTTGCTCTCTCACAGTCTGATTCGACTTGGCGCTGGCATTACGTCGTACCCTCGAAGTTGATTGCCCATGCGACTGGGCAGTGTAGTACTCGGGCGACTTGGAGAGGTCGATGGAAGAAGAAAAGCTTCGGATGTGGGTATGTTTGCCGTTGTGACGAGACTGGTGAGGGGTAGACTGGTCTCTGAGAGACATGGAGCGGAAGGAAGGAGCACCAATGAAGCTTTCGTTGTCATTTTCCACATGCGAGCGGCGGTCGGCACGGGGAGTGTCGCAGTCGCCGGCTTCCTCAGAGTCGTGGACGATTGCCGCTAAACCAGGAGCAGGCTCGACTCTAATATCATTTCCGATCTTGATGGCTGGCACAAGACTAATAACCATCAGTATATATTTGTATCGTCCACACAAAGCACTCACTTGGGCAAGACGCCAGCCGTCAACCAGTCCAGCTCGTACTCATCACCCTTCCCAGACACCCTTCTTCGTTCGGAAACTCTACGCTGGTTGTAGATCAACATCGGTCCATTCGACATTCTCCCTCGCTTGGCTTCATGGATCTGAGCCGGCATGCTTTCGTTCTCGCCATTGGAGCTGCAGCTGTGGCCGCGGCTGAGTCTGGAGGCTCGCTTGTCTGGCGAGGGACCAGTAACAGACACGGCGACACCCGACTTGGCAGATATGAATGAAGCATCGTCTGAAGCATCATCATACCGCCCAGTCGTTTCTGCTCCCTGACTTGTCGCTTCCTCGTGCACGCCAGTCCAGCCGCCTTCAAACAGGCTGCTCGCCCGCTTGGCAAGCATAGACACCACTCCAGCTCGATGACTCCTGATATCGTCTTTGTGGGCCCGCGTCTTGGGCTGAATTTCGAGGACACGCATAGCAGGAACGGGCTTGAGCATTTCAGCGGCTCGAGCAAAGATGCCGCCGCCTTGCACAGCGTGCCCCTCCTCGAACCAAACATCGGCGCTCTTTCTTGCGATAGTCTTTCTCATGACCTCTTCAGCCTCCATGTCTCGCAGATCGAGATTGCCATAGACTGTGTGTCGCCTTTCAGGACTTTTGCCCTCGAATGTCACTACGCGCGAGCCGCCGCCATCAGTGGACAGGAACGTCGTGAGGGACGGTTTCTGCTGCACCAGCTTGCCCATGTGTTTGCCGTTGATGTCCGCAGAAGACCTTTGAGGCTGAGGAGGCGTGAGCTTGGGCGAAATGGATACCGGGAGCGAGAGCTGGGACTCGGAAGTCAAGGCGAGGGACTTGTACCCCGAGGTAGCAGCTGTCGAGGTCGATCCCTTCTTGCCCCTGTTCGTGCCTTGCTTGGGATGTCGGTATCGCAGGATGTAAGAGAGGAGGACAAGGACAGGCGATGGGAGGATGATGGAGATGAGATACAGGAGCGTGGCCATGCCAGAGGGCCCTTGAAGCAGCAACGGAAGTGCGAGCGCCTGGTAACGCCGAAAAAAAGGTTCCGTGAAGAAGAAAATAAAACGCGTCATTAGCATTCCATGCGTCTTGATGTTTGGTTCCAACTTACCCAGCAGCAGATAGATCCAGCGACAGCAACCATTCCGAGTCCGCGTCCACCACGGCCCCAGCTCTGCAGCGCCTCGGAGCCAGACTCGACCGCAACCCAGTCCCGCTCATCGCCGCCCATCAACAGCTCCATACTGTCCTTGCCGGCCCCAGAGCTCATATCCCAAAGAGTGCTGCTTCGTGCAAACGTCGGAGTGGGAGGCAGAGGCATGTTGGTGGGCATGGGAGGGGGAGGAGGTGCGCGAAAATCGATAGGCTTGACGCGCGACTGGCGCCTATCGGGAGTCTTGGCCTCCACAAGAGTAGTGCCGCTGGCGGTGGGACCGCTACAGCTCTCAAGAGTCCAGGTGGATGAACCTTTTGCGGATACTCGCTCAACAGGCACGCATATAACGGCATTGTCTATCGAACCAACAGCTCGAGTAGCAACAAGACTCGCACGACTCTCGCCGGCCATCTGAGAAGGCGAAAGCGGGTAGCTACTCAATGATTCGAATGCCCTGGGAAGGGGGCGGAAGGGGTCTGGCGAGTAGGCGGCAATGACTGAGCCATCAGGGGAGCGGAGCGGGGACCCGATTGAAGAGAGAGTGTGAGTGTAGGCAGTCGAGTCGGACGCCTTGACTGCGACACCCTGCGTCTGGCCAGGTCTTGGAAGGTTCGTGTCAAAAGCGGGGGAGACGGGAGACCTAGGTCGAGTAACCACAGGTTCTGGCGAAGGGAAAGACCATTCGGATATGGTCCGACTGTTGGTGTCCTGGGATAACCAAGAGTCTTCGGTGGACTTGTCCGGAGAGTTCGGGCTCAGGGCGGTATTGGGGGAGAGGTGCTGGAAGGAAGAGGGTGACATGGCCGTCTGAGGCATGGTTGGGGGTGTCCTGAGAGACATGCCAGAAGCTTTGCTCTGGGGCGTCTTGTATGATGATTCCGAGGGAGATGTGTTGGCTGATGGAGATGTGTTGTGGGAATCACCGTTGGACCCGGGCGAAAAGTCAAAGGAAGAGATCATGGTCTCTGTACGAGCTGATACAGAGTTAGTCAAGCTCATGCGGCCGTGAACTGGATACCCACAAGGTGACGTTAGCCAACTATCCCCAACTCTAAGCTCCGCTTCATCCATCTCTTCCACTTCTCCGGCTTCTCGTTCGTCATCTTGACTGATACCCTCGGGTAGATAACCCGTCTCCTTTTCATACAAGCTCATCCGGCTCTCTCCCCTCAGCCTGATCATGCCCTCTCTGGGTCTGTACACCATTTGCCACATGCCGACACAGCTGCACCCGCCAAGGACTGCCACGGAAGCAGCCGACATGGCGAGGATGACATATCTCGCCGAATCACCAAGCACGCCTGCAAGGATAATAGCGACACCCGTAGTGGCAGCCGAGATAGGAAAGATCCGTGGGTAAAGTGTATCATGCGTGATACCTCCGGACTTGAAGACAGCGTGGCGGAAGGAGGACAATCTCGAGCTGTGGTGTCGGTTGTGCATCGGTTGGGAAACCATGACGAACAGTGCCAACCAAGCCGCCGTAACAGGTAAGAGTGTGATACTGACAGCCACCCCTGCCCAGATGCCCGTTGTCCCCTCTATACCGATCTCGAGCACGACCCATCCGGCGACGAGGCTAACGAACCCTTCGCCGGCCAGAAGCAGCATGAGCTTGCCCCTGACACCCAGACGGGCGCCGACATCGCCCCAAGCAAGCTTGTAGGCTGTACTTGGGCTATCTGGTCGAGGGGGAAGGTTGAAGAATTCTCTGGGGAGGTTACGAGCTCGGCGAGGATGGGGAATGATGCCGGAGAGCTTTTGGAGGGACGGAGTGAGGTTGCCGGAAAGCGACAGGAGAGGGGTAAGGTGGTAGAGGAGAAGAGTAAGGAGTAGGAGGACGGAGGGGATAGGGAGGACGGTGGATAGTATCTCGGGGAGCATACTGCTTTGTTTGGCGGTGTTGTAAGAGTGGCAGAAAGATGACGAGACGGATAAAAAAAGAGTGCGTGAGGGTCGTCTAGATCGTCAAGTCGTTCAGGTGTCGTGAAATAGATGTCTAATGTATGAATATCTGTTGTTAGTGAACAGGGGACAAGAGAAAAGCTGAGAATGGAGATGTTTGCATGGAGACGATGTTTGTGGCTGCAGTGTGTGGCGAGCAGGAACGTAGAATGTGTCGTTCAACGTTGAGTGCCGGTGTATGTAACGTTGGTCGACAAGTTCGGGTGCACGATGGACTCAGGGCTTGCATGGGGCATGCGTAGATCTGTTCACTTGGGAGCTGCAAGGACTGGTCGGCAAGGCCAAGGAGCCACCGAAATCACTTCTCATATGCTCAAATTTGGAGGTGCGTGCTGTCGGTCTGAGGGATCTGAAGGTGCATATATAACACTATCCATAATATCCATCACAATCGACATAAAGTGTCTAATAACAAGTAAATATGACTACAGATAAAGATGAAGGTAAAAAGACGAAAAAGGGCGATTGTTCCCTGATGATTTTCCTTTGGGGTGGTAGCTGGTACAACGCGAGCGGAACGAATGAGATCAACGATGAAAAAAGCCCAAAATAAGAAAAACGATAATGATGTGTCGTACAACCTCGAGACACAAGACAGGAGACAAGCACTGTTCTTTCTCAGACAGCTTCTCTCAACGCCCTTCTGGCCACCATCGCATCATCCAGCCTTCTCGCCTCGTCCCCCGCTTCTTCCGGGCTCATGCAGTCACTCCCACTCCCGCTCTCATCACTCGTCCTTCTCCCCTCGCTCCCCACGGAGCTACTACTGTGGTCGAGATGCTCGCTCTCGTCAAACTCGCGTCGCCGACGGGCCCACTCGGCCTCGCTCAGCTCGGCATCGGCAGAGGTGGGGAAGGAAGTCGGAATGTGTTCGGCAGGGTCGGCAGAATAGTGGAGAGAAAGAAGGGACGTGAGGTTGCGGGCAAAGTCCACAAGTTGAAACACCAGCCTGTGTGAAATGTCAGCGTGGTTGCGCAACACAAAGAGGGACGCCTACGAATGGTTGGGACCGATCCAGCTGGACTTGTTCTTGACAAAGTCGTAGGCGTCTTGCATAGACCGAATGTGGCCGAGATATTCGGGCATGGTGCCCGCAGCCGCCAGGGCCATGACATAGGCGATGGTCAGTGTAGCCGATCTCGACACACCACATTGGCAACTATCCACGCGTCAGCTTGACCCGTTTGTAGGATATAGATACTCACTGTATAAGCACCGGCGTCCCGCTCTTTCTTCCCTCTTCCATCCAACGGATCGCCTGCCAAAACTTCCACATATCTTGCACCTCGGGCCCCTGTGGCCTCCTCACATCCCCCAAAGTCGCCTTCTCTGGCAGATCCGCCAGTCCTAGCTCGCCATGCGACCACCTCACATGACAATACTCCACCTCAGGCCTCGCCGCAGGGCCTTCAGAGATAGAGGGGTACGTCTTGAGCTTCATGCTGCCCTTCTTCTCTGAACCAGTACCGGACCAGCCGGGATCGGCGCGGACGGAAAGGTCAAAGGGGTCGTCAATCTCTTGAGCGACATTGACGATCCGCACCTTGCTCTTGCCAAAAGCCCAGACGCCAAATCGCCATGCAGACTCTTCCGCGCCGAGCCACACGCCGGGAACGACCTCGATAGGGCCGTCCTCGTAAGGCTCAGCCTGGCGGACGGGATACGGCTTGGAGAAGGAGATTGACGCGGGAAGGGGAGGAGAGGTGGAAGGGGTGGTGTTGGTGGACGCCGAGAAGGACGTCGAGGAAGATGAATCAGAGGCAGGCTTTTGCGGGCTCGAAGAAGGCAGCGCGTAGCCGAGCTGGTCGAGACCAGACGTAGTCAGGCTGCTGCCCTCTGTCTCTTCAATGGTAGGTACACCCATACCCATACCGAGAGGGGTGGCAGACCAGCTGCCTCCTTTGTTCTCTGGCCTCGTCGTAAAGATTTCTTCCGCCGTCTGACTCCTCGCTCGGCCCTTGCTACGGGGCATATGCATAGTGGCGTAGGGGTGCATGCCGACCGAAGGCGTGGGCGGCACCGCGTCTCCGCTGGGAGGTTGGGTGATGAGGCTCAGCAGCGACGGGCGGCGAAGACCTCGTGTCGTTGAGCGGCCCGTAGACATGGCGAGAGCTGGTGTACGGGGTGGTCCTGGGGTGAAGGGTGTAGGGAACGTCGAGTCGCTGGGACCTGTAGCGGTGGGGGTGGAAGATGTCGATGAAGAGGAGGATGAGGGAAGAGAAAGGGAGAGTTTCTTGGGGTTGGATCTGCGCATGGCGAGTGCAGGGAGTGGCGGGAACAATGGTGTCGACTGAGGCAGGCCTGACTGAGCAGTAGGGAAGGGCTTGCCGATGGTTCTGGCCTGATAGCTGGGCACGTTACCGAACGACTCTTCTTCGTCGCCCGTCTTTATATGCACATTGTCCCCATCTTCTCGCATCTCGATATCCTCCATCTTGCCGTGTTCAACACTGGTACCAGTGCTAATGCTCAATCCCAAGGTACCTTTGTGGTTTCCCTTGTCCTCGTTGCCCAGCGAGCGGATGCGCTTGGTGGGCCTTTGACAATCAATTCTTGACCCGCCAGCTTCTAGAGATGAAGCGGATGTCGGGGAGGAAAAACGTTTCCGGGGATTGTGGGAAAGTCCGAGAGCAGGAGAAGGCGGTGCCGCGGGGGATGGGAAGGATGTGCCACTGAGCGGGAGCGATGGGGTGGCAGGCGGGTTGGATGTGAAGGACGGTGTACGCGGGGAGAGATGGAATCGTCTCTTGTTGACAGACAGACGCAGGGGGATGGGGGTGTGGAGCATTAGAACTAGAGTTGCACGTCGACCGGCGACGGTATGCGTATGGTTCAAATGGGAGTGGGTGGAGGGGATGTGGCCAAGGGCAGAGGGGAAGAGGACGGCAGTCAGCGAGTGATCTTAAGTGCGCAGAGAGGACAATAGGGAGCACAGCAACGGAGAACAATACGCGCGAGGACAATAGCGTTTCGACGTAACAGACGGCAGTTGTGATGGGAAGCACTCACCATTGTGATGGCAACCGTCCTTGAGCGAGCGACCGAGATGCGACGTCTGGCTGTTGCTGTACTGGCGGGGGGTGGATGATATCGACAGCAGAGGAAATATATCTGGGTGGTTGTCTTGGAGGAGAGTGTTTTTCTCAGAGAGGGGTCAATGCGGCGGCAGTGTTGGATAGTGTATGGTCGTTCCGTATGTTGACCTGGCGCGCTGCGCTGCAACGTGTGACAGACTGGGGACTGGGGGCGGGGACTGGGGACGATCTAGGGCCAGGGGTAGAGTGTGTGGGTGGTCAGGCGAGCCAGGGGGCGTGAAACTTATCAACAAGGAGACAATACGAGACAAAAGGAAATGGCTCGGTGCATCTCAGGGAAGAGCCTGACGACCGCGCGACCATGCAACCTGTGCACTCAAGTCCCATCCTGCTATGCCACTATGCCGCTCTGCCCGCCATGCTATACGATGCTATCCCATCCCATGCACTGCCTCGCCGCTGGAGAGCGCGATGCATGCCGCCAGCCGCCAGCCGCCAGCCGCCTTCTCGAACCTCTTTTGCCTGGGCCTCTTCCATCTTCTGTCCCTGAGCCCATCAACGTGCCTGCCTGCGCGTCGAGCCTCCTGCGACCTGCACTGCATCTCGCGGCGACCGCCGTCTTGCGTCCTGTTTGGTTACCTCCCCAATACCTTCCTTTTTGGACACCCGACCTTTGTATATCCGGGCGAATGTCTAATCACTTTCCACATCCACCTCAGCTCTATTTGCAGCACCAAAGATACACACGCAACATGTCTGACCTATTCGAAGACCCCCTCAAGCCCGAGAACAACCACGACATGTCCCTAACCCCATTCCACATCTTCACCCTCGCCCTTTCCTCCCTCTCCCTCATGCTCAACAACCTGCCCTCTTCTTCCCCGTTCGCCCCACTCTCAGGTCCATGCACTCGCCTGACAGTCTTGCTCGTGCTCCTGCTCCTAGCTTACCATGCTCTACTTTGGATGATCCAACAACACGAAGCTGACGTCAAGCGCGCACATGCTAAAGAAGAGAGAATGCAACACGACCCGTCAAAGAAGGGCGAATTCAAAAAGAAGAAGAATGACTGGGAACATCAGTACGGCCACCCTTCGCACTACCTCACTACACGGGATGGTAAACCGCGGCTCTTTCCATTCCCGCTCGGGCTGGCTGGCGCTTCGTCGGCATTGAAAGAGCTTTGGTGGGAAGCTGGCAACACACCCCACGTGGGGCACTACAATCAGCGCGAGACGCCCGCTGCGCGTGAACAGATGAGGAAAGAGATGGAAGTCAAGGAGGCACAGAGGCAGAAAGAAGCGAAAAAGAGGCTGAAGGCGATGGAAGGGGAGAGGACAAAGTGGCAGAAGCGGTTGACGCATCTCAAGGTCATCATGGCCATTGTCTGTGTCGGGCTTGGTGAGTGATGGCATCGTAGCGGGATAAGCTAATGAGAGTAGTGAGCAAGACATTGGCGATAGGTTGTTTGGCAGCGTGGATCTACTACGTCGTAGCAGCTCAACTAGCGGCCATGCTCGCGGTCAAGAAAGAGGACGAAGAGAAACCGGCCAAAGAAAAGCAAAAGATTCCTACTGTACGTCCATGCCTCTTTGCCTGCCTTTCGCCCGAGCTCATCCTTCACAGGGTCCTGGGATGGCGCTCACATACCTTTATGAACCCGACGGCGACTGGGTCAAACCAGCAGGCAACATTCCAACCAAGGCGCCTACCAATCGTCTCATGACTTCGTTCGAAAGCCGCTACGCCATGTAACAAGTGACAGCGGGGTAGACTTTACAGATGTCATGCATGTTGTATTTCAGGATATTCTTTGACAATAGGTTGTTAGATGCAGGCTAGTACAAATTATTCTTTCGCAGTGTTCTTCTATGCGTTTTGCCCCGGCGCAAAACACTCTATCCCGCTTAATCGTCTCTGATCTGACCCAGATAGTCCTTTTTGATAGTGCCGATTGCAAACTAACAGCTGTCAGGGGCAGCCAAAGGATAGAAAGACAAGACTTACCATATCATTCGCCTCTACTCTGCACCCAACAATCTGTATTCGCACCTTTGTCCCCTTTTGGATGACTTCGTCATTCGAGCGGTAGCACGGTGGTGAAACCGATGGGTCGAATTTCATATCCGCGTGTGTCAACTGTATACTTTAGGTCAGCCTCCGATACAGTCATGCTTTTTCAAAAGATGGGGAAAAGGAGAAAGAGGCTCAGAGAAAAATCGATCAATTACTACAAGATCTTCCCGCATAAATCAACATTCCCGCAGGATCTGTTGTCCCTATGCTAAAATTCATCATAGATGGAGGGAGAGTGGAAGGAGAAAGAATAAAGATATGGAAACAAGACTTACGTGACACGAGACGAAAACTTGTAACGGCCCGACCATGGCAAAAAAGCCCATCTGGTTTCTCGTCAGAACCATGCCATGTCCCCCGAGAGAAGACATACCTTGTTGACATTGACCACCTTGGCATCGACCACTTCACCCTTGAAAGGCTTCATGACGATCGCAGTGTACCCTGTCCTAAACTTGGCTTGGCCTGTCGAAGGCATGATCTTGCCCTCTCCAATGTCTGTTATCTGGACGACTGAGATGATGTACCTGTTTCGCCTTGTCAGCCAGGCAAAAGCACACGAGACAGAAAAAGAAAACTTACCCATGTTTACCGCTGCAAGTCCCCTCGACATCCTCATAGAGCTTTTGCCGCAGATAATCCTCAAGTTGCGCACCAAAGTAGGATGGATGGAGCAAGATCGTGTGGGTGAGTTCTCGCTAATTTCAGACGAGTTGAGGAGCGGAGAAAAGAAGAGACATGAGGAACACGAGAAAAAACAGGATCAACAGTGTCAGCGCGAATAGCATTGCTTTCGCGCAGGGGTAGTACCAACCAGGAAGAACATCCTGAGCTGATGAGTCTCTCTCTTGCTTGCTCGAGGGGCTAGGGACTAGGAGGAGAAGAGAAGCCTGGTATGGCGGGGTGGAGGATGGTCAGCTGGGTGGGAATCAGCCCTGCATGAAGTCGGGGAAAGGGCGGGGAGGAGAGGGGGTGGATGGATGGATGGAGTGGAAAGAAGAGAATGGAAAGCGAGGGATGTTGGCGGGCAACAGTTTGTGGTGGGAGTGATAAGGGAATGCCACGTGTGGTGCTACGTCGTCTGGACGGGACCAAAAGTTGATGGGGTGCTGCGACGAAATGGAGGATGGACAGCATCATCACCACGGCCACGGACGGGGGAGGCAGGGAGGGATGGGCAGGACAGGGCAGGGGCGGGCATGCAGCAAGGGGGGAGCCTTGGACGCTCGGGGGTAACACAGTACATACCACGCATGCATCCACGCGATCTGACTGACCGGCTAACGTGTCCGAGCCTCCACCTCGCAAGGGCTCACTGAACGGCGTCACAGCTCTTATTTCGCTTTCTTCCTACATGCTCCCTTCGAGTATCTCTTTATAGTCTTTTTCTTCCCCATCCACACTTATAGCTCCCATAAATAACCCCTAGTCCCCCAGCCCGCTTCCTGTAGTTCTCCTTGGGCCACAGAAAGGAACGCTGCTGTGCTGCTAGTCCTCCCTCCTGGAAACCACCTTTAACGCTTGACGACCGGTCAGTATCTCTTCCCTACCACCTCATCTCCCCTGCCTGCTCACTCACCGATCCACAGGCATCCGCATCTCCCTTTCTCTTCCTCCCATGTCTCCCTCTGTACCCGCCCCCGCGACTCTGGCGCAGCCTCCTTCCCAAAATAAAGCCAGCCCCCGCTCCAGCCTGTCACCGGAAAAGGTCGGATTCAAGCAGAGAGAAGGAAAGACACCCCCACCTCCGGCTCCCAGTGCTGCTTATGCTAGACGGTGAGTCGTGGATCCGTTTCCCTCGCATTGGACGTGTCTGTGACGTGGCCGAGTTCTTGTACCTGGCTGCACTGCAGCTTGCGTCGTCTTGAGAGAAGAGTCGGGCTGCCTGGCGAGCTCAGTCGCAGAATCGTGTGTATCCTGCCTGGGGTCTGAAGGCCACTGGTGTACATGGGGGGACTCCAAGCGTTCTCCTCGTCCGTGGATCTCCTTCTAGGCTGGCTCCTTGTGCGGGTGGAGATGCCGAGCTACGCATACACTGGAAACTTCTCCAGCAGCCTCGAATTATCTCATACAGACGGCGGCTTGTCAGTCACCCGTGGAGCTCCGTAGTTGCCCGCACGTTACAAATCTTGTGGCCCCCGTTTGATGCCATTGCTGATGTGGAGGTTCCATAGCGCTCGCGAAATCATAGGCGACGAAATGGGTGTTCCCACATATAAACCAGTCGTCGACGTCGACGACGCTCCTGCTGCTCCCGGCCTCAGTGCCCCGGCAGGCTACCGACGAGCCCGAGCTGGGTAAGTTCCACCCTCCATCAAAGGGACGCACCCTGACTGCGGATCTCTCTGTAGCACCATGCCTTCCAACCTCCACGAAGCTGCCGCCCGATACACCGCTCCCCCAGATGATGACCAGCCCACGAGCGCCACGACCGTGACGTCTGCGACGCCCACAGACGCCAATTATACCCGTACCTCGGCTCTGTCCCCTGCGTATCCCCAAAACGCCAACGGCCGACCCACGTTGCGTCACACATCTTCGTCGGCTGCCAACTTGGAAAACTCTGAGGCGCCAGCGCCCAACCGTCTCCGGTCTGGGTCGTTGACTCTGCCTTCTGCTGGTCTTGGGGATGCCTTTGGACATGGCGCATTTAGCAACGCCTGGTTGTCAAACCCCGGCTTGACCACTGCTGCATCTACCCCTGCTCGAAGTCCCCTGGGTCACCGAACTCATCCCCACGAGGAGGACTTTTCGTCCTACACCTCAGCCTCCGAGTCGGCGGCCAGCCTGGCTACAGACGACCTCAACTTTTCGACCCTCGACTACCTCGGCCTTGCAGACGTGCCCGACCATCTTCCTCCTGCCAGCATGTCGGAGCTCCGAAGGCAGGCGCAGCATGCGATTGCTTCCAACGGACCTGCCAGTCGACACCGAGCGAGCACAGTGTCAAACTTTGCTCGTCCTTACCGTCCCAGCGTGACCTCCATGGGCCATTCTACCAACAACTTGTACGATGGCAACAGCGAAGAAGAGGCGCTCGCGAGGGAGATTGAGAATCTCGGTATTTACGACACGAGCTTCATGTCCAATCCCCAACTCGCCAACCTCTATGCTCCTTCCAGCTTGTACAAGGAGTCGAACCGCCAGCGGGCGAGTACGATTGGGGCGCTCGAGAACCCTCAGCGTCGGGGCCTTAGCAGATCATCGAGCTACCTGCAGAGCATCCCCCAGTCACCCGTCCAGTCCGAGCTCTTGGCTCTGGGTACGTATGGCTATGGCAGGTCGAGGGACAATAGCCGTGCTGGACGTCTATCCATTTCTTCCCATACCAGTCGAGCTGGTACTCCTGATGACAAGGGTTCTTCTACGCCCCAAGTGCCCACTAGAAGCTTGTGGATCGGCAATTTGGATGTCAATGCTACGAGCAGCGCATTGTTGCAAGTCTTTGCGCCCTATGGGGCCATCGAGAGCGTCCGAATGCTCCCCGAGAAGGTAAGTCTGAGACGTTTGCGAGAGCTTTGCTGACGTATAAAGACCTGTGCGTTTGTCAACTTTATGGACAAGGTCGACGCTATCCGCGCTCGAGACGACGTTCTCAACCGTCTCGGTGGCCACGTCTCTGCTCTCTCCGAGACTGCTCCAGTGCGAATCGGCTTTGGCAAGATTGACTCTGCCCCCAACGGCCCTTCATTGAGCACTGTTGCGCCCACCCCTCCCGGTCTCGTGTTTACCACCGATACTCCTTCGGATACCGCCCCTACCCCTGCGCCTGCGGTGTCTGCTGTGGCACCATCTGTTGCCGACGCTCCTTCCGTCACCGTCCCGCCTCCAGCGATGACTGGCGCCACCTTGAACGCGCCCGACGACCAGCTGAGCACGATGCCCACCCGGGCGCTTTGGATCGGTAGCATCCCCAGCACCACCTCTGCTTCTACCCTCTTGCAGATATTCTCGCCTTTCGGGCCCGTAGAGTCGTCTCGTGTGCTGCAGAACAAGTGCTGCGGTTTCGTCAACTTTGAGCGCTTGGACTCTGCTGTCTCGGCGCGTAACGCGTTGAACACCAGGGATATCCTCGGCTCCGATGTGGGTCCTATCAGGATTGGGTTTGCGCGAGTGCCTACGCGCTCGCCTACTGCTGGCGCCAACGGCCAGCCCCTGCCCGCCTCCCCAGAAGGCAGCAACCCTCTTGGAGATGCCCTCAACACTGTCAAAGGCGCCACCTCTGTCTCTACCGAGCAGCAAATGTCTGCCGAAGGCGGCGGTCTTGAGAATTACCGCAGCCCTCTTGTACTTGACCTGGTCAAGCAAGGTGTGCACGAGCAGGTTCTTGAAAAGGGTCTGGCTGGTGCGAATGGAGAAGTGTCAGACCAGCAGATGATCATGCAGGTGCTGAGCTTGAAGAAGGAGGAGGATGGGGATGTCAAGGCGGCGGCCGATGCAAGGCCTCCTGCTACATACTATACCGCCATCCCCCCTCCCGCCGACCGCTCTAGCAGGCGTTTCGACACTGGTAAACTCAAAGAGATCCGCAAGAAGCTCGATGCCGGGCAGTGTAGGCAGGACGAAATCGACGATATCACGAAGGATCTCATGGAAGATTGTGCCGAGGTATGTGCCGATGCTTAATGATGGACTTTACTAATTTGCATGTCAGCTCGCCGCCGACTTTATTGGCAACACCATCATCCAGAGACTCTTTGAACGTACTTCGTTCGCCCTCCGCATTGCCATGTTGGAGCGTATCGCCCCTCACCTGGCCACCATCGGCATTCACAAAAATGGTACTTGGGCCGCCCAAAAGATCATCGAGTGCAGCACTACCGGTGAAGAGCGTGCCATCATTGTCAACCACTTGCGGCCATTCGCTCCTCCGCTCATGTGCGACTCGTTGGGCAACTATGTCTGTGCGGGTACACTGAGGTTTGGAGATCCCTATAATGGGTATGTCTTCGATGCGATGATCGACAGGATGTGGGACATTGCGCAAAACAGGTTTGGGGCTAGGTGTATGAGGACCTGTTTGGAGAGCAACAGCACCAGCTTATACCAAAAGGTAAGGTGAATCCTGTTGGTCGCTGAACAAGGTTAATCTGCTACAGAAACGTATCTCTACGGGCATCATTCTCAACTCGATTCCGTTGGCTACCAATCCCAACGGTGCTCTGCTGTTGACCTGGCTCGTCGATTCGTCCAACCTCCCGGGTCGATATGGATTGCTCGTCAACAGGTTCATCCCTCATATCGCCCACCTCTGTACTCACAAGCTTGCCTCTTTGACTGTCTTGCGAAGTAAGTGTCGCCTCTACCATGGTGTTACAGTGCTGACCGCCTCACAGTAATTACACAGACGACCGAGCCTGCTGCTAGCAGCAATCTCGTGCGATCCATCTTCACCTCCACCAATGATCAGACCCTCATTGAGATCTTGACTGATGCCAACAACGGTAACCAAGTCATTGGCAAGATCATTGCTGTCAACACCATTGAGGAGGAGCAAAAGAAGGAGATGATCGAAGCCGTTCGTCGAGTCTTGCCCAACATCAAAGCGTCAAGCACGCCCCCTTATAGGATGTTGCTCGAGGCTGTCGGCCTTCCCGTTCCTGCGGGCTACATGAGTGGCTCTCCCTTCGGCCGCTCTGGTACTCCTAATTGGCAAGGCAACAACCGCGGCCAACAGCAGCAACAGCCCCAGGCGTACGGCCAAAACTTTTACTACAACCAGCCTATGGGCGCTACAGGCTACGTCAATGGAATGGGTGGCAACTTGTCCCCGCTGTTGATCCCTCAAAACATGCCTCTAGGTCAAATGAGGGGTAGCCCGGGGATGGGCAAGAGCCCGAGAACCCCGGTAGCTAGGCAAGGCGGCAGGATGAGTCCTGCCTCCATGATGAGCCCTGCTTCGGACCCTTTCAACCCGGTAAGTGTCTTGCTACGGTGATTTGCGACGCATGCTGACAGCATTGAACAGTTTGCGTCGCCCAGCGTCGACATGCCGTTTAGTAATCAAGGTATGCGCATGGGGTCGACGCTAAGTCAGCCTCCTGTGACATTTGAGCAGCAAGGTTCGGTCGGTGCCGGTCTTGGCTTTGGTGGCCAAGGTGGTGGCGGCTTGATGTTCTATGGACAGAACGAAGTGAGTCTCTACGGCGTGACTCGCGGTCAGAGCTGACAATTCATAGCCTCGGCAGATGTATGGCCAAGCTGGTGGCTATCAATAACCGCCCTCCTCAACAAAATCACTCGCATAATGTCCCCCACGTTCACGCGCGCTTTATTGTTCTCCTCCCCCACGACTAGCATAGCATCGTTCTCGCATACCACGTATACACCCTGTAACAAGCTCAACGTCCCTCCTTTTCTGTCTCTTTTCTTCCATTACGAGAAATCGCCAGGTGCGAGACGAATTTGCCCACTAGATGAGCCGATCACAGTTAAACCATATAAAAACCCAACAACCGTTGAAGAAAATCCCTGTCCATGAATTTATAGAGTGTGCCTAAAAGGGCTGCGTTTTGGAGAAGGGAGGAGGCTGTAGGTGGCTTGAGTCGAAGAAGAAAACATCAACCCAAGTATATATCATTCCCTTTCTCTTTCTCTTGTCTACATATACGAAAATTCAAGTATACTTTCCTTCTTTCCCTTCACATGTCATGCACAAAGCAAATGATCGTTCATGATATTCTACAGTGACCTGCCTATAAACAGATGACCCAAGCGTGCAATGTTGACTACTTCTGACCCATGAGCCTCTCGAGCATGCTGCCGCCCGGTGCAGCTCCCGACTGCTGAGGGGCAGCTGCGGCCTTGTCTCCAGCTACAGATTGTAAGCACCATGTCTGCATCCAATTGATCTGGAACATACAAACGGCACCAAAGAGATCGATAGAGTCAATCCTCGTGGTCTCTTCAACCTCTTGGTTGTCCTTGACCAATATGTGCAAGCTCCTCACATTCTGAAACCTCACAAATCTCAACTCAATCTTGTCCCCCTTGACCTGGTCCGCCGTCAATTCTATCTCTTGTGCCGGTGTCAGACTGTCCGCCTCGTCAAAGCCGATGTTTGGCTGGTTGATGAAGAGCTTGATGGTCTTGGGCGCCTGGGAGGGAGAGATGCCGGAAAAGATGGAAATGTGCTTCAGCTTGATGGGGTCTTGGAAGGGGATGGAGATGAGGAGCTCGGGGTCGACATCTGACTCCAAGAACGAAGTGCCACGGGGTCCTCTGTCCGGGCCAAGGATGGAGGACAGGGGGTGGGTCTTGGACTCGTTCAAGCAGTTGAGGCCTTTAGAGATGACGTGTCGGAGGAGAGACTCGGTGACCTCGCCGGTGGCTTTGGAAGAGGAAGAACCTGTGGGAGGAGGGACGCCGGCGTGTCTGGCGATGATCTGTTGGAGCTGAGGAGGCGAAGCGCCTCGAAGCTGTTGACGGGAAGGTTAGCAGGGGTTATGAGGGGGATCCGAAGGCGGTTCTCAAAAAGATACCTGTTCGACTTCTCGACCGGCTTTGAGAAACTTGAAAGTGGGCATGGCGGTGATCCTGAACCTCGAGGCGAGGTCCCTCTGCTGATCAACATCGATCTTCTATACAGCGTGTTAGAGTCCCCTGTATGTCTACAGGTTGCTTCGGGTACGTACCACAAACTTGACATGCTGGTACTGCACAAAAGATCAGCCAGAGCGGTCATGAGACAGGAGGCGACATACAACACCGGAGAGCTGCTCGAGCACAGGGGCGATAGCATGGCAGGGCCCGCACCATGCCTACAGAATACGCTCAGCAATGCAGATACAGTGGCTTGTGTTGGGGCTCACGGCATGAAAGTCTGGGTATGTGTCAGCATGGGCGAGATGGCACGGGGGCGGCTGGCTCACCGACGACGAGGAGCTGGGTCGGGGGCAGCGAGCTGACGATGGAGTCGAACTCTGCACGGTGTCAGTGGGAAAGCAGCAGGGGGCGGGGTGCATACGCTGTGTAGACTGGATTTCCTGGACGGGCATGTTGGATGAGGTGAGCAAGAAGACAAGGATGCGGATGGGGACGTGGACGGGATCAAAAGTATCGTCCCGCATCTCTTCGTCCATCTTCCCTTCTTCTCTGTCCATCCCGTTTCTTTCCATTTCCATTTCTCTTCATTCTCCTTCCGGGCTTTAGTTCTTTCCTCTTCTTCTATTGTCTTATAACCACACCATGGCCGCACAGTACCAGCAGTACGGCATCACCCCCGGCCAGTCCGCCGAGGCCCCCAAGCGTCCCCATCTCTACGTCGGAAACCTCTCCCCCCGCGTCACCGACTACATGCTCACAGAGATCTTTGCCGTCGCCGGCCCCGTTGCCAGCGCAAAGATCATCCAGGACCGAAACTTCCAGCACGGTGGCTTCAACTATGGTTTCGTCGAGTACGCCGACATGCGTTCCGCCGAACAGGCGCTCACCACCTTGAACGGACGCAAGATATTTGACTCTGAGATCAGGGTCAACTGGGCGTACCAGGGCAACCAGAACAAGGAGGACACTCAGCACCACTTCCATGTGTTTGTGGGCGACTTGAGCCCCGAGGTCAACGACGATGTCTTGTCCAAGGCCTTTGGTGCGTTCGGCAGCATGAGCGAGGCGCGTGTTATGTGGGACATGAACTCGGGAAAGAGCAGGGGTTATGGCTTCCTTTCATTCCGGTACGTTTTTGTTCCCGCGCCTTTCCGAGATCTCCCTTCTGACATTCCTGGTCCCCGCAGTGATAAGGCGGACGCCGAGCAGGCTATTGCGAGCATGAACGGCGAATGGCTCGGTTCTCGTGCTATCAGGGTCAACTGGGCCAACCAAAAGACCCAGACCGGTGGTGCGCGAACTGGCACTCCCGGATCTGCGCCCATGGGCATGCCTCCTATGGGCATGGGTCAGGGTATGCCTCCCCCTGCTGCTGCGCCCATGGCTACCGCGCCGGTGTACGCTGCTCCTCCCTCCGCCCCCCTCTCCTACGAATCTGTCGCCGCCCAAACCCCCGAGTTCAACTCTACCGTTTACGTCGGCAATTTGATCCCCTACACCACCCAGCAGGACCTGATCCCCGTTTTCCAGGGCTATGGCTATATCGTCGAGATCAGGATGCAGGCCGACAGGGGTTTCGCCTTTGTCAAGCTCGATACCCACCAGAATGCTGCCATGGCCATCACTCACTTGCAGAACCAGCTCGTGCACGGCAGGCCCATCAAGTGCTCCTGGGGCAAGGACAAGGGGTCTATGGAGCCTACCGCTGTCCCTGCTGCCGGCTACCCTCCCATTGTGCGTGAATTTACTCTTCTTTGACGTGTGCTGACATGCCCGCAGCAACCTCAGATGAGCTACCCTGGCTACAACAACTACTACGGCGGCTACAACTACCAACAAGCTGGTGTCCCTGGTCAGCCTGGACAGGCCGGCATGGCCGCTCCCCCTCAAGGTGGGGCACCCGTGCCCCAGGTCCCTGGCGCTGCTGGCCAAGCCGATGGGCAAATTTCCCAGCAAGGCGCTTGGGATCCCGCTGCTGCCGCTGCCTACTACCAGGCTGGCGGATGGGGCGGTTACTACGGTGCGTTGGAATGATCTTGCGGTTTTTCAACTGTACTAACCATCAATGCAGCTCAACAGCAGGACGGCTCTCAGCAAGCTGGACACCAGTAAACCTGTCTACGCCTCTATCACCCTTCCATCCTCGTAATCTAACTCCCCTGTAATTCTTTTTCTCTCCCTTTTCCTTTTACTCTCTATCCGAGGTGAATCTTTTTGGGCTTTATTCTCTCTCTGTCTCTTTCCTCTCTATCGGTTCCTTCTTCTCTTTTCCTTCCAAATGCATATGGCAAAGTTCACAAGGGGATCAATTCAAGGAGGGGTCAAAATGCAATCATCTGCGTATACATAGGTCTAGATCGCAAGATCAATCACATATATAGACCAAAGTCTTGTCTGAGATCTCATAACATGATAGCATGGATGGACTATGTTCAGTTTGATGACTCGAAAGTTGACTTGCTCTTGCTTCGAGATGCGCTGCGCTGTGTTTTGAGTTTCCTGCAGCATCATGCTAGTTGCTCTTGTCCTGTGTTTATCACTACCAGGTGATAACGCCGCTGAGATCAGTAAAGTCAAATCTCTTCGCAATGCAACTTCTCAAACTTGTCATGGTCTCTTTGTAAGACACCCCAGATTCAGTATACAAAACTGTACGCTGCATCATTTCGCGCGTGGCGAAAGAGGGAAAAAATGTGTGGAGAAAGAATGCTAATTGTTGTTATACTGCTGCTTCCGACGGATGCTCTCACACTACAATGACACCCCTCTCCTCCCGTGAGGCTCACCAGGACTTATGACTGCTGGTGGTGCCCAGGCTGATGTCCATGAAGATGCTGCTGCCCTTGAATAGGCGAGAACAGTCCCTGCCCATAGCCTGCGCTGCCGCCGGGGGCCATACTGCCCATGCCTCCTATTCCGCCTCCAAGCACACCAGCACCAGGCCCAGCAACGAACGGAGAACCTATCCCTCCAAAGGAAGGTTGCCTCTGGCCGTTACCCAGTACACCCCCGCCAATAGTCGGAGACAGTGATAAGCCTGGTGGAGGTGCTGACCGATCGCCGATAGCAGCGATGCCGGGAGCACCCCAGCTGCCAGGAGCAGCAGCATGCGCGTGGTTATGTGATGGCTCAGCACCCACACCAGGTGCAGAACCCCAAATGCTAGGCGATGAAGACCATCGACCGACGCCCGGAGCACTCGGCATGTCCCAGGTGGCTGTGGGTCTGCGTTGTTGTGGTTGGACAATCTCGTCATCGGCTCCAAGAGCAGCTGAGCCAAACACTTGATCTGGGAGTGGCGGCGAGCGAGGTCGAAGAGCACTAGACCCTGATGGACCAGCGACGGTTGACGGAGGGGCACCAGGGGCTGCTGATGGGCCAGGAGGAGCTCGCATGTCTGAGAAGGACGGTCTGCCGATGGGTGCAGGAGGAGCGATAGGTGCAGGAGAAGACCTGTACTCTTCGGCGTGCAAAGCGGAGGTACTGATCATAGACCCGATTTCGCCAGCATTGGACATGCTTCGAGATGGAGGTACACCAATGGATGACGACGGGGCAAACGCATCCTCCACTGCTGGCATTCTACCCGCGTGCTTGACTGGCGGGAACCCGATACCTAAAGGCGCGGTACGCATACTCTGGTCGAATGAGGAACTGGAGTCAGTGCTAGGAAAGCCGCGAGTTCCAGAGTTTGGCGAAAGGGCGGAACCATTTGTGCGAGGAGGAGAAAAGGTCGCAGAGGATTGAACTGGATAGCCTTGGCGAAGACCAGGGGGGCCGCCATAGCTTGGCAGAGCACCCATGCGAGGGAAAGCGCCACTGGGAAGGCCCACCGGAGGAAGAGGTTGGGGGTAATAAGGAGGACTTTTCTGCGTCGAGCGAGCAGGAGTTGTACTCGAGGGAGCTGAAATGGCGGATGACGAGGGTTTGACAGGAGATGGCTGCGAGATAGGAGGAGTGGGCTGTGGCGTAGGACCCTTGATAGGAGACTTGACACCGTAAGACACAGGGGCAGCTTGGCTTGCCCTGGCGGCAGCGGCGGCACGCTCAGCAGCAGCCTTTTCGCTCGCGGCTTTCTCCTTGGTAGCCCGCTCTCGCTCCCTTTTAGCCGCTTCCTCCTTCCTAGCCTTTTCTGCTCTTTCAGCTTCGAGCTTGGCTTTGCGCTCCTTGTCGGCCTTGTCTTTGGCCTCTCGCGCTGAGCGTTCTCGTTCGGCTTTTTCGGCAGCAGCCTTCTCCTTCTTCTCCTTGTCGGCCTTTTCCTTTGCAGACTTGGCTTCCCGTTCTTTTCTCTCCTTCTCCTTGAGCTCCTTTTCTCGAGCTTCGCGTTCCTTTTTGGCCTTTTCTTCCCGTTCCTGCTTCTTCCTGGCAGCCTCCTCTTCGCGTTGCTTTTCCTCTTGCTGACGTCGCTTGCGCTCGAGGGCCTGTTTGGCGGCTTCCTCCTGAGCAGCGCGCTTGACAGCTTCGCGGCGAATACGCTCCTCTTCCTGTTTACGGACGCGTTCGCGGTTGGCTTCTTCTTTCGCGAGTTTTGCTAAGCGTTTTTCTTCCTCGAGTTGGGCTTCCCGGGCCAAGCGCTCTTCGTCCGCTCTCTGCTTTTGAGCCCTGTGAAGCCGTTAGACATATCCCTCCGAACGTGATGTGGACCTACTTTTTCTTGTCCTTCTTCTTTTGCGCCTCTTTTTGCTTCTTCTCCTCTCTGGCCCTCTTGGAGTCTTCCTCTTCTTCGAGTTCGCGCAGGAGTTGCTCTTCTCTCTGTTTGGCCACACGCTCGCGATATGCTTGCAAGACGCGCTGTTCAAACATTCGAGCCGCAAAGATCTGGAACATTCTCTTGCCTTCTTCCGCCCGCTGGCCTTCAGTCATTGGCTCGGCCCTATGACCATATTAGCCTGGTCCCGCGATGCGGACGTCCAAACTCACTCGTCTTCCTCTTCATCCGTCTCTTCCTGCATGTCTCTCAGATTTTGCTCCTCTCGTACTGATCTTCTGATCGCAAGCTGCTCCATCATCTCGAGGAACTTGGTACCATCATTCTTGAGCATGTCATCCGCAATGGTGAGTATACCTCCTGGGCACAAGTCGGTAGCACAAGCGTATCAGGGGTAGAGATGGCAGTAGATAGAGATAGGATGAGAAAAAAACCAGTCGCAACTTAGCGTAAGCCCCCTTCTGACAAAATCTGAAATTCAGCTTACCTTTGATGGTCGCCAGGCTGTTGCCGAAGGATAAAAAGTCGTTTTCATTCTCTTCCCGTGGTGCTTTGACTGACGGTGGACGGCGTGGAGTTGGACGATGTGATACGGGTGGGGGAGCGGGTGGTTCGTCATCATCGTCTCCCATATCTGCCTCATCCGTGCCGATATCGTCATCATCCAGCTCATCTTCATCCGCATACTCGTCGTCCTCGTCGTATTCCTCGCTTTCCTCATCTTCCAGCTCCTCGTGGTCATGGTCGTGGTCGTGATCATGTTCATCGTGGTGATAGCCAGAATCGGGAGCTCGATGGTCGTACTGGGTGACTGTCCCGCTCGCGTCGACCTCGACACTGCCTGGGAAAGGACCGGCACCACTTGGCGGGGCGCGAAGACCATTTGAAGCTGTCCGCTGTTCGGCAGCATATGACCGAAGTTCATCATAGTACTGCTCGTACAGCTGATCCAGCTCCATTTCAATATTGATCTTTTTTCTTCCGCAGACTGCACATCCACAAGAGTGTCGATGTTGCTCCTTCATCTTTCTGAGAACCGCATCTTTTTCTATCCTCAACAGATCCCGCCGCTCAGCTTCCGTTAATCCCAACCAGAATTGACGAATATTCTCGCGATCTTCTGCCGAGGATTGTGTCCAGATTTTAGCAGGCGGTTGGGCCGCGGGAGCCTTGCCCTTTGCGACAGCTGACGAGGTAGTCTTGGACGCAGGCGGGTGGGTATGAGGGTGGTTGTGGTTGTGATTATGAGGGGGCGCTGCCGTGGCAGGGGCCTTTCCAGCTGCACGGGCCGATCTCGCGGGAGGGTTGGCAGGCGGCGCGCTGGACATGGGCTGTTTGCCTGCCGCGCGTGAGCTCGGAGGCGGTGTCGGGGCCACGGAAGAAGCGTGGTGTGCTGGATGTGGGTTTGCGTTGTGAGGCGGCGGTGGGGGATTCAGGGCGGGCGGTTGTGGAGGTTGCGGTGTCGGACGTGGAGGTGCTTTCGGCAGCGCCGTCTGTGGTGGGGGAGGCGGCAGCTCTGCTGGAACATCTAGCTGCTGGATACCGGCCTTCTTCTTCTTCTTCTTGTTCTTTTTCTTGGGCGCATCACCATTCAGAGCAGGAACATCCACATCGTCCTCGATTTCTTCGTCCTCGTCGATTTCCTCCTCCACTGAGCGAGAATCGGGGTGGCGGTGGAATCCGAGCTCCTCGCCCAGGCTTTGCGAAGGCAGAGATAAAGAAGGCGGTCTCGCGCTTCCATTCATTTGTCCCAGCCCCATTCCCTGGCTCGCCGCCTGCACAATCTGCTGCGCCATCTGGTACATTGTCTTTTGTGTAGACGTATTTCCCGGATTGTTGGCGCTAATCGTGCCCGCACAGGGAACAGCATCTCGTATAAACTGCCGGAGATGCGGGGGCAACGACGACCAGTAGGCATCGTCCGAGCCGTACTCTGGATCGGACATCATCCTTTTGTACAGCTCGTTGGCGGTGTAGATGAGGTCGTCGTTTGTGAGGTTGAGGGGTGCGGACAAACCGGCGAGCTGGGTGGTGATCTGGGTGCTGTAGTCGATGGGGAGGGGTTTCTTTTTGGTGGCCGCCTTGGCGTTGTGTGGTGGCTTGGAGGACATGGGGTGACTGGGGGGAGCAGGGGTGAGCTTGGGCGGGGCGGGTGGTGGTGAGCGTACCTCTGCGAGTCTTCCTGCGTCGTGGATGATGTCAACCAGTCCTCCGTCCACACCCTCCAAGCCCAACCTCTGCGTAAGAAAACGCCGCCGCTTAATCCCGCCCGTGGCATGCCTCCACATTCCACGTCCAGTCGTCCTCTTCTCTCCTCACCAGCCATGCGGCCATCCCTCAGGTCACTCACTCACGGCCCCTATGCATGGCGCAATCCCTCCCCTGCCACTGGCCCCTCCGGTATGCACTCTCTCCCATAATGCGGGGGCCCGCGCTCATCCCCCCCAGGTCTGCTCGCAGGGAAACACATAGCTATCAAGGAAAACATTTCATACTCGCAAGCACCCACGTCATGCTCATCCCAGCTCCTGCAAGGATACATTCCTCCGTACAATGCTACCTGCGTTGACGACTTGATCAATGCCGGCGCGCATATCATGGGCACCACAAAGATGGACGAATTTGGCATGGGGCAAGTTGTATGGAATGCGCTCAAAGACATGCTAACCCGAGCTAGCTCACAAACTACAAACATACCACCATCGTACTCACCAGTACATAACCCTTGTGCTCCTTCCCCCGATGAGCCACCACGATCAGCTGGGGGTAGTTCGGGAGGGTCTGCTACTGCTGTCGCTGAAGGATCCTGCTGGGCGTGAGCTTGATGCCATGATCTTTTGCGCAGTGCTGACGTTGAATAGAGCCCTTGGTACTGACACGGGAGGGTCTGTCAGACTACCAGCCAGCTATTGTGGTGTTGTCGGCCTGAAGCCTTCATATGGCCTTGTCAGCAGGCAAGTCATTATCGATGACTGCGACTCCAGCTAACCATTCTCAGGCGAGGTGTCGTGGCATATGGAGATTCTCTCGATTGTGTCGGAGTCCTGGCAAAAGACATTGATATCGTCACGAAGGTCTTCAGTAAGCTTGACCTCATTCCCGAGACGACTCCTAATCACCCGCAGATATCATTTCCCATCCTGATGACCGCGACATGACCTGCGCTCCCTCATCCGTTCGCTCTACATCTCTACCCCTCGACCTCTCTTCCACCTCTCTCAAATACCTACGCATCGGTATACCTGCACAGACTCTTCTCCCTCATCCCTACACTTCCATCCCGCCATCACTGCTCACCCATCTCCAATCCCTCGGCGCATCGCTACGCCCCGTGTCACTACCGTCTGTCAGGAAGGCGCTTCCGGCGTACTATGTGCTGGCTAGTGCCGAAGCGAGCTCAAATCTGGGCAGGTATGGCGGAGGATGGTATGGGTCCGAGGGAGAGAAAGAGGAAGGGAGGATAGAGGGTGAAAGCGGACAGGAGAGGCGGGTCAGAGTGAGGAGTGACGGGTTTGGAAAGGAAGTGAAAAAGAGAATATTGGCAGGGACACATGCCCTCAGTGCAGAGTAAGTTGTAGTGCTTAGAATAAACTTTTGCTGACTTGACGCAGCGAGTTCAACAACACATACCTCAAGGCCCTTTACCTCCGCCGCCTCCTTCGACAAGAATATCAACGCACTTTCCGAATCGCACATCCTCTGGCCGCCCCCTACACCCCCAACTCTGACGGTGTCGATCTCATCCTCCATCCCACTGCCATCCGCACAGCACCTCTGCTCAACCAAGACGCAAAAACGGGCGAAAGTGTATATCTGCAAGATCTGATCACTGTGCCGCCCAGTTTGGCGGGGTTACCAGCGATGTCTGTGCCGGCTGGCAAAGCAGAAGATGGATGGCCTGTGGGGATGAGTGTGACAGGTCAGTGGGGAATGGAAGGGTTGGTGTTTGGGTTGGGCCGGGCGATTGAACGTTGGTCGAGAGATCTATAGCGCATGCCATGCATACTCATATGTTCTATAATGATACACCGCTGGGAATATTGTTTGCCAGCTCTAGCTTGATTGTATCCAGAATTTGTTTAGACGCAGCCTTTGACGATTGCAATGCTTGCTGCCACTGTACTATTGTCAGGTGTGCCCTCACACATCGTCGTTTGACTTACTTCTTTTCTGGAGAACTCTCCTTCACTTTCCACCCATACCAGCTCCGCACCCTGCTCTCCAATCCCCTTACCCCAAGCCCATCCAAACCCGAATCTTGCTCTAGCCCGTCTCTCTTCTGCCGCCTCCGGGTCCATCCAGAATTCTCCCTTGGTCCCGAGAGCCACCGCAACACCGATGGGAAGGCTCTTAATGGGAACCGACCCGGCCGAGAGGATCGACAATGTTGTCGCATTCAAGGAAGCTGCCCGAGAAGCAAACGTATAGCTGTTCGCGCTCAAGGGCGACACCTTCCTCTCTTCCAACACGCTTGCCGGGATATAATCCTGTTCAACATCTTCTCTGGGCCATACACCCTTGCCCTTGCCTTCTTCAGTAGCCACGATACTCCCAAATCCTCCGGCAGCGCCCCCGACAACGCTCGGCGCCGTCAGGCCTTGGACCACAATCTGCACCAAGCTTCTTGGGAACTTTTCGAGCTCGAGCACGCTGGTCGAAGAAAAGATACGTTCGAGGGTGGTGGTAAGGGCACGGGACGGGGTCGCGCCAGTGCCAGAGAGGGGACGATGGGTGATCTCGAGGGTAGCTTGTGTGGGATTTTCGTCTCGAAGGCGGACTTCTATGGGGCCGGATGTGGAGGCAAGGATAGCGTCGGAGCCTGTAAAGAGTCAGGCAGGATTTCAGAGCATGAGGTGAAGGCTTACCAAAAGCAAATCTTCCGGATCCGTCTGCGCGGTCGAGCTCGTTGATGGAGATGTGGACAGGGCGGAGCTGTGAGGGAGAGCGGCCATCGGGGCGAGTGGAACGGGACATTGTGCAGATCTTGGCGGGTTGTTTGAGAGTCGGCAGGCGATGATATATGCTGTCACGAGTGCGATACTTGAGGGGGCGGTTGAGACAGCGAGATTTGCCAGAACGGTAGAAGAGCGCACAACGATGAAGATGGAGATCGATGTAACCGCGGACGAAATTTGAAGCCACCTGTTTTGGCTTCGTTGCATCCACCTTCTTATCCGATTCATCCATCGTCATCGACTCAATCCTACCTCATAGCGCATACTATACTATATCAATACACTGCCGAACCTTCACCTCCCCCACTATCCCTCGTGGGCATACTGCGACGTTCAAGAGACCCTGCGCGTAGTAGTCGTGAATGAGCCGACCTAGAACCATCTCGATATCTCTGCGCTACTCAATCGTTGTCCCGTTTCAACTCATCAGGACCCAGCTGATACTCCTCTCCCTGCTCGCCTTGACTTTGATCTCGAGGGGAAATGTCGTTATCTAATCTAGGATATGACGCCTTCTGACGACCGCAGGACATGTCCGACCGGCAATTCACAGGCCTCAGGTCAGATGGGCGTGTCGACATTGGCTGAGCCGCTGCCATCGGTCTGTCGCCAGCGCACGCAAGAGATTGTTTGTCCGCCTTACCGCCTTGCTCCTTCCCATGCCTTGCCTACACAGCTCTGCCATCTTGATGCCTAAGCACACCATGGTCGACAGGTCAGGAATAGGTGTCTGATGACATATTCTAGCATCCCGAAAGGTCCTTATAACCGCAGCTTCGCACTGTGTTTCTCCCTCGCCCTTCCCTTCAATTTATCACAATGACCACCGCTACTCAGACCATTAACGACCTCACTACCCAGATTGGCACCCTTGGCGTGCGAGGCAGTACTCAGCCTTTGTCGCGTAACTACTCCCTCGACAAGTGGCAGAACTTTGCTGTCAACCCCGCTATCGGACAAGAATTCGGCAAGGACCTCCAGCTGTCCGAGATCGTACACGCTGCGAACAAGGACGAGCTTCTGCGTGACCTGGCTGTTCTTAGTATGTTCCTTCCTCTCTTCTCTGTTGTCTATGGCTGACCAGATCTCCAGTTTCCCAGCGAGGCGTGGTCTTCTTCCGAGCCCAGGATATCGGCCTCGAAGACCAAAAGACATTGGGCAGGAAGCTCGGAGAGCTCTCAGGCAAGCCCCAGGACTCCGCCCTACACATCCACCCTTTCACCCCAAAGGATTCTGAGAAGGGTGACCAGATCCTTGTGTGCGTTTCTGCCCCTGCTAAAAATATCGGACTGACGTTTGTCCGCAGCATCAGCGCCGAGAGACGCAACAAGCGGGCACAGGTAGAGGATTCAACCCGCTTTGCTTCCAAGGGCTGGCACTCTGACATCACCTTTGAACCCGTTCCCAGCGACTACGCTATTCTCAAGGTGCGTGTATCTTCCTGATCGACCCCAAGTATGTGTTGACGTCAACAGATTCACACGGCCCCTGAGAATGGCGGCGACACTCTTTGGGCATCTGCCTACGAAGCCTACTCTCGCCTATCCCCCGAATTCGCAAAGTTCCTCGAGGGCAAGGAGGCTTTCCACGAAGCAACCTCTTTCAACAAGTACGCTGAGGCTGCCGGCATCACTCTCAGGACCGATGTGAGGGGATCTCCTCTCAACAGTGGGCCGGGGTTGAGCGCCATCCATCCCGTTATTCGTGTTAGTAAGTGCCCCACTCTGGGAAGGTCGTATAGCCATTGACGTCATTAAGATCCCGTCACTGGATGGAAAGGTCTCTTTGTAAACCAAGGCTTCACCAAGAGAATTCTCGACGTGACCAAAGACGAGTCTGACTTTATTCTCGATTACCTTTTCGTGAGTAGGCCTGCCAGTACTTTACGTCAAAACGTCGCTGATCTTGAGGCAGAAACTCGTCAACAGCAACCACGATCTCCAAGTGCGCTTCAAATGGGGAACGGGCTACGCTTCCAGGTCAGTGGGAGATGTTGCCATCTGGGACAACCGAAGTACAGTCCATGCCGTATGTCTGGAGTCTCGATTGTTTGCCAGCTACTGACGGCTCAACAGATTACTCAAGACTATGAAGACGCCGAGCGCGTTGGCGACCGAGTCGTATCGCTTGGCGAGAAACCTTACTTTGACCCTGCTGGAACCACGAGGCGCAAGGATCTTGGTCTTCCTGAGCCTACCCATGACGCTTCTGTCTTGGGTGAAGCCTATAGGCAATCCGTAAGCTCTGCGAACGAATAGTAGTAGTGCAATGTCGGTGTGTTTGCCTCTCTTCTCTGTGGGTTGTATCTTCTAGTTATCAGTAGTAATGAAGATCAGTGTCCTGCCATGCTCGGATCTTGTTGAAGTCCGGCGGTGCGAGAAGGATGTCACTGAGTCAGCTTCTTCGAATCAAGGGTGGCTGCAAAGCGCTCGGGACTGCAACTCACCTATATACAGTCCTGTCAACCGACCGAACGCAGTATGCAAGTGAAGGGTCGTAACCTGTGCATGCGCTCTCACCAGTAGCAGGCTCCTCGTCCGGTAACGTCATCACTCAACATTCCAGACCTGCGCTCCCCATGCTGATGCAACTGTCTAAGTACACTATGTATCGCTTTTCTCTTCCTAGATCAATCCGTCCTTGTCTAGGCTTTCATTCTGTCCTATCGCTGCTGCCAATGCGAATGCACAGAGCCGGGAGGGTCGCCGTATATGATGTATGCGGTTCGGTCGTATCCGATTTACGTAACTGTTATTGCGCCATACTCTTCACTACTATAGCTAGACTGTAGATTCTCGCTGACGTGCAACGCTGACGTACAAAAGTACTGAATTGGTGATTAGCCATCTAATAGGCTGTCTCGACTATCGCAGCAGAACTGACGGGCGAGAAATTCCGAATACTTCTGTCCTTGCGAAGCATGGTACAAGTACGCTGCCCAGATCCAGTATCTTACAGCAAATGGTTCATCTCACGCACTTACCGCCATATGCAATCATGAACGTCATCGCGCACGCAACCTGATGAGATGAATCGCTCCCAGCGCCCAGACGCCCGCCGTACGCTCTCCCTCGTCGTCAGAAGATTCAGCACACCATCGCACAAGTAGGTCGATAGATCATTGCAATGGCTGATCGGCGATGTCCCGTCATGTCGGGCTGAGTACCTACTGGTACATATAACGTTTCTCCTACATCGGTCCACCAACACCAATATCACCATGGCGACTCTCACCCAAACCGTCGACCAGCTCTCCCGTAACGTGGGCCATCTCGGCGTACGAGGAAGCACCCAGCCTCTCCAGCGCAACCACTCTCTCGACAAGTGGAGGCACTTCGCCGTCAACCCTCCCATCGGTGAAGAGTTCAGCAAGGATCTCCAGCTGTCTGAGATCGTACATGCGAAGGATAAGGATACCCTTATCCGCGACTTGGCTATCCTGAGTGAATCTTCCCTGTTGAGGGCCGCAGACCTAGCTCCTGACCTCTTATAGTCTCCCAGCGAGGTGTAGTCTTCTTCCGGGAGCAAGACATCAACATCGAAGACCAGAAAACCCTCGGAAAGAAGCTCGGTGAGCTGTCTGGAAAACCCAAGGACTCTACTCTGCATATCCATCCTACCACCGAGATTACCTCTGCCCAAGGTGACGAAGTTTCCATGTAAGCATGGTTTGGAGGTGGTCAGCTGGCCCATACTGATGGTGGTGTATAGTATTACCAGCGATCGAAGGGATCGTGATTTGGACGACTCCTCGCGACTTGCCTTTAAACATTGGCACTCGGATATCACCTTTGAGCCCGTTCCTAGCGACTATGCCATTCTCAAAGTCCACACTGCTCCCGAATCCGGCGGCGACACCATATGGGCATCAGCATACGAAGCATACTCTCGCCTGTCTCCTGACTTTGCCAAGTTTCTTGAAGGCAAGGAAGCTTTCCACGAGGCCGGGTTCTTCAATCAGTCTGCCAAATCATTTGGGATCGAGTTGAGAACTGGGGAGAGGGGGTCGCCTCTAAACCAAGGTCCTGCTCTGAGTGCCATACATCCTGTGATCCGAGTCAGTACGTACTCGTAGCTTCTTGGGGCTCTGGTCTCAAACCGCTGATTCCGTCATCTGATAGACCCCGTGACTGGATGGAAAGGTGTCTTTGTCAATCAAGGCTTTACCAGACGGATCCTTGACGTCACCAAGGATGAATCTGACTTCATCCTTAACTACCTTTCTGTGTGTATTATTCTATCGGTGTGCGCCTACGAAGACTAATCCCTTGCAGAAATTGACCGTCAACAACCACGACTTGCAAGTCCGATTCAGATGGGGCAAAGACTATGCCCCCGGAAGAGGTGATGTAGCCATTTGGGACAACAGATCAAGTTTCCATTCTGTGGGTTGTTTGCTGTCTCAACAAGAAGTTACTGGCTGATGCTGTAGCAGGCAACCTACGACTACGACAGAGCTCTTCGGGTCGGTGACCGAGTGGTCTCCATAGGCGAGAAACCTTACTACGATCCTGCTGGTACTACCAGGCGTGGGGATCTGGGTCTGGCGAGCCCTACTGAAGGCTATCTGGGGGAGATATACAGAGAGGCTTTGGAAAATGCCAAGTAGTACGGGTAGTTTAGAGAAGTCCAAGAAAAAAGAAGAAATGTTGAACAGGTTGAACAGTTTATGCAAAAGTTGTAACGTGTTCTTCACACTGCACTGTGTGACACCAAGCCAAAAAGATCGAGCATAGAAGACCTCTCGACTTCCGCCCATTAATTATAGTAGGTCGCAGTCCTCAGAATGTCATTCCGTAGTGCCGCAGAATGAGGTATCAGAAGGCAGAGGGCAAAGGTCTTTCTGTCTCGGCGCCCCGAACCCCCCAGTGTCGCTGGGCGAGTCTCTGAAGACTGATTATGTGCGTGTCTCACAGCGTGTGCCTGCAAGGGTTTCTGCAGGCCTTGCAGGCACGAGTAACACAGGTACACGCGGATGAACACATGCACGCCCCTCATGTCACGTTTCCCAGTCAGCAGGGCGCTCCCGGTGCCTCCGGGTGAGCGCCACTTCGGCGGATCGCACGGACAAGGGACAGACCTCGGCCTCCCGGGCCCCGGCTGTCGTGTTCGGCTCTCGCGGTGCCCTTACTTCCTATTCTCCTCATTCGTCGTACGTCCAGTATGCGGGTGTGAGGCATGAGAGGGAGGCTGTTTGCGTCACCGCCTACCGGCAGATATCCTCCATCTTTCTCATCGAGTGCTAAATTTCTGATCGTACCGTCGCTCACCGTGAAATGCTCATCAGGCTACAGACGGTCAGACGGCTGCAATCAGGAGGACCGGTCGAACAGCAGCAGGGTCAAAATGCCCCTCAGCGCTTACGATTGTCTATATCGAACCGAATTGAGACACTATCCCGTCCTGAACTGTATGTGTTGTGGGCAAGCAAGCAACAGGCGCGACAGTGAGTACAAGGACCACGAATCAATCAAAATTTTAATCTTCATGCCTCCAAACGACTTGCAGGCGTACCAGTCGCTGCTTGATCGAGCAATCTTAGCAATTCGCAGCCCCGCATCTTAACATGCACGTTATGTAGCAGTTCTAAGACATTTCATGCTTATCTTCACGGGATGCAGACTCTAAAACGGCCACCAATTAATCATGATTCCAGCAGCCGGTGCAGCCGGCCAGCATGTCGGCGTGTAGCAGGCCTAGCAAAGCAGCTCATGGAAGACAGTCCAAGAAGATAGCTGGACCTTCGAAAAAAGGTTGCGGCTCTTTGCATATGACCACTTCGCCTTCCCTGCTCCGGTGCGTAAGCCCTGCAGGGAGTACTCTTGGTGCTCCATCCTGATGCGGCCTCACTCAACGGGAAAGGTAGCTTTCCAAAACGTCCCCCTTTTCATTGCCCTTCTCCTCCTCCTCCGTCTCTTTGCCTAAGGTCCGAGACAGGCGAATCCCAGATATCAGCCGTTGACATATCTTTGATGATCAAATGCTCGGTAAGTGCTTGCGCGGGCCAATCCGTGGGGGTACGACATGCCAGCGGCCAGCGGCCCTAGCGGACGGCAATTGAGCCTCTTCCGGCCGCCTCATCCAACCTTGTCCATCCCGTCTCTTTCTGCGCTTTCGCTGACATTGCCTTGGAGGACCAGAGAGAATAGAGACAGAGACAAAGGCAGACATCCTGATCCTAATATCATTCTTCTCCGGTGGAGAGAGTATAAGACTCCCGAACGAGACGTTGTTCTAGAATCAGTCAACACGTCGTACGGCGGGCGGTGTGCCAGCAGAAGGAGAGCCTCTGCTTCTTTGATTGGACCATTATTCTTTGGCGCTTCTTGGGGGCATCACTTAGGGCTCCTTCCTGAGCCTCGCAGGGTATATAGAGCGGCCACACCTGCCTGGAATTCCCATCGCCCTCTGTGTCCCTCACACTCTTTTCTGTCGTCACATACCACCGCCTGTCCGCTACTAGTACCGTTAGCAATCCGTCAACAATAGAATTGTGATGCTGTCCTTCCACATCATTCCTTTTGTGGCCCTCGCCTTCTCGCTTCAGGCGGCCCTCGTACAGTCAGCTGCGACCTGGCTTGGTTGTATAAACTCGGCCGGGGCTGCTGGCACTGGCTACAACTTAGCCACGTCTGCTGCTTGCATCGTGAGTCTCGCTACCTCCAAGAATCTGTCACCAGTAAACTAGCTTACGACGTCGACATGCAGGCGCAATGCTCAGGCTCCACCTACGCCCTTTTCATCGCCAAGGCCGTCTCAATCCCGACTACCAACTGCTACTGCACCTCCAGCGACATATCTGCCATCTACTACCTGTCCTTGAGCACGACTGCAACCACCTGTGCCTCTATCACACAAGCTGCCGTACGTATCTCAATCACCATCTGTTATCTTCCACTTGGGTCCTCAGCTCACGTGAGACCCTTCCAGGTCTATCGCACCGACACCACCTTCACGTATCAAGGTTGCGCTGCTGGGGCCGCCTTGAACATTCTTGGGGCCACGGCCACTGCGGTCTCAGCCCCCGCGCAATGCCTGTCTCTCTGTGCCTCCTACCGCAACGCATTCTTCACTCCTCTTGGTGTGACCTACCAGTGTGTCTGTGGAGACCCGACGCTCAGCATCTCCTTTGTGGCGTGTGCGAGCGGGCTATACTATGTCTACACCCACCCGGCTGATGCGGCCGCCAGTGGGCTGGCCAGAAGGAAGAGGCATCTCGAGGTAGAGGAGAGGATGAAGAGGTCACAGATGATCAGGGAACGAGGTTGGGACTGTCCGAAGGGTATGCAAGCGTGTAACGTCAAGGGTGCTGCAGACACCTGGGAGGTGAGTTGTTCTACTTTTCAATGCGATCAACGCTGACCTTTGGTACTAGTGCATCGACCCCAAGTCAGACCTCGAGACCTGCGGCGGTTGTGCCTACGGCGACTACATCAAAGGTCTCAACAACACCCCCTCTAGCGGCATGGACTGCAGCACCCTCCCCGGCGTCTATCGAGGTTCTGTTACTTGCTCTGACGGCAGATGCGAGGCATACGCTTGCAAGCGGGGCTGGACTCTTGAGGGCGGTATCTGTGTGAAGAGCCTGACCGTGCAGCTGTAGACCCGTTGACAAAGTATGTTTCGAAAGGACATTTGGGTTTGAGTATTATAGTTACCGGGGAGAACCCCATGCTGCTTCTCTAGCCTTATAGTGAGCCACGCGCGTTAAATATATTGAGATTCGACTGTCGATAGATGGGGGAGAACAATGCAGTCATACATGAATGAAGGGTTTACTATCTGCAAGAGAATTTTGTCAGCGCCATGATCCAGGGTCTAGAGCACTCCGTCAGATGATAACTTGCCTAGTCGTGCCGTGTTGGCAATTGGATATGATGAGTGTAGTAATTATACATACGGATGTTGCGCCGATACTGCTGCACGGCGCTCATTGAGGAGCATCCCAGGATACCCCCCTGTCCGCCCCCTCTCTCGCGCCACCTGCCAGACCTCCGATTTCCGGCTCGTCTACATCCAATTTACCCAGCTCCATTGCATCCGCATCTTCCTCCTCTTCTTCCATCTGCCGTCTGATCGCCTCTTGTTCTTCTTCGTCCCAATCCTCGACCTCTCCGCCCTCTTTGACGTCTTCGTCGTAGTAGGCATCTTCCCTGTCGCTTCTGGGGAAGGGGCCGAAGGGGTTGGAAGTAGATGCGGGTTTGTCAGAGACGTTCATGTCTTTCATGAGACGCTCTAGCTGGGTCTTTTTGTCGGCTTCAGACTGCGCAGCGCGCTCGGCAGCTAGACGGTCGAGCTCGGGTTTGTAGTCGGTCTCGTACTCTTGACGTGCCTCTTCAACGGCGTTGAAAAAGTCGCGCATCCCTTCACCTGTCATTGCGCTTACACCGACCGCCTACGAACCGTTAGTGGACGACGATTACTGCTTGTGAAAACACTCACTCTCAGATTGTTGTAGAATTCTTCCAGAACCAGACACATGCTTCCCATCAAACTATTCACATAGCTTCCCTCTCCGTGCTCATCCCTAGCCTTGTCGTTCAGTGCCTCTTGGTACTTCTCAAAGTCCGCCATCCACTCCAGCGCAAAATCGTGTGGTTGCACATCGGTCTTGTTGAATACAAGGATAAATGGAAGCTTTGTCTTGTACAAGATGGAGCAGGCGTAGAGCATATTGGACATAAAGGTGACGGGAGAGGCGGTACGAGGGGTGTCGATGATGTAGGCGACAACTGTGGGGAGAGAAGAAGCGATGGCATCGGTTATGATTGCGCCTGAGGCGGACCAGGTGAAGATTTCGATCTGGCCAGGGGTGTCAACCAGGATGTGGCTGTAAGGATCAGCACCCGGTCTGCCATGAGTCAAGGTCACTCACTCTACAGTATTAGCACGTTTCTCCACAAAACCAAGTACCTGGTCGAATTTGGTCGTGAACAAATTCAGAGCCGTCAGGATACCCCCGTTTGGTCCCAAGTTGTATTGTTTCATGACCTCCTTGTAGTCGACGGTATCCCTAATATCGATGTTTGCTTGGTAAGGCATATGCGAGACCGCGGGATCGAGATTCAGGATATAGGGAGGGGTGTTTTTTGAGTGGAGATGAGAGTTGAGGCGTTGCATGAAGGTTGTCTTGCCCTATGCCGGACGTTAGATACGAGGGAGTGGAGGATTGTAGGCGTACCGAGCCTGCCATTCCTATACACAGAATGACCACGGGTTTCTTTTCGGAAGATCCTTCGGCAGGGGCCGTTTGCGTTGATTGTTGAGCAGACATGGCGGTAAACGATGCAGTTGTTTCTTCGAGAGAGTGTTAAAAAAGTTGGTGGAATATCGAACAAGTCCCCGAAGAAAGAGTAAGCAGGCGGCTGCCTCCACCTTATGAAAAGGCAGTATTACGTAAGGGTGAATGCAACGACGCGAAAGTAAACAATCTGCTGACCTCTCATTTGCTTTTATCCTCGCACTCATTTACCGCCATCGCCTCCCCCCCCCCTCGTCCTCAATCTCCCCCACATTCATTCACTATGGCAGACGTCAACGAGAAAATCGCGGATCCTAAGGCAGAGCGCCGGGCCTCCACGACGCGTTACCTCAAGTTGAACCGTCTCCCAACCCTGCAAGAGGTTCTCGACCGAAGGACAAGACCGCCCCTCGACTTGTTCTGCTTCTATGTGCGTACTTGAGCCCGTATTGACCAGTCACAGACTGACGTATGGATGGGCGATTTTTATTGGTGATTTGATGGCGACGTTGAACACGGGTCTGTGCACGCTGCAACATGGACACGCAGATCTTCCTCCAAAGAGAAATGTCAGAGGACGCGCTCGACTTCTGGCTCGATGTGCAGCAACACGAAAACCTCTGCAAAGCATACTTCAAGGTGTGTCATCTGGTCTTCACCAAGAACAAGAGCTCATGCAGCGCAGGACCTCCGCCGCTCTGGCCGTTCAGTCCAGGATGAATGGCCGCAATTTGCCGACTATGCCCGCTCAAACGGCTCACACTTCTCGCCTCTCCTCTCTCTCCCTTCCGAGCCCCCTTCCCCGAACCCGACCTCCCCTAACCCGCTCTACCCCGTCTCCCCCGACCCAGTTGGAGACTTTGATCCTTCCCACTCGCCGCTGAACCCAAGCGGTAGCCGCGGACGGAGGGACACCGAATCACACGGACCCAACCATGGGATGACTTCACCAACACCGAGCCAGGGAGTAGGCGCTTTCGGCGAAAGAGCGCAAAAGGAGGGCAGGACAAGTCTGGCGCCTACCCAAGGGGCCGGGACTAGGAGCGGGAGACGAAGAAGCAAGGCCCCCACTGTCATTGCTAGAGACAGGGCAATCGAGAAGCAGGCGTTACAGGAAAGCGCAGAGAGGATTTTCTACCGATATCTCTTTGATGGCGGAGAGAGGGAAATCTATTTGCCGTCAGTCCACCCTCTATCAGATGTATCAAATTGACAGTCTACAGTCCCTCGCTACGTGTTTACAACTTTCCCGAATCTATTGAGGGCGAGACCTCTCCCCTCATCCCCGACCTCTTCCACGCCCAAAAGATCTATGTCTTCAAAGCCCTCGAACAGGACGCGTTCCCCAGGTTCCTCCGAGCCAAGGCTTTCGCCAATCTTACACCATTTGGCAGTGTCGTCAGGCTCATCGCTGGGCTGTTATGCCTCTGGGGAGCCTTTGTTTTGGCATTCTCTCTGATCTTTTTGGACTGGAAACCACGCTTGACGCGTTTGTGGGTGCGTACGCGGTGCCCGTCGAGATCTCTCATTGACTCCTTATAGCTCATCCTCCCGTTCCTCTTTGCTTTCATTCTTCTCCTTTCCTCCTACTACTCCCTCTCTCCCTTGCTCTTCCTTCTCAATCTCTCCGAGACCACACCTTTCCACTTCATCAGCGTCAAGGAGCCATATGTGCGCAAGTTGGTGGCTATCCGGGCGGGTATCATCATTGTGGCGAGCCTGCTGTTGACTGCGATCTTCGTGGTCATATTCACAGTTGTGCCCGGCCATCGACTCTAAGGCCCTGCATCCATGGTCCGGTGGAGGACAGTGTATACAGGGAGGTGTGTTTGACAGTGGTTCTGGAACAACTTAATCATATCGTGCTTTTGGTATGGGTAATTACAGTCGTTCCAGTCTGTGTATCTTGGGCCCATATCTCTTGACATGATACTGTACATAGTTGAAGTCCAAAAGAGCAAGCAATGAGTAACGAACCTGATGAATTTCCTTATGTATCAAACAACGGGTAACTTGAAAGTATGATACAGAAGTGCCACATTGTATTTTGGTACCGCCCGATTGTGGCGACTCCAAGAGAATTTGTTGTTGTTGTTTTTGTCTTTCGCTCTGCCTCACTCAAACCTGTCTTCAGCCATCCGCCAACTCTCTTCCCCCAGCTTTTCCTTATCATCGGGTCTCCACTGACTGGATTGTGAACGAGCCGACACGTGCATCTGCCTGATCAAGGCTGCAGTACGCGTCTTTGTTTACGCGACGGCTCACTCTTGGAGTATCTTGTTGACGCGCCTGTGCTCATAGCGCACTCCTGATCTTTGCCCTTCGAGAATATCTGAGTACGCATCTATGATTCCTTGACTGTCATGACATGCTGATTGAGCTGGTCACCGCAGAGGCAATCCTGGAACCAATGGCACGCACTCGCAGATCCCTCGTCGCCCCCGACTCCCCTTCCCTCGCTGTAGATCAGCATCCCCGTGCATCTTCAGATTCCTCACTTTCTTCACCACCTCCCTCCCTCCCTCCTTCGCCCCTCCAGGTGGCCCTTCCACTGCCGTCTGTCAAAAGGCTTACTCGGGCTTCTCGTACGCTCTCTTCGCTTCCATCCACACCCGACCCTACTCCTGGCCCCAGTATCTTCCCAGAAGGCCTTGTTGGCCATATTTCCCAACGGGAGAAGCCAAGGCGTAAGTTCTTTCGCCAATTCAAAGCTCGGGCGCTTCAACTACCAAAACGAGGGAGATCGCCCGCGCCTGTGGTGCCCATGGAAAAGATACTGAGAGCCTTAGGGGATGGCGAGCTGGAGAAGAAGGAGGGTCTGAGTCTGAAAAAGTACCCGCAAGACTATGAAGAAGAGAAGGCAAGCAAGGGGAAGGGCAAGAAGAGGGCAACACCCTCCGATGAGGATACAGCCGAAGAAGCCAAGCCAGCGCCCAAACCTCAACGCGTTTCCAAAAGCTACCTTTCTTCGGGCCTCTACTGCCAAGAAGAGAAACCAATCACTTCGCAGACTCTCGTCGCCCGTGTCCTAAAAGCAAGGGAAGAAGAGAACAAGGCCGATAAGTTGAGAAAGGCGGAGGAAAGGAAAACGAAAGGGCGCAGAAGTGAGCCTATGAGACCGACGGAGGAAGGGGTGAGGACAACGAGGGCTAGAGTCTCTCTCTCGTCCAGTGCCCGACCTCCCCAGATGCCCACAGAGGTCGATCCAAAGAATGATGTCAAGAAGGACTCAGTGACAGTCCAGACTGACCGGCCCATCCTGCCTCCCCTTCCCTATGATTTCGGCTATACGCTCTTCTTCGGGAAGCAGCATGATTTTGAATTACCTTACAATATCAAAGAGGAATTCGCAAAAGGGGTTCTGGATGGAAAGAAGAAGCCTGATGGTTTCACCAAGATCCGAGCGAGTAAGCCATTCGTGTTTCATAGCGCTTCGTGAGGATCTGACGAAATAGCAGATATATATCCCGAGCGACAAAAGATTGCCTCGGATATCAAGGCTGTCTGCAAGTGTGATTCCACGTCAAATTGCGGCGAGCAATGTATCAACAGAATTATGAGCTATCTTTGTGGAAAGGGGTGTCCTTGCGCCGAGGGGTGTGAGAATAGGAGCTTGAACAGGCGAAAGGGGCCGAGTTATAAGGTCACTTATGTGAGCGACCTTTCGTATTGATCCTGGGGTCATCACTAATGGGATATTGACAGATGGGGGCAAGAGGATTTGGGATCGTGATTACTGAGGACGTGTCTAAAGGTGATTTTATTATGGATTACCGTGGAGAGGTTATCGATCTTGAGTGAGCATTTCGTCTTCCTTCCTCAGATTCGCAATAACGATACCTAGTACCTTCCGTGATCGAATCTGCACCACATACAGACTCACCAAGAATTACTATGCCCTCTCATACTCCCCCAACGAAGTCATCGACGCAGGACTCAGAGGCAACGACGCGCGCTTCATTAACCACGGATGCGCGCCAAACTTGGAGGTGAGAAAGTATCAGACGTTAGGGGATGGCTGGGAGGAGTACGAGGTGGGAATGTGGGCATCGAGGGATATCAAGAAAGGGGAAGAAGTAAGCTCTTCTAATTGGCCAGGCTGCTGGGCTCTTGTGACTGACAGGTCTTCACCAGTTGTTTTACGATTACAACTTTGAACATTTCTCAGCCCAGCCTTTGGGCTCTCAGACTCGCTGTGCGTGCGGCGCACCCAATTGTACGGGCTACTTTGGCCGGCGTCCAGCTCAATCCTCTACGATGCCCGTCGCCTCTGCAGAAAGCAGGGGACAAGCACCGGAAAGCCACGAACGCGGACAAAGATCCGGGAAACCTGTACCTTCGGAGGGTAAAATGGGTAGACGTCAACATTTGCATCCTGTTACATCAGCATCCGCCTCGGCATCTCGATCCAGAAGAACGGTGGTAGTTTCTGCCTCCACTCTTTCCGCCCCGTCTCTCATCAGGAGCAGCTCAACGTCGTCCAACGATGTTCCTCTCAGGACACCAGAACCCATCATTGTCGAAGTTCAGCCGACCGATGACGCTGTTCGGGAGAGCGCAGATGGAGATGCGCGGTTGATCAGAGGTGGCAGGAAGAGGAAGTCTGCGCCTGTGCCTATCGGGCAAGAAAAAGGAGGTGAAAGAGCGATGAAAAAGAAGAGGTCGTTTCTGGTACCTTCTGTTGTTATCACGACAGCATCAAAGCACGCAGTGCATGGCAGTGCAGAGGATCAACAGGGAGGGCGACGGCGGTCGACGCGAGGGAAAGCATAGTGTTGTACATATCTATAGAGAAAGGACGATTCATACCCCATGGACGACATCATCGTTGGTAGACTTTATATCTACTTCTGTACCTGCAGTCTTCTTCTTTCTATTGTAATCCCTTTTATTGACGACTACTCACGTGCACCAATCCGGAGTTTGAAGCGATGCATATCATCAAAACTAGGCCCAACAGAAGAACCTGAACAAAAAGTAGCCCCCAACAGAACAAAACACGGATGACCAAGATCAATCAGTTACTCTTCCCAAGTAACATGGGCTATTGGTCTCTCCCCAACTCCCGACCATTCCCAAGTTTTCCAGATCTCGCCCTTCACCTCTTGCTCCCGAACAGTCACATTCGCATTGCCTTCAACCAGCTCCACCACCTTCTCCCACATTCTCGCTTTGCTTCCACCGAGCGTTGCTCCCTTGTGCGGCATCACAAGGTCACGCAGCTGGTCACGAGGAATGAAGGGGTTCGGAGTGGATGCGGGATCAGTGTAGTGTAGTTGCTCTTGATCCTGGATGCGTCTCAAAGCAACAGAAGCCAGGGATGCGGCACGATACTTGTCTTCTTTGCGGCGGCTGACTTCGGAGCGGATGTAGGCGATGAGAGCGAGGACGGCAGCGGTCGCTGTGCAGCGTTAGCGATCACATTATCTTTCATATGGGCGAGACTCACATCCAAGCTGGCTCTTCCATCTGTCAAGAAGATCGGCAGCTTCGAGTTTGCCGCGGCATACAAGAGTCAGGTCAGTGCGGGCAGCGGCATAACGAGTGACGTTATTCCTAGCACAAGGTCATTTTCGTATCTTTCCTATGCCTAGGGGACTTACTCGACATCGATCGAAACGATCAAGTCTTCATGTTCGACCAAATCTTTGATCGCAGCCTCGAAAATCTGATCAAACTCCTCTCTGGTGACTCCCTGTCTCCTCATACCGGCATATTTTTCCCTCAACGCTCCCTCTTCCTCTCCAAACCTTTCACCATCACTTCCTCCTCCAGTACCTTCGCAGATCACGTCACCCCTGTGTTGCGCCAGAGAGCTCTCAAGCTCTTTCGCCATGCTGCCTATCAATCGCTTCAACCTCGTATCGGGCTTGCACACTGGTGGGAATGCGCGCGGTCCAACGGTCGGAAGACCATCGACCAAAGGGGAAAGGAAAGCAATGGAGCTCGGTGACAGCAAATACTCGGGCTCACATGCGATTATCTCTCCATTGGAGCATTGCGCATGCGCCGGGCAAGGTGTACAAGCGGATGGCACAGGAAGGAACGGGACAAGGGGGAGGTTGGACGTATCGCATTGTATATGCTTGGCCTGATCTCTATCTGTCGCGTCCAACCTCGCGCGTTCTTCGAGGCATTTCTCTGCTGCCGTACGGGACGACAGTCGGGAAAGCGCAATCTCATTTGAGCTGAATGCAGTGTCGCAAAAGCCGATAGAGGAGGATTGAGATTTGAAGTTGGTGATGAAGGTGAGGAGGAGTAAGAAGAGGACCGATAGAGGAAGAGTAGCTCGCGGAGCAGGGACATTGTGTGTTATTTGATCGTTGACGCGGGTTGCCAACGACTTCTCAGTGTCGGTTGCTGCACCTGTAGAGGTATGCACAACCACCTGGGCATCTTCTTGAGCGTTTCGAGAGATCTGGTTGAGCTTGTTTTGCACTTCGTGATTATACGCCACAGCATCATCAAGATCACCCTCGGCGAGTCTACGTTTGACCTCGGAAGGCGGCGTTCGCAGATTCTCCCTACTGGGGCCCATTCGGCGAAGAATACCAGGAGGAGTGACGGCATTCGAACCTGGCTCGGAGTATCGTGGTTGATCAGGCTTCTGAGTAGACGTAGCGAAACCAATCGAGGACTTTCTCCTGCGTCTTGCTTTCTCTGCAGCCGCCTCACTACCACTTTGGAAGGGGTTGAAATCAGAAAAGGCAGGCTCATCCCCGGCAGATCTTCTAGGTGTTCTGGCGGTCTTCTTCTTGGGGGTATCATCCTTTTCGCTTTCTTCGTGGAGATTCTCCATGACCTTGATAGCGGGCTCGCTCTTTCTTGCGCTTCGAGGAACTTTGGGGGTGCGTGCAGACGTCGGAGGTTCGGTGGCGGGTGTGACAGGAGTCATGGAGGAGCGGCCACGAGTCCTACGCCGAGACTGTAATGTTTTAGCACGATACAATCAGTCAGAGTGTACAAACATACAGGCGTGGGAGCAACCTTGATAGGCTCATCTTCAATTTCTCCATCGACACCTTCATCGACGTCCTCCACCTGGATTACCGGCTGCGCGTTCTTCTTGCCTCCTCGCCTGGGCGTCGCCTCAATCTCCACCACAGGGACGTTCTTAGCTTTTGAACGCGATCTTTTCGCGGGTGGTTCAGAAGTTACCTCGGCCTGATCCGGTAGTTCAACATCTGTTGATTCGGGCTCGGCGGTCGACCGTCGGGAGGACCGACGGGATCGCTTGGTGGGGACAGCAGGGGTCTCTTCTCCAGCATCAGAAACCGAGACGATGCCTGCGTCAGAAGGTACGACAGCGGCTGCTTGTCGTCGCAAGGCCTAAAGGCGTGTTATCGATGTATCTCGCCATGAGCTTTCGGGACTCACAGGAGCTTGGCTTGCGACGTGTGTCTCGAATTCGCGCACGAGCTCATCCTTCTTGATCCTAGCTGAATATCCGTGTCCATGAGCGAGTAGTACTGATCTGGTGATGGGTCAGTATGGGGGATGAATACGGATCGACCGAACTTGCCGAAGCTGCGGGACCTGGACGTGTTGTTAGCGGGATGTAAACAAGTCGACATGTTGAGTGCAACTCACTGTGAGCTTTGCCGGGTTGAAGCCTGGGGCCAGGTACGTCTCCGGGGGCGGGGCGGACATGGCAGGGACTGTCTGGTTAGTATTTGCGGCTGAACGAAAAAGAAAACAAGAATCGCCACTCCACTTTGTTGTTGTTTATGACGAAACCACACACGCCTATTATTTCTCGCCTGATTTTTCCATTTTATCCCACTGCTGTTGGTCTTAGACAGCTTGCCCCCACACGGCGCTTGCATACCAAGTAGCGATGCCACATACCTGCATGCTGCAGTATAGCCCGCGAGGTGCCATATACCTGTACATGTGCACTCGGACGAAGTCTTATAATACCAATCTTTGGAAAGACATCAATCAACTTCATCTTTGCATCATCACCACAGACCCAACGTCTGAGATGGTGGCCAAGACAGAACAAGGGGTCCAATGGTCGTATTGGGGCAGACACACTCGGTGACATTTCAACACTCCAAGGGACAAGCACAACACTAGAGCTGTTTCTTCAGCTGCTGGCTCTAGTATCTCGATCAAGCCCGTACACGAATTCGACGATGCTGTTTCTGCATCGTACTATTAGGAGACACCGTTTCACCGAAATAGAGAGGTGTGCGATCTGATCTGGGCATCATCTCAGTGCTGAAGTATTAGCGTCAGCTGGAACCAAATGAAGAGGAGAGTGATTTCTAGGAGTGCATTTTACTGTATTTCTCCTGGCGCGCGTGCGTCTACGCGCTCGGGCCACTGCTTTGATACTCGACAACAACTCTGCCACTCCAGCTGCTGCATCTCTCCCGTCAGCCACCCCATCCAGCCACCCCTTCCCATCACCCACCCGTATCCCCACCCATCGTCATGGCCGCTGCCGTCGCATCCCCCGGCGAAGAGATCACCGCTGGCTCTTATGTCGGATTCGACTGTACGTGCCCAAAGTTCCCCTGTATGGCCCGTACCGAGCACAGCTGATCAGAGATACCCCAAATTCTCACCATACGTCCTACAGCCATCACTCGCCAGATCGAGCACAAGTTCTTGAAGCGTGGTTTCCAGTTCAATATCATGGTGGTCGGTGCGTGGTCCGTGCTTTGGCCTGGAAATGTCTTGCTGATCTATCTGGCAGGACAAACCGGTCTCGGAAAGTCCACCCTCATCAACACTCTTTTTGCCTCCCATCTTGTTGACTCTAAGGGTCGCTTTGAGCCAGAGATTGCTCCTCGCGCGACTACCGAAATCGCTGCTCAATCCCACGGTGCGCTACTCTGTTGGCAGTCGCGCCTTTGCATCGACGCTGACAGCTGCTAGTCATTACCGAGAACGGTGTCAAGCTTCGGCTCAACATCATCGACACCCCTGGCTATGGTGACAATGTCAACAACGAAGGATGCTGGGATCCCATCGTCAAATACGTTGGTCTAGATGGTCTTCTCGCCTTTGCCTCGTGCTCACCTCGATTCAGATCAAGGACCAGCACTCTGCCTATCTCAGGAAGGAGCTTACTGCCATGCGAGACCGACACATCCCCGATACCCGTATCCATTGCTGTCTCTTCTTCATCAACCCCACAGGACACACTTTGAAGCCGGTATGTTGTGCACCGTCATCAGAAGCAAAGCTCAAAATCCACTCAGATCGACATTGTCGTTCTCAAGAAGCTTTCCGACGTTGTCAATGTCGTCCCCGTGATCGCCAAGTCTGACTCCATGACTCTTGAGGAGCGAGCGATTTTCAAGGAGCGAGTAAGTGTTTGTACAGGGTAACAGTATCACTACTAACCGGTGTAGGTCATGGCCGAGATGCAATACAATCAGATCAGAATGTTCCCCTTCGACTCTGAAGAGCTCGACGAGGAAGAGCTTACTCTCAACGAGCGGGTCCGGGTCAGTGCTTCGAAAACAAATCTGAAAAGAGGCTGACCTACGTCTAGGAAATGCTCCCATTCGCGGTTGTCGGTTCTGAGCGAAGCGTCATCGTTGACGGTAAACCTGTCCGAGGAAGGAAGAACAGATGGGGTGTCATCAATGTGGAGGATGAGGCGCACTGCGAGTTTGTCTACTTGCGAAACTTCCTTACCAGGTGAGTCTTCATCGTGTCATGTTTGTCGTCAGCGGCTGACTCTGCCCAGGACGCACCTTCAAGATCTCATCGAGACCACCGCTCAAGTCCATTACGAGACCTTCCGATCGAAGCAGCTTCTTGCCCTCAAGGAGTCCTCCACAAAAGCTCAACAATCTTCCATCTAATTCTCTTCTACGTCTTTTTCATATCTTTACAGAATCCTGGGCCCCTGTACCCTCTCAACCTCAACCTTCTTGTCTACTAGACTTTTCCTCATCTGTCTTATTACGCGCTTAATGACCGTCATGTGAAGTATTGACCCTTTCTCTGCGTCATCAGTCGAATGAGCGGCCCGCAGCATCATGAGACACCCCGAAGCCACCTGTATGTCAGACGATGATCAGCTGTACGCATACTGCTATCACCTGCTTCTCACGTGATATGGTAGACAGTCAAGGCAGGAATGCTCTTGATTTTGCCCGAAAAGATCTTGGAGCGCTGGGTTATGCTTGATCGGCGAGACGCGCGAAGGCCGAATTACGTCCATCAATTATATAGCAAAATCGCGATACTCGTACATAATACGGTACGGGATGTTTTCACTCACTACATCTTCTTGAATTTTCCCGCTCTTCTGTCCAGTACATATATGAGACAGTCTTTCCTGATTTGCGACTCATGGTCTCCTCCACATTCACTCAGTCTTCGCTCAACGTCAACAGAACGGCGGCCTCCGCCGCTCTCGCAGAAGACTGGTGTGGCAACAAAAACAGTGGCAGGACAACAATCATTTGGATGTCTTTCGTCCTCTCCTCCCTCATGCCGTATAGACAACACAACACAAACGAGTCATGATCAACGCCTGGGAATGTCAGGCAGCCGCACATCTATCTGCCTCAAGCCTCAAGCTTCAAAGTCGACAATCTCAACTGGCCCACGACGCGGACGCGGGCGATGCAGATCGTTTGAAGCAAGTGGTTCATACTGAGATTTTAGATGCTTCCCAAGAGTATGCTAATATATCACGTAGCCCATTATATATGCTGACAATGTATAATCGTACAGCGCATTTTCGACTTCTTCTCTATAATTCTATGAAAACCCAGCCACCACTGGCCCAAGAGGTATATATTATTGTACAGATTCGTGATCACTAAAGAAACAGGGGTACTTTCAAAAGCAGCCTAAGCGGATCATACGGGCTAGAACACTGGTTCGCCAAAGTAGCTCAACCAACTTCGACATTGATGGGAGGGCTCTACAGTTGAACGGTAAGAGACCTGGAGCAAGCGCCGTTATGGAGCGTCCAGCCGCTCTTGCAGGCAAATGCTTGGCAAGAACCGCTAGAACATGTAACGGAGCCGCGGAGGAGACCGGGAAGAGAAGAGCAGCTGAGATGGTGGTCAGCCAGTGGATTGCGAGATGTGCAGAAAGAGGACGCACTTGACACCAGTAGCAGCAGTGCTGTTGGCGCCCTTGACGTAGTCACCGTGAGCACAACCACCACAGCTTTCGAGGTCAGCCTCGGGATCCACGCACTGACACCTTTATCAGCACTCTGCCTTTGAAACGAAGAAGTTAAAGACCCACCTCCCAAGCATCGGAAACGCCCATGACATTACAAGCCTTCATACCCCTCGGGCAGTCCCATCCCCTCTCCCTGATGACCTGCGACCTCCTCATCCTCTCTTGCTTCTCAAAGCCTCGCTTCTTCTTCGCCAAGCCGCTGGCTGTAGCAACGGCAGTGTGGGAGAAGGTGTAGTAGTTGGAAGTGGTGCAGCGGTCACTACTGGTGGTGAGCGTACCAGAGCCACAGGCACAGGTGTAACCACTGCCAAAGATGTTGGGAGTGTAGAAGGCATTGGCGTAGGCGGCGCACTTGGTGAGGCAAGCGTCAGGGCTGGCGACAGTCCCAGAAGTGGAAGAAATGATGCCGGTGCCGCTAGAGCAACCTTTGAAAGTGAAGGAGGAGGATGTACGGTAAACCTGTATATGTCGGTGAGTACTGTTCTTATACAGGGATGAGCGAAGAATCGATCAGACTTACAGCAGCTTCAGAACCGGCAGTACAGGTGGTGGTGGTGAAGTAGTCGTAGTCGATGGGGTCAATGTCGGCAGAAGTACAGAGACAGTTGTTGGTAGGGTAGTTGAAGAAACCTTTAGTGACGTATAAGGCATAGGTGTTGGATGCGCATTCGGTCTATCTATACGTGTGAGCCAGTCTCTCTCGTAACCCATGAACGGACACTCACGATACAAGCAGCGGCTGACCTTTGAGAGGATTGAGAGCTAACTGTAGTGAAGATCTGGTTGATACAGCCGAGGAAAGGGGACTCGGCAACGACAAACGAAATGGAGGAGAGACAGACTACCAATAAGAGGGGAAGAGTGTGGAGGGCCAACATTCTGGGCAAAGGTGCAGGAAGTTGGTTGGGTCAAGAGAGTGTCTGAAAGAGTGTGCGGGTGATAGCTGAGCTGACGCCGACTGGTAGGTAGTACGGAAAGAAGACTGCGAATGACAAGAGACGGCGGGAGACTGGTCTGATGAGAAGAGAGGGAAGGGACCGCGTTCTCCTCCTCTTTATAGCTTTTGAATCTGTTGGCATACGACGCCCAGCTGATATTGCAGGAAGGGAAGGATCCGGGGACTGTCTGACCAAGTGCAGGAAAGAGCAGGAAGCCGCTCGAGTGAAGGCACTCTGTCTCATTCGAAAAGTTCAGAGCACTGGAGGCTGGAGGTAAAGTCGCTCCTCCGTAATCTTCGCATCCCTCCCCCGAGTAGGACCTGTCGATCCTGTCAGCGGGAAGCACAGGTGTGTCAGAACCCTAGCCAACCTCTCCATTTGTGCCTCCTGCTCTCACTTGGAATCTCGCGAAGAGATTGAGAAGGCCGAAGAGAACGGAAAAGGAAGATCTGAAAGAAGGCGGGCCGGAAGCGGGACGGATGATCATCCTTGAACATGTCGCACTTCAAACCGGGGCTCTCTGGCTATGGACTCTGTCTCGCAATTGAGGGTGTCCGCTAAAGACGGGAAACGAACAGAGTGCAGCTGTCGAGATGCCCGGTGGGCGCAGGCCGTGCTAGCCGGGGGGGGGCCGAGGAACACGTCTCTGATTATCACTGAAAATATGAGAGCCACTGTCGCCTGAGAAGCTTGAAAGGTTCACTATCTGATATCAGTGGCGTTATGCCGATCGCAAGAAGCATATCCTTGTACCTGGTGTCCTGTACGCGCGCTTCCCCGGCCCCCGCACACATTAACCATGAAAGGGCGCTTCCAAACCTGGCACGTCCGGTCGACTCGGTGTGTCTACAGTACACTACTGGCCAAGATCCTTCGCCCTTTGCATACAGCACATGTCTCAAAGAATCGCAAGGCTCGAGATCAAGGTTGAGGACAAGAACAAACCTGACCTGTACTTTTGTCCAAGATCTATCGTCTCCGTCCCCTCTCTCACAGTCAAGCAGCCTGCCATCAAAAGGCCCCAAAGATTCCAGAACGCAGAGGCCCACGTATCCGCGTACAGATAGAGCGGTCCTACATAGCTGGGATGTATAAGCTGTGCGATTGCTGATAGGAGGCGTAGGATGCATAGGAGTGAAAGGGCAGCTGCCTCCTTCCGGTGTCGAGCGCAGATGTCATCCATGCCCGCGGTGGACAGGCACCTGACGAGTAACCCTTTGCAGCCCGCGGCCCTTCGGAGGATTCATGATGTTTCGGCAATGGACACACTGTGACATGCCGGCCCTGACTACCTTTTTCATTTGCTTCCGCATGTCCAGTCACTTCCCGGACCTTATGTAATCAACCCAAACACGCTCTAGCTCGCGCCGCCGCGCACAACAACCACCCTTCATAGTACACACTCTCATCTATCCATCTTGCACCACTGAATCTTGTGCATCCCCAATGACGACATCCCCCTCGCTGTTCGCCACAAGCCCTATCACCTCCCTCTCTGCCCCCTATAGACCCCAGCACACCCCCAGCCTCCACAAGAGTTCCCCCCCCCCCCACACCCTCCTTATCCTCAAGAGAGAAAACAATACCCAGCGCGCGAGGGGGGGGAAAGGGACGATGGTATCTCAAGTCATACGACGCCATGAAAGCTGTAGCCAAGTAGGAAGAACGGTGAGCCAGGTAGCTCAGCAGATGTAAATCAGTTGCCAGTACATACACGAGTACGACATATGTATTTCTTGCAATCAGTTAGCTGTCCCCATGTCCCCATCGGCAAACGTGGTTGACAAATTGTTCAGCATTAAATGGTCATGAAACATAAAAACAGCAAGAAGTCAGCATCCATTACCGTGTATGTACATGTAACTATACTACTTGTACTTACAAGTATAATGTCAGGTGCGATGGACTTGACTGGTTTGCGGCTATGTTGAAAGGTCCGGACGTGTCCGGTTCAGCTTTGCCAGGCCGGACTTGGTGGAAGCAAAATGAAAAAGGTAGTCAGGGCCGGGGGGGTCGCCTACGGGGTGTCACTGACACCGTGACTTCTCCTGGCTCGGTGCCCCCACCCCAGGGAAGGGCTTGTGCCGAGCCAGGGTATGGCAGGCACTGGAAGTGTCCCTGGCATGTGGGTCTCTGTGCCCCTTGGCATCCAGTCACCACTCCGTCCGTTTTCGGTGCTCGGGGTTTATTAGTGCTGAGGCCGGGTGAAACAAGTTTACTAGGACCTAAAGTATATGGTGGCACAACAGAGTGCGATAGCCGCCCGCGCACCAGGAGATACTTAAAGCAAGGGGACTCGGACCTGGATATGTGTCTATGTGTTTAACGTGCCAACGTTAGCGTTAGGCTCGACACAAGCCCCTCGCTCCGACGACGCCAGGAGGAGGTCAGCTTCGGAAATATACATCGATATGGTCACCGGGTGACATATACGCCGGTATTGTCACTCGGCACAATGTTATCTGTCGGTAGATGTGACCGCTGGTTGTCAGTATAGTCACCCTGTTCGATTCGATCTCCAAGCCGCAGACGCCGCCCGAAACTACTACTCGTACAGTACTCGAGTACACGTAGTACTGTAGACAGCCCAAGGTTGTGTAGGTTGTCTTACTGAATGATTCAGCTTTTCGGGGGAGACTGGCAGGCTGCTACATAGAGTGCTGTCGTCACTAACGTTTCAACAGGCGCGACCGTCCAGGTTATTAATTGCCAAGTCTGGCTGGGCAGCATTACTCGACAACTAGACCAGGTGTAAGGTGAACGTGGAGGACGGCCATGGATGCATGCCTATACATACAGATCAGATGTAGGTGGAAGCTGCAAAAAGATCCGGTCAGACGGTCCGTGCGAGTCATCGTTGACAAGAGTGCATGGCAGACAGGCAGAAGAAGAAGGACTGCTGCTCAAGGAAAACATCAGCTACTACGATGAACCCACAAAAGCAACTACCAAGATATCATCAGCGGAAAAGGGATATGCACAGAAGGAGGACGTTTGGAGAAGCTACAACCGCGCTTTTGACCAAAGAAGACAACTAGGAAACCGAGAGAGGAGGAAACACCGACGCGTCTGAAAGGCCACCATAAACGTTCTGAAACACAAGCCAGCAAGGAAGTAAGCTCGAGCACAAGTCTTCAAGAGTTCTTCTAGTGTCCGCTGAATCATTTCTACCCCTTGTATATGTGATTCTAATGAAGGAAGCGGAAGTCGAGTCTGTCCTGCGTATCAGCGCCCCATTCTCAAAATCAGGGTATCACAACTCACCTCTTATTACCCTTGTCGCTAGTACTTTTCATGTACTCCCCCTTCTCCTCCGCAGTATAGGTGTCCCACACCTTGGCCTTCTGCTTGTTCCTATAAATGTACCAAGCCTTGGCAGCCCAAAAATTGAAGATGGCAACCCCGGTGATGCCAGCGAGAACCTTGTTACCTTTGTGGTAGTATGGGGCATCGGGGGGCTGGTAGACGTTGGAACTGATCAAGGACGCCGATTGAACAAACTAAGGTATGTGTGTAAGTGTGATGGGGACGCAGCAAGTGGTGAGGGAGACTGACCATGTTGTAGAGACTACTGGCGACAGTACGGGTTCTGACACTGCCGGCATTCTACAAGAAAGTCAGCTTGTGATTCTTCGTACGAAAGACGGTTCTTACGCCACTGTTCATAGACACTATGATCGGATGACTCGACTACCGCTAATCAGCTCCCCTCCCCTTTCCACGGTCAGAATACACTCACAGGGTGCGAAACAGTCAATGTGATCAACACCCACCTCACCCACCTATTCAAATCATCCGGCGCATAGATGAGTCCGATGATGAAGGGCAGCATCCAAATTGGGTTGAACGAAGCAATGATCAGACGCTCGTTGACTCTCTTCGAAATGTAGGCGGGGATGAGGGTGAAAATGATGGAGATGACGTTGCCGGGGATAGTCATGAGGTTGGTTTGGAAAGTTGTGAATTTGCTGATGATAGGCTTAGCGAAGAAGGCTGGAGGATAAGACGGAGACTAACAGAGCTTTGAGAGTGAGGGTATAGTAAGTGCTGATGGTGTTGGGCGCGACGAATGACGTGATACCAAGCTGTCATACATCAGTAACTTGGACATTCCTACTTTAGCTTCGACTCACAGCGTATAGGGGCCAAAGGTCATAGTCGCACAACGATTCCCAGAATTGCTTGAGGGAAAGTCCTTCTCGATTGTGCACTGGTATCTTGTAAGTGCTCTGTTCGAAATATTATGGTGAGAGAGAGACGTACTGTCCGACTTGAAAGGGTCATCCCGAAGGACCTTGTTGACGATTATAGTCTCTTCCCGTCTACGTGATCATATATCAGCTATGCTCCCTTGAAGCTGACGAGAAAAGGGACGTACTCGGTGAACCAGCCTTCTTTCCTCCACCATTTCGCGGTCTGGGTGGGACTGGCAGGCAGGTAGAAGGCAGCCCAGAGACCGACTAGGAATGTGATTGTCCCTTCAATGAGGAATAGCCCTAAATAAAGTACATTAGTATCCAGGTAGGTACGCCGGGAGGAATAAGAGGGGACTTGCATTGCCAGCCGGCGTATCCGTGTATGCCTATGTATCACATCAACTGCCTGGGCGGACGATGGGATGATGTGAACATACCTCGCATCTGTAGAAGACCAGCAGCGAGGAAACCCGAGATGATGGTGGTCGTTGTCAGTGCACACCAAAAGTATGACAGACGGATAGTGAGTTCGGTGGCGGCTGACGAGAGGTATCAGTGTTGTCACCGGGGCGCGAGAAGCTAATGTCGACTTACTGTAGAAACTTTCGATTGGGAGAAAGAAGGGAATGATTGTTAGTACTACAGCGCGGACAAGAGGAAAGGCGCAGCTCACTATGACAGACTATGCAATATCAGTATATCGTTCAGCTTTCCACGCGGTGACAGGATCAACTCACTAGAGAATGGTATCGGCAATGAACCTATCCCCTTCCAGTCAACTCACAAGCTCAGAACATCCAAAGCGAGAGACCTACCCTCCCTCAATCAAACCAAGAAGCGCACGCGTGGCGTAGAAAGATTGGGGTCCGTTGATACCCATTTGGCCCATTGCGACGGCGGACCAGGACATCATCTACATGCCGTGTCAGCGAGGGAAGCGAGGTTATGGAAGTGAAATTACTTGTATGGGGATCCAGACATCACTTCCGAGCTTCTTTGAGACTGGATGCACAAGTCAGTGATGGAGAGGCGGTCGGTATGAGAAAGAGCTTACTCATCTGGGAAGGAAGCTCAGCGAAGAGAAAACAGAGGGAGAAGATGGTATTGCCAATGTTATCTGTAATCGAGTCAGATAGTGGTCGAAAGAGAGGCAACACAAGAAGCTCACAATTAGCAGTGGTCATACCGACATCAGTCAACATGTCATCGGACACGGCGTTACCGAGCTAGTGGTGGTGTCAGCGCTGACGCTATCACTAGCATATGTGACTCACGTTACCACGATCAAGCTGCAAGGCAAAGAAGCACAGACAAGCAAAAGACATGACCTTCCAGTCTGCAGGCAGGTCAAAAACATTGTCACCCAAAGCGGGTATTCACTTACCAAGTTTCCTCCTGAGCTTTGTCTCTTCCTCCTCGGTCCACTCGGCCTTGGGGTCCCATCGCTTCTTGCCCTCGTACGTGTCAGGGGGCTCATAGAACCTATAGTTGAGCTCGACCTGCGAATCAACCTCGAAGGCACCGGCGTTCTCGCCGTAGAAAGACTCCTTGTCGTCGGCGCGCTTGGAGTCTGGAGATGACAGGGCCTGGTCGGTCGCTAACGGACCGTTGACGGTGACGATGGCGACCACTGGAGCTACGACTCCTTCGCTCATGATTGTGGATGTTGCTGGGTGAGGAGAGTCCCGCGGGATTATGCATGCCAGGAGGGCTACATAGGCGTTGATATATGGGCTGCCAAGTGAATGTCTTGGAGATGGGACAGGGCTGATTCGCTGGTGATCACGTCTGATCACAATTCGAGGACTCTCTCGTACATATCTTGTGATGTAGGCGCCGAGGAGAGATATTCCAGATAGCGGGCCGAGATGGCGCAATGTGGCACTAGAGCGCGCTCATTGCTATCTTATCGCCCGGTGTATTGATGACATGAAAGCCGCGGGGGCGCCGGACGGCGGCGATGGCCGGAGCACCCCATCGCTCGCCATATGGGACAGAGGATATAAGAAGAGGGAATTCCAGATATCCCCAGCTATTCCAGATATGGCCCAGTGATCATCAGTCGCCATCTCCTCGGCCTCCCGACCGCCTCAGCTCTGCCACACGCAGCACGACATCTCGCCCCATACAACGTGCCGTCGCAGGGGGTATATACTCTAGTTGCCCACGTTCACCTCCCGTCTCCCCAGCCACCATGCCCGTCGCCACACCCCACGCACCCCAGTCGTCTCTTGTAGACACCCTCAAGGCCAGCGTCTCCCACGTAGAGCACAAGGATCACAGCGAGGAGCCATTCAACCTCCGCGCATTCGCCCACTTTGACTCGGCCCCCTCCATCGGCACAGAGTTCCGCGAGTTCTCCAAGGATGGCAAGCCAGTCATCGATATCCGTGACTTGCTCGGCGACGAGACCAAGCTCCGCGCTCTTGGGCGACTCGTGTGAGTGCTTCCTAACAATTCATACTGGGCTGACGAGGACAGCTCGGAGCGAGGCGTCGTCTTCTTCCGTAACGCCATCATCACGCCCGAAGAACAGCGCGTCCTCATCGACACCCTCGGCCGTCTCGGGGGCAAGCCCAAAGACAGCGGATTGCATATTCACCCGCTTACTGCGACTGCCAGCAAGCTCGGGGACGACGTGCAAGTCATCTCGAACGAGTATTCCCACGACTTTGACAAGGGCGGTATCAAGACCAACCAGGGTGAGATCTTGAAGCGCGAATTCGGCAAGGACCTCTGGGTGAGTGCGCGCTTGTGAAACTTGAAGATGGGAGGCTCATGGGATTGCAGCATTCTGATATCACGTTCGAGCCTTACCCTTCCGACTATGCCTCTCTCACGATCAGGACGTTACCCGAAGTCGGCGGTTAGTCCTTCCTTTCTGCCCATACTCCAATCTGACCCTTTTCCAGGCGACACTCTCTGGGCATCGGCCTACGAAGCATACGATCGTCTCTCCCCCGCTTACCAAACCTTCCTCGAATCCCTCACCGCCACGCACGCTGCCAAAAAGTTCATCCCCGGCGCGATCGCCCAGCGCGGGGACGCCTTCGGCCAGCCGAGGGGCCATCCCGAGAATGTCAGCACAGAGCTGGAAGCCGTGCATCCTGTTATCAGGACCCACCCATTGACGGGATGGAAGGGCCTTTTCGTCAACAAGGAGTTTACGAAAAAGATCAACGAGCTCACCCAGCGAGAGAGCGATACGCTTTTGGATTTTTTGTTTGAACACGTCTCGTCGGTGCGTCGTGTCATCGCTTTTATACAAGACCAAGCTGACGAGTACACAGAACCACGACCTCCAAGTGCGATTCCGCTGGGAGAAAAACTCGCTCGCGATCTGGGACAACAGAATTACGTTCCATGCTGCTACCAAGGATACCGACGGGATCTTGAGAATCGGCACGAGGTCTGTCAGTGTGGGAGAGAGGCCGTACTTTGACCCCAAGTCGGTTGGGAGGAGGGAGGGGCTTGCAAAGGAAGCGGCGGGAGAAGCTGTCGCCTGAGCGTGTAAAAGACGAATGGAGACATTCGAGCTGTATCTAGGACCAAAGGCCAAGGTTGTACATACCAAGCATGAATTGTAGTATTGTTGTGCTTTTCACTGGGACCAACGACGGATGACGATGACTGAACATACACCTGCAAAATGATTGTACAGGTGGACGACAGTGCTAAGAGGGGCAGGTTGATTGTGGATGACTACACCGGCATCACGGAGAACCAAATTTGGCGACTATAGTCGGTCACTTACGTGATGACGAGCGATAGAGTGCATTGATTGTCCCTCTACTCACTGTCACTCGGCCTATTCCCGGCCATTTTCCCGGCCATTTTCCCGTTCTACCTGCGGATGCCCGAGCAGATACCAAGATCATGCCTAATTGCATCATCCCAAGTTCCTGCATGGTTACAGTAGCCAGCGATTATCTGGAATAAATTTCTCGGTACTCGTATGGTGCGAAGATACGGACGTCCCCGGGTCATACAAGGGGCTCGTGATCATCGTGATGTATGCACCATGGCGGACTCTATTAGTATCAGGATGTCATGTAATGTGATCGCCAAGAGCCAGCATAGGACAGGCAGTGCAGGCAGCCCTTGCTGACGCGGGGTCACTTGGTAATACGGCCCAAGTCGCGCCGAACACCCCAATGCCAACTCACTAAGAAGTGGGAGATGGGTCCGACATGTCTCCTCAAGCTCCCATCTAACCCTTGCAACCCCAAAGTACATTTGGCTGAGCTCTTCCGGATTGTGGGCAGTAACAAGAAGACTTCGTTGTTCATTTCGCATGCTTTTCAACAATCACATTACCAGTCCACGCTCCTTACTTTACTTCTTACCCACTGCTAATCCTGCAAAGGGTATTCATCCGGCCCGACCACATACGCGGCAGGGAACAATCCTTCCTTGCCATTACATGTCCCCTGCCACCAGTCAGGGCCGACCTTGTCAATGTCGGTGATATGGTCGCCTTCGGCGAATGAGATTTCATTGTCTTCACCGGCTTCGTAGCTAGAGATAAAGTATGTTAGTCTGTTTTTTTTCCAAGAAGGGGCAAGCTTACTCGTAAGCCGCGACCATGTACTCTGTCTGTGCGGCTGGGGCAGGAGCAGGAGCAGCAGCAGCAGGTGGGGGAGGGGGTGGGGGAGGAGGAGGAGGGGGGGGGGGGGGGAGGGGGAGGGGGAGCCGCAAACGACTCGGCAGTCTCTACAGCAGGTGTCTCTGTAGATTCGACAGCAGGCGCGGAAGATTCGACAGCAGGTGCCTCTGTAGGTTCGACAAGCTCGCAATAGTTGGCAGGGAATAGACCTGCTTTACCCGCGGGGTTCACTCCAGACCACCATCCTACGCAAAGTCAGCATGCTCACCAACCACGAGTCCAGTCACTTACCCTCATCAAGCTCTTCAATCTGAGTAATGATCTCGTCTTCGCGAAGATCAATCTCATTGTCCTCTGCAGCGTCATAGTCGTACAGCACCTTGGCCGTCTTGCCAGCCACTGCAGTCTCCTCCGCGACCTTGGGCCTCGAGTCGACAGGGACGGGTGGAGGCCCAGCTGAAGGGGCCTCTCCAAGGGTGAGATCTTGCTTGAGCCTATTGAGCTCTTCGATCTGAGGGTCCGCAACGGGTGCTGGAGGTGGGGGTGGAGGAGGAGGAGGGGGCGGGGGCGGGGCTGGAGCACTGGGGGCACTGGGCTCATCTTCCACGACAGGTGAAGGCCTGAAAGGCACCGCAGGAGGAGGGAGAGGAGGCGCGTCCCAATCATCCTCGTCCTCTTTCTCCTCATCAGAGTCGGGAGATACAGGCCGGGGGGGCACAGCCCTTGTGGCAGGAGGTGGGACAGGTGCAGCAACCTTGGGCGCATCCCAGTCATCGTCATCTTCTTTCTTTTCCGCAGAGTCGAGCACAGCTCTTGCGGGCGGAGGAGGCGCAGGAACAGCTCGTGTGCCCGTCACCGCAGGAGAGATACCCCCTCTAGAGGCGGCAGCAGCACCAGCGGCAGCACTGGCCCTGTCCTCTTCCTCTCTCTGCTTCTTTGCCTCGGCTTGTCGCTCCGACCACGTCAGCTTTTTTCCACTGGGCTGAGGAGCAGAAGGCGCGGCAGTACCTGCGCCCGAAAACGCAGACATCCTGTCCTTGATGCTAGGCCCCTTGACGGGCGCCTCTTCCTCGTCAGGCTGAGATGCAGTAGGGTTCCATCGGTTGGCGAGTTTACCAGGCTGGAGCTTGATGGGAGTGTAGGCGGTACCGACAGGGGCAATACGGTCGTCCTGGGCAGGCTTGGCCGGCTCTGGCTCGGCTGGAGTGTTCGCCGACATGATTGCTGTGGCGGTGGGTTTGGCCTCTTGCTTGATCACAGGAGGAGGGGATGGCTGTCGGGGGGGAGGAGCCGGGGCAGCAGGAACTCTTGCCGGAGGCGCAGGTGTCGGCCGGGCAAAGGTAGACGCGGGTGCAGGGACTGCTGCGGGCTGTATTCCACATCAGCATGTAGTCGAGACAGTGAGGAGGTTACATACTTTACCCTGAGAGCCTCCAAGGCCTTGACTGGGTCTGTAGCTCGGCGCGGCTTTGGGAGCGGGCGCGGTGGTGGGCGTTGACGCATGCGAGATGTACTTGCTTCCAGAGGATTCCTGAATACGCTTTGTGATGTATGCCGGGGTCACATCGAGCTGCAAACAATTGTTAGAGACGCTCGGGATGGGTTCCAGCCACATACATCGGACCTAGCCTGGATGACCAGGTGAGCACCTCTGAGGAACTTGTCCTGCACCTGGGCTGCGTGGGTGACTGTCGCGCGTCGTAGGTCAGTCAACGTGTGTTATATGTGTTTGGTGAAGGTGCTTACAGTACAGCCCCTTCCTGAACTCGGGCACACCGTCACCACACCAGGAAACGAGGACAAACTTGTCCAGCTTGCTCTGCCAGGGTGTCAGCTCGGTCACTCATGGTTTACGGGGACATACGCTGGGGTCTTTCACTCGGGCAAAGGCATACTGGATACTAGATGTGTTTGGTTAGCAAGGAACATAACTCGAGGCTGCACGTACCGGCCATCCATAAACTCCTCTTCGAGGTCTTCGAGGCCGGAGCCGGTAGTTTGGAGCCTGAGGTCGTTGCCTGCCTGGTTGAAGAGGGCCCAGTCGTAGTCGGCGGTGGCATCCTTGACTGCGTTGTAGGCGGGGAGGATGTCGGGGTCGTTGAAGGAGATGGACATGGCGGTGGGATGCAGAAGAAAGAGAGATGCGAATTGCAGTGCAGATACCACGACGTCACGGCGGCGGGCGCCGACTGCAACAACAACACGGCTACAGCGAGGGTCGCTCGGGCCATCCATCGCATCTAGATAGCAGCAGAGAGAGAGGAGAGCTGACTCAACTGCCACTGTATACCACCCCCACGGCCCCGCTGCAGCCAGACACCCATAACAGCCAACATGTCACGAGAGTAAGTCGAACTCATTATCGTGCAGCACCAGACTGACTCTTGCACTAGATGGGCTTTACGAGTTGCGTGAGTTGAACAGCAGACACTCGAAGCCCGCTTTACTAATCCATTGTAGCCTGCTCCATGACACTTTGATACAGTCCGCCCAGGAGAGGGCGGCGGCAGCTGCCAAAAGCCATGCCAGAGCCCAATCCAACGCCTCCCTCTCTAATATATCCTCCCCTCAGTCGTCTTCCCAGCCATCATCATCTGCTCTTGGCATTGACTTTGGAGCTCTCCTCAAACGCGATGCCAAGTCACCGAGATATCCGGAGAGAATGATCAAGGGGCTTGATGGGCTCCTGCAGCGGGTTGCTATGGGAAAAGAGACAAAGTGGGTCTATTTGAGGCCACATATATGCAATGCTGACGACTGCTTAGATATTCAGACGCACGATTCAGACGAACAATTGCCCTCTTTTGGTCCTCCAATTGGCCTGAAAAGTCTTTCCAGAGGCAACTGAAAGAAGACAGGCGGGTCGAAGATCTCATTCTATCCTTTACATCAGTGTCCGCCAAGTCGTTAAAGAAGGAAGAGGGCCTTGGAGATGGCGGGTGGAAAGAAGATCTCAATGTTCAAGTATCGCTCTTTATCGATATGATCAAGGACGCTCTAAGCGCTATCAGCATCAGCTGGTCCTCTTCCGAACCCCTTCGCCAGCGACTGGAACAGTACCAGACGTCGCTGCGGTCAGCCCCGAAAGACAATGGAGATCTCTCCAGAAGCAAATCCAACAAGTCGGTGGCGAACAGCATAGGGGACAGAAGTAGCGTGGCTGCAGTGCCCGAGACGCCAAAGTACACTCAAGGAGAACTGACCAAGGTGGTGGAGGTCTTGTATAACTGGCCAAAGGATGAACTTGACCAAAAGTCGGATGAGCTGCGGCAGACTTGCACGCCCCAGGCTGCAGTCAACGACTTTAAAGTGAGTCCTGCCTGCCCCGCTTGCATCAAGCTGACCATCTACAGACTATTTTGAAGCTCCTCAATACCGAAAAGTCGTACCCGTACAATGCTTCAGACTTTTTGACTCAGGCCAAATGGCAGGCCTGGCGGGGCCAAGAAGTCTCCACCCTCTCCCAAGTCATGCTTCTCATGATGCAGGCAGACTCTTCCTCTCCCGACCAATCATCAACCTCCAGTATCACTTCTCAATTCGAAAATCTCAACCTCGACACATTTACCCCTTCCTTCACATTCATCCCTCCAAACGCTCGCGAAACATACCAGCAGATCTTGGAGAATTGTCTCAACGCCGACCTGGATGCGTTGGAAGCGAGGCCGGATGATGAAGAAGTGCCATTGACGATCCTCTCGGAGGATCATACGTTGCTGTTGAAAGAATGTGCCGAGAGATGGCGGTTGACGCCAGAGTTTTGCTCGTGGGCGTTCATGGATGCGATGATAGGGCTGTACGAGGCAGGCGATGTGCCGGTTGACTGTGTACTGGAGGCAACTTCGATGATCAACAAGATGCAGGTGGATAAACCTAGCTCGGAGTGGGCGGCGCCCGAGGTAGGTCTTTTTACACTTGTAAAGGTTCCAGGCTGATACTCGTGCAGCTGGAGGGTCTGAGTAAAGCTATCAACAGACGGGATGGCTGCTTCTTGTCATCGCTGATGACCACAGTCACCCAAGCTGGGTATCTTTCCGAAGATTTCATCTCTGCTGTCAACAATTGGACTACCGTCAGTTCGTCAGGCAACCAGCTCCCGCAAGCCAAACAAACACTCGAACATCTTTTGAGCTTGGTCAAAACTCAGGCCTCGGATCGATATATTGATGAGGCGGTGGACAAGATCCGGCACGAAGGCTCCAAGACGTATGGATTCATCATGCAGATGGCTGCTTGGGTCGAAAAAGAGACCAAGAGGAGCTGTAAAAAGTTTACCGAGTCGCTCAGCCCGTAAGTCTATCTCAAGCAGGGCGAATCTTGCTAATCGCACGCAGCGATATCGACCTTGTCGAGTACATACTTGACACGCACTGGAATCTTTGGCTCCACGACCTCAAAGACGCCCTCGATCTCGTCCCTTCCGAGGCTCGTCTCGAAGCATTGGACGACGATTTTATGCTCTTCAACAAGGCTACCAAGCTCGACGAGATGAGACATGCAATGTCGGGCGGCTATGGCGGACACCCAGTGGCACCTGCCGACCCACCGATATCCTCGCTCTTCCATAACACTGTCAATCTGTGGCTTGACTCTGTAGGAACAAAGACGAGAGGATGGGTTGACTCGGCGCTCATGGCAGATAATGTAAGTATCCGTCTGCGCGATGATGCATTGGCTGACCACCACAAGTTTGAGTCTACCGTCGAGAATGGCCCATCGTCCTCTGTTGGGGATCTCTTTGACTCGCTTACCTCCGCTGCGGAATTCCTCATGGACCTCAACTGGCCAGACGAGCATCAACTCGCTGAATACGTCACCCGCTTGGCCCGTGTCATTGGGACATGTATCAACGACTATTGCGCAACGTTGGAGCAGTACTTCAACATAGCTATGCGAGCAGTCGAAACGAGCCAAACGGAAGAGAAACAAAAGGTGTGGATGGAGAAAGCAAAGGCTACGTTAGCCTCGATGCAGGGGGAGAAGAAGATTCAGGCCTTCTTCAACTTTACTCCCGAAGTGAGTCAGATGGATTCTCCACATGCTGTACTGACTGTTACAGTCTTGTGTCAAACTAAACAATATCGAGGCGGCTCGTCACCGTCTTGACCGCCTCTACACGCTCTTGCGCGTTGACGAGCTGTCCAAATTGACGTATCCCGTCGAGCCTGCCAACAGAACGCAGAGGTATCTCTTCACCGTCAAGATCGTTCTGGCAGAGGGTGTCGTGTTTGACAATGGTTCCGGTGCCCGTCAGCCTGATTCATTTGTAATCTTGAGTGATGAGCATGGCAAACGGCACCACAAAACTCGTACTGTATACGACGACTCGAATCCCAGATGGGACGAGAGCTGTGACGTGATTGTCAACGGGACGGCGTGGTTTATGATCACCGTCAGACACCGGAACCTCACGGGAAAGCACGACCTTCTCGGCCGCGCTTACCTTCAGTTGAACCCAGCGGATTTCGAGAATGAAGTATTGAAAGACATCCTTCAGCCGCTAGACACGAGGGGCGTCGTGCTGCTCAGAATCAGTATGGAGAGCGAGAGGGATGATATGGAATTCCACTTTGGAAAGGCGTTTAGATGTCTGAAGCGGACAGAGTCGGATATGGTGCGGTTGTTCGTCGACAGAGTAAGTCTGCATACCTTCATGTCGATCAATAGTTGACGCGATATTGCGCAGATGACTCCTGTCCTGCGGCACACCCTATCTCGTGCAGGAATCAAGTCTGTTCTCAAATCAAACAATCCCCAACCCCAAGTCTACAATGAAGCTCTAGGCAAGATCTCAGCAGTCTACAAATCTGCTATTGGTACACCCGACTACAACATACCCGCTCCTCATGATCACACTCGCGGCCGAGGCCCCTCGGACGAAGACATTGAAAGCGCCATCTATCCCTTGTTTGATTACCTGGATACCAACATTCATACGCTGGCAAGCACTCTGTCATCGAATGCGATGCAGATGGTCATGACCAAGCTGTGGAAACAGATATTGATGACGATTGAGGGGTTAATCGTGCCGCCGCTGTCGGATAAGCCCAGTTCGATGAGGCCGTTAAGAGACGCGGAGCTGGATATCACGCTGAGGTGGCTCAAGTTCTTGAAGGACTTTTTCTATGTCGGCGGTGATTCCAGTGGAGTGCCGATCAGTATCCTGCAGAGCCCCAAATTCAATGAGATACTGTCGGTGAGGATATATTACGATTGGGCTACTGATGATCTCATGGAAGTGAGTTGCAATTCTCGTCAAACAGAGACGTCATTGACCTTGATCAGGAATGTGTTCGAGGATTCCAATCAACTCTACAATATCGAGCCACGAAACGATTGAAGTCTGTCAAGGCTCAGCGTAATCTTGGCACCATCAAGGCAAGGAAGACTGCGAAACGGAAGCAGAACAAGGATGGTGGGAATGCGGAGATGATCATGCGCATTTTGAGGATGAGGTGAGTCAGAGAAAGCTTGCCATTGCATCTGAAGCTGACAATGTTCAAGACCGGGTACCCAAGAGTTCTTGGCGCAGCAGCTCCAGGCCATGTCGATTGTCAAGCTGAGAGACTCAAAAGAGATCAAATAGAGTTGCAGACCTGCAACAGTTTCGTCTCTTGGACTTTTGACTTCTATCTGTAGTATTGCATACCTATATGTATGGTTTATAATGTGGCCTGATAGAGTGGATGATTTGCGAAGCATCTGTGCTGTAACACGCCGACGCTGGCAGAGCGACCAACTCATCCTACATCGTCGCGATAAGGATAGCACAGCATTGCATAGAACAACAAATATTAAGCGGCATAAACGCATCTAATCGAGATCGGCCACCTCAAGGGCCGGAAGCTTGTCCCCACAAGTCTCCCAGTTTTCGTAACCCATCGCTACAGCCTCCAGCTTCCTCCCGGCCTCTTTCAGATCGTCGTTCACGATAACGACGTCGTGCTTGCCCTCTTGGGCGTAAGTCACCTCGGCCTTGGCAGCATCGAGCCTCTTTCTGATAGACTGCTCAGTCTCAGTGCCCCTACCAGAGAGACGCTCCTTGAGCTGAGGAATGGTGGGGGGAGAAACAAAAAGGAACACAGGAGAGAGAGGGGGCTCTTGGAGAGGAGCTTTGGCCTTAAGCTGCAGGACGCCTTGGAGCTCAATGTCGAGGATACATCGACGGGGGTGGAGGGCAGTCAAAGCCGCAAAAGTGGTTCCGTAGCTGACCCATCGATTCAGCACAGAGTTATGCTGGCCTATTGTTGTGCACTCACCAGTTACCACCGAACTCTGCCCACTCCAGGAACTCTCCATTGCCGACCCTGGCCAAAAAGTCCTCCTTTGTGACAAAGTAGTAGTCCTTTCCGTCTTCCTCCCCAGCTCTGGGCTGTCGGGTTGTATGAGAGATGGAGAAGCCAAACTGCCCGGGGTGATTGGCAAAGAGGGTTTTGAGGAGAGTGGACTTGCCAGTGCCTGAGGGGCCGCACATGACAAGTGGCTGTGGGAGCGTGAGTGCTGCGCGGGGGCGCAGAACGACCGACTTACGCGGTTGATGACGGCGGGGCTGATGGGCTGGGAAGACATGGTGGAGAGGCGGCGGAGGAGGGAGATGGGGCTGAGGGGGGAAATGGTGGCAAGACGGGCGAGACCGGAGGCAAGAGAGAGCAAGGATGTCCGAAAAAACAAAGTTTGTCACCTAAGACGTGTCGAGGTGTCCCGATCCGAATCTGGCCCAAAGCGTAAACAGAATTAGGTTCCGTTGCGACCGTTGTGTCCTTCGGAAGTTGTGCGGAAGCAGCGGAACCCATCATTCTATTTCGACTCGTACGGAGGGCGTGCCAACTCGAAGAAGTGACATAGCACGTAACCGTTATTACATGGAAAGATCGCCCCTTTCCTCCACAATCTATCTCCGACCTCCCAGGCCTCGCCCGTGTCTCGCACCACCACCAAAAGAAAAATCGCGTTGAGACACGAAAGTAAACAGAAGAAATGATAATGCTCGTGTCAAGAGTGAGAGGTCCATCGCCCCCTACCGAGCACGATCATAGAATAAAAGCGTTTGGAGTAAAAGTAATAGTTGCAAAAGCTATAATGATGACTCAATAGTCAAATGACAGTTGGACTGATGATGTTATTGAGAAGGGTCTGATGTGTATATGTGATACTCTTTCAGTTGCCCCTCTTACTTCTAAATGTATTGTTGCTTGCGGGGAACGGCAGCCGATGAATGATGATAACTAACAGGATGATGAAAATTCCCCGCAAAGACTCCTTGAGGAGCCAATGACCTAAAAATGCTAGAATGGAAACCGGAAAATGGTGAAGGAAACAGTCATCAACATGCCATGAAATGAAAATAATATAGAACCAGATGAAGATGATGAAAAAAGGGATTGGTGATTGGACATAGACAATAATGATTTTAGCGGCTCTCACGACCCAAAAAAATGAGGGATGTGATGAGGGGGGAGCGCTTCCAGCTCATGCTCAAACTCAAAGTGGTCGTCGCAAGAGCTGAAAGAATGATGGGCAGGATGGTGGCTCGGGATAGGGACAATGGAAGAAAGGGCCTGGCTCTACTGGCCGCCAAAGTTGAAGCCTCCTTGGGGAGCGGCGACTATCGATGATGTCAGACAAGAGATAGATTGAAGAAAGGAAATGGACCCACCATCAGTTTGGAAAGCGTATTGCCCGGAAGCATCAACCGCAGGGGCAGCAGCCTCGGCCTCCTCCTCATCGTCATCGGGGAAGAACTCTACAGCAGTTGTCAGCAAATGTGTCTGTGTCCCAGGCTCACCACAACTTACTGTCCATGATGTAGAAGCACTTCTTGTAGATCTCGAGGTTCTCGTGGTGTTGCAAGTTGTGGATAGCAACCATACCGCCGGCTTCCTCGATGAATTGCGCATACTTGTTGATGCCTCCAGGTCCAGCGGCATCTTTGTCGACTTCGCCAACCTTCAGGATATTCTCAAGACCGTCAAGCGCGACCTGGATGATCTTGTTGTCCATGGAAGTCAAGAGGTCACACATGGGTTTGATACAACCCTGCTGGACGAGGTATCGGATCTGGTTGGGTTCTTGCAGACCACCAGAGGTGGCGTTAGAGATGGCCCAGCAAGCTTCCTTCTTGGTCTTGAAGTCAGCGTTGGCGAGAATGTTGATGAGGGGAGGAACAATGTTGCTGCGGAATGTTAGCCTGTTGCCAAAGGTGAAGACGCTGTCGACTCACGCGTCAATGATGGATTGAATCTGCATGGGAGAGCCAGCAGTGACGTTGGAGATGGTCCAGCAAGCCTCCTTCCTAATACCCTCCTTGGGGGAGGACAACAAGCTCAACAGGGCAGGGAGGGCACCGGAGGAGATGACCACCTGGGTTTGGAGGTCGTCACCAGTGACAATGTTGCCGACAGATCGGAGGGCAGGGGTCTGCACGCCGGTGGAAGGGTGCATAAGCAAGTCAACCAATCGCCTGCAAACACCAGACTCAATGACGGCCTGAATCTTGTCATTGGAACCATCAGAAAGATAAGAGATGGCCCAGCAAGCGTCGATCAAAACTTCGTCATCGAGAGAGTAGATGAGCTTTGTAAGGACGGTGAGGGCAGGAGAGATGAGGTCCCAATCGGGCTGAGGGTTCTTGCCCCGGCAGAAGTTGCTCAATGTCCAGGTAGCGTTGCGGATCATGGAAAGCTTGTGGTTCTCATTGAGAAGACCAAGTAAGGGCTGAAGAGCGCCCTGCGAGAGGACGTAGTCTCGACACTTGGGAGAGTCACCAGCAATGTTACCGAGAGCCCAAACACTGTAAATTATGAGCCTCAGATGGAGAGAGATGAAATTCGGGGCGACTCACGCTTGCTCACGGACATCGAGAACGGAAGAGCTGAGAAGGTTGATAAAGTAAGGAACGGCGCCGGCGTTGATCACAACCTGAGTGTGCTCGGAAGTACCAGAGGCGATATCTGCGGCATTGTCAGTAACAAGTCGTATGTTGTTACTGGCACCACTCACTGGTCAACGCCCAAGCAGCCTCGAATTGGAGCATAGAGTTTGTGCTTGACAAAAACTCGACAAATCGGGGGACAACGCCGCATTGAATGACTCGGTCAATCGGGGGGTTCTTCTCCTTGGAAAGCAATCTATATCACATCAGATGCGTCCTTCATTCCTTTGCGTGCTCTCGACTCACTTCCTGAACTTCATAGTAGACTCGAGTTGAGCATCGGCGTCGTCACTGTAGACGGCCTGAAGCATGGCGGGAAGAACGTCCCCAATGGCTGTGGCGTCCATGCCGGCCTCCTCGTCAGACTCGGCACCGTCCTCGTTGACAACATGTTGGAGGTTTCGTCGCTTGGCAAGGTTCTCCTCTCGCTACAGAGCCCCATGTCAGCCTTCCGCGGCTTGTTCTTCTATCGACGCGGTTTCCCGGTGGAAGCCCGCGCTGTCTGCAGCCACTGCGGAACCGACTCGTTTGCTACAATGCTTACCTTCTGACGACGGATCTCAACCTGCTGCTCCTCTCTGCGACGACGGAGCTACATTGGAGGTCAGCTTGCCACCAGGGAATGTCCGAGTGTGGGCGCCTACCTCCTGGGCGGAGAACTGAGTCTTGCCCTTGAAGTTGTTGCGCCTGTGGTCGAGATTCCTGGACTCCATGTTGGGTGATTTTTGGGAAGAGAGATGAGAAAACAAGTTAAGTGCGAGAGGTGCAAACATCGGGCGGCGCGTGCATAAAAGAAATAAATGGGGTGGGTAAATAACACATTACATAATCAGACGTCACTCCTCTACTATTACATACAGTAATGGCATGGAGGGACTACAAAGCATTTCTAGTACAGCATGGGTCGAGAAACATCCCCAGGTAGACACTCCAGTCGCCCCAGGGAGAGGGAACATCGTTCGAGACACGACGACAAGGAGCACCGCTCAAGGCATGGCGACAGAGAACACCGCGACAAGCATCGCAAGCACCGGGACGAGACCGAGGAGGACCGGAGGGAGAGGAAGCGCCATAGGAAGGAGGAGAAGAGGCGAGATAGAAATGATGACGGGCTGGAGGTACAGGACGATGATCCAAGTATGTGGGTGGAGAAGAGCATCGATGGCACAGTAAGTACAACGTCAGTTGCGTTGATGGTCATTGATAAGATCCACAGGAGGCTGTATCCAATATCCCCACTGCCGACTCTCTTCCTCTAAAGTCTCACATATCAACCTCGGACGCACCGCTACCACCGTCTACTGTTTCAGGATCTGCCGCTAGAGAAAGAGACTCCTGGATGCTCGAACCAACGGGCTCGGCAGTTTCTGCTCCTCGGGATAGCAGGGAGGTTCCTCAGAGCGCCGATTTCTTTGAATCTATGGGAACGGAGCATCTCCGAAAGGATTCCAAGGCCGACCAACCAGACCCCTCCAAGGCAAGCCGATCTTATTCATCGCAACGTACTGTGACTGACATCTCGTAGCTCGCTGTCCACGCAAAGTACGAACTCAATAAGCAGCTCCTTGACGGAAAGTCTGTGGATGACTACGAGACAAAAGAGACAAAGGTTCAGTTCGGCGGTCCTGGATCTCAATGGCGTATGATGAAGCTGCGACGTCTCTACGAGCAATCGGAAGAGCAGGGCAAGCCTGTTGAAGAGATCGCCTTGGAGAGATACGGCTCTTTGCAAGACTTTAATGAAGCTCTCGAAGAGCGCAAGTACTTGGACGACAAGGAAGAGAGAAGGATATCTCGACGTGGGCCAGGGGGTCCCGCTACTCCCACTGGTGGCTTTTCGGGTGCGCGAACGCCCGACACGGGAAAGAGGTTCATGTTTGCCAACCCTGCATCGGGCGACGAGTCTTTCGGAAGTCGCCCGAGTTCTCGAGCAGGATTCCGCAAACCTGGAGAGGACCACGGTCAAACGCCCAATGGCCGTATTGATCTGCTCCGTCGCGAAAACAGTGGCGGTGGGACACCAGGTGCTCGTCCAGGCGCTAGCGGCATCACCAGCAGTATGGCCATGTCTACCCCGGTCCCCAGTGTCTTCACGCCGACTGCTCTTACTCGCTCTTCAACCCTTCCCGATACCGGCTCGCCGGCTCGCGACCCAACGGCATCCAAACCTCCTCTCTCGACGGAACAGCTCAACAAACTCCAAGCTGCTGTGCTTCGAGCCAAGCTCATGGATGATCCCGATGCAGAGAAGATGGAACACGAATATGAGCTTGAGCGAGAGCGGAGCGAAGCTGCTGCGAATGGCGGATTGTGGTCTGGCGCAAGTGACGGTGGTGTACAAGGGCAGATGGGGAGGATGGACGAGAAGGGGCGAAGAATTGAAGTGCAGGTGTTGCCGACTCTGGACGGGAGAGGGCAGCTTTATGATGTCGGTACGGGTCAGGCCGCCGAGGCAGAACTTGGCCCAGGCAACAAAAAGAAGAAGGTCGACAAGGTCAGCATTCTCACAGCACCGACTTGTTTTATCGTTGACAGCATCAGTTTGAAACTCGTGACAAGCAAGGCAATCTTCTTCGGTACAACGCCGACGACGATAGCCAATCTCTCGGCGAGCTCGTCCGTCAGGAACGTTTCGGCGCCGGATCCAAGGATCAAAAGGATATCGACGCCGAAATGGCGAGGGCGATAGCCACGGACGGCAAGTTCGAAGATGATCTGGATTATATGGACGACAATGCGGAAAAGCTGGCGAGGAGAAAGTTGAAGAGTGATGCTCTGAAGCGAGCTTTCGCCATCAACGGTCAGTAAACTTTGTATGCTAGTAATATTCTGGCTGATGATTTGCAGATTATGCGCGGACAAAGAAGGCTCTTGACACTTGTCCGTTCTGCTATCAGGACGATCGCCCTCCGCAGACTGCTATCGTCGCCCTCGGTACTCGCACATACTTGTGCTGCACCGAGACCGAGGAGCTTGTTCCTGGTCATTGCTTAATCGTCCCTCTGCAACACCATCTCAGCATGCTGGAGATGGAGGATGATGATTGGGAGGAAGTACGAGTAAGTCCTCTTGATCTCTGTCGTGGTATCAAGCTCACCAGTAGCAGAACTTTATGAAGTGTCTCATGAGGATGCACGCGGACAACAATCAGGGCGTCATCTTCTTCGAAACCATCACCACTTTCAAGCAGCAAAAGCACTCCTACATCGAAGCTCTCCCCGTCCCTGCTCGACATTTCGGCAATCTTCCCGCCTACTTCCGGGAATCCATCCTCGCTTCGGAAGGCGAGTGGACGCAGCATAAAAAGTTGATTGATTTCTCGACCAGACCGGGCGGTTTCAGGAGGATGATGGTGCCAAACATCCCGTACTTTATGGTTCAGTGGGATTATAAAGGTGAGAAGGGATACGGGCACGTGATTGAGGGCGTAAAGGAAAGTGGCAGTGGCGGTGGCGGTGGAGAAGATGAGGAGGGAGAGGGGGACATTGGTGGAGCTGGCAAAGAGGACGAGTTCCCCAAGTATGTTGATAGCCTTATCAAAGTCTTTGGCTGCCGCTGACTATGACAGATATTTCGCGCAAGAGATTGTCGGCAACATATTGGGGCTGGAGCCTCGAAAATGGCGTAAACCTCAAAGAATAGCTGTAGGGGCCAACAAGGAACGGGCGAGGGCTTTGGGGACCAAGTTCCAACCATATAATTGGACTGTTGGCAATACTGTATGAGTATGCACCTCTTGAGAAATTCGTTCATGATCAGAGAAATCAAGCAGCTGCTTTGGGAAAACCTTGATATGAGCCACTCCACTCAGTCTGTAGGCTCAGAGGACAGATGGACAGATGGAAAGCCAATGCGATGATTTGAGAGGGCAACGATGAGACCATCCATCGGATCCCAACACGCCCGCAATATCTCGCAATACATACGTGTACAATCTAAAAGTTCCCTGTAATTGTTCTCGTTATACAACAGGCGAGCTGCCTCTCAAATGCCCTCCAAAAACGCCGCGTCATGTCCCAGGACTTCTGTCACCCTCCCCTCTGCTTCCTCATCCTCTGCATCGAGACCTGTATCCAGCCCCACGTCGTCATTGACCACATCAAACATCCCCATGCCTGCATGACTCTGTCTCCTTGGGTGCTTGGCCACCGGAGTCACAGCCCCGCCTGGAACTTCGGAAGCCATCCTTTTGCCAAGGCGGCGGGCGCGCTGAGATGAACCTTGTTTTTCAGACTCAGCCACGGCAGTAGGGGCAGAGGGAGCGGGGGGCGGTCCAGGGGTACCAGAGGGCTGGGAGGTAGAGGGGCCTGGGGAGTGGTACAACCAATTGTTGGCGGCGTCATTTGAGAGCCCACTCGATCCCGGAGGACCGGCCAACTCAGGCCTCGGAGATCCTCCGTGAGAGTTACTTGCAAGCTGTGAAAGCGCTGCAAACGTCGTCATATACTCTCCTTCCCCCTCCAATGTGATTGGAGCCGACCCTTGGCCGTTGTCGCCTGTGCCAAGATAGGGCACGTATATGCCTTCGAGGTGGGAGAGGTCTATACCAGAGTTGATCTGAGCAATCTGTTCATCGTCGAGGCGCTTAGGGTACATGCGAGCTTTGGCGACGTGGAGCAGATGACGCAGGCGGGCGTATGGAGGTGTAGAGAGAATCTCGGCAAGAGTTGGCAAACCCTCGTCTTCGGCAGGGATAGGAGGATTATCGTAAAGCCCCTTTGCCCACTCTGGATACATGTCAATGGCCTCCTGGCTGACATGGAACCTGAAAAGGACCAAGCCAGGTGCGCCGGACAGAGGGAGACCATTGGCATCTTTCGGGCGCAGTGCGGGGGGCTCTGTCCGCATCCAAAGCTCTGGAGGCAGATGGAACGTAGGATTTGGCTGCTTGGGCTTGCCCTTTTTCTTGGCTTGCGCAATTTGGTCTTGCGAGAACTCGTCAAGCAAGATCAAAAGATGACGGACCACAGGCGATTGCCACCATTGGTCCAAGACTTCATGAGCTTCTCCTGCCTTGGGGCCGCAAGCGAGCCGGCGATACGCCTCCCAAGCTTGCAGAGAGTATTGCCTATCTGGCTCAGGTCTGTCCGAAGTGGCGGTCGAAAAGTCGATCGTGAGGAGGGTGCGGTAGTGGGCGCGAAGACGACATTCGTTGAGGGGGGACTGATCAAAGTTGCCAGTACGGCGCATCAAAAGTGATTGCTGACGACGGTAGGTGTTTTGCTTGCGTCGCGAGAGCTGATCTCGGTGAATTTCACCTCGTTTGGACGCTTCTTGTTCTTCCCAACGTTTCTGGACATTTGTCAACTAAGCCCAGGGTCACAAATTGAAAACTTACCATCAACCTCAGCCAGTAAATGTTCATCGCCTCCTTGATCTTGGGCTTGTCGACCTCCGCATCACCCTCGATCGCCGAAGCCTGCCATGCGTCCCAGACATCCTCCACCACCTGATCCACAAATGGCCTGACGCTGTCTGCGTGCACATCTCCTTGAAAGTTGGGCCTAAACTCAGAAACGCCGTTGGGGCTTTCATCTGCAGAGAGCGGACGGGATTCCGGATCGGGCAAAGTCCGGTTGCCTTTAGATTCGTAGTTGGAAACGGCGTACTCGACTCCAAGACGGCGATTGGCCATCTTGTGGATCAAATGCTAATCGCAAGTGTCAGCCAGACACGAGAAACTATCGAAAGGCATACCTCGAGCTTGAGAGACCTCTTTTTCCTACCCTCGCTGGTTGAATTGCCCTTCAAGGAGATACTCTTGATCGGCTCCGTAGCCCCGCCCGTAAACGTCTCTGGGTCGGTGATAGCAGCAGCAGCAGCCTGGGTAGCAGCCTTGCTCGGCCTGCCTCGACGAGGTGCTGATAAACGTTTGACGGGACTTGGCTGGTGCGCTTCAGCCGTATGTGACGCGCCAGAAACGGGGGCTGGGGTAGGCGCAGTGGCCGTGGATGCGACAAGCGCGTCGTGTTGAGCTTTAAGTGCCTCGTAGTCGGTTCGCAGAACGACGGGAGATGGCTCAGAGTCGAGGCTGTCGGGGACTGTTGCGCGGTCAGCCAGCATACTATGACATGATGACTGCACTTCTTACATTGCCCCGACAGGTCGACACCCATCTCACTCGCCCTGATCTGGGCCGTCAATTCTTTGAGCATCTCCACCTGTCTCTTGTTTCCCTCCTTCAATGCCTTTAGATTCTGCGCCAAGTTGTGGATCGCTCCCGCCCCATTGAGCTCTTCCAACAAGCCGCTGTGGGCCGTGGTAAGTTGGAAAAGCACCGAGAGGGACCTCCGGATGGCGACATTGACCACGTTGGTTCCGCTGGCGGTATACGAGTTGAGAGTCTCTACGGGATCAGCCTCGCGCGGCTCGCTGATAGCGATATGATGCTCGTCGCCCGCGTCCGCGTCTGGCTGGCCCTCGTGGGTCTCGCCCTCGGCGGCGGCATGCTGGTGGTGGCCGGCGTTGTTGGGGTTATTGATGACGGCCTTGAGACTGGCGATGAGTGCCTCGGCGGTCTCGTCCTGGATGGGACTGTCTATGTGGTCATGCTGGGCGAGGTGGAAGTGGCTGTCCTCCATGGCGGCAGTGTGCGGGGTGGACGTGCTCGGTGGAGGTGAGGTGAGAAGACGTTGTCGATAGTAGGCGTGCAGAGCAAACGAACGGTGGAATTAGGCGGTGATATCGCGTGTGGCTTTTTACGTGCCAACGAAGTTGAAAGGATGGTTGACAATGACCGTCCATCTGCTGGGCATGCCGCTCGTGCAGCTGAGCGTCCATGCCGTATTCCACTGGCCTCGCAACCCCCGGTGCATGCAAAACACCTGTTCGTGCACTCACCTCCCAGCCCGCCGTCGAGCGAGTGATGTCACCGCAGCAGAGATGCTATTCTTGTCGTCTTGACGCGATCCAATACGCCGTGCTTCTCTCATCCATCCCACCAGCAGCAGACCTCCACAATGACCACCACATCAGCCCCTACCAATGGAAACCCTGCCAACGCCCCCGCCACCCCGTTCCCGAAGCCGACTCAACCCCTTCCCGAAGAGTTCGGTGCGCCGTTGGAGGATTCTTTGGACCATATTGTGTCCAATTCTAAAGCGGTCAAGGGGTCGCACAAAGACCAGCTTGCTCGTCGGTATAAGATATCTGAAGGTGGTGGCTGAGTGCTCATAAGAGACATAGCTTCCGAGATTAGGCAGGATGCTGTTCATTCGCATGGGGCTGCCGCGAAGAAATGGGTCGCCAAGTTCTTCCCATCTGAGGAAACCCTCGATCATGTGAGCCTACCCCGCCATGCACTGGACTATTGGCTGACTGCGCCAGCTTTTCGCAGCGCAGCACATGGGCAATTATGTGATTGACAGGGTATCCGGAAAGAAGATCTTTGAAACCATGCCCATCTGTAAGTTGTCTTGTAACTTGCTGGTCCGGGCTGATTTAGTACTACAGATGTGCGCATTGGCATGCATCTGTTGTTTGTTTCTGGTAATAGTTACATGTCCTACAAGTCCGTTGAAAAGCTTCTGCAAGACAAGTCTATCAAGCGTTAGTCATCCTTATAGCATGACACACACGTGCTGATGTATCTGCAGAGGGACAGACCTACGACCAAACCGGACCTGATGTCCGGGAACACATCGAGGCATTCATTGAGACCTATGAACTGCCATTGAATGAGTTGTTGGTACAAGACCTCGACCAGTATCCCGTACGCCCTTTGCCACTGCGATTTCTCTTCTGAATCACCTTTTGCTCACAGTGACGTAGACGTTCAATTCGTTCTTCTCTCGCCGACTTGTTCCCACAGCCCGCCCCATAACGGCCCTTCACGATCCCACGATCGTCATCTCTCCTGCAGACTGCCGAGTCACAGTGTATGAGACAGTCGACCTGGCGAAACAATTCTGGATCAAGGGCAAACAATTCAATATCCCCTCGCTCCTCCTGGGCGACGAAGCTGAGCAGACAAACGGCAAGGTCGGGAGTGGAGAGAGTACGGATGGTGGAGTCGGGGAGTTGGTCAGCGATAACAAGGCGTCTTTGATAATTTCCAGGTTGGCCCCGGCTGATTACCACCGCTTCCATTCGCCGGTCGAAGGCACAATCGTGGGTATCAAAGACATCGAAGGGGAGCTGTACAGTGAGTCGCCTCATCTTGCCCGCGTTCCGAGATTGAAATTGGGTTTCTAGCCGTCAATCCTCAAGCTATCAACGAAGATCTCAACGTGTTCACCCTCAATAAAAGATCTGTTTTGATTATCAACGCCAACCTCGGTCCGGGACGTGAAACAGTCCCTGTCGCTTTTGTAGCTATCGGCGGTATGTTTCCGTTGTTCCCCCCTACACCACAGCACAACTGACGCCATTGCGATAGCCATGCTCGTAGGCAGTATCGGATGGTCCAAGACTCCTGGACAGAAGGTTGCTAAAGGCGAAGAATTGGGCTGGTTCCAGTATGGCGGTTCTACTACCATTTGCGTCTTCCCAAGTCGGGCGGGATTGGAGTTTGATGCGGATTTGAAGGAGAACAGTTTGAAGCAGATGGAGACGCTCGTCCAGGTGGGAATGGAGGTTGGTAAGGTAGGACCATTCGTCCCGACAGGTGCAGCGAAAGTGTAGGCAGGATGGTGATAGTGGGACGAAGAAAGATACAACATATACAGGAGATCAAATACGTTTCTGCACATGCTGTCAGCTAAAAGAGAAGAGTTTCCAATTGCACACTTACCTGGACAGGATCTGATACAGACACTCGCTCTATTTCTTTCCCTTGGCCTTGGCGCCGTCCTTGCCTTCGCCACTATACAGGGTCAGCAACGGCACTCGGGAAAGTGTGAAAGCGACATACGCTCCAGCTTCTCCAACACTACGCATGATCGTCAACTTGCCCGCCGAAGCAGCGTTGACCATTTGCTTTTCGATCGAATTGTTGATTTTGCAGGACAGTTCCTTGTTCTGCGCCCTCTCTGCAAGTCTGGACTTGTCCTTGGTGGGAGCAGCAGCACGACGTCCGCGCTTGGTCTTGCCGACGTCTTTTCGAGCGGAACCGGAAGATTTTCCTTTGGCTTTGATTGATTTTCCAGCGCCTTGAGCCATTTTGTGTGATTGAAGAGCGGGTAGATGGATCGAAGGCTCAATTAGAAGACTGTCTCGTCGATTTGTTGTTGCGAAAGATTTTGAAGCATCGGTGAGCTCCACCTTTCCACGGTGCGGGGTCTCCGGCACGGCGTCTTCAACCTTGCTGTGTCTAGCCAATCATCAAAGTGCCCCTGTCTCAGCAGTATATGTGGAGATGCCGAGCCTCCACGGATGCGTCCTTCGTCGGCATATGCTTCTCACTGTACCTCGTCATATATAGCAGCGAGAAAGCTCGCGATGAAGCATCTCACCACCGCCATGATTCATTCACCAATTGGCCTCATACGCCAGATTATCTCCGGATCAGCTGTACTAACAGACAATTCAAGCATCGACTACAAGCTTGTTGCATACGTGTCTGTCATATCCGTCGCAATCATTGAGATATATGCCAAGTGAGTTTTCCGCGAGCGCCTGAGCAGACGCTAATCTGCCGAACTCGGCATGTAGCTATCGCCAACTGCAAGTCTTGAAGCTCACTACCCCCGCGATCTCTACCAAACATCCCTTTGATGAAGCGTCATTCATGAAGTCACAGGCATACAGAAGGGATCAGACTCGAGTGACAATTGTCACTCTGCTTTTTCGCAATGCCATCGATATCCTTTTCATCTGTATGAACATGTCGGCTTCGATCTGGGAGGCTACGGGTTGGGCCTTGGATCATGCAGGTATAAATTCGACACACCTCGTAAGAGATATTCATCAAGCCTGGAGCTCATGAGACTGACCACACTTTACAGATGCTCAGGTGTGTATTATGGGATCTTCTCAGCGGCATCCTCACAATGCTCTTGAATCACCCTTTCTACTTCTATAAGGATGTGGTAGTGCCAGCGAGGCATGACCGCAAAGAGACCACCTCCTTGAGATGGTTGAGGGCTACCATGGCCAACTATCTCTGGCTGGTACTTGTTGGCGTGCCCTCTGCCTTTGGGGTCGCGTGGACGCTCGAGAAGGCCGAAGACGGAGTCATGCCTGGCTTGATGCTATTCATGTGAGTGGCTTCTCGTGTATGAAGCGGGAATCTCCGTTCTAAGCACCTTGGGCCCTAGGATGATACTTCAAATATTGTTTTTGACGGTTGTACCGGGTGTTGGTAAGCAGGATATAGCTCCATCATGATCCCCAGGGCTTACAAATACTTTTACAGTTATGTTGCACTTTAACAACAAAAAGGCCGACCCTCTCCCCCCGGGAGTACTGCACAATAGACTAGAAACCCTTGCCCATAAAACTGGCTTTCCGCTTGAGGGCCTGTACGTTCTGTGTGATAAAAGCACAGAGAGCACCAGAGGCGACGTCTCTTCCCGTGGCCCGCCTTGGTCGAGATGGCGAAGGCTCCTCCTTGATGGCGCATTACTAGAAGATTATGAAGTGGATCAAGTAGTGGCTCTGGCTGGTGAGCTTGATGTCCGCTTGCAACGATAAACAGTTACTTACATTTCCTCTTCAGCCCGGACGATCGGTAATTGGTACCACAGCCATACCTTAAAATGCCTCATAATGCTCCAGGTCAATATTTTCATCTACCTTTCTCTCGTTCTGAGCTTCAGGTCCAGTCGAGCTTTGCCATTGGCCTTTGGCTTCAACCTCGACGTCTTTACTCCCAGCCAAAGGGTGGTGCCGGCTTACATCACTTTCCAGCTGGCACAGACTGTCTTGTATGGTGGAGTCCATTTGTACAGATGGCTGTGCTTTTATATGACTAGAAGGTGTGCTTTAGAAGCGGGTGAGCACATGTTTGACAGTGTCTTATGCGCCAGACTGATGCCAGCATGGCTAGACGCGTTTGCCGCTGCCGTGGCTGACACCAAAAGCCTGAGAACGGCTCTCATCAAACGTTCTTCGGAGAAGATGGACCCGATTTGCAATGACTGGCTTTATGTCATGGTACAGCACGACGGTGCGCCCCGCTTAGCCGAGAGACTAGAAGCCCTGGACCAGTTGAGTGAAGGAAAGGTCGATGTGTCGCAGAAAAAGAACCTGTGATTACAGCCGCCAGAGCGGTGTTGGTCTTACCAGTTGCCATGGAATGAATAGAACACTTCTCCCTCTCATTCTGATATAAGTGAAGTGCGGGTGGCATCTGGTCAGTCTTGTACATACAGTATCATAGACGAGACTACTACCGGCCGACCACATCGCGGCGACATCCGCCTGGCGCGTGAAGCTGACACGTCCATCTCCATCATCAACCGATCATATCAAGCAGCATCGCCAGGCATATCACGCCACCAACCGCGCTCAAACGCCCCCTGGGCACCCCCGACAATGAACTTCAATCCCCTCAACCTCCTCCCCCTCCCCCCCACATCTCTCGACCCGAAACCCATCCCCACAGCACTCACCGTCGACCCCTTCTCCGACGCCGTTTGGGTCGGAACATCCTCTGGCCTCGTCTCTGCTCTCTGCTCGCCCCTCACACTGACCAGAAATGTGCAGTTTCCAGCGCACGGGTATAAGTCTGCGAGAGGCGCGGGCTTTGGACATCCGGCGGTGAGCGCGGTAAAGGAGATACGGGTAACGGACAGGGATGTATGGACATTGACAGAGGGTGGTATTGGCGGGAGAAAGAGGGGCGGTGCGCCAAAGTGGACAGTCAGGTGAGTACTAGTCAGGAAGAGGGATGGTCAATTGGGTTGACAGGCATTGCAGCGAACCGACGCGTACGCTACAGACCATGGCGCCCAACCCGACCAATTCCCATGAACTCCTCGCAGGTGGCTCCGGCTCTCTTCTTCTTGCCAATACGGCTCGAGGCGAGATGGTCCGCACGATTGACCACTCTAGCGCTGTGGTGAAACTTGCGCCATTACATCGAACTGTGCTCGCTGCGGGTCTGTCGGGACAAGTCACGGTGCTTGATCCGAGAACCGGCTTCAAGGCGGCTCAGAACGTGAACTCGGTGCAAGCCCATGTCGGTGGACTCAGTGGGGCAGACGTGCAGGACAATCTCGTTGCGACATGGGGGTGGACGCATTTGCAAGGCCACCCGATGCCCGACGCCCACATCCGTCTCTACGATGTACGAGCCTTACGACCGCTGCCCCCCATAGCGTTCCCTTCCGGCCCCGCTTTTGTTCTACTCCACCCCACATCTTCTTCACACCTCGTTGCTGCGTCTCAACAGGGCATGCTTCAGACGATCGACATGTCCCAGGGCCCATCTGCCACTGTGTTCCAACAGCTGGACATCACCTCTTACCTGACTTCCATGGCGCTGAGCTCGAGAGGCGATTATCTGACTTTTGGAGATGCGGATGGGCAGCTCCATGTGTGGACGACGCAGGAAACAGGAGAAAACGCAGCACTGGATGAGAACGGCGCGCTGGCCCTGCCGCCGTTCAATGGGTATGACGGAGTCAAACCCGACTGGCCTGACCCCGTGGAACCTCCTCCCGCCATTGATTGGACTAGCAACACCCCTCTCAATATGGTGGGTATGCCATACTATACCGAGCCCCTTCTATCAAACTTTCCTCCCGCTTGCTACGCCACTTCAACTTCACCGCTATACAACCCACCCCCAACGATACCTTCTTCTGTATTGTCATCGATGAAGATGGTCGACTTTGTTGGGTACGCGCCAAATCCCAAGGAGCTCAGGGGCAAGCGATATGTCCTCCGAGCTACGCCGGGGGCCGAAAATAGAGCAAAGGGGAGAGGCCGGGGAGGTCATAGGAGAGACAGCGAGCCGAGGTTTAGAAGTGAAAAGGAAAAGAATGGAAAACACAGCCTCAAAGATGAGGAAGATGGTCCCACGGGAGACGGAGAGATACCAAAGTATTACAGAAAGGTGGAGATCAAGTATTCCAAATTTGGAGTCGAAGACTTTGATTTCGAGTAAGCCATCCCCATCCTGTACGAAGCACTGCTGACCATGGACAGGTTCTACAACCGCACTCAATATTCTGGTCTCGAGACAGATATTCTCAACTCATACACCAATTCCTTACTGCAAGCTTTGCACTACACCTTGCCTCTACGGGCAGTAGCCACTGCTCACATCTGCGTCGACTGCAAGAAGGAGCATTGTATGCTTTGTGAAGCTGGATTCTTGTTTAGAATGTTGGAAGATGCCAAGGGCCGTAATTGCCAGGCCAGCAATTTCTCGAGAGCGTTCAGTGCGACTAGTCAGGGTGAGTATGACGTTTGTCATGGGTGCAGCGGCTGATGTATCATAGCGTATGCTCTTGGTTTGATGGACGACCGCCAAAATAACAAGTCTACCGCACCATACGGCTCCCTCATCCAGAACTTTAACCGCTGGCTTCTTTCGACTTTCAGCACCGAGTCTGTCATTGGCGGCGAGACTTTTGACATTCGAAAGACCAACGCGGCCGGCGACAGTGAGGTCGCTGTGGAGAATCTCTCAATCAAGGACAAGCCTTCTGCCATTGACCAGGTTCTCGGTGTCGAATTGACGACTACAAACGTGTGCAAGAATTGCGGCTACACGACCTCTCGCCAAAATACCCTGCACGCCGTCGACCTCCTCTACCCAAAAAAGGTCAACCACCGCCTCACCTTCCCCGACCTGCTCCGATCCTCCATCCTCCGCGAATCCACCAACAAGGCCGTCTGCCCCTCCTGCAAAGCCTTTGCTCCCTTGGAATCCAAGCGTTCGTTGACATCTGCTGCAGAAGACGACTTGCCGCCAGTCATGTCGGTTAATGCGATGATGACGACGCCGGATGTGTTTGGGTTCTGGAAGGATAGGGATAGTGAGAGGATGAAGAGGGAAGGCAAAGAAGGAGCACGGTTTTTGCCGAGAAGATTGGTATTCAAGAATGGCGCAAGGGGGCTGGAAATAGGGAGAGATGGAGATGGTGTGGGGTATGCGGTGAGGTCGATGGTTGTGCAGATCCAGGACTCGACAGAGAATGCGGCGCATCTGGTATCCTATGTCAAGAGTGAGTTGATCGTGTGTGACGATGAGCCTGACTTACGCGCAACAGTAGCGGCGACGGACAAGAGTGAACCGCAATGGGTCATGTTTAATGATTTTTTGGTGCGCCCAGTGTCGGAAGCAGAAGTATTTTCCTTTCCCGACCAATGGAAAGTTCCTGCGGTCATTATCTTTGAAAGGGAAGATGTGGATACGCTTCTTGATCTTGATAGACTGCCAAAGGGGCTGGACAAGGAGATATTGTTCAAGGATGTTTCCATTGCTCGGTACGTCCTTGTTTTGGAGGAGGGCAAAGCTGACCGAGAGTAGGAATCGCAAAGAAGATATTATCAAGCACAAGCTGCTGCGGCGAGACGAGATGCCTCATCGAGGATCATTGGTTGCCATCGACGCCGAGTTTGTTGCTCTGCAACAAGAAGAAATGGAGTTCCGGTCGGATGGTACCAAAAATATCTTGCGACCGTCGCACATGTCTCTGGCGCGAGTGTCAGTGCTGCGGGGAGAGGGTGAGATGGAAGGAAAGCCATTCATCGATGACTATATTCATACGAGCGAGGCTGTGGTTGATTACCTGACCGAGTTCAGTGGAATCAAGGGTGTGTCTGGAAGCTTGACGTGTGGCTGTTGCTGATTATTCTCAGCGGGCGATCTGGATCCTAGCAATTCGCCGCACACGTTGGTTCCACTAAAGGTAGCTTACAAAAAGCTGCGACTATGTAAGTGCTCTATAGGATGATTAGTGTGATGCTAACGCCACACAGTGGTCGACTTGGGATGTATATTCGTTGGACACGGACTGTCGAAAGACTTTAGAACTATCAGTGAGTCGCGCCGTGTCCCCGAGTTCACGCCTGACCTTCTTCAGACATCTTTGTCCCGCCCGAGCAGGTGATGGACACTGTCCTCATCTACACCATTCCCGGTCGTCAACGCAAACTGTCTCTTCGATTCCTCGCCTGGTTTCTCCTCCACCAAGACATCCAAACAAACTCGCACGACTCGATTGAAGACGCCCATTATGCCCTGCTGCTGTGCAAGCTGTGGATGGACCACGCTTCGGAGGGCGATATCGCCTTTGAGAATCTGATGGAAGACATCTTTGCTGAAGGAAGGAGGCTTGGATTCAAGCCACCTTCGACGGTGGGGCTGTCGGCGGACCGGCCAGTGTCGCCGGGAAAAGTGGGGGCAGAGCCTAGTCTAGGGGTACAAGCTGCGATTGCTGCTGGAATGGCCACGCCGCCGTCGAAAGAGGCGCTGAGCTTGTCGTATACACCGGCGGGCAGTCCGAGCCCGAGAAGGCGGTGAAGGGGTGTGTTTTGGGTTATCTGGGTATGATCACATGTATAACGTGTCTCTGCGCTGTGCGGCATCTGTACATCTTGCACAAGTTTTCGGTCTTGAGTGTGTTGAGGACGGAATCCGACATCGGGCAGTGAAGGCGGGGAGTGTCGGCAATGGCCGCTGTTGAACGGCCAAACACCGAAAAGGTACAGGACGGAAGCAAGAAAGCGCAGCGCTGGGACGCCCGTTTTGGCAAGTATGGGCCAATTCGGGAGGGCAATCGCTGGCGAGGGGCAGAGGGAGACGGGGTGGGGAGGGGCGGGGTGGGGTAGGGCAGGGCAGGGGAGAGGGGGACCGAGGGGACAAGCGATGCAGATGTTGCAGCCAATGGACACTAGCACATTAGAGCCCAAACGAGCCAGGGACGCACAAGGCGGCGACCACTTCAATCTCATCTGACGGCAAACTTACACCCTTTCCCGTTGTCTCTTGGCTGCGTCTTGGAAGAGCATGTCCACACCCACAGCACAAAAAGACTCCCCTGCCCCTGCCCCTGCCCCTGCCCCTGCCCCTGCCCCCGTCTCGAGCACCGTCCCCTCCGCCCCCGCCCCCGCCGGCCCCTCCGCTCCGTCCCTGCCCCCGAGCTCGTCCCAGCCGGCACACCGCCCCAGACCGCCAAGAGCAAGCTCGCATCGTACACCCATCACCATCAACACCGCCATTCCTGCCCCAAGCACGCGGACACACCCGCTCAAGCGACTGTCGATAGACCTTTCCGACCAGTCCTACTCGCATTCCACCTCCACAGACGCCTACACGCCCATCACCCCGACCCAGGAAAACGGGCATTTAGGCATCACGCGCCGGCGCCAGTCCGTCTCGTCCCCCAGGGCAAAGTCCAACTCGGTCGAGATACCCCAAGGCAAAGTCCGCTCGCCGGGAACTAGCAGCGGGTTTTCGTGGTTGTCAGGAGGCAGACTCGGAATCCCCCACACCGAAGACAAGGGGTCCAAGAGCGACGACGAGAGAGAGGAAGACGATATAGACACGCCCAACTGGAAGCGGCAGGCAAAGAAAGGCCCCATACATCACAAGTGGGACTGGGGAATGCCAACTCAGATGGCGAACCCGGCTGTCGATGTCACCCCAACGACGCCCGTAGAGGGCGACCAGCCTACGCCTCTGGTCCAGCCCACCAACCTTGCCTCGTCCTCCCACTCCCATTCCTCTGCCGGGTCGATACCCAATCCCCTATTACAACCCCTACCACAAGATCCCAACAACATTCTGCCTCTCTCTGTCGGGTCTTCTCCTTTCGCCTCCCCTGTCGCATCGCGCGCCTCCTCGCCGCATCGCATACAGGACTTTGCGTCCATGTCTAGCGGTGGCATCTTGCCCGGACCTTCGTCTGCCCCTGGGCCGTTTACCAGCGTGTCGGGGTCCAGCCCGCGCACCTCCATCTCGACCTCTTCATCGCGAATAATCAACGGCCGGTCGAACAGTCGAAGCTCGGCAGAGGACGACGAGCTGAGTCCGCCCTATGGAAGATACAATCCCCAAGTGTGGTTTACTCGGTCACAGGCGCCAGTATCGCCCAAAGCTCCCTCAATTGCACCCCGTATCATGCGGTTGCCTTCCACTGCGCGTCTGTTGCCAACGGGCACCCGACGATGGGGGTGGTTGCTCGAGTGGGCTGGATTCGGTGCCCCGCCAGATTCGCCGAGAACAAGCGGGGCGAGGAGAAGCGAGAGGGAGCATCTGATGGGTGGTGGTGGGATGCACACGGGCAAGAGAGGGACAAAGAAGGTACTTGGCTCAAAGTGGATTGCGAGGGCCATGGTGTTTATTCCCACGAGCCTGTGGAGTATCGTGAGTGTTTCCGTCTTTCAGAGAGGTCGGACTAACCATACTGCAGAGCCTGTTCCTCGTGGCTCTAGCCATATTTGCCGTCACGCTCACAATGACACTCAAACACATCCTGAATCCCGATAAAGAGGCCTTACCGTGGCGGCAATATTGCACCTCCTCTTACCCGACCCTCTACTCGTTACAAGACCCCTCACAAAAACCCATCTCCGTCTCCCCCGACCATGCCTCACACTCGCATCCCATTCCCACCAACTCTTTCGCCTCATCTTCCACCAAACTCACCCTTACTCCGCTCACCCCCTCCCACCCCACATGGCCGTACCGCCCGTATGCTTCGCTTCCGTACTCTTATGAGACCGCCCAGGGCCAGCTGGACTCGCTCTTGGCGCCCGTCGGCGTGTTGCTCGGTGTGTTTACGACGGATGCTGGGCTGGAGAGGAGACAGATGATCAGGCAGAGTTACGGGAGTCACTGGAGAAGCAGGAGGGAGGGCACGGAGGGGGTGAGGGTGAGGTTTGTCATGGGTAGGCCGAGAAAGAGGTATGAGAAGGCTGTGCACTTGGAGATGGAGGGTGAGTCTGATCGTCCAACTGGAGGTGTGGCTTGCTGACCCAGAATAGCGTTCAACGACATTGTTATCCTCGACATTGAAGAAAATATGAACAGCGGCAAGACTCACGCCTTCTTCTCCTGGGCTGCTGAAAACGCCACCGTTCCGGACTGGCAATACCCCCACCATCCCCGCGAAAAAGACATTGACGACGGTGAATCTGACGCAGAGAGAGAACGGGGCGGTAAAGCGAATGCGCCTATATGGATGGGGGAAAAGAGGCCGGACTATGTCGTCAAGGCTGATGACGATGCGTTCATCATGCTGGGAGAACTGGAGAAGCGGTTGAGAGTCACCCCGAGGAGCAAAGCCTTCTGGGGATGTAAGTCTAATTCGCACTTGTCTGGGGCTTGGCTGATCACCGACAGACCTTGTCAAGAACCAATTCATGGCTGGCGAATGTTATGCCTTGACGTACGACCTTGTACAATACATTGCCGCTTCTCCTGCGCTCAAGACGTTGACACGAGGCAAGGAGGACAAGCTGGTGGCCAAGTGGATGAACATGCACCCACAAAGAGAGGAAATTGTATGGGTCACGGATAGATGCTGGATCTATGATCACCCAAAAGCCGGCACCGTGTAAGCCAAGTCCCTTTTCCGCGTGAGCTTTGATTGATAGGATTTTAGCTACTCACACGGCTTTCTCTACCCATCTGTGGTGTCTGAAGTACGAACAGAAAATCGCACAGGCCTCTCCCCGGTTGTCCTCGCGCATCGCGGAGGGCCTGATGCTGCCGACGCCTACTCTACAGTTTCCAAATTTGGCGTCGCCTACCGTCCTTTTGCAGACGACATGTCTGCCACTGAACAAGTCGAAGCGCTCGTCGAAGGATCGCCCCTGTCACGTTTACGCGAAGAATCCCACACCTCTTCAAAACATTCCTCTCAACAGGCATACTCCAAAACAGAGTCGACTCGACACAAGATTGACAGGCTATACAAGGCCAAGCCGTCCAGGGTCGAGCGGTTCTTGGGTGATCAGGATGAGAGGGGAGGGACTGTGGTTGTGCATTACATCAAGAAGGCGGACTGGTTTGTGGAAACGATGGTGGCGTTGTTGGGGACTGCGGACGAGCAGGACGTGTGGCATAGGGGCGTTGGTGTGGGGCTGAGCGCGCTGGAAAGACGGAAAGGAAGAGTAGCAAAGCCCAAGAGTGAAGGGGAGAGAAAGGTGCAGGTGGGCAAGAGCCCAGAGGGGCTGTGATTTGACACCGACTTGTAAAATCCGGCGAGTGACTAGTCTGTCATGAGCTAGACTCGTACCATCCTGTAAAGTAAAATAATGTTTGTGCCATAGCCATTGTGATGTCAACTTGCATAAAACACAATCAACTTGATGTTTAGCCGGTCGAGACGAGGAACATTTTATCAAGAATGGTCGTGCATTGTCAAGAATGTATAGAGGTGCGGATGAATGCCAGCGAAATTTAGTCCTCAGACACTCCACAGTAAACTGGTGCGACAAGGGTGGATTTCGAAAGGGCAGTCAGCTTCCAGTCCCCGAAAGGACTGAAAGAAGACACAGGTTGTCTAGACCTAATCCCTTGATGTTCCATTACGGCTAGTAAGATCGCTCTCGTGGTATGATCCCGAAGGATGGAGAGGACCTAGGCAAATGCGTATGGGTAGAGGAGGAGTGTTCGGATGGGAAGGTGGGGTAAGGGGGCCACGTGGGAACGAGACGGAATTTGGAAGGCGAAATAGTTACTTGCATAGCTTGAGCTAGGTGTCGAGTCGCTGACGAAGTTGAGAGAAGGATTGTGCAGTTCAGAAAGAGAAATGGAGATATATATACTCGAATGTTGGAACAATTTGGTGAAGATGGCGCCTTACGTGGATATTGATAAGGGCTGGTTACGTACTGAACGCGTGACGCGTACTTTATGAATGTCGAGCAGCGATTGTTGTATGCAGCAGTGTCGTGAGGAGATTACACCAGAGTCAGGCATAGATGGCAACGCAGAGCTCTCACGGAACGCCTCGACATCCTCAAAAGCGACCATATCATCAAAACGGTCACATCTTCTTTCCCGCCTTCCCGAGCCGAATTTGATCCGTCATTGCTGTTGGGCTGGACTTCTTGCTGGGTTCAGCGTTACGATTGAGATTCAGCTGTAAGAAGATCAAACCTTAATCGTCTTAAATCTAACAATCAACTGTATAGACCCTCGAAAGTGTGTCAGAGTTGTTGTAAGTGGACCAGAGGCAATTGCGAAGAAGATTCCAAGGTGATACAGCAATCTCGCATTCATGATGATTGAGCTGACTTTGTGCACCTTCATAGGCCTGCTCTATCATGTCACAGTCTTCTCAATCTCAAGAGGAAGAGGAGTCGCTACAACAACCTTCCTTCATTATCCGCCCATGTGTGCCGATATCGAAACAGCTTTCAAACCACGCGCTTGACACTGTTCTCGAAGTGCCCCCCGGCCTGTCTACAGAGCAGCAGCCTGATCTGGAAGGACATGTAGATCAGGAGAGGGAATCGTTTGCTGGATCTATCAATGCGAGCACCTTCTCTGAGACCCAAGAAAGCGCTATAGATTGGACTCAAAAGCCGAGGCCGTTGGACGAGAGTCTCAATTCTGCTCCGCCTTTGCCTCCTGTCGCTGAAGAAGGTGCTTTCGAGGATACACCGGCCTCGACAAAGGCTATTGATCCCCAGCAGTCAGATGAGGCTGGGCCCGCGACTGATGCCAATGACGTTTCGAGAAGCGAGCCCGCGAAAGAGGCAGACGGGGCGCAAAACGACACCGCGGGTTGGTCTGCTCTAGACATCACTGTCCGGCCCCAATCTTTGGAACCTGCTCCACCTCCCACCGATAAAACCATGTCGATGTCCGCCCCTGCTCTGATATCTCACCCTGTCCCTGGCTCGCCTGAGCACGATCCGGATCTCAACTTTAACGAGCTCCAAGGAGACGCAACAGACACCGAAGAACCCCCAAACGTCCCCACTCCAGAACCCTCTCAGCCTGTCGCGTCTCCAAGAAGACTGCGCGGGGCAGTCTCTGCCCCGACCAGAATCACGACGCCGCACCAGACAATGTCGCCCGTCTCAAAGTATTCATCTGTCAAGAGCAGATCTGGCGGGGGCGTAGGTGGACCTGGATCCAAGACCAAGGCGGTACATTCTGCCCCGGGGTCCAGCAAGGGGTCTGGTCTAGTTGACAGGAGTGCAAGAAATACAAGAGAGCCGACACCGGAAAAGGATAGTTTTGAGGACGATTCGTTGCTCAAGAAAGAGAATCCCCAGAACTATCTGCGCGCCTTCTTCAGCTCAAACTCAAAGTTCGGCGAGACGGGCGAGGGCAAGAGTAGCACAAGCAAGAGGGTGGAGTTGCTAAACGCAGAGGCTGTCGGGGACGTCAGAGAAGCTGAGGGTGAAGGCAGTGCAGGCAAAGACGAAGACGGGGGTGATACGATCGATTGGGGGCATAGCTTGAACAGCAATCGACCTCGGGCGAGTACAGCAGACTACGAGAACGCCCCTGGCTCTCCTACCCCGACTTGGGGTCCGTCATCAGGTCCTGATGAGCCCGAGTCTCCTCTACAAGCAGGCCCAATCAATGGTCTCATGTCGCATACGAATCATCCGCCATCTTCCCCCTCGACTCAAAAGTCATCATCCCGACAATATACTTATCAGCGCTCATCTCCTCCGCAACCGACGAGACGATTTGGTTTTGCAAATACACATTCGTCCCTCAACGAATCTCAATCCCAACCCGTCGTCGAAGATGAACCTCTCTTCTCGTCCCAGGCGGTCTCGCAAGGGATGGATTTGAGGGGCGAGGATGAAGAATTCAGTCAGATGTCGGCGGCTTTTCCGGCCACGCAGATGCAGGCGCCTTCTATGACGGAGAGCAACAACGATCCCAGGTCATCTTCGAATGCGAAAGCAGAGTCTCTCGAGCCTACTTTCAAGACTGATGGGAGCGAGTCGTATGAGCGACCGGAGCTGGAGGCGACCTTGAGGGATCCTCCTGATCAGCCAGAAACTCGGGCAGATGAAGCACCTGCTGTGCCCACTCCGCCCCAGCGTACTGTGACTGTACCTCTGCATCGAACGCTGCAATACAACTCGCGCCGAAATACTCCTTCTGCGTCTCCCCCGGTAACGAGAGAGAGGACGCTCGAGGTACCGAGAAATCGGCTGCTTCAGCGGCGAAAGAAAGGTGATGAATCTGGTACTGTGTCCGCCCACGCGTCCGAAGCTTTCTCGGCACCAAAAACACCCATTGCCGACCAAGATCTCGCCGACTCTTCTGCTACGAGGCAGCAGATTCAACCTGTCAATGGCCTGCTGCAGGTACCCACGCCACAAGGGAAAGCCATCGAGCCGTCGCCGAATCAGGCGTCACAGGTTGCTGCGCTGGCGGAGCCAGAGCATGAAGCGGAAGTGCCCACTCAGGTCGAGAGCGATGGTCGTCCTATGGACGTTGATGAACCACCTGTGTCGAATCCCACTATCGCGACAAAGTATTCTCACTCGCCGCCCATCTCCAACGGGGCCGCTCACGAACCTCCGAAAACGCCAGCTCGATCATCTTCCCCTGATCCTTTAGATCAGCTACACACAGCTTCCAAATCCAAGTCGAAAGGCAAAGAAGCTGCTGTCGACATCTCGCCTGATCCTGGTGCCGGCTCCCATACCATCAATCACGACCATAGTGCGCATACCAACGTATCTTTCCCAACTCAGCGTCCCACACCTAAGACGACTCCTAAAGCGTACAAACGCCGCGAACGTAGGGCCCCAAAGATATTTTCACCGTCAGAACCCTCCTTTGAACGCGATGCCGGAAAGAAAGATGAAGGGGATAGCGACAGCAGTTCAGCGCCGGAGGATACCGAGGACTTTTCATTCAGGCCGAATGTGCGAGAGATGACGGCTGCAGAGACCAGGGCGAGGAGGAGCTTGAGGGGGATGTCTTCTACTTCAGGGGCTGGCCCGTCAAGGCTGGGACGGGCGTCTCAAGCAGTAGATTCCGACTCAGTGTCAGATCCGGAGCAGGGCCGACCTGTGAAAAGGAGAAAAGCGACACCCAAATCAAGAAGCTCGTCGTCGTTGACTGATGAGGAAAGCAGCTCGGCGCCGGAAGATCCTGAGGATGAAACATTCCGCGTGGTAGGCAAGAAGAAGTCAAAGGGGAAACAGAGGGAGGTCAATGTGGCAAGCAATAGGGGAACAAGAGGCAAAACCCACGCCGGCAGCGAGAAAGAAAAGGTCGTCTCTGATCTTGCACGGGTCAAGGGTGGCCGGATGACTCGAGGAGGCAAGTTTTCTGTTGGGTCATCTACTGTGTCAACCCCTGCATCTACTCCTGCTCGAGCCGATTCACGCGTCCTGGCGTACTATGATCGGGCATATTACCCTGCCCGTATTGTGGGTTCCACTTCCAAAGGCTACACAGTCAAATACGACGACGGCGACTACAAGGATGGTATACAAGCTACTAGACTTCGACAATTGGTCCTCCGCAAAGGCGACGCGGTCTTACCGCATCCAATGGATGACACAGGGCTGCTGGAAAGGATGGAAGTGCTGTGTGACTGGAATGGTGATAAAAGAGGTGTCAAGTTGAAGGGGTACGAAAGCGATAGGGATGGGGACGGGCAGTTTCTGGGATTTGTAAAACTGAAGCTCCTACGCATCCCGGCGCGTTATGTTGAAGAGCATTTTGATGATAGGCTCTACGTGCCCAGTACACCCAACGTCGACACTCCCAACGGGGTCGTCCGCCACCCCTCTCCTAGAAAGAACAGCAAGCACAGAATCTTCACCGGGCTCGCCTTCATGTTTACTACCGGTACCGAAGAAGGTACGGAGAGGCGCAATGCCAACGAACTCAAGGAGCTTGTGGAGATGAATGGTGGGGTAGTGTACAAGTCGTGGGAGCCGCTATTTGACAAGATTGTCCGAGAAAAATTGGTGTCGCCGTATGTGCCGTTTGTGGTCGCCAGTGCTACGAGACTGGTCATGACTTCAAAAGTGATGATTGCGCTGGCGAAGGGGATACCGATATTATCTGACAAGTTTTTGGATGACTCTATCAGCCAATCATCGGTTCGTTGTTTGGCTCCTCCATGAGATGAACCTCATTGATGAATTGTAGCTTGCCAGATGGCAGCCCTATCTCTTGGCTACCCCTCGATCAAACCACACTGGCTCAAGTATGTCACAAGTCGTCGACCGGCAATGGGGAGCGGCCGAGTGGGAAAAGGATCACGCCTTCCACGTTGAGAAGCCTTTTGGGGGCCTGAGGATACTATATATCATCTCAGACAAGGATGACATCGACGTATGCCCACAGTCATCCTTTCCAAAACCAATGCTAACGCGTCCTAGAATCTGGCAACGACTTGTCTTCTCTGCCTCGGTACCGCCGAAGTCAAGAGTATCAAACTCCCTCGGGTAAAAGACGCCGAGAAAGCGCTCGACTTGTTGACAGATCCTAAATGGGACTATATCGTGCTGGATGACAGGAGCGTCAAGATTCCTTCGTACTTGAGCGGAAACGAAAAGATGACGGGTATCCTTTGGTTGAAAGATTGTCTTGTATGTGTCCTTCTCCCTTGTCATATCAGAACGTCCTAATTGTTGTTTAGATCATGGGCTCGGCTCTCCCACCTTCGCTTGATAAGGGTACAGAAGAAGAAGCGAAAGAAGAAGAGTCCAGGCGGAAGAAGAAAGACGAAGGCGGTAACAAGAAGAAGAAGGGCGGTACCGCAGGGAAAAGAGAGGAGAAGGAACCCCCGAAGAAGCGACAAAAGAGAAAGTAATAGGGTGTTGTTCGCCTTTCACATCGTCTTCTCGGGGTGCGTTGTTTGTGAAAGATTATCAGTGTTGATGAAGGCTGATTTCAAGTTCGTTTCTCCAGTAATAAGTCGTATAATGCATATGTAATGCACCCTTGCTTTTTCACATCACAGCCTCCATATTGAATCAGAGATCCTTCTTTCCTTCTTTGCCCACCCTCGCCACCCGCTCCTCCTCGTACTTGTCCATAGCTGTCAATCTTTCGGGGAGAGTGGGGTGGGAGTGGTGGTACATGGAGTACAGCCAGTCGCTATGGGGGGACGAGAGATTTTTGACGTGGAGCTTGATGAGAGCTTCGGCGAGTTCGGCCTTCTTGCCAAGGCCGACGGCAAATTCATCTACCAATTAGAATCAGTTCTGTCTCATTAGGGAATAGGCGCGACGCACCAGCTTGATACTCGTACCGTCGAGTCTGAGCATTCAATAAGAACTTGACAAACGCGTCGGTTGGTTCCAGGACCAACTGAAACAAGATGAACCCGATACAGAACGGCTGGGGGGCAGTGACAGCGAGAGAGGGGTCAAAGCCGAAAGCCGAGTAGAGGGAACGGTTGTTGATGAAGATGGAGAAGATGGTGAGGGTGAGGAAGAGGTGAACCTGAGTTGCGAGAAGAAGCTTTGTGGGGTGGGTGAACTTCCAGTGACCGAGCTCATGCGCTATTTCACATGAGCAATTAGCCTATCCATTGGAAGTCTGGACATACCGAGCACAGCAACGACCTCTTCAGTGGTGCTATCCTTGATCAAGGTGTCATAGATGACAATGTGCTTGGACCAAGGCAAGCCGTAGAAGTAGGCGTTGGAGTGGGAACTACGCTTGGAACCGTCGATGACGTAGAGGTGGGTGAGAGGGAAGCCAAGTTCGCCAGCGAGGGCTTCGACTTGGGTTCGGAGTTCACCCTCGGGGAGGGGCTCGAGCTTGTTGAATAAAGGTTGAACTGGACTTGTCAGTACGACATATTCATTGTTAAAAAAAGAGGGCTCACTGATGAGGGGATAGACAATCTGGAGGGTCAACTGAATGCCGACCAGGAAAAGCATGAGCCAAGGAACAAAGGTCTTTCCAGTGTACTCGATGATTCGCAAGAATCCAGACAGGACGGGGAGGCCCAAAGCAGCCACCAAAGCGTACGTCTTGAAAGTATCAGCGATCCAGAGACCCTTGCTGGATTTGTTGAAACCGTGCTTGGACTCAATAACGAAAGTGTAGTAGTACGACCAAGGGATACTGGGAAGGGCGGTGGTGAGGGTCAGAATGGTGACCCAGACCAAAGATCGGATAATCTGCGGCCATCAGCGTGGTCTCTTTTCAAAGGATCAACTCACGACCCAATTGGTCCCGAGGCCAAAGGAGTCGACGACAGTTCCGGAGACGTCCCACAACTTGGCATAGACCCCAGTCTTGATCAAACCCCACCCGAGGAGCTGGTTGAAGACCACCTGGGCGAGGAGGTACCTGGTCTTGTCTTTGCTGTAGACTTGAGCCTTTCGGAAGGTTTCATCATCAAGGTGGCCCTTGAGAGCTGGAGGGGGAGCAGGGCGTTCGTAGCAAGGAAGTTGTCGCCGCCTGATGTCTGTGTGAGCATACAGTCCTCTATTGGTTCATGAACTTGCAAGATGTAGACTTCAAAGCCGGTCTGTATCCAGGTAGAGAGGATGACCAGGGCCTTGTAGTCGATGGCGGGGGTGTCGGCCAGGTCTGACAGCCTATCTATGACCGAGTTGAGGGCGGCTACTGGAGAGAGCGACATGGTGAGCATGCGTTGTGAGAGACGAGAGAAAGTGGAAGCTCTGCCAACGAACGCCAGCGCATCCATTGTTCTTTGCATCCTCCAACGTGGAACTTTGTGAAAGCTGCTGACGTAATGACTATTTACACCGGCTGCGGACGCTTGACGACGGCAAGCACATCATATGCTTGTTGCCGCCGCCGCGTATACAGGGAGTCCCGCTGTGCCCCATGGATCCCCACGCCGCTGCCGCCGCACAGAGCTGGCACCTGGCCCCTGGATCACCTGTCACCTGCCCGTGTTCTGCAATCTCCCCATGCTCGTGGCTGGGATGGATGTTCTTTATCAGCAGCACCGAGATCGAGATCTGTTCCTCCAAGACCCTCTGACCCTCCTGCGCCTGCTGCCTTGGAACGGGGCGCCGTGTCTTGTTTACGGGATACTTACTGTAGCTGAGAGCACGCACTCACCCACTGCTCTACATCCCGAAATATTTCTGTTCGGTATTCGCAATAGAGTTTCTCGAGTTCTGCTGAATGGGACCCACCGGCCCGGTTAGCTGCGTTCCGGACTTTTATTGTCACTTGATTCCTGTATATCGACCGTCCTCATCAGCGCCTGTGTTTTGACATCCCCTTTTCATTTCCATCTTCATCTCGTCTTCTTCTTCCCATCTAATCTACTGCCATGTCGCTCGACAACGAAAAAGACGCCGACAAGGGCACATTCATCGAAAGCCCGCGCGACTCGGCCACCCCCATCAAGCCCGGCCACATCACCACTGATAATGTTCCAGACGATGACCAATCCTTCGCCGAGTACGTTGCAAGGATGGATCCGGATGAGCTCAAGGCATTGGAGAAGAAGCTTCTGAGGAAAGTAAGTGCATATGACTTTTGAACTTGGCTTCTACTGACTTTGCCCACCCTAGCAAGACCTCCGGCTCATACCATGGATGACGTACGTATATTGTCCTTGTGGTTGCGGCAAAGCTGACAGTGGTATAGACTTTTGTATCTGGTGGGATCACGAATCGCAGGCATATGCAGGAATAGCACTGACCTCATTCCTTAGCTGAGTTTTATCGACCGTGTCAATGTGAGTGGGGATCAACTAACCAAAAAAAAGACTCTGGACTGATCAGATCCCAGGTCGGAGCCGCAAAGCTGGTCGGTCTGACCGATGACCTGGGTCTCACTTCTCTTCAGTACTCTAACGCTTCCATGAGTAAGAAATTACTGTCCCTGCTCATATCGCGACACGGACTGACTGTGCCCCAGTCTTCTTTGTCCCCTACGTTGTCTTTGAAGTGCCAAGTAACCTTCTCCTCAAGCGTCTGCGGCCTTCCGTTTGGTTGCCGTTCACCATGGTCTGCTGGGCCATCTTCCAGACCACTATGGGTCTTGTGACAAATTATCATCAGCTCCTCGCTTTGCGGTTCTGCTTGGGTCTTTTCGAGGCGGGGCTCTTCCCCGGATTGAACTTTTATCTGTAAGCTGACTCGCCTAATAATGGTCCCGCGAGTTGACTGGTATTAGGACGGGATGGTACAAACGTGACGAGATCAACAAGCGAACAGCCTTTTTCTTCGGCGGTGCCGTTCTGGCCGGGGCTTTCGGTGGAGTCCTCGGCTACGGTCTTTCTCGTATGGACGGTATTGGCGGTAAAGCCGGCTGGAGCTGGATCTTCATCATTGAAGGGCTCCTTACTTTTGTGGTCGCTGTTGCGAGCTTCTGGATGATTCACGACTGGCCCGACACGGCAAAGTTCATCACTCCCTTTGAGAGAAGATTCATTCAATACAGGCTCAAGGCGGAGCAAGGGTTGGCACAGTCGGGAACATACAATAAGAGAATCGTGAAGAAGGCTTTGTCTGATTGGAAGGTGAGCTTGAGGAACACGATTCATGACAGAGGAAAAGAGGCTGATTCGATGGCAGGTTTACTGTTTGATGTTGATGTACATTGGTGCTGCCGAACCCCTGTACAGGTAAGTCTCGCTTGTGTTTGAGGAATGGAACGCTGATGTCTCCACAGTGGTTCGCTGTTCACGCCTACCATCATCGCCAAACTGGGCACATATACTATCCCCCAATCTCTCCTTCTCAGTGTCCCTCGTAAGTCTCCATAGATTTCCGTAAACCAGATCTAACTGAGGGGTGACATAGCGTATGTGTTGATGTTTATCACTACGATGGGAACTGCTTGGCTCAGTGACAAGTACCGCCGACGAGGATTCTTCTTGATGGGATGGTGCGCTGAGTCCCACTTGACATGTGATATGAAGCTGACAGGATTAGGTCCCTCGTGGGCGCTATCGGATACTTGATGCTCTTGACCATTCCTATCCGTTATCCCGTTAGTGTTCTCCCGGTGCGAAAGATCCAGTCAGCTTACGATCGTAGGGTGCACTGTATTTTGCCGTTTTTGTATCCTCTGCAGCTGTGGGTCCTCTCATCGCCACTACAATTTCTTGGTGTCAGGGTACTTGGGGCAACCACTGTAAGTCATCTCGCTCTCTCAAGAAGCCAGATATTTACACCTGCTTTAGACAAAAAGGCAATCTGCATGGGTATGGTCTTCTCCTGCGGTAACTCGGGCGGCATCGTCTCCTCTCAAGCATACCGCAACCAAGACGCTCCACGATTTCAACCCGGCCACGGCACTGCCTTGGCTTTCTGCATGCTCAACTTCACCATGGCCACCATCCTCTACTTTGGTCTTCGCCGAGAGAACAATAGGAGACAAGCGTTGTACGGGCCACCGCCACCACCAGAGGAGGTGCACGAGTATGACAGTCAGGAAAGCTTGAGGAAGTGGGGCTTAGAAGGGATGTCGAAGGAAGAGCTGGTGGAGTTGGGTGACGACCATCCAGCTAGTCGTTATATCCTATAAGCTGAGGATCCGAAAGGAAAAGTCGGGTTTGGAGGTATTATCGAGCTTTTTTTGGGGGCCTCACTATTGTACATATATTATCCGATAAAGGGTAGATCATCAGAATTGCGCGAATGAATGAAGTAGGTGCTCGAGGGCGACCGGACGTGGGGGTACATATTACCGAGCATTCCTTATGACGATACATGAAGGGCAGTCCATTGATTAAATGTCCAACTACGCCCATCGATTAACAAGCTTTACGAGTACCGTACAAACTGCCCATGCACTGCTTCCCTCGAGTCCGACATCATTCAACCCTCAAATCGCCACAGACAAGACATCTTCCACGTCATCAGATTATTCATCTCCTCGAGTTTTTCAGAGTCTGCCTTGTGCGCTCTTACACACGCATTCTGTCAGCTTTCCAAGTGAAGACACACCGCCGGCCTGACTGGAAGCACAGAATCGAGCATGAGGGTCAAAATTTCCCTCCTGCCGCCGTTTGAACAACAGAAATGCCTCCTGCCCGTACCAGACGACATCAAAACCATCACCCAGCTCAAAAAGCTCCTCAGCAAATCACTCTCCACCGTCGCGAGTACTGCTGCCTCACCGAAGGATCTGGTTCTGGAAGTGGATGGATTTGAACTGCTGGCGGGCAGTGGGGTCGAGGTGATCGAAGCGGGGGATGTTGTTTGGTGAGTCTCATCAGAGACGTCATGGGTACAGCTGATGAAGCCGATCAGTGTCCGCCTCGCCCCCGGCAGCTGCAAAAAAGCTACGATTAAGAATGAGAAGAAAGAGAAGGAAAGGGAGAAAGAAAAAAAGGAAAAGAAAGATAGGAAGCGAAAGCAGAGCCCTTCACTTGAAGATCGGAGGGGAGAGAAGAAGAGGAAGATGTCGGAAACGCCCAAGGCGCAAAAGCCAGTTGTGAAGAAGACCCCTATACCGGAACCAGCTCCTGCCACCGCACCAACTGCATCTGTGCAGAGACCAAGGTCGCTTTCTACATCATCATCGTCCTCCGACAGCTCATCATCATCGTCTTCATCCTCGTCAACTTCATCGTCCTCTGGCTCGGATGCCTCCTCCTCCTCATCTTCGTCTTCTTCGTCGTCTTCATCATCTTCCTCCTCGTCTAGTTCCTCAGAAAGCGAGCTTCCAACAAAGAAGGCTACCAACGATCTCAATGTGTTTCTCAATGCCAGGTCCGTCCCCATATGCCTCGCCGTATTCCATTCCACAACTGACGTGACTCTGTGACTGTATAGCACTTCTACCCCCAAACAAACCATTCACCGTCCCATCGAAGGCATCAAGTCTACACAAACGCCCTCTGTCCCTGCCGTCCCGCCCGGCGAAGGCAAGCAGAGTACCCAGAGTCGCAACGCCCGCCGGCGCCTCGCCCGGCAATACAAACGCGCCGCTGAATCCCAAACCCTACCACCCGACGGTAATACCTCTGTCGCACAGTCCATCATTGGAGACAACACAAGGGGACAATCGACATCCGGGTACATTTCCGAAGGGAGGGCCGATGAAAGTCTAGTAGCGGGGGCTGGGAGCGGGGACTTGTCGATCCCTGTGCCGGAGGGTATGGCGAACAGAAACAAAAAGAAAGGGTTCAAAAAGGAGATGGAGGGAAAGAGGGGGGTGAAGACTGTATTTGGGGAATCGGGAGGGGCACATGGTGAAGCCTCGTTAGCGGCAGGGAGTCAACCTGCGTCCCTTGTCGCAAACCCAACGATTCCGGTAGCCTCTGGAAGCCGATTGGGGCACACATCTGTAACGCAGAACTCTGAGAGAGATTGGACCCAGGACGATCTCCCATACGGTGATCCCGAGGAAACCCAAACACAATCTACCACCAACACTTCCAGCGCACCGCGCAAGGCCTCCTTGAACAGTCTGCCGAGTAATCTGTTCATAACGAGGAAGGAGTTTGGGACGGGGTACTACAAGCCGTTGAAGAAGGGGAGGGACTATGAGGTACGCGGGCAAAGTGAAGGCGGTGGTGTAATGGAGACTGAGGAAAGTACTGAGGTGGAGACCGAGGAAGAAGTTCCGGGGGAACCGACTGGACTTTCTGGTGAGGAGACTTTCATAGACGAGGCGACAATGTGGGAGACTGTTGAAGTCAAGTTCGATGACTACGAGGTTCTGTTGGACCCCGCGTCTCTCGAACCTGGAGAGTACCTGGCGTACAAGGTAAGTTTTTGAGCTGCCAAGCGCAATATAAGTAGCTGATCGAGAACAGGAACTCATACTCGACCCTTACTCATTTTCGCCCGAGCTGCAGCTGCGCATTGCCAGGGTTGTCTCAAATCAAAATGGCAAGGTAGAAATGGAACGACTGCAGCGGGCTGTGGAAGATGGATACGAAGAGGAGGAGGCGATGGAAGACGATGCAGGTGAAGAGTCAACGCAATTCACTATGGATGTGCAGACACTCAAAGTCAATAGATGGAGACTGGTGGCATGAGCTATCAGCATGGCATGATATAGCATAGTATAGCATCATAATGTGTAATATGTACAAGAGACGTGTGTGCACCCAGGCGCTCTTATGAATAGGTCGTTTCTTTGTACAGGATATGTAGAGGTCATCGTCGGCGACGGAATAGATTTTGGAGTGGTACAAGTGTGTAGCAAGCGAAAGCTGGTGCTGCTACGAGCGACAGGCCTATTCTTGCAGGTAACAGCGCCTATGAATGACTATCAGCCCTGTACATCTGTACATCGAGGGAGCCTCCGACGTACTTTGACAAGCACATACGCGGCTACCGCGTCTGCGACCTTTTCAGCGGCTTTCGCCCCTCCAGTCTTTACCGAATCCACTGCAGTCTCCCCGCTATCCTCAACCTTGTGCTCCTGCTTCTCGTATCCCAGTACACCGTACCTCCTACCCACACGATCGACCTTGGCGACCCCTTCCTCGTACCACTCTTTCACCCAGGGTTTCCAGCCTTCTTTCTCTTCTTCGTGGCCTACTTCAGACACCCATGTGACTAGCCCAGCACCGACGCCAAAAGAGGCAAAGAGGTAGTAGAAACCGACGACGGGGAGAATGGCGGTGAGCTCGTGCAAGGCGAGGAAAGAGAGACCGAGTGATGGTAGAGGGACGCCAGTCCGCTGGGATAGGGCTGTGAGGTAGGGGGTATAGCGGTTCAGCAGGGAGGATGTCTGAGGTGGTTTGGAAGGGGGCCCGGGGGGCGCCGGGGCCGAGTATGATCTCGTGAATGGCAGCGGGAGGGCAGGCCGGGAAAGCCGAGGGGTGGGGGCGGAGGTGGGGGAGAGACGGGCGATGTGCCTGGGGAGGGGCCGGGATAGAGCCATGCTGGGTACGGGGGGAACTGTGCGCTGCTTCTCCGGGCCACGTGGGAGACCAGTCTATGCAGGAGAGATGTATCGATCGGGTGATGGATGTACAGCGCGAGCCAAGGCCGAATGCCGAAAGTGGAGGCACGCCCTTATCGGTCCCCGTATTTAAGCCCGGGGACGCGACGAATCGAAGCGAAATCAAAACAAAACATCAACAACATGCCCCAGCTTTTCAAGTTTCCTGTCCCGATCTCCCCCCCACGCTCCTACTCCCACGCAAGAGGCATATCTCGCAGACACATCGCATCAACGTCCCTCGCACCAGCACCGAAGAAGAAGAAAATGGCCCTCACGACCGACGTCAACGTTCCCAAGCCCATCAACGATGATGCTGCTGCCCCAGCTTTCGGAGCTGGCGGAAAGCCTTTGCCTCCCCCTTACAAGTATGTATCATGTAGCAAAGGTGCTTGCGTAGCTGCTGGCTAAAGCTCATCATCATAGGTCTACTGGCAACGAAGCGCTCGATACGCTCGCCTTCTTACACATGCTCGAGCAGCTCAAGGTAAGGCCGGTGGCTTGCTCCAAGGAACGTGTAATGATGTTCTTCTGCATAGGTCCAAAAACGTTCTGGGTGGATCCGCGAAGGCGTAAGTGTCCGAGTAACCAGTTTGTATTATAGTTTGCTGATCTTGATGCAGGTTGAAGGGGCCGAAAGGTACATCTAGGTCATTTCTGCTGGGGCCATGACTGACATGCTCACAGTATTTCAGACCATATGTGCCGTATGGCGCTCATGGCCATGATGGTACCTAACACTGCCGAACGGCCTCTGGACATTCCTAGATGTGTCATGGTCGGTCGCTCTGCAAAACGACTATCCGACCGTAGCTGACCCACAGGACAGATGGCTCTGGTGCACGATCTCGCTGAAGCTTAGTGTGTAGAACGCTCAGGCCATGAAGCCTCAGCGCAGAGCTGACATGTGGTCATAGCGTTGGAGATATAACCCCTGTCGAAGGCGTCCCAGTCGAAGTCAAGCACCAGCTTGAGGAGCAAGCTATGGACTCGTTTTTGAACGAGATGCTTGGTAGTGAAGGGAACAAGGAGGCGAAAGAGAGGTTCAGGTCTTTGTTTGAGGTAAGCATGATTGATGTCTATCCGCACATGCTGACATCTGGCAAAGGAATATGAAGCTAGGGAGACACCAGAATCCAAGCTTGTCAAAGACCTTGATAGGCTCGAGCTTGCTCTCCAAGCGGTAGAATACGAGCGCAGTATGTACCTCCTCCTTCCTCCCACCGCCTGTTGACAACCTATAGCCCAAGGGGTTCAGACCCTTGCTCCCTTCTTCAGGGGCTCCATCCCCAACCTCGAACACCCTGCCGTCCGGTCCTGGGCCGAGACCTTGATGGAAGAACGCAAGCAGCTGTGGGAGTCTAGGGGTCAGGGCGAGCAGGAGCAGAGAGAGTTGGAAGGTGCCGTTGTGGGGGGCAAGGTGAAAGCTGCCGGTGGCGCTTGATCTATTTCACGAGATGATGAGGGTATAGACATCATGTTGTTCTTTCTCATGTATTATAGGGCATATCTGCATTGCATGCCGTCGTTCTCTTCAACTTGCTCGTTATACAAACACGGTAAGAGATACAGGCTGATCTAAAAGTACAATCTCTGTGCAGCAGATTGAGCGGTTTCCATGGGGCAGTACGGACACTTGACATCCCGCCGTCTGGTAATATGTCAGTCAAGGGCGTCGGCAATGGTAAAAGTCACTCACCCTCCCTTGAGTAATCTGTCAAAGCTCTCTGACGCGACAACGTGTCCACAAGTCATCATCTTGGGAGGATTGCTCTCCGTTGCCTGCTCCTTTGACACTGGACACACAAAGACAGAGTGATATCGCCTGGAAGCTGATAGCGGCACTTCCATCTAGTCTCCCTATTAGCTTGATCCTCTCAACTCTGAACAATGACTCACTGGTAGATCTGTCCATTGTCGCACATGTCCCAGATGTTCGCCCATGACCCTCCTCGCCTTCTCTATCACCATGAGGGCACCGCCCGTCGAGCCGAGGTCGACAGCGACCGAAAGAGGATCCTCTTTGGGCCATTGATGGAGTCGATGGAATTCCAGGCGGAACCAGCTGACCAGGGCTGCCAAGTCTGTAGCATCTTCATCAGAAAGAGGATTTGTGACCTTTGTTTCGCCTTTCGAATCAGCCATTTCTATGTCTTCGCTCCCTCTTGGGGACTGGTCGTATAACCGCGAAGTGATCATCTTCATGACTGGCTTTGTCGGCAGATACTCCATCATATGCTGCCTCGCATATAATATCGCTTCCTTCTTGTCTGCTATGCTTTGGAACACTGCTCGGTGGAGATAGTAGGGCAAGCTTGAAGGATGGGGAGGCGAGGCGAGGAATTGTTGGTTGGTTGAACACCATTCCAGAGCGGGAGTGAGATTGGAGGAGAGGATGGAGGTTGTGAGGGATTGAAGCTGAGAGGCCAGAGCACGCTGTTCCTCTGGAAACTTGAGGGATGTCTCCTGTCATATTGTCAGATATCATCGATGCAATCCTCGAGATCTTACCTTCTCCAAAGCTGCGACGGCATCCCACAGACCTCTCCGCCCGAGAGAGTCGAGCACGGCCTTGTCTAGAGCCACAGAAGCTTCTTCATCCACAAACAGACTCGGGTTCTCGTATGCTTTGCTGATGACTCCCAGTGTCGGTGGGAAGGTCTGCTTCTTCATCAGCGTTGTCGCCTAGCGCAGTCTCTATATCACTTCACCTTGTCTACTGCTTTCCCAACATTCCCCAGTGCACCATACCAGCCTTTCAGCCCCTTATCTACTTCCTTCTTGCTCTTCTGGACTTGCTTCTGGAGGTCCACAATGACGGTCTTGGGGTCATCACCCGAGAGTATGCGCTCTTTGGCCTGGGCGAAATGGGTGTCGATAAGCGCGTGTAGAGGCCCGGACGAGGAGGTCGATGTCGAAGAGGACAGAAACTCGAGCGCGTCGAGTGCTGTGGCAATGTCCATGGCTGCTGAGGATGTCCGAGATAGCGTTCACGCTACCAAAAGGGTCGCCAACGCCATCAACAACTCGCTCGCTCGTCATCCGCGCCAGTTCGCCGTCGGCGAGAGCCGAGCCTTGACGTGGAGTTTAATTCTGCCGCCCATCTTCTCTTGCGGCGAGATTTGTTGTTGCTCGGAATTCTTCAATCACTGCTTCAATCGTAGCTCTGCGTCACTGTTTTCTACCACTCCTTGCTTCTCCATCCATCGCCTTGAACCTTCAATTCATCTTCTCGAATACCTTCGGCCTCCACGAACGTCTTTCAAAGAAAGCAGCAAATCCGCCCACCCAGCTACTGTAGCAAGATCCACAATGTCCCAGCCCCAGTCCCGCTACACCCAACAAAACCCCAACCCTCTAGTGGACAGGAGCGTCAAGGTTCCCGAGGTCATCCAGTACATCTGTGGTGGTACGTTTCCATGTTTAGACAGAGGAGGGAAAGAAAAGGGCAGAGGGCAATGGGTGGGATGCTAATGTTCATTGCAGACTGTGGTGCCCAGACAGCTATGCAGCCGTCAGAGTTTATCAGATGTAAGGAGTGTGGACACCGAGTCATGTACAAGCCCCGGACGACAAGAAGTAAGTCAAGACCGAGAGGATCGCTATAAGAGCGGCGCTGACTAAGAATAATCGTCCCTTCTTGTTCTCGCCATTGCAGTTGTAAGTCTCACCTTATCGTATCTTCCCCGTTAGAAGAGATCGTTGCTGACTGCTGCTATAGGTCCAATTCGAGGCTCGTTAAACATCGGTCCGGGTTGCTTGTAAGAGAGGGATGATCGTATTTTTTTGGTCTTTGGGCGCTTTGCCCGTGTATGCATAGATTCACTGCATCTATCGCTACGTGCGGGTCAGCAACCAGTCGGCGACCTTTGGTGCCATACAGCGCTCCGCATCTTCATTATCTCCTAGCAGGTTCAGAATGCAGTCGCCAGCTTACATCTCTTTTCCACAGCTTGACATGTGCCCCAATGATCATCTCTTTCATGTGAGTTTACGGTCAACCAAGACCAACCATCGCTATCGAACTTCAAGCTCCAGAATGCAGGCAAACTTGTGAGACCTTGTGTCCAGCGACTCTTTCTAGACTCACGCTTGCGTTTGCGTCCTCCAAACACTACCGTCGGGATCAACAAAATCGAAAGCCGAAGTGCTGAGGTAAATCCTGATGGAGAGGGTCTCTGAGCGCACTGTCAGTCAATGGGGATGAGGAGTATCGATTGGACGATTGGGCTTGGAACCCTGCTTGGAACCTCGCGGCCATTATATGCCACACAGGCAGCGCTTCAATGTCGTGGCTCTGATGCTCGTGTCTAGTGCTCACCTCTTCTCCTTACCAACATCCATCTCGAATTCACAGTATGTCTTGTTCTCCTTCTGAATCTTCCACCACGCCACAAGCAGAGACGACACCCTTCGGTGCACGCCGCTCAACCGCCAAGACCGCCCAGGAGTACCCGGGCCAGGTAAGACTGAAGCCGCCCCTTACAGTTACTCCTCCTGAGTTCACCTATCGTAACTCACGCTACGCATCTGCAATGCGTAAAGACAAAAAATCAGAATTAGATCAGAAACACGGCTGTCTATCGATACCAAGATTAGAGCTGTATGCGAGACAAAAAGTGGCGTAAAAAAAGCAAAAATTAAACTGCTCCGGTGAGGGTCGAACTCACGATCTTCCGATTGAAGTGTGGATTGAATAACAGTCGGACGCCGTAACCAACTTAGCCACAGAGCACTCGTTGAAACCAAATTGTTTACCTGTCCTATATCGCTAACAAAGAAAAGTGAGGATCGCGGTCGGGGCGGGGCGGGTCTACAGCGAGTAGCATATCATTTGTGCGTGATCAAGTACTTACCGATACTCACGTGGAGAACACATTGTCAAGTAGGGTTTCAGATCGAGTGATTGATGTGTGAATGCGATCCGCCGCCTCTCTTCTCAGGCCACTCTTTCACCGGCCAGCGTCGCACGTCGCTACTGGAAGGCCCCGATTTCCAACGTCATAAAGCTGATAGCAGAGCCCAAATCAGGGTCACATCCTCTTCTCCACAAGCACAGCTCGTTCTGCCTTTGGACGTTCCCCCAGGCGGTCGCAGAGACCGCTCTCCAATTGGCAGGGACACATGGCAGAGGCGGGAACAACAACGAATAAACTCGGCGCACCGGCCTGTAGATATGCGACTGTACGTCATATTTGGTTCCTCAACTTGGCAATGAGTCAGCAAACGGTCAGCGCGGTAGGCGGACAGAGGCATGAGCTGAGGAGAACCAAACACCAGGCCACGCAGGCGACGGAGGGGTGGTGTTGTCAGCTTTCGTGCTAAATGCCAGTCAGCTGCCCCATTCGTAAGAGCTGCCATTTTCCTGCAGACCCAGAAGCAGTCCAGTTTACGTAGGGCTTGAGAGCACTAGAAGCATGACGTTGCCGCGCCCACACAACCCGGCGGAGAACGAAAGCGAACGAAAGCGACCAAGAAGCTCCCAGCCCACCTGACTGGGCGGTTCGTTGATCGTAGGGTGGCAAACTGTGTGTATCCCCTAAAAACGTTGTTCCAAAATATCGAGAGGAAGCCGGCATTCCGGCAGGCTGATAACCTATAAACCCAAACGCTTCATCTCCTTCTTTGCCACCCACCCTTTACAAGCGATTATGAGCTTCATCCCACTCTTGACTACAGGACTCAAAGTCTTTGCTTGTTTCTGGGCGCTTATCACCTTCTCGGTAGCGGCTGCCTTTGTTTCCAAAGCCAATGATTTCTGTGAGCACTCTTTTTGGCTGAGATGGGAATTGCAAACTAACACCTGCAATTACAGTTGGAAGCAGCTATGTACAGGCGTGAGCTTTTTCTATCAGCCCGTCCTCCAACACTGACATTGCCGAAGGACAAAGCTAACCGCTGGAAATGCCATTATCGCTGCTGGTGTGCTCGCCTTCTTGTACTTGATCGCAGTGTAAGCACAAGCCGTTAGTGCCGGGACATAACACTGACGATTATGTACAGTCTGGTCTTGACAGTCGCAAGCCCCAACAACATCTTCATCTCCGTAATGCTGGACGCCGTCTTCTTGGGTGGCCTGTTCATCTTCTTCTTGGGATCCGCCGCTGCGTTGTCCACTCTGGCGGCATTGGCCCGCCGATTTGATATGTATACCTGGGCCAAGTAAGCGCAGCTCAAATCTTGCCAATTAGCGGCTAACACCACAGAGATTGGGCGAAGCTACACTTGGTCTTGCTTGGGTCATGACGTTCTTGGTGAGTTCCTCTCTCATCTCTCGTACACGTCTAACATGATTGAAAAGCTCTTGGGAATCCTCGTGTTGGAAGTCGCCTACACCCTCACCCACTTTGGCGGCGGGTACGCCACCTGGCGAACGCCCTTCAATCAGCTGGTGGCGTACGGCACCGGTGCGCATACCAAACATCACACGCCTGCAGCACCCATGGCGACCGCCAGCCATGCTCCTACGGCCACTACTGGCACCCACCCTCCTGGATCCCACATCTCACCGGGGGTCGGTACAAACGTCAACGAGCACAACTACGAGTTGGCACCTCCACAGCCGCGAGAGGCAGGGGTTACTCGTCTTGGTACAGTAAACCCGACGGCTGCGAACCGAGTGTGAGAAGAATATGAGAGACTGAAGTGTGACAAGTAACTATGATGGAGAAGACATAGATAAGTAGCTTCAGGCGATCCAGTCGTTGATAGTGACGGAATGGATACTCCACTGGTCAATAGACTTGTGACTTCTTTGCATGCTGGCTTTCGAATCCTTCTTCCTAGTGAGCGCCATCCCAAGCAGAGGGGTCCGAGTATGGAAGGAACTGCTTGGCGTCAATGGGTGTTTGACCGCCGTTCAAGAACGCTCACCTTTCCGTCCAATGTGATGACAACGCGGTCGCCCTTGGGATCCTTTTTGCGCTCCAACGAGGTACGGAAGTCTAATAACGTATCAGCTCGTGTCGAAACGATGGAATCAAAGCACTCACCGATAGCAGACATGATGCCATCGCCGAACTAATGCAAACACATCTTGAGTATGCTGAGATAGACTCTGTAGGAACGAATTCACCTTCTCCTGGATCAAGGCCTTGTACGAGAAACCGTAGACAATCAAAGCCTCATACAGCCTGTAGAGCACAGGGTCCTACACGCGTGTCAGTGCCCACACTCTAATTAAATGGAGGTATATTGTGATCTACCTTGGGAGGGAGGTCGATCGTAGCACCTCGCTGGATGAGCCCCGGTACTCCATAGTTTTCTTCGCCCTTTCCGGATAGGCCTTTCAGAACCTTTTCATATATGATCTGCTCGTCCCCACTGGCCGTTCGATGATCCGACAGCTGGTCAAACAGCCCCTGTCCACCTAGAGCATTGAGGATAGCATTGGCCGTCTCCTCGTTGGTAGTAGCCTGGCCGTAAAACAGGGCGGTTGTCCAGACTTCAGGCTTGCCGATACTTTTGGCAATGTCGTCGAATGTCTTGCCAGTCTCCGACTTGGCAGCAAGAATAGCCTTGCAGTGGTAAGGAAGGTCGAACATGGTGCTGTGTAGAGAGGAGTTGGAGAGATGGTTTCGATTGTCACATCCGAGCAGCAAGCAACGTATGCCACATGATCCCAGAGCGTCATATCGGCTTCTTCTTCTTCGGTGCTCCGTGAGTGCCTACGTAATCACGGAATCAAATGCCATTACGTCGGCTTTCGCCGTTCTGTTTGTTGACGAGCGATGAGCTGGAAGTTGCCCAATCTGCCTTATCGCTTTCCAGAACATTCCTCGAGTACTCTGACAGTGCCAGAGCTTCTTGATAGCTCCATAAAGGACAATGAGAGTCTCTCCCATCATCGCCTTACCCGTCTTATTTCTCTCCCTTTCTTCCCCTGTCCTAGGAGAGCCTTCTGCCAAGTCGGCTACCCAGATCGCCCAGGATGCCAACAGACTATTGGCCGAGGGATCGTACTCTGCCGCCGCTAGGGCGTATGGTGAAGCTATAGGTGAGTCAATCTATACACAGCGCGGGCACCTCTGACTGTGAACTAGAGCTGGACCCTACAGGTTATGCCAACTATTACAAGCGAGCCACAGCATATCTTTCCATGGGGAGACACAACGCAGCCTTGGATGACTTTGACTCTATACTGAAGCTCAACCCGGGATTCTCTCAGGTGAATAGCTATCGCAGCCTTTTGCCTTTACAGGGAGACTAACGTAGACATAGGCGCATTTTCAGAAGGCCAAGATCCTGGCCAAAGAGGGCGAATTTACTCAAGCGCAGGCCGAGCTGAAGGTGTTTGGAAAGAGCAAGAGCGATCCGGAAGCGGATGAACTGGTGCGTCTGCCCTACATCCTGATGCGAAACGTCGCTTACTCGTTAAGTAGTTGCACCTCGCCACTGTTGGTGAAGCTGCGGAAAAGTCGGCTGTCCAAGCTTCAAAGCAGAAGAAGTGGCAAGTCTGTGTGGACCATTCTACCAAGGCGCTGGAAGTGGGACCAAGCTCCACATCGCTGCGGCAGCTGAGGGTTGACTGTGCCACCGAGCTTGGAGATATCAACACGGTTTACGGTGACTTGACGTGAGTGAATGTCCCATGCTGGATAACTTTGTGCTAATATCAATCATAGACGATTAGCATCTCTCAACCCTACCACACTGTCATACCCCGTCCAGCTTGCCTACATTGCCTATTTCCTCCGCGCCTCACCGCAAGCGACCGCCCACATCAAACAGTGTCTGCATTACGACCCCGACAACAAGCCCTGCAAGACCGTCCACAAGATGCTCAGGCGTCTCGAAAAAGAGACTACCAAGGCTCGTAACTTTGTCGAGGGTGGCAGTTTCCGACAAGCCATGAAAGTCCTCGACGGTCCCGAAGGTCTTCTCGCCCGATTTGAGGAGGAGCTCGCCGAGGCTACAAAGTCCAAAGATGGCAAACCTGCCTATCTCCTTCCTCAGCTCAACCCTGTCCCAAATAGCGACATGCGGCTTGATCTGTACGCCTTGGCATGTAAGGCTGCTGTGGGAGCGAACGACTTTGGGAAGAAGGCCACTTTCTGGTGTGAGCAAGTGGAAAAGATGGACCCGGAGAATGCGGATGCGATGGTGCTCCGCGGTGAAAGGCTCTTGAAGGACGAAAAGTGGGAGGAGGCTGTGAAGACGTTTGAAAAGGCGTTCGAGGCCTCAGGAAGGAGCCAGGATGTAAGTACGACTTGGTGAACAATCGCGCGACGTCTCACTCATTGCTTAGGTGCACGGTCGTCTTCAGAAGGCTCAGCGATTACTCAAGGTTTCTAAGCAGAAGGATTATTACAAGGTGCGTGCATGTTCACCGTGATCTTGGCAGATACTGATTGCGTATAGGTTCTTGGGGTACCTAGAGACGCTGATGAAAGGCAGATCAAGAAGGCATTGTGAGTTGCTTGATAGAATGACCCGGCCTTCACTTATGACGCAATTTCAGCCGTAAAGCTGCCAAGACGAACCATCCTGATGTCGGCGGCTCTGAACAGAAGATGGCCGCATTGAACGAGGCGTACGAAGTTCTTTCCGACCCAGGTGAGTACATTCAACGTTTCGTAGACGCCCACTGATCAATCTGAACAGAACTGCGTCAGAGGTTTGACAACGGCGACGATCCGAACGACCCCACATCAGGACAACAACAGCACCACAATCCCTTCGCCCACCACGGCGGCGGCCATCAGTTCTTCCAGCATGGTGGATTCCAGGGATTCCAGGGCTTCCCTGGCGGCGGTCAGAAGATGCACTTCCAGTGGGGATAGGTGATAGATCAGGGGACTGCGGGGTTAGAATGTATATCATCGGTCATATCCGAGCTCTGAGCACATTTATCCTAGAGATGGCAGTCTCTTGACAGTCATCAACGGGAGGGATTGAGATCAGAGAGGCAGTCGGCTTGTGGTACAGTCAGGATTAGCTAGTTTTATTTCCCAGCATCCCGGATAGAGTCTCAGGAATAGAGCGCAAGTAGAGGAATTTCGAAAGTGTCTATAATGCTGCCCCTACCACATACACTGGGGCATTCCCAAGCTTGTTCGTGAATAGGCAAGCAACCAGACGTCTCAAGCACCCGGCAGGACGGAGCAAGGAACGCCAGCCTTGCTATTCCAACGACAGTCCCATCGGCTGTTTGGCTTTCAGCGACTCCTCACTCTGGCCAGGTACATGTCTTCAAGCACGCGCCTTATGTCCTTGCATCGCTTGTTGAGCGCAGACAGTCGCTGTCTTTGCGGTCTCTGCGGAGGTGGTTCGAGCGATGTTCCTCACCGCGCTCAGGCGTTTCCAGCAACTTCGACGTGGGAGTAGCCTCAGCATATCGACTCTGTCAACTTCTGATGCAATGCATAGAGTTGGGGTTTGGCTCGCGTGGCCCGCTGAAGAGGGCATGCATTGTGGGCCCAGACCTTTATATTAGACCTTTGTAGTAGTAGATATAGTCGAGCACAAGATCTAATCTTTACGTAAAAACCAGAACAATAGTAGCCTAACGAAGCATGCGCAGGACCACTTTGTCCCCACCATTCTTGTCGCATCATTTCTCTATTCTGCCCCTCCTAATGACCTCGTAGACATCGACATGAGCGGCGCGCAACACGACAACGACAACGACTCGCACAGCGGGTGGGGCGACGAGTACCAGAATGCCTGGGTTCGCGCCAGGTTCGACTTTGACGCATCAGACCGCGGTCATCTCACTTTTCGGGCAGGCGATATCATCCAGCTGCTGAGAAAGCTCGACACTGGGTGGTGGGATGGCATCCTTGAAGATACCCGTGGATGGTTTCCTTCGAATTACGTCGAGGAGATATCGGCGGACGACTTGCACCAGTACTACGACGCTGGGCTCGGCTATCCGTCACGACAAGAGTACGAAGACGGCAATGCTGGATTGGGCGGAGATAGAAGAGGAGACGTGATAAACGCGGATGATCTGCTGAGGGGGAGCTGGGGAGATGACTGGGGGGGTGCAGGCCTCGATCAGCTGGCACGGGAGATGATGGAGAACGACGAAGGAGGCGAGGATGGCCAGGGGTTTATGCTGGAGGCGCAGAGACGCAAGATCAGCAACAACGGCCTGGGCATTGACTTGGAAGAGTTTGGAACCGGGGCGTCTGGCAGCCGTGACGAGACCACTGTCAAGCCGACTCAGACAACCCGAGCAGCTCAGAAGGCGCCTGACACGACGCCTAGAGTGGAGCGCGAGGACGCTTGGATTCCGTCTATCACGCCTGATGGTCAAGTGAGTGCAACTCCACATAGCGATGGCACAAACTGACATACGACAGGTTTACTACCACAACACTCAGACGGGCGAGGACTCGTGGGAGCTGCCCATGGACGATGTGTACGAAGCAGATGATCCCTACGCCCAGACGGACGAACAATTCTTTCACAACGTCCCATCTTCTTTGCAGGAAGATATATTCAAGAGGTCCGTGGAAGATTCTGAGTCAGGCGAATTTGCTGTGCCTTACAGTCACGCCGACTTGCCCTACCCGTGGATCGCCAAGCTTAGCGACGACGGCCGTGAATGGTTCTTTCATAATCGGCTTACTGGTCAATCGCAGCGCAATCAGCCACATATTGGCGACACAGAGAGCCTTGCCGATATGGGCCTTGGCTTGTCCCGCATGTCTATGATTCAAGGACCCCCGGCGATTCGCAAGTCCCTTCTTCTGCAACGCAGAGCCGTCGAAGATTGGCACGTCAAGACTTGCGATTCCCTCCGAGCAGTCACCCAGCCTCCAAATCCGCCGACACTTGGTATTCTTGTAGAAGTCATCTATGAGGCTCTTCGTGAAGTACTGGAAGCCACTGTCACAGGTTCGGCTGCAGAGGAAGAAATGTCTCGCGCCATTGACCTTGGATCGGAAGTTGGCCTGAATGCCGCATTGGATCGCGAAGAGGGAGCCATAGAAGCTGTACAAGCGGGTTACCAGGCCACTCTGCAGTCTATCCGTGATCTTTTGGCATCTTTCGGCTATGTCGGGCCTTTGGACCCGATGGAAGAGCTTCCACGGCCAGCGTGGACAAGCGACCTGGCGCTGGTGGGGTGTGTGGGTGTACTCGGCTCTGTTGTCCATGCAGCTGTGACCTCCAAGCGTCAAGCAGAGTCTGGACTATCTGTTTGGTCCGAAGTTTTGCGGGCTGCCACCAAGCTCAAGGACGTTGTCAGCAACTACTCATCGCTGCTCTTTTCCGGCCAGCTGACCGCGGCTCAAAGAGACGAAAAGGAGGGCAAGCGTGTGGAAGGCTGGCTAGGTTTCGACCCCCTAAGCCTGGGAGAAACGTTGGGAGGGAAATGGGGCTTCGGCAGAGCAGACAAGGGCTATCGGGTTCTGGATCAAGCAGCCGTTCTGGACTGTCAGAAGGCAAGGGTCGAGTTTGATGTCGCTCTGCAACACCTCGAAAATGTCTCTAGCGAAAACTTACAGACGGCGGTGCTTGAGGCTCTCAGAGTGGCGAAATCTTTTGACAAGATTGTTGCTGAGATCGACATCGCAAGCCAAGTGGATGTCGATGGAGATGTGGGAGATTGGCCGAATGGGGGTGCGACGAGGGAGGATGACCTGCAAGAGTATGCGCATCTCGTTCACCAGGCCAGGCTCGCTTTGATGGACCTGGATCAAAGCACGAGAGAAGTCAACGAGTGGTCTGTGGCTATCCTGAATGCCTTGTCCGCTCAAAGAGGTATCTCTGCGGAACTCGAGAGGCTGACAACCACTCTCACCACCGCTTTCCGCGCCCTGCCGACGCTCCTAATCATATCGCGCGAACAACATGCTGCCCACGAGCAAGGCCTTATCCGCGGCCAAATCGGCATCAGGTCTCCCAAACATATCGCCACATCTCAGCATACCCGCTCGACCTCCCTTGCTTCAACCGCTTCTCGTGGGTCTCGACTGTCAGATCTGGTTCGGCGCAAAGTCAGAGGCCTGGTGGACGAGCCGGAGGTCTATGGCGATGCTTATGAAGCGCGGGATCGCCCAAGCGAGATGCCATCCTCCGCTTCCCAGAGTCAGGCATCTTTGAATAACCATTCTGGAACACGCCGTACAAGCGCTTCCAGTAGTATGTCTTCCCTCACATATCAGCCCACCGAAAGCGACGGGACAAACTCGCAGAAGGGTAATCGCTCGAGTATCCTTCGTGCATTCAGACGGGGCCGGGCCGGGTCGGACGCGCTCGATGGTTCAGGAAGGCAAGCTCAGAAAGCCCCCTCGAAGAAATTGGCCAAGCTGTTGGGTGAAGACATGTCCGCGATCCCTGTCGTCTCTGTGCCTCCACCACAAGGTCAGCAACAGCAAGGAGGTGGGCCGTCTAATGTGGGCTTGCCGACTCAGCCAGAGACGCCGTGGTACATGATGGATGATTACGTGCCCGGAGAAATCATCTTTGATGATAAGGGGGCAGTAAAAGCGGGCACATTGAGGGCTTTGGTTGTGCGTTTAACATCGCACAGTATCACGGGTAAGTCATGTTTTTGACAAGGGAAACTGTACTGATGATTTGTAGATACGCCATTCTTCCAGGCCTTCCTCCTCACGTTCAGATCATTCACCGATCCAACCGAGCTCTTTGAACACCTCGCAGACCGGTACTACCTTCCTACTCCAGAGTCTCTTTTACCCGAGCAGTACGACGAATGGAAGAATAAGAAGAAGTGGTACATCCAATTGAGGGTTGTCAATGCTTTGAGGCAATGGCTGGACAAGCACTTTGTCAGAGCGGCGGATGAGGAGATTCTGGACAAGGTGGAATACCTGGCGTTGAAGATGCCAGGGGAGGACACAAAGGCGGAATTGATGTCGAAGCAATTACTGCAACTTGTTGCCAAGCGCGTAAGTTAAATTTTTCTTCGAGCCCAGACTCAGCTGATCGTATCCACAGCGTCAAGGCGACCCAGAGCAGATATTCCCCGGCACTTCCGGATCCCTTCTCTCTCCTCCGGCTCCTCTCGTCCCGCGAGTCTCTGGCCGACCGCTCCGAATTACAGACATCAACCCCATCGAAATCGCTCGCCAATTGACAATCATCGAGTTTGCCATGTTCCAGAAGATCAAGCCATCCGAATTTCTGTCGAAAGTCTATCAAGATGAGCAGAAGAGCATGCTGTTGGCCCCAAATATCCGAAAGGTCATCTTTACGGCGAATGTGTTGGCGGGATGGATATCTATGAGTATTCTGGCACACAAGGACCCGAGGGCAAGAGGGGCTGTCTGGAAGCACTGGGTGCAAATTGGTGTCGTGAGTGCACACTGGATGGTGACAAAGAGTCAACTGACGGTGATCCAGGAATGTCGAAACCTGAACAACTTTTCGTCATTGGCAGCCATCACTGCTGGTCTCAACTCTGCGCCCATCGCGCGTCTGCGGCGGACCAGGGAGCATGTCAGCCAGAAAGTTCTGGCTATCAAGGCGGATATTGACAGGAATATGGATTCGTCAAGAAACTTTTCCAACTACAAGGACATGTTGAAGACGGTCAACCCGCCTTGCGTACCGTTCTTGGGTAGGTCATGGGCCACAATGAAGCTGAGTGCTGCTGACTTGTATGTGCAGGTTTCTACCTTACTGCTTTGGTCTTTATCGAAGACGGCAACAAGTCCTTTATCAAACCTGGCGCTCCCACACGAGGCAACGCTGTGCCTCCCTCCAACTCCTCCTCTTCCATCTCCGCCCTGGCCAGCGGTCAACCGCCAAACGCCAACCCTACTAGCGAAGAGACCGTTATCCCCACCAAACCACTCATCAACTTTTTCAAGCGGTCCATGTCTGCCGAGATCCTGCGCGATATCGCCCAATACCAATCACAACCATACAGGCTGGCGAGGAGTCGGGTTGTGCAGGATTTCATGAACGCAGAGTTTGAGCGGGTGCATAACGCCCCAGATGCGTGGGAGCTGAGTCAGGAGTTGGAGCCAAAGGAGAAGGATGATGAGAGAATAACGAGAATGCTGCACGATTCTGTAAGTGGAGACCATTGATCCTAGGGCCGGGGGCTGTGATGGGCTGATGGCGGGCGCTAATAGGGTTTCATATAATGTACAGGGATGGTAAATGTCATTTGAACGCTATTGTCACGCATTGTCACGCTTGGTATCGCATATCATAATACGAATAGGAGAGGAGAGGGTAGGATGTTGAGGGCTCATCTGGGAAGGCATGGGGTACTTTTTCAATCTTTCAAAACAATCTTTACGTCGTGGTTCGTGTTCAATATGGACTTTTTGGGCTGCACCCCTATCTTTCTTTCTATCACTGCATAGGTAATTTTGGCTTCTGGTCTCTTCCCTTGTTGATTTTCTGTGTCTTTTCGGGGCCCCTCACCATGTATACGTTGTTACTAGGCCATCTGTGCGCTTTCGGCAAATCACGAGTTCATGAACATTAGATACAAGGTTTCGGAATCATCATGATAGCGCTTGTCATCTCGTCCGCCTTCAAGGATGCTATTGATGATTCGGATCAATCGCCTCGACCTCTTCTGGCAGCTTCGAGACATTGTTCCTCGAGTCCGACCACCCTGATCACATTGACGCCACCGTCTTGCAAAATGCGCACACCCTCGCATTGGACATAGTCTGGCGGTTCTTCAACACCCTTTTACAGACAGAAGGATTAGCACTGACGGTAGAAACTAAGAGAGGAACTCACCAAGAATACTGCTTGTACATGAGACTGGACGAGCTCCAGGGCACAACTCGGTCCGCCGGATGTTCTGACAGAACAAGGCTCCATGGTGGCATAACATACCGAGTCCTTGAGAACATCTTTGAGGGCAGGGAAGTGATGTTTGGCATCATCATGCCCGTCTAACAGATGCTCCCACCTCGTTGTTAGATTCGCGAGCGCATTAGCCTCTGCATGGGTGTTTCCAGGGATCTGTCTCGACCATCCCTCTCCTAGAATCAATCCTGTCGGATCAGAGATGGTGTCATTGGGGAACGCTTGGAAGTGGTGGATAAGGTGCTCGAAGAAGGGAGACGAGGAGGGAAGGAAGACTATGGAGCCGACGTTGAAGGCTGTCGGTGATGGGATACAGTTGAAGGTGAGCTGGAGGCAATGGGACATGAGCTCCAGATGGAGACTGTCTGGACGGCGTTGTCAGCTCCAGAAGTCTACTGCTTTTGAGAGGGCACGAGAAGTGGACTGACCTGTGGTAGACTTGAGGGGTGTCTCTTGAGATGGAGCCATGGTTGCGTATGAGCTGCCACAGTATCGCCAGTCTTTACTCGCTGCGACGAACAAGGATACGTAGTGGGCGACCTCCACATCGCGTAAGTGGGGTACGGAAGCAGATAGATGAGTCACCAAGGGGGCCGAGGCGACGTGCACGCTAGCGATGTTTGTCATCATGCTCACCGAGAATGAGGGATACCAGCTGGCCACGTGGTGTATGTACGGGCAGCAGCAGCAAGCCAGCATGCATGCCTCCATTTCCGGGACTGTGTATGCAGCCATGCAGGCGGCGCAGTGGGTGGCGGCGGTGCGCGCCATGGGCAGACACCGAGTTAGTGCCACAGTCGCGCCCGAACTTTGCTGTGACCGAAGGCTATCTCATCTCATTCCCCGCTTTCTATTCCTCTTCTCCATCCCCCGTCTTGCCCGCCGCCCGACCAGCGCCCCACTCTTCTCCCCCCCTCGCCTTATAATCGCCCGCCCAGCCACCGCCTACCACCGACGCTGGGGTGACGCAGTCCCGCGGGACAAACATCGCCTAGTTTGTTCTTACATCCACTCTCGATCTTCCGCCGCCCACCATGGGTACTGCCAGCAAGAAGGCTCCCCTCATCCCGCGGTCGAAAAAGCACAACCCCGGCTGGTTCGACCGCAAGATATCAAAACCCCTCTCCACCTTATCCCCGGGCAAACTTTTTGGCCGTCGGCCCGCTGTCAGCACATCTCGCTCGGTGTACATCAACGAGCAGCTGCCAGAAGAATGCTATGACAAGAAGGGCCGGATCTTGAAAGAATACTACTTTCCCACGAACCAGAACGTCACATCCAAATACACTATCATCACGTTTCTCCCCAAGAACCTGTTCGAGCAGTTCAGACGTGTCGCCAACTGTTTCTTCCTTGCCATCAACATCCTTCAATTCTTCCCCAAATTTTCCACCATCTCCCCTGGTCTTGTCATTCTTCCATTGATCATCGTCCTCGCAATCACCGCTCTCAAAGACGGGTACGAAGATTTCAAGCGTCATCAGGCCGATCATAAGACCAACAACGATGTCGTCCATGTCCTCGGCGGCGGAGGTTATGAAAATCGCAACCCCATGGAGGGCAAGAACAAGACGTTCATTCCGCACATTCCCCTTCCCAAGCGCAAGTCAAAGAAAGCGAAAAAGGCGGAGAAGGCGGCTGCAGAAGCGGCTGCAGGTCAGAGTAGCGAAAACTTGGCATCGGAAGCATCCGGCGCCGAGCCGCGCGGCGAGGATACCTTGCACAGGACCAGGACCCAGGTCTCGACCTGGAATGACGATCCCGAAGCGGGAGATTCGCCCGGTGAGCTTGGATGGCATAGGACGGCTTGGGAGGATGTCAAAGTGGGAGATTTCGTCAAGATCTATGAAAACGAACAGTTCCCAGCTGGTGAGTCGATCTCGTCAAGTCAGTCCGAGAAATGCTTATATTGTACAGATATCATTATTTGCGCGACCTCGGAAGAGGAAGACGTCGCCTTTATCGAGACGAAAAACCTCGATGGTGAAACCAATCTCAAGTCGCGTAACGCCGTCCCAGGTCTCTCTCAGTACAACACGGTTGAAGCCTGTCTCCACGCCCATCTCCGAATTGATCTGGACGCTCCCGAGAACAACATGTTCCGTCTCAACGGTGCTATTGTAAACCTCGACGAATTCGATGACCAGGAAGAACATCCGATCTACCCCGTCACTCTTGAAACCACTCTGCTGCGAGGTTGTGTGTTGAAGAACACTGCCTGGGTCATCGGAATCGTCGCCTACACGGGTCGCGAGACCAAGATCATTCAAAATGCCGGTGCTACTCCCTCCAAGCGAAGCAAGGTCGAGAGGCAGATGAACCCTCAGGTCATCATCAACTTGGTCATCCTCGCTGTTATTGCCACTGTCTGTGCGATTGTAGACCACGTCAACGAGGTATCTTGGTACAACGATCAGGCATATTGGATGCTGTATGCCGATAATAGCGGTGACAACCCTAGTATCAACGGTCTCGTCACGTTCGCAAACGCCTTCATCACCTTCCAGAATATCGTCCCCATCTCCCTGTATATCTCGATCGAGGCGGTCAGAACGATCCAGGCTGCGTTCATCTACTGGGACAGGGCGATCAAGTACCAGAAGGATGGTGTGACTACCAGGACCACGGCGAGGAGTTGGAATCTGTCGGATGATTTGGGGCAGATTGAATACATCTTTTCGGACAAGACTGGTGAGGTTTCGCGTTTTCGTCATCGACTATGCTAATCGCGAGTAGGTACTCTCACTCAAAATGCGATGATCTTCCGTCAGTGTTCAGTCGGAGGCAAAGTCTACACCGGAGACGGTGAAGCACCTTCTCACCCCGTCATCGCCCACCAGCACAAGCCTCCTCCTCGTCCTAGCGTGGATGAAGGACCGTTCGCCAACACTGCCGCTTCTTCCTCTGACGAGTACGACCCCAAGAAGGAAGGCGAGGACGAGCCCAAGGTTGTGCTTCCGAAGGAGGTCCTCGCGCCTTTCCACGATGGTCAGCTTGACAAGGATCTCGAGGCGCACGAGACTGAACAATCTAGGATTCTTCATGGATTCTTCTCTGTTCTTGGTCTTTGTCACACTGCTCTGGCTTCCGAGCCTGAGCCCGGAGTCATCGAGTACAAGGCCCAGTCTCCCGATGAAGCAGCTCTCGTTCAATCCGCTGCCGATGTCGGATTCGTCTTCCGCGGTCGTGACCACAATATCCTTCGCATGTCAACTCCCTTTGGCGACGAGCCCGACGAGTACGAGCTCCTCCACGTCCTCGAGTTCAATTCTGCTCGAAAGCGTATGTCTGTCATCTTGCGCAAGATGGACGAAGATGGCAGGATCTTTTTGCTCTGTAAGGGTGCCGACAACATTATCTTTGAGCGTTTGACGCAAGACAACAGTCAGCGGGAGATGAGGGAAAAGACGGACAAGGACTTGCAGTACTTTGCTTCTGAGGGTCTCCGTACTCTTTGTCTCGCCTACCGTGTGCTCGACCCCGGGCACTATGAAGCCTGGGCGAAAGAGTACCATAACGCCACTGTTGCTTTGGAAAACCGAGAAGCCAAGATTGAGGATGTCTCTTCGTCTATTGAAAAGGACCTCGTCTTGCTAGGTGCTACCGCTATTGAAGACAAGCTCCAGGATGGCGTGCCCGAGGCCATCTCTGATCTCAAGCGTGCTGGTATCAAGGTCTGGGTCGCCACCGGTGACAAGCTGGAAACGGCTGTTGCCATCGGTTACACCACCAATTTGCTCACCAAAGACACCAACTTGATCGTCGTGCGAGAGGGAAGGCACTCGATTGCGGATCAACTCAGAGAAGCCTTGGAAAACTTTTTCGGAGAAGACGCTGGGCTCCACAGGTCCATCTCCAGGTTCAGTGTACGACGATCGACCGAGGCTCCCCGGCTTACTCGTGTCAATACCGGCGTGCAAAGTTTGGTTGGAAACGACAATGGTACTCGACCTGGAGGCTTCTCTCTTGTTATCGAGGGTCACGCCCTTGCTCACTGTTTTGACGACCAAGAGACAGAAGCTCTCCTCCTCGCGCTCTCCACTCGCTGTACCACCGTCGTTTGTTGCCGAGTGTCGCCCCTCCAGAAGGCCCAGATCGTGCACTTGATCAAGGACAATCTCGGTGTCATGTGTCTCGCTATTGGTGACGGAGCCAACGACGTCAGTATGATCCAGGCCGCCGATGTCGGTGTCGGTATCTCTGGTGAAGAGGGTCTTCAGGCTGTGAACTCTGCAGACTATGCCATCGCCCAGTTCAGATACCTCAAGAGGCTCCTCCTCGTTCACGGCCACTGGTCTTACTTCCGTAACTCCAACATGATTCTCAACTTCTTCTACAAGAACATTATCGGTATTGGAGTTCTCTTCTGGTTCATGATCTACTGTGGCTGGTCAACAACATACGTCTATGCCTACGTGTACCTGCTCTTCTGGAACGTGTTCTGGACTCTGTGTCCCGTCATTGCCATCGGTCTTTTTGATCGCAACATTGACGACGAGACGCTCATGGCGTTGCCAGAGCTCTACAGTACTTCTCGCAAAGGCAGCTACTTTGGCACTCGACGATTCATCTACTACCTGTTGGAGGGTGTCTACCAATCTGCTGTGGTCTACTTCTTCATCCACTACACCTACCTCACCACTACCACGAGAGGAGATGGTTACGAGGTCTTCATGTACGAAATGTCGACCACGCAGGCCATTGCTGCTGTCATGGTGGCCAACCTGTTCTCTGGTCTCAACATTGAGGCTTGGACTGGCTGGGTTTGGTTCGGTGTGTGGGTTGGTCCATTCCTGATCTGGGTCTTCACCGCCATCTACTCTATCATTCCCCCCTCCTCCTTCGCCACTGACGTCTATGGTAACGATGTCTTCTTGTTCCGCTCTGCGGCATACTGGTTTGGCTGGACATTTACTCTCATCATCGCTTTGATGCCGAGGTATTTGATCAAGACCATCAAGCAAAACATTGTCCCCAACGACGTCGACACCATGCGTCTTGTGCGAAAGTACCACCCTGATGTTGACCTATACAACCACCCAATGCTCGGCGGCAAGCTGTCTCCCAAGGACGAAGTGGGAGCCACTGAAGAGCTTGATAATTCCAGTGACGGGCGAGAGTCTATCCAGATGAACAGCATGCGGGCACGAGACCATGGTGTGTTTGGTAAAGGTGACCGCCACGGTGATATGGAGACGGGTCTGGCTAGGAAGAGTACAGACAACCGAATGGGGGTCAGGAGCAGTATGGAAAGTTCCAGATTTGGTATCCATGGTAGTGCGAGAGGATCAACCGTCGACAGTAAGTGATGTGCTGTCATGAAAGTTGGCCGGGCTAAAATTGATCCCAGTGTCCACGGGGATGGAGCAGCCTCCTTCTAGAGGTTACGGGTTCACCATGGAAGAGAATGGCGTTGCTGTACGTGTAAATGATATTGATACCCTCAGAGCTGACCTCTCTCAGATTCA